CAGTTGGTAGAGTGCGTGACTAGTAATCACGAAGTCGCTAGTTCAAATCTGGCAGTGAGCATTTTTTTGGCTAAATTCCTTTTGTGGAGCGGATTGAAAGTCTAATGAATGACAACTAGTATTTCCTGTAATATACGCACTTATATAGACAGGATAATTAATGTCTGGCGGTTGGGGCTTTCCTGTCTCGGCTGCCGCCGCTTTTATGAGGGCGCTCAGGCTCAGAACTCACTGAGTGAAAGTCAGCATCGACTCATGCTCAGTGATCACTCAGTGCATGCTCACGTTCGGCGACTCTCTTTCGAGAGGTGCAACCAAAACGATGCGCAGGGACTCGAACTATCGAGAAGTCAAGGCATCGCATTGGAAGCAGTTCCTGGACCCAGCTAGGGAAGGGATACTCTGGAAAGCTGTCACATACATGAAACCACGAGAGGCCTTGGGGTGCGTCCCGGCCTTACAAGTCGACACAGATGAGCTCACAGAGAATGAAGACATGGCGCAGGCGATCATATAAATAGCAGGGTCGCAGGATCAACCCTGCGACCCTGCGAGGTCATAGATATTTTCTAGTAATAAGCAACCGGTTAATGACCAGATATAACCGGTAATAACTAGAGGCAGAGTAATACCAAAAGGGAAGACTGAATAGTAAAGAGCGCTACCATACTTTTCTAGTAAATACCAGAAATAGGTAAAAACAATCTTATAGAACTTGTGACGAATGTGCCGTTTCGGAAATGGGAATAACCTCATGTTGCTTTGTTGCTTTGTTGATCCATTGCTTAAAAGGGTCTTTTCTTGGTGGATACTGATTTCCCTCCTTTCTTTTCTCTCCAGTCTTGATACCTTCGTTGAAAGCTACCATGTTGATTTGAGATCTTCGTGCCTGAGCGTAACAAAACTAAGGACCTATGAAGGCTATAGTTTCTCTACCTTAGCTCTCAGCTGCGAAATACTTCAATCTCGGCCCTAACACTCCTACCAAGCAGGGTTATTTACAGAAGGTAGCTTCAATTATGAAACTACTTCACGAATACCCGCTTAGAGCTAACTAAAGACACTAAGAGCCGTGACACCGTTCGCGACGTAGTTATAACATGAACCCGAACAGCCGTAGAAGCCGGCTGTAGCAAGATGCAGGCGCTCTGTCCCGTTATCATTAAATAACAAGAGGTGGCGAGATTGACCCGTGTACTGGTTCACGTTGACCATAGTCCACGTGTTTGCGTTATCTGTAGATACGAAAAGATCCGTGTCTGAGTTGGTCGACAGGATCACCGCGCCGTCGGTGGTAGAGCCTGGGTATTCATACCAAACGCTGTAGGGCGAGCCACCAGGCGTGTAACCGGAAGTCGTGGTCAGAGTTTGATCAGGGGCATTGAGAAATTCGGTCGGATTGGAGGCAAGTCGATAGTGTGCGGGACAGCCACTACCTGATGGAGGATTGCAGTACTCGTAGGATAACATGTACTGTCCGATGGTCGGGAGATAAGAAATCACGGCCATGCCAGGACGTGCGTTGACATCAGAGTAGGCGACCACATCCGACGAGGCAGACCAGGTAAGCAAGTCCGTGGTGCTTGTAAGTGAGAGTTTTTGTGAGTGCGCGGGGTCGCGCTGGTCGCTGAAGTACACAATCAACCTGCCATTGTACTCCAGGAAGAAAGGTTCCCAAATAGCCTTATCTCCTGTCGTCACAGTCTCGGGTCCGGCACCATACGCGACGTGACTAGCGAACGTCCACGAATGGCCCATGTCGCTGGAAGTATAAAGATCGATGTAGACCCCGCCAGTAAGGCTCAATGGTGTCGAAACTCCGGCGATTAGCAAGGTTCCAGCAGCGTACTTTCCGATATCGTTTTTCAAGATGTACATGTCTGGTTCTGAGCTCAGTTAGCAAGAGAATGATATAGTAGACTTGAATGTGACTTACGGAAGCGCATGCCCCATTCATTTTGCGTGTCGGCGACTTGGGATAAATTGGACCAGCTCGTGCCACCATCGACTGATCGAAGGATCTTGAAGGTATCAAGATTTGTAGAGCTCTCGCCGTATGGATAATCCTCCCATGTCAGGAGCAAACTGCCGTCTTGGACCTGAATAGCGCGCGCGTAGCACGCTCGCCACAGAGGCGCTTGCTCAAGGGGATAGTACACCGGATTGTGGGTGAAGGTGGAATAGGGCGCAGGAGATGAACGCTGCTCAATCGCAGGCGTTGCTCGACACAACGCACTTACAGCGAGCACCGACAAGAGCGTGAGGTATGCAAACATTGTTCCGAATCAGATCAAATATAATGAAGTGGAAGTCTGACTGTGGTTATCGTTTAATTCCTGGACGATGTGACTGCCTTTTATAGATACGACTTATACATCCCCCGCACGATGGGCAACTTTCTTGAAGATGCTGCATATTTTTCCCCATGGAGTAAATGCAAAGCTAGGATGCACAATAAGTACACTAGTATGGGGTCACGACAGAGATCTGAATCGCAAGCGGGGTCTCTTTCCGTAGAGTGCCATTAAGCGCTTGCGGAACGTCGGGCTCTTTCCGTTCAGTGTCATTGGGCGCTCGCGGAAGTTCGGGCGACGCTCAGAATATGGTAGAACAACACTGCCGTCAGTGAAGAAATATTGAACACATTCTTCTCATATTTCATTTCATCCCTAGCTATCCTCAGACCCAACACGATGCTTAAGGAACCGGTGGCCAAGGTCGCCATAGAGAACCCCTCTGACCATTCTATGACCGAGACGTTCGATTTCGACGATGCCGTACGGATGGTTCAGAGTGGGCAGACGATCGGGCGAGCGACGGATGCTCTGCTGGCCGTTATGACTCGAGCAGAACGACTGTCGTTGCTCGACGGAGATGAGCTCTTTTGGAAAGGCCTTCGTGGAATCTTGTTCGACCGTTATAACCGTGAAGCTTTCGTTATGGGGGCAGTTCCACGCTTGAAAGTCTCGGGAATACGCTTCACCGATGGTCCACGCGGCATCGTGATGCACTCCTCTACCTGTTTTCCAGTGTCAATGGCCAGGGGTGCGAGCTGGGACGTAACGCTCGAACAACGTGTTGGCGACGCTATCGGCCTAGAAGGACGTGCCCAAGGGGCCAATTACTTTGCCGGGATCTGTATCAATCTTCCTCGGCATCCGGCCTGGGGACGCATACAGGAGACCTACGGCGAAGATCCCATACTCCTGGGCGAATTCGGTCTCGCACTGCATCGCGGCGTCCGACAACATCTCATGACTTGCGTCAAGCATTTCGCGTTGAACTCCATGGAGAATGCTCGCTTCAACGTAGATGTGCAGGTCGACGATGCAGCCTTGCACGAAGTCTACCTCCCCCACTTTCGTCAACTAGTTGAAGGTGGAGTCTCATCAGTCATGTCATCTTACAATTCCGTTCGCGGTGAATTTGCAGGACAAAATCATGAGCTCCTGAACGACATTCTTCGGCAAGAGTGGGGATTTAGCGGATTTGTGCTGTCTGATTTCATCTTCGGTTTGCGAGACGCAGTCAAATCCATCAAGAATGGACTGGACGTTGAAGCCCCCTTCCAGCAACAACGCGCCTTATACGTGTCTAAGGCACTGGAGTGTGGGGATCTGGCCTGGTCTGACATCGACCGCTCCTGCGCTCGTATCCTTCGCGTGCAACTAGAGCATGTGGTGCGCACCGGACAAACGACTCCCGACTCTTCTATCGTCTTCTGTGATCAGCACAGGAAATTGGCCCGCGAAGCCGCAGCCCGAGGAATGGTTCTACTCAAAAATGACGCCGTCTCGGATTGCCCTCTACTTCCGTTGGATCCTGCCAAACTTCACACTTTGGCAATCGTCGGCCGGCTCGCCAATAGGGCAAACACCGGGGATAGGGGATCTTCAGCCGTATTCGCCCCGAAGGTGGTCACTTTGTATGAGGGCCTTAGAGCGGCTCTTCCCGATACAAAGATCATGCTGCAAGACACAGACAATGTTGAAGAGGCCCAGAAAGTTGCGACAATGGCAGATGTCGTCCTTTGCGTGGTAGGCTATGACGCGATGGACGAAGGCGAGTACGTTGTTCCTTCCTTCGCAGACCAAAAGGAGCTGCTCGACCTCCTTCCTCCAACCCTGGACCGTGACGACGCAGAAGTCCGTGCTACCATCGAGGGCCAAAAGAGCACCGGCTTTGGTTCCGGTTCTACGGACAGTGATGGGCTAGTTCCGGGGGCCGGAGGCGATCGCAGGTCCCTTAGACTACGAGATCGCGACGTGGACATCATCAGAGCTGTGACCGCTGTGTCATCCCGTGTCATTGTCAGCGTTGTGGCAGCTGGTGCAGTCATCATGGATAATTGGCTTGACCGAGTCCCGGCACTGCTCATGGCCTGGTATAGCGGCGGAGAAGGAGGTCACGCCCTAGCAGATGTCCTTCTCGGCAAGGTCGACGCTAGTGGGCGAATGCCGTTTTCAATCCCCAAAAGCGAGGAGCACCTCCCATACTTTGACATTGACGCCTCGAAGATCACATACGATCGTTGGTTTGGACAGAGGCTCCTTGACAAGCTCGGCGTCGTCGCACAATTTCCTCTTGGCTACGGTCTTTCTTACACGACATTTGCCATGGAGGGAGTGACCATTGATGCAAGCCCTCTCGATTGGGGTCTGGACCGTTTCACTGTCAGAACTACGGTCGTCAACACTGGATCGCGCCCTGGCAGGCATGTTATCCAAGTCTATGGCACTCCCCGGGTACCTAATTTTCCTACGAGGGTCCTGTTAGGTTTTCAGAGCCTCGCATTGGATCCAAACCAGTCGACACTAGTCAACGTGAAATGCTCGACAAGGCCATTGAAATGCAGAAGCGGGAATAGATTCATGCTAGTAGAACGGATGGTTGGCATTGAAGTCGCAACATATGCTGGAGACGAAACTTGTTTGCGGGCCTGTATTTCGCTACCGTAACGAGAGTAGGGAATTGCAACGGATTTAGACATCCTGATATCGCTATTGCATAAATTCGAGCAAGACAGATTTCAAAAAGACAACGGTTTCATCCTCGGGCGTCTCACTCCAGTACTCGAGCATTGCGATTGTATCTGACACTAACGCTTGCCACCCCGTCGGTAGGAGATCAGAGAAATTGCTCCGGGCGACTGCCAAGAGGATGCATGCACTGCGTGTCGACGAGCGCTGCATCAGCCAAGTGCCATGGTGCAGATAATAGAACCCAGGGCGGTTGATTGAGAGCCGATCGTAGTGAACACGCAAGCCCCTGGCAGCCAGTTCGGATGCACGGGCGGTTCTGTGCGCTGCGAATAGCAACTGGGTCTCCAGAAATGGCCATGTCAGCACTTCGTAGTTGTAAGTCAGTCGACCCTGCAGGACGAAGTGTAGCACGTCTACTGTACTGCTCTGTAGGCCGGCGTTAAGGCTGATTGCATCCGGCAACGAAGCCTGCCAGGAAGCCAAAGATGTCTCTAGATCAACTATCCGCTCCGCCAGAGCTTCCAAAGCACTTGGTTGTTGCCTCACAAACTCTGACAATGTTTTCCGTGCCGTCATTTCGGAGCGCCAGAGTGAAATTTCCGCTAGGTAGAAGTACCACGCTCGGAGCTGCTCTTGGTCAAACACTTGTGGTGGTAGAGTCGGAAACATGATGGGATGGTCATATCCCGCCGAACTAAAATTAGGCATGTCCAATTCAAAGCGGAGCTCTCGCTCAGACTTCCAACACGACCAATAGATGCTCTCTTTAGCCTGCTTCTCAACCTGGGCAGGATCTCGGGGCCTACGGGGGTGCGCCGGGGCTGTCGACCTTTGGCAAGTGGCCAGCCCCTGGAGGAAATGGCGCCAAGCGTCGAAAGGTCGCATCGAGACCATCATGAACATGCCACTATAGAAGTGGCATCTGGCCTGCGTCAGATAGTCGCTGCGCCACAGCGTGTCCTTGCGCTTCTCCGCGGCATCGAACAAGGCCTGTGCATTTGCCCACCGTTGCTCATCTCGACCGCCGGTGGGACCGGTCGTCGAGAGCTCGCCAAATTCAGACGAGCAGGCCCCATTGGCGAGCACGAGCAGGAGAAGGCAGGAAGCCGCGTCCCAGCCATTGCCATTGAGCAGAAAATTCGTCAGCTGAGCCCGGATCTGCTGTTCGTCTAGCACCGGGTTCAAGACGTGGACGTTGTGAAAAAAAGCATCTAAATAACTGGTAAAAAGGCTAATATCAAGGCCTCGATCCAGACCAGCCGTTTGTACTCTGCTGCACGACGTTGGATCGGCACCCTGTTCCTCCTCACCTGCTGCGAGATATTGCGGGGGTTCATGAGGCTGCCAAATGTCCCAGGCAAGCACCTGACTGATATTGCCGCGCTGCAGATGGCGGTCCAGGCACAAGGCGAGTGGGGCCTGCATGGGCGGAGTATGTAAGGAACCTTGGGTAACTAGCGTGGAGTTTGGGGAGTGGGAGCGCGGTCTTTGCAAATGGCCAGACAGCGATTCCACCTCGCTTTGGAGCTCCTCTAACTTGGCCAGAATGGCCAGGCTGGCCGGGTCGAAGCCTGCCGTTGCCGACGCAGCAGGCTCAGACGAGCACGTTGCTCCGATTCGACGGCAGTAGGAGCAAGGCTTTTCATTATCGCATTTCGCTCGCCGGGCTCGGCATATCTGCTTGTACGCGGTGAGAAACAGGGCATGCACATTAAGCCTTTTCCATGGACATCACTGACCTGACAGGCAGAGGCTGTCCTCGTGCGAACATACGCCGTCCCCGCTCTGCTCACGGGTCCTCGATGGCTTCGTTCTTGGGCGTCTTTGGGCATAATCTGGGGTATGGGGTATACGAAAGACCCAGGAGAAGCGGGGGAGGGGCGCGGAATCAAGGGCAACTTCCGACGGTTTTAAGTAGTCGTACGTTGTGGGGCCGCAGAATGAAGGTTGACTTCTGGCTCGTTGTGTACTAGTATAATGTAGAGCCGCGGAAAGTCGGGCGCTGCTGGGCCGTGAGCCTACTCTCGCGTCGGTCACACGAGATCCAGCGAGATCTATAATTACCGGAGGCATGCCCATGTGGCACTGCCATACTTCTATCAACTACTCTAGTCTTTGCTTCGTCATTCGTCATCCCTCCGTCTCACGATGAAGCCTCACTTGTATCAGGTACGTCCTTGGTCGACAGTCCTTGCTCCCCTACCGCGGCTGATGGAATTCTCTAGCTCCTCGTGGGGTTATTTGCCTCGCTGGGCTCTTTCCTGTTTGGGTGAGTGCGCCGCTCCATAACCTTTGATCCCCCGCTGCAATCGAAAGCTGATCATTCCTGCGACGACAACTAGCTATGACCTCGGCGTCATTGGCGGCGCTGTCGCTTCGGCTTCCTTCGTAGCAACGTTCCATAACCCGTCGGTGAATGAAATGTAAGTGCTAGTCACCCGTTCCTAGCCCCGTTACCCGGCGGGTCGACCCCAGCTGACCACGCTTCTCCTTTAGCGGTGCCGTCGTGTCCGTCTTCACGGGAGGAGCCTTCTTCGGCGCTGCTGTGGCAGGTATCACTGCCAATCGCCTTGGCCGCCGCTGGACCATCATCTTGGGCTCTTTGATCTTTTGTCTTGGCGGCGCCCTGCAAACGTCCGCCCAGAACCTCGGATATCTTTACAGCGGCCGGTCGATTGCAGGTCTCGGTGTCGGCGTTCTCGTCATGATCATCCCCCTGTATCAAGCCGAGATTGCCCATCCAGCTATTCGCGGACGTCTGACAGGGCTGCAACAACTCTTCATTGGATTAGGAGCTACGACCGCGGGTATGTCTAGACCATCTTATTATTCCTGATGCGCGAGCAACCTCACATGAAAGCGGACCTTAATGCTCTCTAGTGTTTACCGCACACGGGACGGTCAGCAATTTTGTCAGTGACAAACAGTGGCGCGTGCCTCTCGGCATCCAGATCATCCCGGCTGGCATTCTAGGAGCCCTGATACTCCTGTTCCCAGAGTCGCCCCGTTGGCTCATGGATCACGACCGACACCAGGAGGCGCTCCAAACGCTTGCGAAACTTCACTCCAACAATGACCTTAACGACACATGGGTTCTGGCAGAATATGAGCAGATCAAGCGTACGATCCAAGACGAGAAGGAAAATGGTGCTTCGAGTTTATACGAGCTCTTCAAGGACCCGGCATCTTTTCGGCGACTAGTTCTTGTCACAGCCATACAGGCGTCCGTCCAGATGACCGGAGTCTCCGCAATCCAATACTTTTCCCCGAGCATCTACAAACAGGTCGGAGTTGGGACAGCGCAGGCACTACTATACCAAGGCATTTCATATATCTGGGGCATTGCCGGTCAACTGTGTACCGTCCTCTTCATCGACCGCATTGGACGACGTTGGCCCCTGATTCTTGGGAATCTTACCTGCTCCGTCAGTTTCATCGTTACAGCTGCCGTTATAGCCAGGTTCAACGACGTCGGCCCATCGGCACAAGTGGGTCTCCTCTGGACGTTCCTCGTCTTCGGATGGATCTTTCAATTCGCCTTCTCTATGTGCTGTGGCTCGCTCTCCTGGGTCATTCCCTCAGAGATATTTGATACCAAAACTCGAGCTCATGGGGTCGCAATTGGCTGCCTTGTCAGTTTCGCCTTCAACACAATGATCGGACAGATCACGGATCCTGGTGAGTTTTCCAGTCACATTGTGCCGTCGTATTCGTACTGACATATACCAGCCATTGCGTCACAGGGCTGGCGGTATTTCCTCCTCTTTGTCATCTGCAACGTCACCAATGCCATTTTCTTCTGGGCATTTTTGCCGGAGACCAAGGGCATCCCGCTCGAAGAGATGAATCGCTTGTTCAAAGAGACAGGTTGGTTCGTTCCGGCACACAAAGGCAAGCGTCAAACCACCGAACTCGCGGTCACGCAGAAGGAGATCGAGGAGAAATCTGGGACTGCTCATGTAGAGTCCTCACCCTAAGTCTATCTCGTGTGGCATCCCCATTCGATGCATATTATTTCGTACTGTGCGTTTCGGTTTACTCTAACATGAAAGCGTAGTAGTCAAAAATTGTATGCGGAGGAAGAGCCCGTCTTCGAATGCCAATAATGTGACCTCCATTCCCTGTTCCGCCATTAATTAATTCAATGCGAATTGCTCCCAAGTTCACATAGGATTCTGAATACGACTAAGAGAACATCACATGACCTATTTGACTGCAGATGTACCGTTTTCGGGACAAATTTAAATATCAGGCGTATATCAGAAGGGATCCTGTACCATTCCGATTCCTAAGTCCAATTCGTCGTCGAGCCACTGATATCCACATGATTTTGTCGTAGGGCCGACTTATTACGAGAAAGTTCAAGTTAACTTCATTCTTTATCTCATTCTTCGTACTATAGAAGTCGCTTAAGACTCGAACAGGCTTACGCCGTTCTTTATCCTCGTACTCGTTGAATCCGTCAAGAATACAAATTATCTCCCTAGTATCTATATACTATAATACCATCACTAGGACATCCTAGAGTTTATTAAGCAACCTAGTAAGATCTGCTTTATAAGTTTCGAACCGTTTAATAACATTATCAGAGAAAAGGTCGTCTCTTTATAAAAAACAGCTAGTATAGGATATAGCTAAGAGCACTTTTTCCACTCCTCTAATCCTCGAGATCGTCCTTAAAGAAGAGATAGCAGGTCGTTCTATCATCTGTTATATTAAGCTCGGAGTCCACTAGGTATTTTGCTAAGATAAATTTTCCGCACCCCGGATTTATAGACACCCAGAGCATCCTTAACGTTTTGCTATCTCTCCATTACTTAGAGAGCCCGTGGTTTACGAACCATACACACGTCCCCGGAACCCGATTTAGATTTCTGTTCTTTTTATCCATATATAGTACGGCATAGAGAGTCTAGAGGATATCACTCCAAGAATCTTAGAGTTGTTAGTAAGAACGGGGAGAGTCAGTCTATTAATAATAAATCTAGCTATTAATTAGGTTATTCCGTACCGAAATTCATCATATAAGCATTAAATAATTTGCCATTACCCGAGTTAATGATTTAGCCTTAGCCACAATTGAGGGTCTGATAGCCTATTACCCCAGAGGCGTTATGCTATATAAAGTTTGTCCTAAGGCCCTCGAAATCCGAGTCTAGCACAGACGACTCCACTTTGAACAGCTGATCAATCGCCTCCAGCTAGGTTATTTAGCTTTAGGATACCGTTCTGAACATCTGATTCATAGTCAATGCATCCAAGCCTTTCAGGATACCTTGCATCAGTATCTCCACCCGGTATACCTTGCCCAAGTAGAGCAGAGACGTACGGTAGATATCGAGCACGGATATATCCACATTCTTCACACTTTTTTCAACTTTCTTAAAGATGTCGTATACCTGTTTGGCCTTCTTTTCGCAGCCACTAACGATAGGCTCGAGGGCTTTTCTAGATGATTCATCCAACGCTTAAGCTTCGAGCTGATCACGGGCCAGGCTCAGAGTGTCCTCAGCAAGAGGGAGATTCCGGCTCACTTCATAGAACTCCTTTGGAAGGCCAACTAGAAAACGGCATAGTTTGGGCCGGGAATTGATGATCCTTCACACTCGGCCTCGGATATAATACGCAATGCTCGGGGGAGATTCCCTGAAACGGAATGGACGCCTGGACCTTTGTGCTCTCGACAACTTAAATCGGCATTATTTCGGGGCCGTCTTTTGGTTATTAACCGTTTTGGCAAAGATTTGCACATATACTTGCGTGTCTCCTTGTAAACATGCGACAGGAGGGCTATCCACCCAAAAAACCTTGCATGCAACCTATTTTTGCCCGCAAAGCTGACGTCCGCAAGAAGCCCCCGGCCTATCATGCTGTATCTCATAGGGATTGCTGGGGAAAAAGCCACTCGTAAAACAAACTACGCCCGTGGCGCACAAGTCTTGTTTGGATACAACGAGATAATCAATTCTGTGGGCCCTCCAGTCAAGGTGTCAGCACAGCTCGCTGATCTCGGCTTTATTTGCAGCAGATTTTCCTCTTTGCCGCGCAGCGGACTTTTGAAGTATGTTTCCTCAAGCACCAGAGACGGGAAGATCTGCGTCTTACGCGGACCTTTGTGGATCAAGCTCAGGGGCGCGACGTAAAACCCCACTGTTGTATAGAGTCGACATCAAAATATATTGTGATCCAATATATCCGGAATCCGTGTTGGCCATTTTATAACTATATAGCGGTCATATAATCACCTCTTCTCTTTTTTACCTCTTGGAGTATTCACATGCCAACACCAACTCGAAGCGTTATAGGTTCTTGCTAGAATGCTGAACCCTCTCCGAACTCTTGCGCTCGCTGCGCCACTGGCATCGTTGGCTGCCGCTGAGTTCCCAACTATCCACACCAATTACGGTCCGGTCAAGGGTGTAGCATCTCCTTTCCGTGAAGGCGTCACAGTCTACAAGGGTATCCCCTATGCAGCTCCTCCCACCGGTTCGCGGCGGTGGACTCCTCCGGCTAAGCCTGCGTCGTGGACTGGCATACTCCACGCGACTGAGTTTGGTCCCCAATGCGCGCAGCCGTACTCTGCTGCCGGCATCTTTTCGTCTGGAAAGAGCTCCACCAGCGAGGACTGCTTGACACTTAACATCTGGACTCCGACGTACAACACAAGCGATCCCAGTGAAATTGAGGCCAAGAAGCTGCCCGTTTACGTGTGGATCTTCGGTGGCCGCTTCGAAGGCGGCTCAGGGGATGTTATCACGTATGATGGAACTGGCCTTGCCTCGAAGGATATTATTGTGGTCACCCTCAACTACCGTCTCGGTGCATTCGGCTTCCTTGCTCACCCGGAACTGTCCAGGGAGTCAGGCCACAACAGCTCTGGAAACTACGGCATTCTGGACCAGCAGTTTGCTCTTCGCTGGGTCCAAGAGAATATTGGTTGCTTTGGTGGTAATTCTAGTCAGGTGACTGTGGGCGGCCAGTCGGCTGGATCTGCCAGTGCCTTGGACACGATGTGGAGTCCTCTCAGCAAGGGCTTGGTCCATGGTGTTATCTCTCAGAGCGGTGCCCGTGGCCCTCACGACCCGGCTACCGGCAGTGTCGCAACTAGCTACAACACCAAGTCCGAGGCCGAGAACTTTGGAGTCACCTTCCTTAAGACTATGAACGTTTCCTCGATTGCTGAATTGCGCAATATCTCTATGGCCAAGCTTATTGGAGAAGGCCAACTGATGGAGGATGATTACTATGATGGTACTGCCTTTGTTAACCTTTGGAGCGGCCCACCACGCTGGCGCCCAAATATTGATGGCTATGTGTTCCGTCACGGATACGGAAAATCCTTGGAGTTGAACGCCCATAACGATGTGCCTATTATGACTGGTAACAACAAGGACGAAAACAATGGTGGTGCTTCCACAACCTCTGAATATAAGTCTCTATGGACCGAGGTTTTCCAGAACTACTCCTCTGAGTTCTTCTCCCTATACCCCGCTGATACCGATACCGCAGTTGGGGACCAGAGCGATGAAGTGCTTCGGGATATGGCTCGCATTGGGACCTGGGAATGGGCTGCCGATTGGGCTGCCGGTGGTGCCAAGAGCGATGTCTTTGTCTACTATTTCACCAAGGCCCCTGCCGAGGACGAGTTGGGAGGTGCCTATCACGGTGCTGAGCTTTGGTATACCTTCAACAACATCCCTTACTCGGATTACTCGAACGTGACCTGGAACGCCACGGACTATAAGATCGAATCCGTCATATCCAACTACTGGGCTAACTTCATCCGCACCGGCAACCCGAACGGTGGTGACCTACCGTATTTCCCGCCCTCTAGCAACAACAAGTCTGCGATGTGGCTAGGCGAGTATGTTGGCGTCGGACCAATCGCCCAGTCTAAGGAACGGATTAGCTTCCTTCGTCGCTGGATGTCTCATCTTCATGAGTATTAGAATGTGGAAATAATCGAAGGGGAAGACAGGATATTGGCACCAAGATTCTCACTGTGTATTAGTAGATCATCCTGTTTTATTAATAGCGAACTCAAAGAACGGTGTGGTACTAGTGCCATTTGACAGGAAGTAGATCTAAATGCTGTATTTATTGGTGACCTCACGCAGGCCGTAACGGGGTCACCTGTCGCTGCGGTCTTATGTGGAACGCATTAGACCGTAGCGTCAGATAGGGCCCGACCGCGCTCCCTTGTACGGAGGCAAAGTGTCTGTATTGCAGTAGTCTCTATGTACAGAGGGAAGGTATACAGAGGGAAGGCGGGAGGGACAAAATCGAGTCTTGACTGCGTGAGAGATGACGAGCTATCACCGGGAGCAAGCAACTGACTCTTGTGAGGCAGTTGTAGGAGGAAGAAGCCCTCAGGAAGCCCTCAGTAATGCCGGTGTAGATGCCACGTGCGGTAGTGGGCAACATGAGGCAACCCCAATAAACTACTCCCTTTATGAAAGCCTAGATGCCACAAACTACGATGTTTGGCCGCACAGACAGCGCAAATCTCCGAACAGCAAAGATCAAACCAGGGATTTACCTATAATATCGTCTTATAGGAAAATATCGCTCCACTTCTTGCGCTCTTTTCTCGTCGTCTTTGTAATACCGGGGTGAATTCGGCGGCAGCAGAGAGAGCCTTTTCACAGATGAACCTTCAGCAAACAAAGTCCGAAATAGGCCCGAGCCTCATCTCGCTGAAAGAGCAATCTTCGTCTAGATCAACAACCGACAATTCCGGGAAGAACAGCCTCATAAGGTTACGCAGGAATTACTCCTTGAAGAAGAGGATGACGAGGAAGAGAGGGTTTTGCAACCAAACCAAGTGCAGGACGACTTAGCAGGAGGCTCAGAGATAGCATCCAACCCAGCACAAGATCTAGTTCTAGACCAAACGCCAGACCAACCACCGAATCAAGAACCCGATCAAGCACCAGATCAAAAGTGTTAAGAAGAAATCTACTTGCAGGGTAGAAGACCTGTCGATCAGGTAGAAGAAAGTCACCACGCCACCACTCAGCATTGCGCCACTTGATCTATGCAGGAGTTACGGTCTTTATCGGGTAAACAAGGCTGCAATATAAGAAGTTTACTCGCGAGAAATGTCCGAGTAGAAGCATTTAAGGGCACCCACGTTGATGCGTTTGTGGCACCCAGCAATTCAGGCTTTTCCCACTCCTCAATCTGTCCCCTTTTTCCAGCTAAATCGGACCATCTACCGATGTAATGTCTTCCTTGAATGACGACCTCCTGAAGATCGCAAGCCCAATTCGCGCACATGCTTTAGCAACTTTCAACGTTACTGCTCATCCAGATGAGGTGCTTCAAATTCCCTCACGTGATGAAGGGCGATTCATTCGAATTCATGCCTACAACACGCTCAACAGGGATACCCCGGCTCCAGTCCTGGTCAACTTCCATGGCAGCGGATTCATGAATCCTCTGCATGGGAGTGACGATGAATTTTGTAAATTCATTGCTGACAAAACTGGATACGTGGCTTTGGACTGCGCCTATCGACTCGCACCGGAAGATAAACTTCCTGCTGCGATCCACGACGCTGAGGATTCTGTTCGATGGGTTCTTTCACACCCGCAAAAGTTCGATGCCTTCCAGCTATCTATTTCTGGCTTCAGTGCCGGGGGAACCATAGCTTTGATTGTCAGCTCGGTCGTCTTTCCCCAAGGAACATTCAGGAATGTCGTCGCCGCCTATCCACCAACGGACATGGTCCAAAATTCCGCAGAGAAGATTGCCCGGGATGCCTCAAAGGACAGTGCGCCTGTCGAACTCCTTGATACATTCAAGCAATGCTATTACCCCAACCCCGACGATGTGAAGAGTGTTCTTGCTTCACCAGCTCTTATACCTGTTGAAAAGTTCTCGGATAGGATTTTTCTCGTGACTGCGGCTTGTGATCGCCTCTGTTCTGAAGGGAGGCGCTCGGAATTAAGATCAGAGGTGCGACGACCAAGTACTTCAAGATACACCGGTATGATGATTGTGAACACGCGTTTGATAAAGCGTATGAGAAAGGACCTGTGCAGGAAAGAGTGAAGAACGACCTCTACGAAAAGGCGGCCTTGTTCCTGACTGAGTGATTAGCTTATGTCTATTTGGGATGGAACATAAGGCGAGTCAGTATTGCTTCATGTTTCAAGTGCATTTTATGTACTCATCCGCTGACGACATGTATGTATAGCCAATGCTGTACTAAATTGGAAGAAACAGATCGTTGGCACTGATTTCCGCATTATGCTTAGAGGGCCCTGAGGGTATGGTTATGGCTGTAGCTTTGGGTATCTCGATTAAGAATAGGTGGCAATGGTATTATGCCCTCGTTAGACCTAAACTCCCGGGAACCTAGAAGAATATTTTATCTGAACGGACTATTTTATTAGCTCAACAACGCCGTATATAAGACACCCTAAGGGATTCTTGGGAACACGCTGAATTCTACTAGTAGTAGTAGTAGAATTCATAGACTGTCCCAGCCGCCCTAAGGCAGCTTTGCAGCGTACAACTATAAATACAGGTGTTCCCGCTTCTTGCATCCAGAAATCAAGCTATTCCTCTCACGAAGTGCTTCCTCCTTCTATTCCCGGCAGTTGCACCCTCCCGTACTGATAGTTCTAATAACTGTTCTGTATCTTTGACTTGTCAGGCCTTTCCTGGCCCTCCTCTGCTTCTGGGTCACTCCTCTCCTGACGAACTTAGTGAGCAAACCGGAGTGCTCTTGTCACGCTCAGTGATCAGGTCAGGATGCTCAGGTCAGGCTTAGTGAGTGAATCAGGTTGATTATGGAATGATCACTGACCAGGTCAGGGTGATCAGCGGCGTGCTCAATTCTTCTCATTGAGCAAAAGCGGAGAGAGGGTGAGCAGTAGAACGGAAGGGGACCGCCAAGAGTTGCAGGACATTATCCGGTATATATGCCTTTTTGGTACAATTTTGGTACCCGTTGATATGAAGACCGACAAGTATATCATACGTTGCAGTTGTTCTTATAGTGGCGTGAAGTTGAAAGACCCGATAAGACTGGAGGAGGGTGAGTATCTCGCCGGGGCAGCACGTACCTCTCAGCTGGGCTGCGACTGAGTATCATTGGATAGAGCCAGTCCCCTCTAAAACACCGGTCTCTTGGCATCTGCACTGAGCCACCAGACGGACAAAATCAGTGTTCCTCTCCCCACACCTCCTCTCCATGGATGCCGTCAACATGGGAAATAGAGGACGCACAACACGGTTGCAGCCAACACATCAAATCCTTATTGACAAGTATCGCCGGAATCGCAAGATGCAGTCCTGTGAACCATGCCGAAAGTCGAAAGTCGCGTGCGATCACAGAATCCCATGCGGTCGATGTATTAGGAGACGGTGCGATGATAAATGCTACTATCACCCAAACCCTCTAACTCGTGTCAGTAGTTAACGTTTAGTCTCCCCTGGCGTGAAGGTCTGACTGCCAGTAGATCCCACTAACGGAGTCTGGTTAGCTAGAATCGACGAGAAAATGTCGGAACGGCAGCAGTAGCTACAGAAGGCACCCTCTCACCACTAGGGGTCAGCAATGGCGTTTCCAGCTACTTGGTCGAGCAACCTCGCATAGGCGGTCATTTCGAGGCTCTTAGCATTCCGCAAGGGCACCACGGCGGCGGCGCTGGTTCTGCGCAAGAACGCAGTGAGCGTTCAGAACCCCCAATAGCTGACCACTCTGAGACCACGTCTGGACAGCATGGTTTCCTTGGCTTCACCTCACATATATCGATCATGAAAGAGGATCTGGTGAAATTCGGTGTGACTTCTACAGGCCTAGACCAAGCCACGGGTGTCCACAAGCAACAGATTTCAAACGAAGGAATCGCTAAGGGTTGCCGAATTCTTTCCTTCTTCCAGAACAGGGCGATGGTCGATCGCGGCATCGAATTGTTTTTCAAGTCGATTGAATGTATTCATATCCACTGCGGCGAGTTCATTGTGAGGCACTGGCTCTCCCAACTCTGGCTTGTTCATGGCGAGACATTGTCGAGTCAAGACACCTCACGCATACGGCTGCTATCTCAGTCACTATGTGAGAATACGGCGACGCCGCTAGTGTTTGATGCCAATACCACGGCAAAACAATGGGCTTACTCTGCCACCGGAGAGCAAATACGCTGGGGTGTAATCGCCATGATTGCTAACTACGTGGGGACATATGCGATGATCACACAACCATCGGATCCATTTTTCCAGGAGTTCAAACTGGAGCGCAAATCATTGTTAGACCATGTGAATGAGGTTGCAGCTACATGTCTCGAATTTTGCCGACAATCCGACGCTTTGGATGATGCATTTATCTGCGCCTTGCTTGAACACTACAACATGACTAAATATACCAAGGGAGAAGCGTGCTATGCAACGTACTGTCTTGGTGCTGAACTTAATAGTGCCTTTATTGCCATGGGCCTTCATCAAGAAATCAACTCTGATAGCCGTGTTCCTTTTTTCCTCGCTGAGCTACGAAAACGACTTCGAGCCATGGTTTATATGGCAGAAATCAGCATAGCCACGTTCCTGGGCCGTCCACCCCGACTGTCGCATCGTTATATCAACTTAGATCCACCTCTAGATTTAACAGACTCGCAGCTGTTTTCAGAAGATCCACAGGAACTAGCTATCGCCATTACGGAGCTAGATGAGCAGGGATACAATCGAAATGGAGAGATCCGCGATATCTCTTGGATAAGATCTTCCATCAACTTCACGGTAAGGAGAGAGGAGATCCTAGAGCTGTCCTTGGGCAACTACACTCCAGATGAGGTACGGCATATTGCCGACGTCATCCAAAGAAAAACAGAGGAACACTGGGCAAAACTCCCACCTATGATGTTGAGCTTAAGGGGAAGTACATGCGAACTTGAGACACAAACGGTCTTCGACCTACACATTCGGAATGCCTTTCGCCAAGGCCCGCAGGCGAACTCGCTTCTTCTGCACCGTGTACTGATGCACAAAGCCGGTACTGGCCCGGCAGGATTGATACATACGGCACAGACCATCCTGAGTGATGTGATGCGGCTGTATAAACGTGTTGAGATGGCGGCAGCAACATCTTTCATCTATTTCCTGGCAGTACATGGACTACGTAGCGCGTTTGTACTGGCATCGGAGCTCCTAGAGCAGGAACGGCTCCCGGTGTATCCGAATGATCCGCTTCTGCCTCGGAGTAAGACGATCCAAGACTTAGCCGTCTTCGCTGCCAAACTCAGTGACTTGGATCCAGTGTTTGGAGACAAAGATCTCTGTGAGAAGGGCCGCAAAGTGCTATCTCGGGTGCTTGACAAAATATTGAGTCCTCCGAATACCGCAGATCGACATTGGCATTTCTCTCCGATGCAAACAGAGCAGCATTGCGCAGACACGTCTGCTAACGATGCATTTCCAGACACAGATGTACCAGAGAGCTTTTTCATGATGGATGACTTCACTTATGATATGAGTGCGTCGAGTTCTGGCCCAGATCATACATTCAGGCTGTGGCTGGAGAGTATGGATGGTTAGAGCTGCAGCATGTAACAGAAACTCATGTGAATCTTCTTTCGACGAGGATTGGAATCGAGTCACAGTTGCCCCGCTACCTTAAGAAGAGCTACCACATGCCACTCGAAATGTAAGCTTTGACGATAGTTGGGCATGGCCCCATATTTCTTGCCCCCGAATTGGAAATATCATGGACGACCATAATGCTGAATGGAACACACGCGATGATGACTTACTTGCGTACTATCATGAACATACAAAGAGCCGCGGATGACACTTTTATTGTAATATATATTAGGACTGTCACTACCTAGGAAGGATGCAATCAATTCAACTTCATCAACTGAATGAGGGCAAGATCAATGGATGCTACGGGTAGCTGCCCAATCAACTCAACGGGTATAGGTCTATTCCGACCCCCTGCATCTATTCCGACCTAATGCACCAATCCCGATGCACTGCATGGCTGAATTCCGACCAGCGACATTTTAACTCCGACCTCCTGCAAATCACCTATAAGCGATATTCAAAGTCATTATGTTACATCTACACGGACGCATTTATTCCGACCTACTGATTAGACTGACCACTGGCGGTGACATGTTGAAGCCATTAGTGGTATAGGCTTACTCTGCCATAATACTCTGGATTAAATCAAATTCTGTTCTGAAAGGTATATATATCCCGTCTAAAGTAATTGCCTCATCCTGGAATGCTAATTACGCAGCCATTACATCGCCAATTCTCGGTCATTTTCTGCATGGTTTATTAAATTTTAGAGGCGTGGTATTGAGATATCAACAGAGTCGTGCTATCTCAAGACCAAGAGGAGTGTACGTCGCTACTTGCGGCAATTACTACATCATGGCAAAAATTCAGTTCTGCAACACCCCCGACCTTTCGATTCATCTAGACTCTGTCAGATCATTCCTCCCCGGCGAACGAATTACTGGCTATGTATCTCGAAGCTCGCCTTGGATTAGTGAGGAAACAAATATCAGCATCGTTCTTCACGGCAGATGCAACACGGAATTCTTTTATCTTCATTCTTCCTTGTGTCGAAGCAGCTTGGCGCTGTTTGGGCAGGATGGAGCTCGAAAAGAGCTATATAATGGCGCTTTACATATTCAATCATCCAGTCTACCTGGAAAAAAGTGGCTCTTCGAGATCGATATTCCTAGGCACCCAGATCCAAGCTCTTTAAGATCGCACCCCTTTGGGAATGCATCATACCTACCTCTGCCGTACGCCGACCAGCATGCCCTTCCGCCTTCATTTGATCTGGGTACTTCCAGTGCTGCTATTTCCCGTCACGGTTTTGCATCTGTTGAGTACTATCTGGAGGCCATCATGATGACTCTATGCGCTTCAAAACCCGTCATAGCTCGGATGCCAATTCAAATTCGATGCGAATCGTCTCCTTTCCCAATTACCGATTTTGACATGAGGTTACATTCTCGTCAAAGGTACACAATTACCTCTCACTGTCTCACACCTGGCATGGAAACAACCAGAATCTCAGTGGGACAAAAACGTGCGAATGTCTTGGGCTTTTCCAAGGCCCCTCGTCTTGCATTTCGCTTAGAAATTACGGTAGCTTCGGTTCTCCAGAAAGACAGCCCGTATAATATTCCACTCGAGATACGGGCTGTCCCGGAATATATGGATACGAGTGAATGTATTGTGAACACTCTGAAAGTCATTGACATAGACGGATTTACTCTCAATCTCCGCTCGACCTCTAGTATCATGGCTTTTCCTGCTGGCACCGTGGGTGGAGCCACACTTGTGCATGAGAACCATTTCGTCAGAAAGACCGTCTTAGGGGTCTACATGAAACCAAGGAGGGCTGAACAGCCGAACAATCAACAATTTCACTGCGAAGCTCAAGCCAAAGGATGTCTCATGGGGGCGTACCCACCCCCTAGCAGTCCTTTGACATTACCGATTAGCGACAACACAACTCCTCTTGATTTAGGTCAAAAGCTCAATCTGAAACTTCAGCATGAGCAGCTCCAGGCTCACGAAGCCCCAACTTTCGTCACCTATAACATCAAGCAAACATATGTCTTAGAATGGAAGATGAGTCTCGAGGTTGGTGGAGAGATATTAAGGGTGAAGGGCAAGCATCCAGTCTTGATCATGGAAAAGGCTGAACAGGATTCAGAGAGCTAGTATCTTCAATATCAGCTTGTTGATTTCATAGAATCCTCGAGGGACCTAGCTATCTTATTGCGAAATGATTTGGAAGAACTTGATAATGAAGGAGTGGAGCGGAGCGGGGAGTGGAACTTGTAGCTTGGTGGAACTTGCCGTTTGAAAAATGTTGCTTCAATTAGGGAGTTTGGCCTAGATAGTTGGGAGATTGTTCCTAACGATACGCTAGTTGTACGACCGAGTAGAATTTACTGGTTTTACGCGTTAAGGAAAGACATGTAGAAAGACCTTTCAAAAGACGTGTTCTATGGCTACTTAATAGAAATGTCCTGGATGCTAATATGAATTAGCGATAAATAAAGCATATAGGGCTAATTGCATAAATATTGTACAAAGAAGAATGAATAATGCATAACCTTCTGACTCCTCCGAGCCTAGGGTAGCTGAGGGAGGCCAGAAACTAGGAGCATTTGCATATCTGACCCCTCCCAAGTCTACATAGTGTGACCCCCCTGAGCTGTAACCCAGCTTCAAGGATCATGTATTCAAGCTAGATAAAACGGGATAGGGGACGGAGCATTCATAATCGATAGATTACTCCGATCACCTGCTGCGAAGGGAAATTTTCCTATTATACCCAGTGGTCTTGAAGTCTCGCTTTATACTGTGCGTTCTTATAGGGTCATATACATCGATTCTATTCATTCATAACTGCATACCACATGACACATTAGGATTGTCCAGTTACCCTAATTTTGGTCTTTCCATAAGCTCCTCCCAATTGTTTCCTCAATTCCAAAGCTTTCCGATATGGAGGCGCCGTAGGTGGCTGTACCGGGTCCAGGGCAACGTAGTCTGGTGGAAGAGCATAAGTTGCATCCGAGTCCCAAGCTGAGAGATCACCGCAGGCAATGAAAGAGGGAATCCATCGGTGCTCTACCGCAAATTTGCTAGGGAGCTTCTGTGAAGGGGGTTGATCCCCCGATGCAGACGTGTGCAGATGCCGCACCTCAATTGAATGACCAGGCACTGATACGTTCAGGGTGGAGGACGGTTGTGGCACCGCTCGACGCGCATTGGTGTCTTCGTCGAGCTCCTCACGCACTTCGACGGCCAAGTTTCCATCCTCGTAAACAGGCTTGGGGGTTGCAGCCCCGCCGAACAGAGGGTCCTTCAAAGCTGCCATACCAGCCAAGCCATCCTCATTGACAGGAGGGATGAATCCCTCACACACAATGAAAGCCTCCAGACTGCTGGCACGACTGCTACGTGGTTTTGCAACACTGACCCGCTCAAAGACGGTGCGCAATTGGGCATAGAGAAGGTCAACGTCTCGACCTCGGAAAATCTTGGCAACGAATTTGCCGCCTGGGCGCAGGACTCCCATGGCAAGGTTCAGGGCAGCATATAACAACTGTGATTGAATATAGATATCGAGGTCATGCAGACCAGTCACGTCTGGTGCACCATCGGAAATAACCAAGTCAACTGGGTGAGGTTGCTTGATTGCCACGGGTGTTTGTGATGAGGAGTCGGAGGAGGCTGTAGTAGATTCGTAGGCTTCCGGGTCTAGCGCACGTAGAAGAAGGGGAATGGTAGAAGGGTGGGTGATATCGGCTTTGAGAGTGGTGATTCCCTCGAGAGGTGCCATAGGTTGCAGGTCGATTGAGACAATTTTGACATTCTTTCGAGGCTTCAATTCAGAGCTTGGGTCGCTCTCTCCAAAGGGAATTTCGGGTTCATGGTCACTGGTGGTGGTCGCATTATTGGCATTGTCCAAGACCTCCTTCTCCCTTCGCTTCTTGTCGATCCACGCTCGCCGTCCGAAGCTTTCGCCTTTGATCAAAACGCGACTGAGGACCTGACTCCAGCTACCCGGCGCAGCGCAAAGATCCACGACTCTCGTCACACGGTCAGGGTTCTCGTATTCGAAAAGGTCGAATTGCTCGTCGATTTGAATTAGTTTGAAGGCGGAGCGGGCGCGCCAATTTTGCTCTTTTGCCAGGCGATAGTAGGCATCGCGCTTATCTTTGGACGACTTGCCCATGTTGAAAATCTGGGACTATTCGAGCCCAGCGCAATTGAGGAATTAGCTTCGATGGACCTTTCGGGCTTCTGTCGCGGAGTAATTTTGACGTGGGGAGCATGGCCGATAAGATTTCCGAGGCGGAATGTTTCTGCCGCTTTTTTTCTCTTGCGACTTCTCCGAACAGCTTTTTCTCTGCTTCTCAATAACACGAGCCTGGCCATTTGAAGTAGGTGCTGCTGCTATCATGGGACAAAAGAGAGGTCGCGACTCGAAGGCCCAGGCGCTGGAGTCTAAGAAGCGCAAGAAGGCTGCGAAATCCGGTCTAGTCTCGGACGATGATGCCTGGGACGGCGTTATCGGTATTGACGACCTCAACTGGACGGAAGTGGCTCTACCCGACCGGTTAGGAGATGCGACTGGCTTTCTTGGGCTGGAGGAGATTGATGGAGTAGACATTGTCAGATCTTCAGGTGGCGGAGAGGTTCAGTTCAAGGTACGTACTCGAGATTGCAAGTCATAATCGGAGGACCCCATGGTTCTAACGAAGTCGCAACCTGAACAGGCCAAGGAAGGAGCACCAAGAAAGTCGATTTTGAAGAAGCCATCTGCCGAAGATAATGCTGAAGAATGGGATGGTTTCAGCGACGGCGAATCGAACGAGAAGGCCGCTGATGTTCCAGCCGCTGATACCCAGCCCGCAAAGGACGAGAAGAAGACGAAAAATAAGAAAGAGAAGAAAGTAAAGGAAGTCAAGGCCAAGGAAACACAGCCTAAACGTGATGCAAATCTCAAGGCTGGCCTTTCGTTTGCAGCTCTTGAGGAGGCTGGAGAGGATGATGGCGCGGACGTTTCTGCGTGGGATAGACTTGGTCTCTCCCCCGAGATTCTTACAAGTCTTTCCAAGCTCAATTTCCCAACACCGACTACTATACAGAAGTCTTGTATTCCCGCAATTCTCGACGGTCATGACGTGGTGGGTAAGGCTTCGACGGGTTCCGGTAAAACACTGGCATTCGGGATCCCAATTCTTGAACATTACCTGGAGAAGCGAGGGAAGAAAGAAGATGAGAGCGAGAAGGCCAATTCCGAGCCCATGGCGCTTATCCTTTCACCAACCCGAGAGCTGGCGCATCAATTGGCGAAGCACATCGGAGACCTTATCACAAATGCCCCGGATGCCGACGCACGTATCGCTCTTGTGACCGGTGGCTTGTCTATTCAGAAACAGCAAAGACAGCTTGCGAGTGCTGATATCGTTATTGGCACTCCCGGTCGTGTATGGGAGATCCTGAGCACGGGCTCTGGTCTGATTCGCAAGATGCAGGGCATTAAATTCCTGGTCGTTGACGAGGCCGACCGTTTGCTTAGCGAGGGCCATTTCAAGGAAGTGGAAGAGATTTTGGGTGCTCTAGATCGCCAGGAGCAGGGCGATTTCCCCGATATGGATGAAGAGGAGGATGCCGCGGAGGAAGAGCCAAGCGTTCGTCAGACCCTTGTGTTCTCTGCTACTTTCCACCGCGACTTGCAACAAAAGTTGGCAGGCAAGGGCCGTTGGACTGGGAGTGATCTCATGGACAAGAAAGAGTCTATGGAATACCTCCTCAAGAAGTTGAACTTCCGGGAAGAGAAGCCAAAATTCATTGATGTGAACCCCGTTCAGCAAATGGCCGAGGGACTGAAGGAAGGTATTGTTGAATGTCCTGCCATGGAGAAGGTAAGCATGATCATCTTATCCCGGGAGATGTATTCCAACTAGAAACTAACTATATGACAGGATCTCTACCTGTACTCTCTTTTACTCTATTACCCCAAGCACCGAACTCTTGTTTTTACCAACTCCATCTCCGCCGTCCGCCGACTTACCCAACTACTGCAAAATCTGCAACTTCCCGCTCTCGCCCTTCACTCTTCCATGGTCCAGAAAGCCCGTCTTCGCTCTGTGGAGCGATTCTCATCACCCTCATCAGACCCCAGTTCTATTCTCGTTGCAACCGACGTTGCAGCACGTGGTCTAGATATTAAGGGCATTGACTGTGTTATTCACTACCACGCACCTCGCACAGCAGACGCCTACGTCCACAGATCTGGACGTACCGCTCGTGCTGGCGCAGTCGGCAAGAGTGTAATTATCTGTGCCCCAGAAGAAGTGGTCAGCGTGGCCCGTCTCGCCGCCAAGGTCCACGCCCGAAACGGCAAGAAAGGACCTATCAAGAAGCTACCTCTAGAATCCCTCGATATTGATCGCCGAGTCGTATCCCGCGTGCGTCCTCGCATCGAAATCGCCAAGAAGATTACCGACTCGACCATCGCCAAAGAAAAGATTTCTGCCGAAGATAATTGGCTTCGTGCCGCAGCTGAGGATCTGGGTGTCGATTATGACAGTGAAGAGTTTGATGAATCTCAGGGCAAGGGCCGTGGTCGTGGTGGTGGACGCCATCAGAAGGAGAAGCAGGCTAGTAGCATCACCAAGGGTGAGCTGGCCGGGCTCCGTGCCGAGTTGAAGCACCAACTTTCTCAGCGCTTGAATATCGGTGTCAGTGAGCGGTATCTCACGGCTGGGCGTATTGACATTGAGGCTCTTCTACGTGGTGAGGGCAACAATTCCTTCCTGGGACACCTGGACCCACTGGATTTCTAGGTGGTCTCCCGGTTTAGTTGTTGCAATCCAAATGAGCTGTGGCTCTCTGTTTGTCTATAGTCCCAAATGTGTTAGAGCAGTTTTATATACCAAAATGAAGACATTCAATGCCCCTTGGAATTTCAATACTATTCCTCGCATTGAACTTATCCATAATGAAAGCAAGACAGCATTGGCACATATTTGGGCTTATCTTATCGCCCTCGGCATCCCGAGATCGCCCTCTCGGCGCCTCCCCGAAAAGCCCGCCGAAAGTCGGCCCTTTGAGCCCCACCGTTGGGACCGGGCAAGGAAAAATTTCGAGTAAGTGGACAGGAAATGAATACCCGGTGAAAGTGCCGAAATGATCTCATAAGCGTATTAAAATAGTTAAAATCCTACAGTTAGCTCCATCTTGAGTACAGCGCATATTTTGGCGGATCTGCACCCTTGTATCTCCTCATCTACACAAATCGTCACTACGGACTGTAGTACACCTTATTACCCGAGACAAGTTCGATCCGAATACGACTACGTACCGTGCGCTAGGCCGATCGTCCTGATCCCACGTGGCGGGAGGTTTCATTGTGCATTAGCTTATCGGCAGTTTCTCGGTGGGTTGAGTCCACAGTTCAGTACAGCATTTTCTGGGATGATGGATTTTTAACCTGGTCTCCTCCTCGACTATAGACATCGGGAATATACACAAAATGGCCTCCAAAATACCCAATCTCCCTCATGCTACAAAATGGCTACTGCGACCTTCAACAATTGCTGCATTCAAGCCTGCATTCTCGCCCGCAGTGCCAAAATCCTACCTACACCAACAAGGCCCCTCTCGTTCCGCTGTCGTCCACGAACAAGCACTCCCTCAAACACAGCCACAAGTGCCACCGGTCTTCACTCAACCACGGACCCAATCGCCCTCAAAACAAGCAGTAGGACTTGATGATGCCGCCAATCTCGACGCTATCATCTCCCAGATGCCGCTTGTCCAATCTCTCCGCCAGTCCCGCCAGTCATACAAGGAATCGCGTCCACATCTCGCCATCCCGCCAGCAATTAGACAACACCACTTCGTTGGGGGTAGTCTAGCAGGTACAGGAAAGCTCGCACTAGCTCCTTACATGTGGACATCATCAAAAAAGACGAAGACCGAGTCCGGAAAAACCGTCAACGCCAGCAGTGTCGTATCAGTGTTCCATATTGGCCGTGATCTCTGCGGCCATCCCGGCTTCGTACATGGCGGTTTACTTTCCGTGCTATTCGATGAAGTCTTTGCGAGATGTGTCTCTGCGGCGTTCCCGAGTGGATTGGGTATGACGGCGAATTTGAATGTTGATTTCCGGAAGCCGGCGCTGCCGGATCGGATTTATGTGTTGCGGGCGGAGACTACGAAGGTTGAAGGGAGAAAGGCTTGGGTGGAGGGGAAGATGTCGTATCTTCCGTTGTCATTGCCTGCGCTGTTTGATGCGCAGAGTTTTGTATCGGATGTTGAGTTGTTAAGTGAGGATAATGAAGGTGCTGTGATGGTATCGGAGGCGAGAGCTTTGTTTGTGGAGCCTAAGTTTGCCGATGTGAGTATATCCCGAGGATGGTGGATTGATCATTGAACAACTGCTAACATGATACACAGTCTATGGTGTCGGTTTATAGGACCTGATTTGGGTCATTTGGCAGATGAACACTAACCCACCATCGCCCCAATTACGGATAGATTAATTACTTAATGATAAACTTTACCGAGTGATTGACGATAGAAAGGCCATGCATTGCTATCTAATATCAGTATCATGCAGAAGGAGAAAAGAAACCGAAGCCCGCCTTGACGCCCCTCATCCCAGATGACTTGGTGAGAAAGAAGGTAAAAAGAAAGAAAAAGCCCTGCCGAAAACCTGAAAATGGGGGAATGGAGTTTGAAAAAGCAAAGTCACACGTCGTCGCATCATGAAAAGCATCCCGCTCATCCCTCTAAGAGGAATGAGAAGAAAGACGGGGGTCATCAGAGACCCATTGAGGCAGCACAGCTGGCATCGCAAATCGATCTTTTAGAGAGGAGAATATGGGGGTTTTGCAAGAGCGAGTGCAAAATGGGGATACTAGCGAAGGCAGAAAATCTAGGAGAGGTGGAATGCGCCTTGTCCTTCCTTGATGGCAACCGATAGTCGCTCTTTGAGAGCGTCCAAACTGCTGTAGTCGGGCAATTTGAGATAGTTCACGCAGGTCATGACACTTGGCAGATAGTCGTCCGGGGTGTAAGGGGGCTCGCTCGGGCGGCACACGACCGTGAAGATAGGCGTAAGACTCTTGAAACCTGTAGTAAAGAAATATTAGCTCAGCCTGATCAAATTCATCCAAGGGAATACACATACCGCCAATAGGGAGTTTCGGGCTACCCGTAACAAATTGCAGGAAGTCACGGCGTTGCTGAGGGTCCAATTCACACATGGTGTGAAGCAAGTTGCGTACACTCTTGCTATCCATGTTGAACCCATGATCCGCCTTGATGGAGTCCATCAGAGTTTCGATTGACCAGTCCTCCTCGGCCTGTCCGAAAAGCATGACGAGTTCGTTCGGGGTGAATGCACGGAGAGCCGAGAAGGGGAAGACCTGGGAGAAGCCAGCCCGGAAGGCGTCCACTTGGCGTTGAACACCGCTACCAAGGGTCATGTCAATGACGCCGTCCACATACTGGTCAACGTTCTCAATGGTGAGTGGAACATTAGACCCATCTGCGGTCAGTTCAATATTGGGATAACCGGGGAGGGTGAAGTCCAAGCTCAGATCCTCAACTCGAACTCCGTCAACTCGGATATTCTCCACAGCCTGTGCCTTCTGGTGCGAGGACAAGGTCTTGTCATTGTTGATAGCATCTTTGGCCTTGACAAACTGCTTCAACATGATGAGAGACTTGGCAAGGTCTTCATCGACAGCCTTGACTGTGCCTAGCGAGGGTGCGACAGATGAGAGCGTGTCCGCAATACGGAAGAAAGCTGGGTTGAAAGAGATATCGATAATGCGCGAGTCAAGCATGGAGCGGGCGACGAATTTTCCAAGGATCTTGAAAAGGTTCAATTGCTTCTTGCCTGCTTCCTGGGAGGCATGTTCTTCACTCATTGGGGCAGGGAAGAGACCACGTTTGCCAAAGGCATACTCAGCAGTAGAGATGGCTTCAGTTTCCCTCCAGATCTTGAGCTTCTTTCTCGAGAACTCTTTGGAGACTGTGGAGTAGAACTCGAGGGTAGGGCCCAGTCCAGTTCCGACTTCTTCGAAGTATTCCACCTCGAGCACACTGGGTGACGACCCGTAAAGCTCCATAACCTTCATAGCAGAGTCTAGAATGCGAGAACGCGAAATGCGCACCTTTTGTCGTTGCAAGCGACCAAGGAATGGTCGATCGTCACGGCGCAAGTCACGACGGCTATCCTCGGTAGTCTGCGAATTGTGCCATCTCATCATAGCACGCGAGTAACCGAATGCGGTAGATTGCAAGAATAGGTGACGCGTCTCAAAGGGGAACAGGAAGGAGAATAACCGTGCTAAATCCTCGCTCCAGCTCGGAAGACAGCTGCTCGCGACGATCAACGGTTCCTCGAGCTGGCGGTTCACCTTGGCAGTGAGCTTCGTATTGATGAATTGGGCTAGAGGCTCGGGGGTAATGTTGGCATGATCCCGAGTCTCCGTCAGGATGTCGTCGATAGTTGCGTTCATTTCATGGAGAACACGAAGTAAGCGGAGAATCGAAGCCGTGATTGCATCTTTACTAAGGGACGCAGGCATTTCCAAGCTCTCGTCTTCTGATGTGGAATCTTGTCCACCAGCGGCGAGAGACGATGGCTCGGGTGGGGGCGGACCTGGCACGCGGCGGAAAGTGACAGTGTGAACGGCAGACCAGACATTCTTAGGGTTGGCCTCGTCTACATGTTCTCGATTGTGATGAACCGCCCGGTAGACTGTAGTGTCACTGGCAATGGGCCTGCCATCCACAAAGAACTCAATGTGCCAGTCTTGGGGGACGGACGCCATCGCCGCAGCGTACGAGGAGAATGGACGGCCAGCAGTTGCAATTGAGCTGTGGCCAGCGGGGTGAGATGAAGCGGTGCTGGGGGCTGAAGATGCAGGTTTGGATGCCGGGGTGGACTGGGATGGAGTCCCAATTCGAGTACCGTCTTCCTTGCGAGCCGTAACCTTGCCCGAAGACCCAACCTCTAGGTTGACGGCCGTAGGATCCTGGACATTGTCGTCTTCCAGGTCGTCCTCAAGGTCATCAACGATAGTATTAAGTTCCTCATCCTCGTCACCCTCGTCGACATCCTCGTCCTCGTCTTCACTTAATTGCCTCTCATCGGCACACTCAAGAGGCTCGTCATCATGCTCGTCGTCGTCCTCGTGGAACGCCATACGCCGATGTCTGTGAGTGCCTCCGGATCCATGATTCTGGTGCTGCTCTGTCGATTCGTTGGTATTGCCCTGTGTGGCTGCAGGCCGAGTTGGAAGGCTTCCGCCAGGTGGCCGAGGCGAGTTCGACGAAGCAAGCTGGTCGCGAAGGTTGGCTGCTTGGGCAAGTTGGGAAAGAATAGAGTCTCGGGTACGGGACTGACGAGGACGCTCCGACATGGCGATTCGTGGCTGAAGGAAGTCGTCCAAAGCTTTGAACGTGGCGATGGCGTGAATCGAGACCATGATGTTCTTGTACGGACGGGGGACCTCGGAGCCATCTTCTGCAACCAGCCTAAGGCGAAGCTGTTTCCCAAGCATGTAGGTAGCGTTGGTGCGGGTATTCTCTAGAGAATTATGGCTGACAGTAATCACTTCAAAATGCTCAGTCCTACTAAGCAAGTCTTGTAACTTTCTGATCAGTACGCTGAAGGGAGTAGTCGCAGTGCTCTGGCTCTGGGCTTTCTCGGAGATTGTCGTACCCATGAAGGCTTGCAAGAAGGCTGCACGGGCGTGGCGGATGGAGGAGGAAGCTTTGAAGTCAGCGAGAACGTCCAGGAGGACCTGGATGATGCCCGAGTTCAGCAGCTCCGAGCTTGTGATGCTCTTCAGTGCGTCTCCGTCGAAATAATCAGCCAGACTTTTAAAGAGGGCAACACCTTCTTTCTCGTTGCCGGAAGAGTAGAAGGTTCGGATTTTGGCTGCCAATGCCTGCAACTCCGTCAAGATCTTCTGAGCCTCGGCACGCACGGTAGCTCCTTGGCCCGCTTCGTAGATTTTAAGGAAGGCTTGAGCATCGCGAATGACCAGGTCATTGAGGGCATTGTCCATCTTCGCAAGAGACTGGCGACCATCGACGGAAGAGCTGTCCGAGTCAGAATCATCCTCATTATCGTCTTGGTCCTCGTCATCTTCTTCATCCTCATCGTCAAAGTCATCACCAGCATTGTCTTCGGCATCCTCGTTCTTTTTGTTCCTGGCTGCTTGCGCATCTTCTGAGTCGGCATCAGCAGCGCTGGATGTGTCGGCTGAGCTCTTCTTCGCATCAGCCGGGGTTGCCGCCTCCTGGTCACCAGAGAGAGGGGCCTCGGCAAGTTTTACGATTTCCGAAATGACACCTTCTCGATGGAATTGATGCTGATAAACGTGCTCCAGACGCTGGAATAAAAGTTCAGCGCAACGAAGAGCGAGCGACACGAGCGATGGATGGTCCTTTTGCGAAAGGATAGAAGCCAGGAACGACGGATACGGCACTGTACGTAAAGCATCTTCAATCAGGCTGGGCTCCAGGATGTGCAACATTTTCAGCTGCGCAATCAGAACCTTCTGGCGAACATGTAGATTGACCGTGCTAGAGTATGCATCGGTCAAAGTGGGGAAAAGGATCATAGCAAAGCGCTTCAGTTCAGATTTGCAATTGTCCATCGATGCCCGTCTCTCCTCCGGGGCCTCCTTAATCTTGGACGACTTGATGCCGATGGACATGCTGCTGTCAAAGTAGGAGCTTAGTACGCTGTCTGTCTTTGAAGCCTCGCGATTGGGGACACCGGGCAGCAATTCGCAGACAACATTGAGAGTCTCGAAGACCTGCTCGCGAGGACGGTGGATCAATGCCTGCATGACCAAGACGCTGTCCATCTTGACGCCCGTGCTATCCACGTCTTGAGGGGGCGACACGCCTGTCAATATCTGGTAAAGCGTGTCCACGACATCCATCTTTAGGAGTTCGATCGACAAGCGCGGGCTGACCTTGGCTGTGATTGCTAGGACCCGAAGGAATTGGGTGTGGATGTGCGGGCCGATCAGGTTTGTAGTACCTGGCAGCAAGAGGCGAAGGACAGCCTTGAGCAAAGCAGGTTCAATCAGCTCCTCCAAGTTTGCGGGTCGGTGTTTGAAGCTCTCGACAATTCGAGAGACGCAGAGGCAGCCCTGTTCGACGACTTTGGGATCATTGCTGGAAAGAACATTGAGCAGAGTACCCATCACATCCCGCACCACAGGGAAAGAGTCATGAGGAAGACTGCGGCAGCAATTGGCCGCGGTGGTGACGGCGGTCCGTTGAGTGCTCGTTGGGAAGAAATCAAGATACGTCAGGCAGGCTGTAAGACCTCCTTCTCGGACGATTGAAGCAGGAAAATCGACGGAGATTTTGGCCAAAGTCTATATCAAGCGAATTAGCGAAAAGAAAGGCAAAGATTTACAGGTTTGGGGAGAGGGAACGCACACTAAGAGCCTGTTCAGCAAGGTCGATGAACTGGATGTCCAAGAGCTTTTGGCAGAGGATGGGAACGGCACCGCCATAGACGACATTGGCGACCGAGCCGCGTAGAGCTTCCATTAGGTTCGCAAGGCAGCGGCATGCGAGAAGCATTATTTCGGGATTCTCTTCGCCGAACTGATTTGGTTGCATTAAAGTGACCAATTCCTTAACGTATGGATCTGGAGAGAATTGGCCAGAGAGGTTGTCTTCGTTTGAAACGAGTAAAAGATCTGACAACTCTTGTAGAGCTATCAATTGAACGGACGGATCGTCCTTCGCTCTCAGGTTACAAAGGATATCTCGAAGACGACTGGACATGCCCGACATGATGCCGCTGAGCGCACGAAGGGTGCTCTGCAGACCCATCGGTCCGCGGCCCCCGAAAAGGCTGCTTGAGAATGGGTCCAGGTCCTCATCGTCAAATGCCGAGTGATTCGTGTCGTCATTACTTTCTCCGGTTGGAGATCCCTCCATCTCGTCCCTGGTCTCTTGCTCCTCCTCCAAATCCTCCTCCGCGTCTCGCATTATTGAATCGGGATTTGTCTTTGGGGCGCGCTTCTTCGATCGTCGCGGAGGCGGTGACTGCGTTGCTGCGAGGCGATCTGATAGCATTGAGATGTTAGTATATGTGATGCACGAGGGTTTCCGTTATCGAGAGCAAGCTAACCATTCCGGCTCGATCTCCGCCGTGAAGGTGGCGGTGATGTAGTTGACTTCGATTCCTCCGAGGGGCGAGAAGATGGTCTATAGAGGATTCAACGTCAGTTCTCCGGATACGATATTGGTATGCTCCCGAGCACAGCAGAGAGCTACTTACCCCGGCTGTGACATCGCTGTTCGACCACGAGTGGCGGCAGATCGACGAGGGACAGGGGCAGCGGGACCAGCAGATGCAGCTGGATGAGACGCTGTGGTCTTCTGTCGTTTTGATCGCCGGGGGGAAGAGGGGGCCGGTGGCTGGTTCTGGGTGTCTGGGTGTCGATCCCGGCGACCAGGAGCTTTGCGTTTCCGGGAGGGAGCCGAGCCAGCGGCGTGCGTCGTAGTCGAACCGGTGTCAGCGTCAGGAGGAGGGTCTGTGGCAAGTCTCGCAGAGGAGCGAGTCGTCCTGGATGACATGAGAAACTGCTTTATGGGAGATTGTAGATGGAAGGTGTAGAGGTGGAAGCTTTTCAGAGGATGACAATCGCCCCAAAACAGTGACTAAGGAGATGGGTGGAAGTGACCGAAAGAGGAGAGCAGTGAGGTTATGGGAGGGTAAGGCTGGAAGCTTTGGGGGGAGGAGAGATGGAATTCCCCCCGCGGTCGGAACTATCACGCTTGGAGCCGAGTTGATGGGCACCACATGCACGCAAGAGGATAGAGAGATCCGCCGGGGTTTCTTCGGTTTCTAGGACCTCTAGGGCGGGCAACGGTGGAGATGGAGACAGAAGAAATATGGGTGATATGATATGTAATGAGAGAGGCGAGGAGGAAACGGGTAGCTACCTCAGGGCAGAAGAGGCGGAAGAAGCTCCTGCGGGGGAAACGGAATAATCCTCGAGAGGGTCCTGACGGTTGGCGGAGGGCCTTTGCCTGGCCATAAGTTACCGGATCGGAGAGTTTCGATTAAGTAGACGTCGACACCGGTTTCGCCATTCGTCCACCGATTCCTGTGTTGAGAGGGGCCGAAGGCGAGGAGGATGAGGGGGGAAAGGGGAGGTTTCGGCTACGTAGTAGTAGTAGTAGTAGTTTGGGGCGAGAGCGATGTGAAGTGGGATTCCGTTTGGGCGGCAAGCCGCCAAGGTGTCTTGAGGTGTTCCGTAGTGCCGTCGAGGCTATATGAACAAAATAGGCGAGCAGGGAAGAAAATGAAAGCAGTCGAAAGATAATGAAGATGGGTGGTGGGAGGAGTGCAAAGGGGAGGAAGGAGGAGAAAGGGAGTGTTTGACGTTGGTGGATTGTGACGACTGACGACTTCGGGAGGCGGAAGGGCGGAGGAGGTGTAACGTAGGATGATCTCAGAGACGACGTTTTTCCTTTTGCAACCGTCATATCCACTGAACTGATAACTAAAAAGTGACTTATTAATTCAATATTATCGTCTCAAAAAGGACCCCCCCCCCTCCTGTTTCACTCCGGAAGACTGGTTCTTTCTCTGTGACTCGTCTAAATACCGTGTCAATTGCCATTGCGCCCGGGCAGAGTCAGCAGTTGGGCACGGATCCGCCAAACTGTTGGAGTTGTGCCGCGATATCCAGCCTGTCTCGGGAGGGACAGCTGTCTGAAATGCCAGACAACGCTTTTTGTGATACATGTTCTTGCTGCTGGATTCAAAGGGTCTGTGAAAGCCACTTGTTACCTCGTATAAAGCAGACACTCATGGATTTGAGTCACGAGAGATCCATACAGTCAATGGTATTACTTACTATTGGCAATAGTAAGTGGAGGGGCAATTATTCCCTAAACCAGGTACAAATCCATCGAAATCAACACCTCCCAAGCTATCAGAGCCTATAAACGAGTGAACGACGGTATGATACCCCATGTATTACCAATCTACCTCACAGTGTAGAGTGATCTTGTCAAAAGGCGGAATCGCTATTTGACAGGAAATTGATTGGCGCATAAGAGTCTGTATAAAGATGATGAACTCTTTGTATATATAGCCTGAGGTTTTTGAGTTTCTAGACATTGATATTGTTAAAGGCATGAAAGATTTGCTTATCATTGAAGCTTGAATAGGAGGTACCCCCACTAAGACCGTGTTCACTCTTTCAAGACACCTCTGAATGCATCTGATGCACCCCTTAGATCATAGTCTCATAGCCAGATATGTGCCTACTATTATCTAAAAGTTTGTAAAGTAAACCCTTCGATCAGGGCTTGATGGACCACTTTCAAGAGGCAGGAGCTCCGATATACTATTCGCCACAGTACAGTATACTCCCATCGCCGCTTTAGTATCATGCGCCCGAATACGGCCTCATGTCACGTGCCAGTGATTTTCCGCAAGACAAATGTTTCTCAGCTTTTGACTCCCTTGAAGGAGCCCTCAAATTTGAGCTCGAATGTAGACTTCGGTAGAGTTTGTCAGATTGAATCGAATCTAGATTTAGTCTATTGGAGAGTGTGAGTGCGGTTGCGGCCGTTTCACCGATTACAAAGATGATCATGTGACCTGCGATGACCTCCTAATAATAGATCGCCTGATGATTCTATTTCTACCAAGGGTGACAAATTGTCGGTTTAGGCAGTTTTTCTGAGGCCGTCCATTATACTGAAAGCCTACATAGTTCTCTTAGACGGATTATTCAGGATTGTTATTACTCTAGGTTGGGTTAGCCGCTGTAACAAGGCCCGGCGTCGATTGATCTTTGATTATTAGTACCTATGTGAGACTCCATAGCTCTTGGTATCAAAGACTCAAGGCACAAATGATTGCTATATCCAAAGGATGCACACATATACAGTGTTTCTTTCTGGAGTCAGAAACATAAGCTCCGCTACGCCTCCTTCCTCACAAGAGACCAGAGACTATCTTTAATCCTTTTAACACTAATTATGCAATACTGTGACTAGATCTAACTCTCTTCACTGTAAGCTCATCTCTTCACTTTTATGCCTACTAAATCCAATTATTATAACTGACTAACTATCATTCCTGAGTGTGACGATGATCACGTGGATAGATATGTTCATACCTGAACTGACAGGCACCACATGTATATGTCCTAAATCTTTAGATCGATCGATCTCTCCTCTCACCCCTTATTGCATCACAATTATAATTATGCCACTACGTTATCCTCTGATAGTCCTGAACCCAGCAATCGGTCCGCAGCCGAAATCACACTCATCCGTATCTGGCTAAATGCCAGATTGACATCGTCGACTCTTAGCGAAACCGGTTAACAGCGCGATCAACTTTCCGCAATGCTGATTGGTGGGACGCTGCCCAAGGGTAAAACTTGGAAGTGGTGGAACACAAGGTCTTTAGCCCGTCAATCGAGCTAAGCTCTTTGCTAAGCTTTGGATCTTCGATTTTGGCCGAGTGAAGCCGCATTGAAACGGTGACTTAAGATCAGCAGAAGGATGATCTTCTTGGTAGCATTTCGTGAGTCCTTTATATATTAACTTTTTGGAGGCTAAACTGACCAACGACAATCAAAAGTCATGAATTACGCAGCCCACTTCACGGCGTCTTAGCAGCCACTGAAATGCTCAAAGACACAAATTTGGACCAAATATCAAAACTCACCAATAGAGGCTGTTGATGCATGTGGCCGAACATTACTTGATACGATGAACCATGTCCTGGATTTCAGTAAGCTGATGTCATTAGAGCGCAGGTCCCGTCGGCGGAGGCAACGCAAGGCCTTGTCATAAGACGTTGACAACTCCCATCTCTCTGCCGCGCACCTCGATCTGAACAAACCCACCGATCTCTCCGTCATTGCAGAGGAAGTTGTGGAAGGCGTCTTCCTAGCATATCTACAGCCAACGATCAACTGCATCTCTGGAGCTTCTGGGGACTTCCCTCGTGGCACCAGGATTCCCCGAGACCTTCATGCTGTGAGACCAGATGTCAAAGTGATTCTGGATATTGCGCCTACGGATTGGATCTACCACGCACCTCCTGGAGCAGTGCGCCGCATCATTATGAACTTGTTCAGCAATGCGTTCAAATATACCGCTGCCGGTCAAGTTCGGCTACGCCTGGAAACGGAAGAGAAATCCCAGAATTCATCGAAGCGGCTAGCAAATTCAGATTGAAACAAGGAGCGAAACGTTGTTCTAACGGTCTCTGATACTGGCAAGGGCATCTCGAAAGAGTTCTTGCGTGGAAAGCTCTTTACGCCCTTTGCACAAGAAGACAGTCTTGCTGTGGGCTCTGGCCTCGGCCTGTCGTCCGGAGCATCATCCAGTCTCTCGGTGGTAGTATCGATATCAACAGTTGTCTGGGTGAAGGAACAATGGTGAAAGTGACAGTCCCACTGACGCCCATGGGGCAGAATCGGGCTGTGCTTGGCTTCGATCACGTTCAGCACCGCGGACCAGCATTGAGACAGAACCCACTTCTAGAGGGTCATGAAGGACGAACACTTGCTATACTCGGAGCCGAGGTAAGTGACGCACCGAATGATCCAAACTGGGCCGACCTCTCTCGATATATCACCGATTGGTATGGTCGCCGGTTCGTATCCATGTTGGCATCCGAGGCTATTGATCTCATCCTGGCCGATGAATTACCGAGCGAGACTGTGATCAGCCAAGGCTCTGCTACCATGCAGACCGCCTTGCTTGTTTTCAGCGATCAGTATATTGGTCGTGAATCGGTGCAAGGAGAGCCCGTTCATTCACTACTCCCAACGAAATCTCCCCCAAACCTCCCACGCCAAACGCGACCGAAAAGCGAGATGCCCGAATCTTGGTCGCTGAAGATAACAAAGTCAATCTAAACCTGATGCTGGCGTATCTAAAGAAGAGACAGCTGGCAACCCTCGACTCTGCTGAGAATGGCTGAATGGCTGTCTAGCCGTTGAAGCTGTCAAGAGACAAGATGATGACAGCTACGACATTATCTTCATAGGTGAGTTTTCTTCATTCTTTGTGGCACAAATATACAAACTAAATAAGTTAGTCAAGACATTTCCATGCCGGAGATGGATGGGGTTTGAAGCCGCCCGGGCGATTCGTGCATTGGAGAAAGAGCGCAGCCCAGACTCCACCCCGGCCATGATCATTGCATTAACGGGACTCAGCAGTTCAGAGGATGGATCCAAGGCGCTTGCATCGGGAATGGACATGTTTATGACGAAACCCGTCTCTTTCAAGAATATCGGGAAGTTGTTGAAGGGGTGGACGGAAAAACGCTCCGAACGGGAATAAGGAACCCCTCTGGATATCGAGCTATGAATCTTTGTGTAGCGTACAGCCATCTCAGCGCATGATTTAGTGCTGATGTTAATGATACCACGCATAATGTATTGAACAAGATATTGAACCATTACCCCGTAAATAGGAAATACGAAATAGGAAATAGATCAGTGATAAAGTAGTGGACTGTTATTGTACTATAAAGCCGTTTCGGGCCCGGCTTTCCCAGAGTCGGCGACCGGAGACACGCCGATGGAGAGAGAAAAACAGAGCACTCGATTGACTCACCGAGGCCCTTAATAATCACCTCATCCTTTCTGAAGTCTTCCTGTCAGGTCCTTCAGACCAGCATCTTCTCTCTACCATCCAATCTTTAACAACAAACAACAAAGACTTGCCTTCGGGCGGCCAGCTTTTCCCATCTTCTCCGGCGCATTCTCTTCCGCCTCCCGTTTGCCCCCGCGCAGGCCACCGCCGGGCGAGTTTTCTCTTCTTGCCCCCCCCTCCATCTCCATCTCCGTCTCATCCTCCCCACTTCCCCAAGGAGTCCCCCCAAAACCGCCCGGCGCCCCTCCCCCGATCTCCTCTAAATAACCCACCGTTTATCCTCCGACCGTTGACTTATATCGCTCGTTCTATCTCCCCCAACAATATCTCCCTCTTTCCCTACTGCCCTGCGACGATGACCGTGTCGACGCAAATGGTCGGCGGGCAGAGTGACGATGTGCACCAGCAGCCTGCGCCCATCCCGCCGGCCCCGATGGGCGACTACGTCTTCCCAGAACTGCGACTCAAGAGCAAGATGAATGACCCGGAGAAGACACCTCTGCTTCTGGTGGCCTGTGGCTCCTTTTCGCCCATTACATATTTGCATCTACGCATGTTTGAAATGGCCGCCGATTACGTCAAGTTCAGCACGGACTTTGAACTCATCGGTGGTTACCTGTCGCCCGTGTCGGATGCCTATCGCAAGGCTGGTCTGGCCAGTGCAGAGCATCGGTAATTCGATTCCTTTTCGCCTATACGGTGCCGAGAACTAGCTGACTGACCGATTTCCTTCTCGCTGCTAGAGTGGCGATGTGCCAATTGGCGGTCGACCAAACCTCGGATTGGTTGATGGTGGATACGTGGGAACCCATTCAAAAGGAATATCAGCCCACTGCCGTCGTACTGGATCATTTTGATTACGAGATCAACACCGTTCGTGGAGGCGTAGAGGCTGCAGATGGAACCCGCAAGCCTGTGCGGATTGCCCTGCTTGCCGGCGCAGATCTGATCCATACCATGTCCACCCCCGGTGTCTGGAGTCAGAAGGATCTGGATCATATTCTCGGCAAATATGGCGTACGTTGAGAATCCCGTAGTCCCTGTTCTGGTACACTCAGCGTTGCGGTTACTAACATCTTATCTAGTCATTTATTGTGGAGCGCAGTGGAACCGATATTGACGAGGCTCTAGCGAGCTTGCAGCCATGGAAGGAGAATATCCACGTTATTCAACAGCTCATTCAAAATGACGTGAGCAGCACAAAGATCCGACTCTTTCTGCGGCGTGAGATGAGCGTTCGCTATTTGATTCCCGTGCCCGTTATCCATTACATCGAGCAGCACCATCTATATGAGGATGACGGCACTTCGAATGAAAAGGGCAAGGAAAGGCAAGAGACCGGCAAGTCGGGGTGATGCAGCGTCGTGTTTATCCCTGCGGACTAGCCGTATGGCCATCACGAACGAAAAAAAACACCTACACCATGAGCGAAGCATGACCCTGATACGATACCCCGGTTTGTCTGCATCTCTTGTCGTCAAGGCCCCCAAAAGCGCAGTGCAGACCCTACAGTAATCCGCGAAAACACCTCGATCGGTGGGCTCGCAATTACTACGTCGGACTGCACTAGCTCGATGAGTGCCCAGAGCATGGCGCGCAAGCATAATATTTTTGAGATGATTCATGATATTTTTTTGGAGTTTTGGGCGTTTTTCTATCTTATCGGGCTGGTATATTGCGCTTCCAACCTGCTCTAGCTTTTTGCGATCTGCCTGGCAACCTGATAGGGGATCACTGATCACTGCTAGCCTGGCAGCTCTGGTGCTGCCTCCTTCCAGGCCGGGTCTGCGACAGCGTTACTGGGAATTGTACATAGCTGCTGTTTGGTCCCATTTCTGCGATACACTTTTGTACGTACGAGCGCGTCATAGATCGATCCTTTGGTTCTAGACCGCTGGAACTAAGGACGAGAAATATTGAAGTATCAAGACTTTCTATAATCTCTATCTCCTGGGCTAGGGTACAGGGTTCTAGGCCATAACCTACCACAAAAGTACGAAGAGATCTGGCATATTCAAGCAGCTCAGCAATGCAGCTTATCTCCGAGTATCGGTTTTACCCAAAATGGCACCGATCAGCCTGCAATCGCATGCGATTCGTGCCAATGATGACACCATCCCGGCATGGCGGCTGCCAAATTGTCCGATCCCGATCGAAAAGAAAGATGGTCGATGTTGCTTGGAAACCAGATCAGAGATCCAGCAACCCCAATTAGAAAGAAAAGTCATCCGGCTATCTCCAAGCTATAACCTGCTTCGCAGGCAGAAATCCCAAATTGTTTCCAGGTAACAACCGCTCAGCGGCTGACGATCCCGCCTGTTATCTTCCGCAATCGACGGATCTGCTCCATCCCTCCCTCCCCCTCCACATCTTCCCGGACTGTAAGCCTGGTCCCTCTTCCACCCCGTCCTTGGAAGGCTTGGACAGGGACGTGGCCCTTCAGTTGAAAGGGCTTGATATCTAATTGCCCTCCTTGCCCTCCCCTTTCTCCTTCCGGGAGTTCAGTCAAGCAACCACCAAAAAAAAAAAACAGGACAGGATCATGGTGTACACATCCATTGACCCTTTCAGCATCCCACCCGCCATGTCCTCCGACGCGACACAGCGCCCGCTCACCCCTCCCGACCCCCTGGACGACGAGCCCTCACCTGCATTGGCCTCCTCTAAGAATGATGCGTCCGCAGTCGTCACAGCTCTCCATGTCATGTCCACCGAGCGCGCGGCCCTCACGCACCTCGAACACCTCTATCAGACTGATGCGCGGGCGCAGCAGGATCTCGCCCGTGCAGTGGACTTGATCGCGCGTACGGTGCGCGAGTCGGGCAAGTTGGTGGTGTGCGGGGTGGGAAAGAGTGGGAAGATTGGACGGAAGATTGAGGCGACGATGAATAGTTTGGGGATTTACAGTGCTTTCTTGCATCCGACGGAGGCGTTGCATGGGGATTTGGGATTGGTTCGACCGGTAAGCCACCCTGCATCTCGAATGTTTGCTTTTGATGGGTGCATTTTTGGCAAAAGCAACTTGGCAAAAGCAACTTGGCAAAAGCAACTTGGCAAAAGCAAATTCGGAGAGATGTTCATTGCGAGAAGATTCGAGCAAACGTGGGTATGCTAATTGTCGCGCGGTGATAGAACGATACGATGCTTCTTATCTCGTTTTCTGGTCGCTCGCCAGAGCTGCTCTGTCTGCTCCCATACATTCCTACGACAGTCCCTATCATCGCTCTCTCGTCGCATACTCAGCCCGACGCATGTCCCTTGCTTTCCCTGCATGGTCCCCTCGGCATGGGAGTTCTTCTACCGGCGCCTATCCACGAAGAGGAGGAAGCTTCTCTTGGTGTTAGTGCCCCAACATCATCGACAACGGTAGCGTTGTGTCTCGGAGATGCTTTGGCCATCGCCACGGCACGAAAGTTGCACACTGACCCCGGAAGAGGCCCCGCCGATGTCTTCCGCAGTTATCACCCCGGAGGTGCAATTGGAGCAGCGGCGGCGGCAGCAGCTGGAGCGACGCCATCGACTACACCGTCCAGCGGGGCATCCACGACGGTGTTCGATTCTCCTTCTTCATCGATTTCCTTGCCTTGGGAAGAGCTCTCAAATGGCTCGTCTATCCCGCCATTCACTCTCCAACAACCCCCAGAGCATCGATCAATAACGTTAGACATGCTCGTCTCCCTCGATCAAATTCCTACAGCGTCGGCATCCCCGTCTAAATCTGCCAGCGATGTACGATTACTGGACATTCTCCTCACAGCCATCCAGCATCCAAATGCCAAGTCATGGGTCTTCCTATCTGCCTCTGAACTTGTCCCGCCTCGGCGCATCCGCTCTCTACTGTCCCGACATACAAATGTCGATCTACGCGTGTCCGATGCCGTGACTCAGGACTCTGACCAACCGCTGGCCGTACCCCGGGCCAATTGGTTCCGGGTGGCCGAGTCCACCCCGCTGGCCGAGCTGCGTCGTATCGTCTCCACATCCCGAGATGGCCCAGATCCTATATCAGTTATTGCAGTCATGAAAGATATTACGTCTCCGGAAAGCTGTATTGGAGTTATGGAGGCAGAGGACCTTTGGACTGGATAAGCTGTGGGCACTGGATATATGAGCTGATGAGATATTTCGATTCATCGACATATCTCGTTTTTCTTCTCGCATCTACTTATTATCCCCACTCTGCACATACCATCTGCATTGGTTGCACATGGGTTGACGATGTTACGCCTGTTTTTCTGCCCCCGTCGATGGGGCTTGCATAGACTTTTGTTTCTTGTTGATATTGTTTTCATTGTTAATACTTTTCGATATACTGCATTCAAAATGCCCCAAGCATAAACCCGCGGGCTACATATCTTACAGGGTTCAGCCATTATTCCTTCAAACATTGGTAGAATTGAAGTAGTCAGAATAATACAATTGTTGCAGAAAAATGTAACAAGCTAGTGTACAAAGCCATTCTCCACCTGCCGGTGGGCAAAACCAATGGAGACACCATCATCCCCCACTGATTCCGAGTTTCTCATCCCTCCCTGGAATCAAACATCAACTCTCAAGCTTCAAGCTTCAAGCCACAAGCATTGAGCTTCACGCCGGAGTAACCGGCTTGATACCCTTGTGAATAGCAGCAATCCCCCCCGTCAAATTCTCATAGCCCTTACCAGGAATCAAAAACCCAGCCTTCTGAATCATACCCCGGAACTCCTCCTGACTGGGGAACCGCTCAATACTCTCCACCAAATACTGATAACTATCCCGATCGCCGGCAACAACCTGCCCAATCAGGGGAATCGCACTAAAATTCCACCTCTTGTACACAGCGTCAAACACCGGGTTCTCCACCTTACTAAACTCCATGCACGCAAACACACCGCCGGGCTTGAGCACACGGAATGCCTCGTTCAGCGCGGCCTGTTTATCCGTGAAATTGCGAATCCCAAAGACAACGGTGTACAGGTCGACCGAGTTGTCGGGGATGTGCGGCATGTGTTCGGCGTTGGCCTCGACGAAGGAGAGACGCGGGGTGTTGTAGTAGGGTGTTTCGAGGGAGCGCTTGCGGCCTTCGGCCAGCATGTCGGCGTTGATGTCGCTGATTGTGACGCGGGTTTGGAGGTCGTGGTTGATGTTTGTTGCGTGGTCGAGCATGCGGAAGGCGATGTCGCCGGTCCCGCCGGCGATATCGAGGATGTTCCAACCTTGGTCTTTGGCGTCGGCGGGTCGATTGGCGACTGGTGTGCCTGGGTTGAGGGAGCGCACGAAGTGGTCTTTCCAGAGGCGGTGGATGCCCAGGGACATTAGGTCGTTCATGTTATCGTATGAGGAGGCGACGGAGCTGAAGACGGCGCCGACTGGTGGAGAGTGAGGGTTAGCATGGTATTCGTAGGGAGATGGTGATATCGGCCGCATTGGTGGCTGGTAGGTGGCATACCTCGCGACTCCTTCTCGGACTGGGGCACATTGGTGAAGCCAAAGTGTGTCATGCGCTCATGCTCGGGCTTGACCTGCTCAAAGGTCAGGCGGGTGCAGGAAAAGCAGCGGTACGGAGTCGTGGGTTGGATAGTGCGGCGTTTAGCACTGTAGTGCAAGGCTCGCCAGGCAGAACGGGCCGACATGGTGAGTTGTGTGGGAGGAATTGGAGGGGAAGTCGAATCGGCTGCAACGAACAGACGACAGGAACGTCGGGAGCTTTCCAGGGAACTTTTCGGCCTCGCGAGATCGCAGAGACCCACTTTTTCCGACAGGCGCAACTGACCGTTCGAGCCAATCACAGCTACAGAATAGTGAGATCCCAGAAGACGAGGCTGTGATAGATTTAAAAGACCAGGGTCTTGCGGACTTTACGGATCTAGTTGGATTTAGATACTCGTCTATCTTATGTCCGGTACTTGAAAAGTGTTGTTATCACCGAAAAAATGGCTGGTATATACCCGAACCCTACCTACTATGTTGGCCATCACTGTCGTACACACTCCTCCAACGTGAAAACAGAACCCAGTCGGCCTCGGTAGAATGACTTCCAATCTACTATCTCATTGTTGTACCATGGGCTCTCTCCACGAGGGAGAAGCCAAGGGTGAAATCAAAACCATCAGCGATAGTACGTCCTATACTTCCAGGGCCACAATAAGGACGTCTAACAACCTCTCCAGTCTCAACATACTTTGCATATCCACCCACCAAATTCACCGAAAACGCCATCCTCATCTTGACCGATGTAATAGGGCACGAATTTATCAATGCCCAGCTTATCGCAGACCAATTTGCCGCCAAGGGCTACTTTGTCGTCATGCCAGATCTATTCAACGGTGATTCTGTCCCGCTCAACAGACCAGAAGGCTTCAGCATCATGGACTGGTTGAAAAACCACATGCCCATGCAGACAGAGCCTATCATTAATGTAGTACTTAATGAGATGCGCGAAAACCTTGGATGCAAACGTATCGGTGGTGTGGGCTATTGTTTTGGCGGGAAGTATGTCTGTCGATATCTGAAGCCAGGCAAGCTGGATGCTGGATTCATAGCACATCCGACGATGGTTGAACCAGATGAATTGAAGGGTATAGAGGGGCCGCTCAGTATTGCAGCCGCTGGTGAGTCTCTGTGTGCTGAGTTGTATTCTACCTGCCGGGGACTAACATTTCCTAATCAGTGCGAGACTTTGTCTTTACAACTGCCAAACGGCACGAGAGTGAGGAGATCTTGGATGGTCTGCACGTTCCATATCAAATAAATGTGTTCTCGGATGTGGAACATGGGTTTGCTGTTCGGTGTGATTTGTCGAAGCCTCGTCAGAAGTTTGCGAAGGAGCAGGCCTTTGACCAGGCTGTGGCATGGTTTGATCAGTACCTCAAGGAATGATTTGGAGAATAAGTTTATTCACTATAGATCGTCGAGACTTCAACAGTATAGAAGATAGCAGGGACTAGATCTGCCGGGTGCTTGAGCTCAATCATAAGCTTCAGCACGGACGCTTGGCTGGCTTGTCCAACGATAGGCAACTATAGATGTTTATTCATAGGTATCACATGAACTGACAATAGACACTCGAAAACAGATTACCTGCCTGCATAAGTAATAAGGCATCCTATACAACAAGATCACCAACCCATTCTAGCAAGGCTTAGCGATAGTGGACGGGGCAAACAACATGAACTAAACACCTCTAACATCCTCCTCATGCACAAACCCAATATTCTCCTGCTTAGTCCTCGCCGCAATCTGCAGACTGTTACCCAACTTCTTTCGCTCATTAAACTTCCGAGACTGAGTTCCAGGTACGAGCCATGGCTCAGTCTTGAACAATGCGTTCATGTCCTCCAGCGGAAGCTTGGCAGTCTCGGGCAATATGAGCCAGAAGAAAATCGCGTTTGTGAAATTACAGACACAGAAGACAATGTAGTAACGCCAGCCACCAATCCGTTCAATGGCGACGTTGGTCACCTGGCCGATCAGCGTGTTGAATGCAAACGAGGTCATTGTAGCGATAGGAACACCCTTGGAACGTGTCTTTGTATCGAAGATTTCGGAGCAGATAATCCAGGTAAGTGGACCAATGGTTGCGCTGAAGGAGAAGTTATAGCACCAGGTCATCACGATGAACCCCCAGCTAGCGGCGTTGTTGTGGGTGGTTCCAGGAGGGAACTTCGCAATCAGGATCGTAGGAATGATCCATACAAGTTAGTTAAAGGTAGAACTGGGCGAAGGCAAGGTGTCACGTACAAAGAAGACACAGTTAACCAGATTGCCAATGATCTGCGGCCAGCGACGACCAGTCTTGTCAATGAACAACAGACAGCAGAACTGAGCAATAATAGCGAGAATAGAGCTGATGCCCTGATACTTGAGAGTATCGTTGGTGGCAATACCAATTTGCTTGAAAATCGTAGTACTAAAGTACTGAATAGCACTGACACCCGTCATTTGGCAAGCGGCTTGGATCGAACACGCCAGGAAAAGGCGACGGAAGCACGACGGGTCAGTGAAAAGCTCAGTATACGACTTGGCCTCCGCCTCGTGCTCGTTTGCAATAGAAGTCTGAATCTGGTCGAATTCGGTTTGCACCCAGGGATCATTGATATCGCCGCCCGAGTGCAGTCGAGCCAAGGTCTGCAGTCCCTCGTCGAGTCGACCGTGATCAATCAAGCGGCGATTCGGGGAAGAGCAAGATAAGCGCGGCGAGGAAGACGGCGGGTACCATCTGGATACCGAGAGAGATGCGCCATTGGCGGGAATCGTCGTCGGCGAAATTGATAAAGGCGCCCCAGGAAATCCAAGCAGCCACTAAAGATCCAACTCCCAGTATCAGCTGCTGTAGCGAAGTAATACGACCGCGAATATCAGGATGGGCCAGCTCTGCTTGATATAACGGGACGATCATAACCAAGATTCCGACACTAAATTTAAGGGTAAATCTTAGCTTCCTAGGTTCTATAAATGCATTGCGAGGCCTGGAAATGTTGACAAACTCACCCCAAGCCAGCAATCGACCGCCCGGCATACAGGTAACTAAGGCTTGTTGCACCAGTTTGAAGGCCACTAATCTTTTGTTAGCACATTTACGCTTATGCAAAGTAAATCAGGGTATCTCATTCACGTACCCTCCCAGCAGGAAAATAACCGCCCCCACGAGAATAGTTCTCTTTAGACCCGCATAATCACCCAGTGGACCCGCAAAAGTAGCGCCGAAAAAGGCGCCTCCCGTGAACACGGACGTGACAGCTCCACTTTTGGTAGCATCGACATTGAAAGCATTGACCAGCGAGGGACTGGCAATTGCCTCGGCAATGACACCCAGATCGTAACCGTAGAGCACGGAACCTAGTGAAGCGAAAACACAGACCAGAAACTATGGGTGTTTAGCAGGTTGCTGGTTATAAATGGAGTGATATTCAGAACGTACCTGGTACCACTTTGGGGGCAGCGCCATGTTTAGGCGTAGGTATAGAAAAATTTGGTGTTTGTTTGATTGGGACAAGCGGTCTTCCGGACCTCGAACGCGATATCACACTCTAGACCGGGGAGATGGCATCTTTTAAGGCCTGCCATCTTCGATTTTGATCCCGTTATGGTAATATAGCCTGGTGGTAGGCGCTTTCTAGTTGGAGGAAATTCTGTCTAGGGAACAATAACAGGGACTGAATTCCCCCGCAGGAGTTTTCCCCAATGTTGCTGGTCTTGTGCAGGGTTATGGAGGTGACGGAGCCCCAGATTCGATTGCGTGGAGTCGATGTGGGTCGCTGCGCCAACTTGGATGCCTTCTTGAACGTGCTCTGTAGTTGCCTCAGTGGCTTGATAACCTCCTTTCTGAGTGAAGTGCTCTAGAAGTCTGGCTGTAGTCCTTCCTAAAATGCTACCCCTCTCCTTCTTAGCCTTGGTGAACTCATATTTTCCTCTGATACAGCGAAGATTTCCACTTATAGGACGAAGTGCTACGTTACTATGTGGGGGCAGATCACCGTACATACTATCGAGGATTTCACGAGGATTTCAGCTTAGCTCAGCTCAGGTAACACTACTAAGCGGCTTTCCATTCAAAAACTTTCGCAATTCAGCCTGCTGGACAGGCAATAATCTCCCAAAGTAGATAACGGATAGCTGACGCGGCAATGAGGTCTGTCCTGTTTAGCGTCACAGATGTGACGTCGGAAGGCGTCCAGGCGCCAAAGCCAAGGCCGAGCGGGATACCGACACATCCGTAAGCGATTGCATCAGTACGTATAAGGCATAGTGCCTTTCCGCACGAATCATGTAAAGGTCACGTAAAATGATATCGTTCAACCGAGGATAGCGGTATCCAAGAACTGGTTCACAATGGGGTTCTCATGAGTTTGAGCCTTGGCCGAATCGACTTGTTAGCTATGCTCTAGGAGATATGTAACCCGAGGGATGGATCAAAAGCTATTTGGTGAGATGATTCGAAAGACATTGGGAAAGCTCTCTTGAAAGAGATGGAGTTGAACCGTACTTAGCTAGACCAGTTCTCTGGTCTTCCAATATGGCATCCGGATGGAGCACAACGCTCGCCCGTGTCCGCGTCAATCCTGTTCGAGTATGTTCTCCTTTACCAATTGGGAAGGACTAAATGAACCAGAGAGCCTGATAGGTATGTACGGAGTAGCCCGATCGACAAAGCGCGAGCCCCCTCGTTCAATTGCATCGTCATCATGTAAGTTCCAAGAGCCTCAATGTCCATTATATACACATTAAATCAACAGCACCACCACCCGATGTTCATCCCCAAGTTCCCAACTATTCAAATGCTAGCGGAAGGAAGCCCTCTGAATGAGAATTATCCAGCGGCCACGGCCAATTGGTGAGCAGTTCCGGCGGTAACTGAAACTGCATCATCTGATCACCAACACCCGCGGTGGCCCCCACCTGGGCTGCACCGGCGTGAGGATACACGGTCGGCGGAACCATTGCCTCGGGCTTGATATTTACTTGTAGGACGGAAGCACCGTTGGGAGGGGGTGGTGGTACCGAGAAATTGACTAGCCGCGACGTGCGCATGTAGCCGTCGATCCGGTCGACCTGGGAGCGTAGGCGCTGACTGGCGCCCGCTGAACGGTGGAGACCAGTCTCAAAGCGGTGGAGAAGATCTGCCATTTCAAGCCTGAGGGAGATGAGTTGGGAACATTCATGTTGACGAGCAAATGGGTTGACTTACAGTAATGTCCGTACTCGTTGATAGGATGCATCGGAGAGACTTCCCTCCATGACGGAACCGAGGATATATCCAATGCCACCGAGGTGATGTAGCTAAGGGCGAGTTAGTACGGGGAAAACTCATTTAAAGTGCGAGCAGAACTTACCAGGGGTGAGCTGATGGCCTTCAGGTACTCCACCGGAACTTTGGAAAACACGCTCAGTAGCTCGCCAGCCACATCGCACTTCCGATCTACCCCAATCTCCTCCGCAGACAAAAGAACCATTCGGAGTAACTGTAATGTTGCCTGGATATTTGCAGACTGAAATCCAAACAGATCCTTGCTCATATCCCCCGTTGTCGGCGGCGTCTCACGAAACTGTGAGGGCAGCGCAGTATACATCGAAAGTACTCGCTCCATGACAGCCGGCTCTGACATGGACGCTGGACTGAAAAGGGACCATACTTCGGTGGTGCCATTCGCGGATGAGAAGCGGCGTCGCGTCCCATCTACCACGTGCTCCAGTATTCGATATAGGTCCGTCGTGAAGTTCCAGCCATGCATCCATGATACTCGTTGCTGAGATACGCCGGGAGTATCACCAGGGCCGAGTGTACTTGACTTTGGTGATGGTGGTAAGCTGTAGCCATGTGGAGTAATAAATTCATCATCCAGTTCACTAGGATACCGTACTAGGGAATGGGCTTCACGGTATCGAATGATGCCCCCCCATACAATACTGGCGTAGATATCCAATGTGTAGATTGACCAGAACTATTCTCTCTGTTAGACGAGCACCGGGAGCTGCAGTTCCAGGAAGGCATACCAATCTCCGCCGTTCCTCCGTCTCAATAATCCCAATATCTTTTGGCCACAGCTTCTCATCATGAAGTCCCTCCATTGTTGTCAAGGTGTGGTACATGCCAGAATATTTCTGCAAGTTCTTGATCTGGCCATTCTGGATACTAGCGATCGCAAGTATGGCACATGCACGCATATAATTGAACCCCCTTGCAAGGGCTAAGTCTCGAGGAAAGGAGTCCTTGGCCGCTGCATAAAAGGCTTCTGATGGGGGCTCGATGAGCTCTTCACGTTGCCATCGAGTGGAATATAACGCGCCATCGCGCGCCCGTCCCGAAACCAATGCACAAACCGCCATGGTGGAGGCAAATAGTCCTTGGTTTCGGAGGTGTTCTTGGTTATTGATTCTTTCGATGAATGATTGCTTATGGAAAAGAGGGAATCTGGAGGCCAGGTTAGTCAAGCCAGCCTAGGACGAGAAGAAAAGGGGGGGGGGGGATGGGGGGGGATCTAGATGAGTCGTACATCGGATAAACAATCTCAAAGTATACCTGAACAAGGTTCCTGATCTGCTGATCACTGGAGATTGCAAAAGCTTTCCAGGAATTGCGGAGGGCGCCATCGTCATCATACCCCTCGGTCGTTGACCAACCCGTGTTGAAGGAGATCCAAGGATCCCCTGTCAATGATGGCCGAGAAGCCGTTTCGTGATACATTGAGCTCCTAGACGCAGACGATCCAGAGGCTCTCTCTGGCGCCGGGACCCGACCGACTGGGAGTTGGCCTACCGATGATGTTTGCACGGGCGTCTCCCGTATATTTCCCTTGGCTCCAGCTTTGACGCCCCGCCTTTTGGCAGGACGATCATAGGTGCAAGGGACATCGAAGTCTGCGCAATTCTGGCATCGGCCTAGCCGGTCTTCGCTTGTGCCGCATTTGATGCTGCGCCGATTGCAGAAGTCGCCTAGCAAGCGGTTAGTTCACGGGGCTTGCTCATATCTGGGGATCTGCCAAGCGCATATCAAAAGTGGAGCAGGTCGTTTCCGAGAGGAACAGAGATTGCGGGGAGAAGGACATACAGGCCTTGGAGACGCGCTGAAGCTTTCGCGGTTTTGGCGACATTCAACGATCGGCCTAATGCCCACGCGCTTAAAAGCTTGGTGCTGGTCGTGAAAAGGTTTCCCGCTAGAAAGTTCCGTGGGGAGAGGGGGTCTCAGGAGGCGTCTCCGTGGGGGTAGAGATCGCGTCCTCGGCGCGCAAGTGTAGGGCGGAAACGTGGTGAAAGGTAAAACGGGCGCAGAGAGGGCTTTAACCGGTGATCCTGAAAGCCATCTCCAGTAGTTTATGCGTCACGAATCGTTGGAAACGAACTGTCCCACGCAAGAGAGGTTGCACTGGCGCTTCTTTTCTGGGCTGACTCAGCAGCGTGTCACAGACTGCCACTCGCGACGAATCGGCGGCCACGACCTTTGCTGAGGAGAGAGTGTGGGGCTCCACGGGCAGAGGCGTCATCAAAAGGGATGTGCTTGTAATATAGTAGATTGGAAAGTAGATCGCTTGAATCAATATTCTATCATGGTCACATTCCTAAGTCTCCCTCTATCCCAATTGTTCCTGTATGCGAGCGCCCGTCGAGATTATAATGCATTATATAAGATAAAAGAACTCCAATGTATCCTTCAAACGTGAGTGTGTTCCGGCTCCTGCTTTTCAGCAGAGATTAATTCGCTCCGACCGGCGTCAGAGGAGTCCTCAGACACTCCGTGCTCGGCGAGAACATCCCCATGGAGTTTGTAAGCCTGTTCCATCTTCCAGTAGAATGGACTCGCCGTCGAGAAGAGCGCCTCAATGGATTCCAAGGAGCGGTTGCGGGTTTCGGGGTAGACTAGCAAGTGGGATTAGATCAGAGACGAGGGAATAGCTAGACAACAAGTAACACTCACAGAGGAAAACAATCGGAATCCAAAGTAGGTTGAGGCCCGCAAATAAGAAGTAGGTGCGACTCTGCTCAATGTTAGCATTACCCAAGTCAAAGTCAGAGGTATCACTCAGGCCATACTTTCAGGCTATCAAACATGATCGGGTTGACAAGCGTTGTCATTCCGACACCAAGAGCCCAGCCAGTGATGCCGAAACCATTTCCTTGGGCTCTCAAGTCGCTAGGGAAGATCTCCGTTGGGAACAGAAACGCGACAGTACCCCAGGTAGCCGCATACCTATAGGCGATTAGTCTCCATCTTTCATTCATATAGCATGCCTCGCCCGAATTACCCGATGTTAAATAAGAACAGCATTGTGACCGCACCTGGCGCGTATCGGGCTGCATTTTCGGGGTGGTGAAGTGATCCTTCATATACGGCCCCAGCCTAGCAGGGGGTCAGCTACGTTGACATGCGGTCAGTGAATGGAGACAAACTTACAATGAGGTTGACAGTAGACAAGACGCCGGCACCGCCCATTAAGCATACTCGGCGTCCCAGAAGATCGACGATTTGCGCACTGATGATCGTTCCGATGATGCCAATTGTGTTGATCCCGCCCGCAAGACCGTTCTGCTTGATATCGCTATATCCAGCCTGCTTCAGGAGGACCGGGGAGTATGCCGTAACCGCCTATGCCTCTAGATAAGCAACAAGTTTAATCCAATGATTTCAGTGGTCCACTCACCGTAATACCAGTCCACGAGGCCATAATCTGCAGCCAGACACATAGCCATGCTCGACGAGCTAGATTCGTGCCGGGTCGTCCTCCTTGTCCAAATAGGATCTTCGCAAATTGAACAGGTGAGCTAGGTTTACTCTCTCGTGCAGTGGTGATAATTTCAAGATACTCCCGATCGATCTCGTCCGAAGTCGCACTGCCCTGGCGAATCCGAATCAAGAGATCACGAGCTTCTTCCTTCCGTCCAACGGAAGCCAAATAGCGGGGGCTATCCGGCAGCATTTTGATAAACAGCACAAGAAACAGAGCAGGGAAGCATTGGAACGCGAGTAGGAATCGCCATCGAACGTCTGAATACCCATTATTGACAAATGCGAGCCCAAACGAGATCCAGTAGGCAACCGAGATTCCTAGATCTGTGTCCAATTAGCCGACAACCTGGGCGATATCTGACAAGTGCTATTCTTGGCGACTTACAGTTAGCAATAAAGACGTAGCCGAGAAAACCACCCCGATGGTTTGCCGAGCTTGTTTCAGAAACGAGAACAGGGGTGATTCCAGTTAAAGCTGTTGGGTAGAATAATTAGTCTATATGCACTAAACTCCCTTAGTTGGCCGACGGGGACCATGCTAAGGCAGGGGCCATACTAATGCACACTAGCCAGGGTCACTCACCACCAGTGCCAATCCCCGTCACAACTCTGGCGCAGATCATAAAGTTCGAGTTCTGGGCAGCAGCCTGCAGTGCGCCGCCAACAAGCGCAAATAAAGAGCCAGCGAGCAGGCCATTGATGCGTCCGATCCTGTCAGCAAGCCAACCGCCGCCGAAGCATCCAAAGATGGCGCCCAAATAATATACGCTAACAATGCCGCCCTGGTGCGTGGTGTTGGTGACTGTCCCATCTGCAGTCCCGATGCCAACCTCAGTCACGTATGTTGGCGCGGCGTTCACGCCGCCCATGACACCCTGGTCATAGCCCTCGAAGAAGATCGAGATGAGAGAGAAGGCCTGGATGGCCACGTTCAATTGACGTGGCGAAAGCCGCTTCCATAGCGTCGTATATCCAACCATCATCCCGCTTGGCATGCGGCTAACCGCGATTACACTAGGCGACAGCGAGATCCCTTTAAGGGTCCCACTTAGACAAGATGTAATGGGCAGGGGGATGGTGATCAGCTGGGGCTCTCTCTCCAACCGGGATGGAGCTGCTGGGGAATCGTGGGGGGAAGAACCACTCCTCAAGCGTGTAACCTTTTAGCACTGGCCGCGCTGGTGGACTTTTGTCGTGCGTTAGCGGCCTGCTAGACCTCGGAAATACCCGTTTTGCCGATCAACCCTTCAAGCGGTCTGGTTCATGCACGGACGGACAAGAACAAACAGGATAAGGATATGAGATCGAGAGGAATGCTGGATTGCAGCTGGACTCGAGAGGGGGTGTGTTACGGCGGTGTTTCCTATTCCCCCGCAGTTGGCCATGGAACTGAGTTGGAAAGTGCGCAGGAGCCGGTCGGTGCCAGGATTTAAATCTTGGCCAACGCCAGCTTCTGGGCACCGGACTCCGACATTTCTTTGTTAGATTTCTTTGTTAAAAGGTACCGTTGGAAGTCGAATCCCTCACTCGAGTGCTCGACCCATCGAACTGATCCGCTACTATGGGCTCAACATCTTCGGAAGATCTCCTTCCTAATCAGCCCTTGGACTTGACTGTCCTGGGCCTGAATAGTGGAACATCCATGGTACGTGAATCTGAGTACAAGTTTGGCGATATATATTCCGATCCTAACACACATCCAACAGGATGGAATTGACTGTGCGCTATGTCGATTTCGCCAGGAAACGCCAGACTCGGCCATGCATTTTGAGTTACTGAAAGTACGTCCTGATCGCGCTCAGCGAGTTATTCGCAACTAATAAACATACCATCTAGTATGGCGAAATTCCACTCGAACCAGTCATCAAAAAAAGAGTAATGAACATGATTCTCCACAACAAAACTTCCCCTTCGGAATTATCAGAGGTGAACGTTATCTTAGGCGAAACATTCGCTTCCGCCGTACACAAATTCTGCAAGGATTATTATGTGGATATCAATTCTATAGATGTCCTCGGATCGCATGGCCAAACTATCTGGCTACTTTCCATGCCAGAGCCAGGCGAGACACGGAGCGCCCTGACAATGGCCGAGGGGTGTTTCCTCGCGTCGCGTACTGGTATCACATCCGTGACCGACTTTCGCGTGAGTGACCAAGCTGCAGGACGCCAGGGGGCGCCACTCATTGCTTTCTTCGATGCCCTGTTGTTACATCATCCTACCAAGTTACGCGCGTGTCAGAACATTGGGGGTATCGCCAACGTTTGCTTCATTCCACCTGACACGCATGGCGGGGTCAATGAATGCTACGACTTTGACACAGGCCCAGGTAATATTTTTATCGATGCTGTAGTACGGCATTATACCGATGGAGAGCGCGAGTATGACAAGGATGGCGAGATGGGCGCCCGGGGTACGGTGGACCAAGAGCTCGTGGATGACATTTTGACCCATCCATACTTCGCTTTGGAGCCACCGAAGACCACGGGTCGGGAGGTCTTTCGAGATACACTTGCGTATGAATTGATCCGCAAGGCCGATGCGAAGGGTTTGAAACCGGACGATGTCGTCGCCACGATCACTCGTGTTACTGCCCAGGCCATCGTGGACCACTATCGTCGCTATGCACCAAAGGACCTCGAGATAGCGGAAATCTTCATGTGCGGAGGTGGAGCCTTCAACCCTAACATCTCGGCGTTCATCCAGAAAGAATATCCCAATACAAAGATCTTCATGCTGGATGCCGCTGGTATCCCTGGTGGGGCGAAAGAAGCGATCACATTCGCCTGGCAGGGCATGGAAGCTATAGTCGGTCGCTCAATTCCTGTCCCAACTCGTGTCGAGACTCGCCAAGAATATGTGTTGGGAAAAGTGGCCCCTGGCAAGAACTACCGCAAGGTTCTTCTTCAAGGCATGCGTTTTGGTGCCGGTCGGGATCATCTTCCACCCGTGAAGGAATTAATTAACTATGTAGGCGGGGAAGTTTTTGACAACAAATGGTAGACAAGACGGTGTTTTTCCAGAGTGATTGGGAATCTGCCAACTGAAGCCACGCTGTGCCTTTGTCATTCGATAGATGACCTGGAAGTATGATTTGTTTTCTACCCAATCACCGTCTCCATGCTGTTTAAAGATATCGAACAAAACAGCGTACGCATAGATGTCAACTCTATCAGCCTCATGAGTAATGCAGTGTCCTATTTAAGATTTTGTGGACCTTGGTTTGCGACCTATTCCTAAGAGGCTAAAGGGGTTCAAGTGTGAGGGAGCTCCACCACTGCCATAAGACTTGGTAAACACGGGTATTGACATTCCGAAATGTCGTGAGGTTAGATACATAGGTCTGGAACGTAAACAAATAAATAGATAAGAGCTTGATGGATCCTATTGCTAGGTACCGCTCTTGTTAGCGAATGAGCTTTCTTAGCCTTGGAATCGAACCTTTTGACGATCAAGAAGAGCTATGCCAGTCATCGAGCCTCGAGGATTTGAAATGCAGTTAAAAGGATCTAAGCCTTCTTGAGAAATCCGTCTTAATCTATAATGCGATCGAAAACCTTCGCATGAGTCAAATATGTAGCTTTTCGAATGCGATCGGTTTAAGCATGCCGAGCACAGTCAGATTTAACTCGGATTTAACTCGGCACCGATATTATGCCGAGTTTCGCCCCCCACTCTAGCCCCATGTCAACCAGGTTCTCCGAACTATATGCGAAAAGTAACGCAAGCTAGGCTTGAAGCTTCCAAGAAGAGTGAGACCCATCAAATTGCATCATGCATGACATCATGCATGACATCTGACTTTGCATCTTTGCGCCTTATTTCGGAGATGCTTCGGCCAGAGGAATATTTTCTAGACATTCGTGAAGCCCATCATACTTATAAGTATGGAGGTACCTCCCACATATTTGCCTGATCCTCAGATACATTCATCAATCATCAAAGCTTATGAGGTCTCATCATGACTGAATCAACGATACCCGAGTCCCAAGAGACCCCCGATCCCGTGCAACCTTTGCATCTCACCAGGAGGGAGACACGAGAAACCCTGCGTAACATTGGAATATCGGAGCACCCTGCACCACTGGACTACAACTACCCCGAAGTTGGACGAACGGAAAGCCCTTTGTTCCCGGAAGAATATGTTATCGAGACTAGCACTGGTCTCGTTCCACAAGCTACCTTGGAACAAGTTCGATCTCGAGTCTCTACGTCTACTGCGGCCACACAACGCAACAGGTTCCCTATAGACCTCGAGAAATGTCCCGACAAAGGCACAGAATATGTGACCTTTACTATTGGAGATCCAGAGCATCCCCATAACTGGTCCCGTCTTTATCGGTGGTATATTACACTGGTCGCCTCAGCATTGGTGGTGTGCATTGCTTATGGCTCGTCCATCGTCACGGGTGGTCTGGGATTGATCCAGGAAAAGTATCATGTTTCGTTGGAAGTTGCTATCTTGACTTGCTCGATCATGGTCTGTGGTTTCGCAGTCGGCCCGTTGCTCTGGTCTCCCTTGTCCGAGATCATCGGTCGACGGCCCGTTTATATTATCTCACTGGGGCTTTATGTCATTTTCAATATCCCGTGCGCGCTCTCGCCTAACATTGGAGGTCTCCTTGTGTGTCGGTTTCTCTGCGGTGTTTTTTCCAGTTCGGGTCTATCTCTCGCTGGAGGTACCATTGCAGACATTTGGAGCACTGAGGAGCGCGGCATGGCTATCGCCTATTTCGCCGCTGCGCCATACTGTGGACCTGTTATCGGCCCCATTGTGACCGGTTGGATCAATGTTGGAAGCGGTCGATTAGATCTATTCTTCTGGACAAACATGGCATTTGCCGGCGTGATCATGATCATGATCGGCCTGATCCCCGAGACTTACGCGCCTGTCATTCTCAAGCGACGAGCTGCCAAGCTTCGAAAGGAGACTGGCAATCCAAACATCATCACAGAACAAGAGCAAACCAAGCTCACTCTACGCGATATTGCTCGCACAAGTCTGATCCGCCCGATTACAATGATTATGACGGAGCCAGTCCTTGATCTCATGTGCATGTACATCGTTCTAATCTACTCTATGCTTTACGCCTTCTTCTTCGCTTACCCAGTTATCTTCGGCAAGCTTTATGGCTACAACGATGGTCAGATCGGCTTAATGTTCATTCCCATTTTGATCGGCGCCGGCTTCTCATTGGCGACAACCCCTGTCATCGAGAAGCAATTCAAGCGAATTTATGACTCGCGAACACCCACCCCCGAAGATCGACTGATCGGTGCCCTCATCGGAGCTCCATTCATCCCTATTGCATTCTTCTTGCTGGGTGCTACGTCTTTCAAACATATCATCTGGGTGGGACCCGCTTCGTCGGGAATTGCCTTCGGATACGGAATGGTGTTGTGCTATTACTCCGTGAACAACTACATCATTGATTCTTATCAGAAATATGCTGCGTCGGCTCTGGCTGCGAAAGTGTTTTTGCGATCCGGAGGTGGTGCTGCTTTCCCGTTGTTCACTACCCAGATGTATGATCGCCTTGGTCTTCAGTGGGCCTCGTGGCTGCTTGCATTTATTGGTGTTGGCATGGTGTTTATCCCATATGTCTTTTACATGTTCGGAGGGCAGCTTCGCGCCAAGTTGACGCGAGATTGAAAGGTTGCGGATGTGGAAATACAGAGTCGTGAGATATCGCAAGAGTGGAAGAAATCATAGATTCGGGCGATAGATATAGAAGAGCATGGGGGAGCGTGGTTCATTTACATACTTCATTGGATAGCGAAAAAGTCCTAATAATAATCATTGCATTTATCAAAAAGACATCTAATTGGTGGAAATAGGAATGATTTCCATCGGTCCATGTTTACTCTATCCAGTCTCAATCTGTTGTTTGGTCCCACAGGCCACGGACCGTGACACCTTGAGCCCACTTTCCGCCCGTATCATCTTTCTGGACAGTAAAGCGAACTGTCTTCTTCTCTCCGGGAACAAGAGTAAAGGCATTGTCATCAAAGTATCCAACAACACCGGCAGGATAGTCTAGCCAAGTGTAGAGGGAAACACCCCCCTTGGCTTCCACCGTGAAAGTGTTCTCAGATGAGTCGTGGGAGAGTTGAATCTTTGGATCTACCAGAGATAGTTTATTCGGGAACACAATAGTCGCTTTGTCGCGGTGCGCGAAGGTAGAGACAGATTGTGAGTTGGGCATGCGACCATGAGCAGTCAACGATAGCACAAGGACGGCATCCGTCTCATCGGGGATAGCCAGCTTTGCGGTATTTGTCTCATAGATCTTGGTCGTATTAAGACCTCCAACGGTGAACTGCTTGCTTTGGGGTGTCCCAGCATTACCCCGGATTGGTTTTCCTGACATGTCGACCCAGGTGAAGTTGACAGTTCCACGAGCAGTTTCCCATAGGTCGGACGTTACGTAAACCGACAGATCTCCAGTGGTATAGTTCCAGAAAGGAGATACAATGACTGGCTTGTAAATATCCCGGGCGACGTAGTGGAGAACCTTCCAGCGACCGTCATACTCAATACCCGCCCAAGTGGGCGCCTGCCAGATATCTTCCAATTGCCAGTAAAGAGATCCAAGCTGGCGCTCCGGCATACCACTTCCTCGGCGGTAGAATATAATCTCAGACTTGTACATGTCGGCCTGGAACAACTGGGTAGCATGACACCAGGCGCTGAATTGCTCAACCGAGTCTTTTTTGTGAGGGATGGGATAATAGCGCTCGACGGCCATCGTCATCTCGCCCATACCCATGGAAGAATTCTTGAAGTTATGAGTGTCGGTATTTCCGGGAGGAAAATGATGGTTGCGCAGGACAACGGTGCTGCTATTGAAATGAAGATCTTCCGGGTCCAGGGCCTGCTGCCAGGTTTGTAGACTCGGCATGCTGTGGTAGCCGAATTCGTTGGCAAATCTTCCGACTGGGTAGCTTCCAAAGTCAAAAGCAACGCTGCTGTCATAGTTGTAGTGATCGGTGTCTGAGTAGTAATGGCCGCTTGTTGTATTATCGTAACGTTCGGCCATCGGGACAGGTGCAGAGAGATTGACGTAGAGGAAGCCATTGTTTGTGCTGCTAGGCATGTAGGAAATTGATCGCGAGTTTTCATACACCAGAGGTAGGATCAAGCTGATAAACAGCTTTTCGTACTCGCCAACGTAGAATGCGTATTTATCAGGCGCTGCTCCCTGAACCGTAGGTAATTCCAGGCTTTCAATTTCGTTCCCACCAGCCCAAAGGGCCAACGATGGATGGTGGTTTAGCCGTCTCACATTGTATGTGACTTCAGCGGCGACGTTCTCGAGGAATTTTTCATCGGATGGATAGAGTGCATCACTGAATTGGAACTCACTCCAGAGTAGGACTCCTTGCTCGTCCGCAATATCATAGATGAAGTCAGGCAGGTAAGCACCCGAGGCCCACACGCTGAAACATGAAATGTTAGACTTGGTAGGTGCCATTGGCAGAGAAGTATCTATGCGCAGGCTTACCGTAGCATGTTCTGATTACCGGCCACCACTGCATCGAATAGCCGCTGCATCCTTTCTTCGGTGACTCGCGGCCAGAATGCATCAGGAGGAATGAAGTTTGATCCCTTGGCGTAGAATTCTTGTCCATTGACTTCAAAATGCCAGTTCGCGCCCGGGGCAATTCCCTGAGAAAGTTGCTCATCGGTAATGTTGAGTCGATTAAGGAATATGGTCCGGAAGCCGGTACGCTTGGTAACCTTTGCTAATGCATGCCGCTTGCTGTTCTCGATGGCGATCGTGGCGTAGTACAGGTTTTGCTTGCCGAGACCCGTTGGCCACCACAGGTTTGGCGCATCAGCATCAACCGTGATGCTTCCACTGATTGATTGTCCCCAAATTGAAATGTTCTCAAGAGGGCCTGATTTGAGAACCTTTCCAGACTCGACGTCTTTGATTTCAAGGGTCATCGAGGACTTTTTCGGGAGCGATCCGAGGAAGTCAATACTCGCATTGACCACCCAAGGCTGGGTTTGATCCGGGGCGAGGTGATTGATCTGTCCCTTGCGGAAAACATCTATATCAGTGTTGAGAACATATATACTTTCCTCGTTTTCGAATTGCACTAGGTACGCATCTCTCCATGGACCGGCAGGCGCAAACGCTGGACCCCAGTCCCATCCGAAATCGGACTGCTCTTTGCGGATATACCATCGATTTGGGAATTCGTAGACTTGCTGTGGGCCATATGGCCATTCTGAGTGGTGTTAGAGAAGGAATTCCTAATTCAAGCGTGCATGGGCAAAGCATACTTTCAGAGTTTGGGTCATCAGCAATCGCATTTGCGATCTTGGGAGCGCTGCCAAAGTTCAAGTCCAAAGTTGGATCTCCCTTGCAGTTCTCAAGAGCCTTGGAAATGTCAAAGGTGTATTGACGGAACTGGTTGTCGGTTGTGCCGACTATTTGCCCACACACTTCGATCGTGGTGAAGGTATCTAGGCCATTGAAGACAAGCCAAGATGATTTGGCTTTCGTAGACCTGAATTATAATTAGTGTATTTTAGCGACTGTATTTTCTAACGCGACTTACAAATCACGAAGAGGATGGCTTGTATATGTCCAATTGTTGTTACAGATCCAACGTTGATTAAAGTCGTTTAGACCGTGGTACCTGTGCGATGTTAGGTGAGTTTCCGATTCTTGCAACCGGAACTATGAACTGACGGATCATCTGCCACCAATTAGTCGCTGCAACTTTGCGTCAAGGTGATATGATACCATACCAATAGCCTTTGCAGCAAAGAGGTCGAGATGCACCTGCGAAGGGAGTCTTCCCGGAACTGATATATTCAAGGCCTTGCTGCTCACTGTCCAGCCATCGCCAGTCAGGTCGACCACCTTCTGAGCGAACGCAGTATGTAGAGTTGCCGACAGTGCAGCCAAGGACAACGTCTCGTGTAAACGCATGGTTTGAGAAGGGAGCACTCGAATTCTTCCTCGATGTTGCCGAGTCAAGCACCACGTTATTCCGACCGAGTCCGGGGCAATGTGCTTGATTTATGCTGCGAGTCTCCTGCGCTCAGCGTCGGCAAAATACCACCAGTTTACCCAATGGAAAAAGGACAGTTCGGTTATCCTAATGGAGAACGGATAATTCAGTCAAGCTGGTTGAGAGTGGAGCTTTGACGACCCGCGTTGTGTTAATCAGTCGTGAGGCCAGACCTCGCGTCATGACATATTGTTTGCTTGAGCTTGAGATACAGACCCAATCTCGCACAGGGCTCAGTGGGACCTCGCGCGCGGGGAAGAAAGCAACGGTAGCAACGTTGAGTTGCGGAGAGGGGCAGATCTTCACGGAGTCTTGAAATCGCGAGACGCCAATTCAGGATGCAGTGGCGGGAAAACAGCAACGATCTGCGTTGGTTGACTGTGGAGACTTGGAGACTCCAAATGTGCGAGAGAGGGGGAATAAACAGTGGTTGCATACAAAGAAGGCACGTACTTTGCCGGCAGAAAGACGCGGTCAGTCGGGTATTATTCACATCATGAAATGCCAAGGGAAATGCCCTGCAGGTATCCATAGATTTGAAGCAATTAAGTCTAGGCCTGCGCGCGATTGTTGACTAGAATGCATCCCTAGATTTTGCTGCACTGGCCATCTCGAACCCCCCCCCGCCATCTGTGTGTCTATTTCTGTCGTTGAGATCTATTTTATGTATAAATACACTTAGGAACCTTTCAAGCCGCCAAGCTCCTGCGCATGAGTTTGATATCGTCATGCGAAAAGCCAAGCTTTGCAGTCAGATATCCCTCGGCGCCACTGCCGTAGGTGGAGTGGAAGCTCTTGAGAAACGCCGCCATGGCTTGCGCCCGAACGCCGCTCAGCTCCAACATGCCGATCGCTTCGGGGCTCAGATGGCCAGTGCCTTCGTTCAAAGCCAGAGCCTGAGTCAGATTCTCCCGCACATTTTCTAACCCGGCTCGTGTGAGCATATAATCGTTGGTGATTTCGTTCAGGGGCCGACCCATGAGGAGCAGAATGAGTGCTGCTAAGACACCGCTGCGATCTTTGCCAGCTGTAGGAAATAGAATACACTGATCAGCGAATCTCCAATCGAACAGGGTAGAAAAGGCGACCGTATGGATGCCTGGAAATCGTAGAACAAACGTACCGGAACAATGGAAAACGAATGGATCATCCGGTTGATCCCTGATATGTTTGAACACTTGGGCAAAGGCCGGCGCACATGCCTCCAAAATACCCGTGTACATCTTGACAAACCCATTGGCGCCTTTGTCTTCTCCCGCAAAATCGCGCAGATTTAGCGACGCTGGCCTGGTACCGTAAGGCATCCAAATCGTGTCAATCCGCTCGATTTGTGGAGGTGGGGCTTTTGTCCTTTCGCTCTCATTTCGCAAGTCGAAGATCGTGGTAATGCCCAAGTCTGCAGTAAACATCACCTTGCCTTCTTCGGTAATGTCTGACAGGTTCGCTGATCGGTAGACATAGCCAGGGCGTAAGTTGTTCTCATAGCTTAGATCTCGAAAATTTGATACTCCCGAGACAGTAATGAATGGAGGCAGGGAGATGATCTTGGAGACGATTGACTCTGGGATAGGCGTTTTGATGTCGGCGTTGAGCGCATTGTGGAGGTTATCGGAATTGATCATGGCAGCGGGTTGTCAATGGGGTCCTTGGATTGGTGAAGTTAACAGGATGAACGTAAGAAGAAATCCAGTGGCCCCTTACTTTTAATCTTCGATGTCCTGGATATTCAGGGCTATGTCATAGTCTCCATCGGGTCATTTCGTAGGCAGGAACACAACCCATGAAAATGGGGCCCTGGCATAGTAAAAGGTACCAATTACAATGGCCAGGTACGTCGGATAACGATGTCATCGCCTTGAGCCTCGGTGTGAGTGGGTCTGTATGTATCTCAAAGCCTGGCGGAGATGTGGAACAGACGTCATTTCGATTGGACACAGATGCGGAGTGTCAGCTTTGCCAAGGCTCGCCCGCGAATGGCCAAGTTGGATGCAGTGATAGATGGAGTCTACGATAATCGACGATGATTTCTGAAAGGGATCCGTCATCTGCTTCCAACTGTTCAAGATCAAGCTGGACCGTTAGAGGAGCATCTTTACGGGTGTCCATCGATTAGAGTGCGTAATACTTCACCCGATAGAGGTAGATATGACGAAAGATCTCATTGGAAGTTCAAACCAGATGGACAAGTATACATGTGTTAATGGATAGAATCAGACTGGAAATAATCCGGGGTATTACTTTTGATCGACCGAGAAAACCCCCGAGAACAGGTCAAAGAATCATCAGGAAGCTACTACAACTTCTTGTCTTTCTGGATGTCTTATGCACTAGCTCCCAATTCGTGTTCTAAAATATTATCAAATGCGATGATTTCGAGATTGCATCGAGGATCTCCGATAAAATTCCAATTTATATCTATCCTTCTGCTGGCGAAATGTTTGATTTGACGCTATCGGCCATCGTAGCAAAAAAATTCTGAAGCATTGCCGTGTGACTCCCCTACATCATCTACCGAGAGTAGGAAGAGGAACGACGGAACCGGGGAGGAAATGATTCGGTTCATAATTTGCATCTTTTCTGGGTCTTGCATCAGGCAGCGCGAGGTTGCCCATTTGGTCTGGCTCTCCTCGTGCTGTCGGTGGCGGTCTATGGCTCAGAACCAGCCTGCTCCCGAGACCTCTGCTAGGGCTACAGACCCCTTGACGCCACACTCCGGTTTCCGGGACATTGGCTCGGGGACCATTCATCCTTCAAGGCCCCAGCCTGAGTCTCGGTCCCAGGCTCGGGGTATGATGGAGCCGGCGGTGTGACCATGTGAACTTGGGCCACAGCTCTGCCCTTCCCTTTGCCAGTCACTCTTCCTGCTTGCTGAGCCGATTGCATCTCGACATCTGAATCTGGCTCCACTGTAGGTTTCGCGCGTTTAGCAGGCTTCTTTTTCTTAGGCACTGGCACCAATGACAATTGATGGGCAAATTCAGCTCGCACTCCGGGAGATACATCGCACAACTGGGCCAGATTCATGTAAATCTGCGTGTTGTTCATGAAGTCTTTCACATTCACACGTGGCCCTTCCAATCCACGAATCGGTCTCTTTGGCATTTTAGGTTCCCCTGGCATGCGCGGCAGCGGTGACTAGGGACTGGTCTACATCTACTCCCGCCCCTTTCGCTTCCTCTCCTCCCTTTCGCCGGTCCATGCCTCCAAGCTTGTCTATGTCTACGTCCCCACCCTATTCAGGCACATATCGGGTAGAGAGCAGACCCTGGAGACCCAGACTCATGAGGACAACCAGATTATTTTGGGAACATCTTTCCTGGGCCCCAGCCAATCTATCACCCCAGACACTTCTCGACCCACCGACCGGCCTGCTCAAACCGGTCAGGACAAGATAACTGATAGAAGCCCGAGCTCAGATTTACGGTGTATGGTCGCCGATTATTGGGATGCATTCAAGGCATTCGAGAACATCTGGGACTAGGACAGCAAGTTCCAAGATTCCGAAAAACCTTCTATCCCGTTAGTCGGTTCCATTTTGTTTTCCTAATTAGCGCCAAGCCCAAGACATTTAATGCGCGAATGCAGGCATAGTAACGTTGAAGAAATATAAACGTTTTCTAAATCCACAAGAGTATCTATAGAGCCAAGGTAGGAGGGGAAAGCCGTGGCTTATTACTAGCTAAATTTACTACGGCGTAGGAAGTCATATATGGTAGATAGGCCGGGCCATTCGGATAATATTTGAAAATGATGAATGATATTTATGACCTATGACCTTTAACAGAAGGAAGTAGAAGGCTAAATTTTATAAGAAGTGACTACTATAGAGAGCTAAAGTTAGGAATAGACTAAAAGTATTATTTTTCCTTCATAATAATGTTTCCTATTATGTTTAGGTATACGTCTGATGACGATAACCTTATCGTCAAGGGTTCCAATTTTGAGGAAAGAATTAAACGACATCTACGAGGTAGGGATATAGTCAAGGCCATTTTGAGGATGATATTGTCCGGTGGATCTCAGGGTTCTATTCACAACTGTCTCTTCAAGAGCAATATACAACATTTTGTTCCTGAGATATTTCATAACCTCACCATTTAGGCCGGCTTCCACTCGTAGTGGTGAGGACCTTTATGAGTTGGTCCAGGATCTTCTCCATAAACACCCGGCTTATTGTAGCTATGTGCACCAAAGTAATCCATCTGAGCTTCCATGAACTTGGTCGGAAGCATTGTGCCACCGTCATACTTGAGGTACTCGACAGTCGCAGACATCGCAGGAATGTACTGGTCGTACATTATACCCTCCAGAACAGTTGATTTCAAAGCTGGGAAACTGTTGTGCAGTTCATGAGCCACTTCGTCGATGAACTTTATATTCATCATTTGCTTGTTAGATGTTAATGGTGGCTGCAAAAGGTCTGCAATGTACTCAGACTGGATGATACACCCAGCCCGCCAGATTTGCAGACAATCTCCCAGATTAATTGCCCAGCCCTCATCCTTTGAGGTCCGGGCAATTAGTTCAAGGCCCTGACAGAAGGAAGATAGGAAGGTGCAGTACACTGCTTTTCGAAGCTTTTCCACAACCGTTGCGCGATCTTTGATATTCTCCATGGTCCGCGGAGCGGGCATCTGAAGCTTTTTGGCAACTTCCAGTCGTTCAGCACGGTTTCCACTCGCAATCCGCATATAATGTGCTGCTGTAAGCGTTGGAGTGGAGACATGTCGAGAAGCAGATTCCATGACTGCCCAGAGCGGCGTTCCTTCACTGTTGTCGTCGTCTTGAACCACCTTGTCGAGTACATCATCCAGCACATATCCGTTACTATCGCTAGCACCTTCACCCTGCCAGTCGCCCTTGGGTGTCTTTTTGGCTCTCATGATATCGGCGCCGATGTTGACGAGGAAGTTGTTCCGTAATTCGCCATGTGAATTCCACTCAGTGAACACATCACCAATCTGCTCATAGTCCATGCCGAGACCGAAGTGCATGTACGACCAAGCTTCTGCAAGCGCAGACAGCATGCCACCCTCGATTCCATTATGAACCATCTTGACGAAATGACCAGAGCCTCCAGGGCCGATGCGAGTGACGCATGGTGCTCCAGTCTTGGGGTCTTTGGCGGAATATGCTTGGAGCAAGGGCATCACGAGCTGTATAGCTTTGAGATCGCCTCCAGGAGACAGGCTTGGTCCTCGTCTCGCTGACTGGTAACCACCAGAGACACCCATTCCAATCCAGATCACTCCAATATCTTCGCACTCTCGCTGGCGTCGCTCGGTTCGGCGATAATTCTCATTTCCTCCGTCAAGAATAATGTCCCCTTTCTTCAAATCCGGCTTGATTAATTTGAGTACCGAGTCTGCGGGATGTCCATGGGTGATGGAGAACATGAACAATTTGCCAATGCCTTGACCCTCGAGACTCTTGGTGAACTGGTCGATCTCGGTAAACCCTTCAATCTTGCCTTTCATAGTCGTGGCTTTCTTGGTCCAGTCCATCACCTTTTCAACATTTCGCTTATCTACATCCCAAACGGAGACGTCGAGTCCAATTTCCGAAAAAGCGAATGCCATCATCGAGCCCATACTTCCGACTCCGACAACGCCGATGCGCTTGAATTTCTCTGTGGAACTTGCGGACGGCATGATGGTTGCTGAATAGAGGAGTAGTAGTCTGGTCTATTTCATCCGGATAATATCCGAGGTTGTGTATAAACGCCAGGGGGAAATTGTGAAAAGGTGTGAAAATAATGGCAGTTCTAATGTTCTTCAAGAAACAGCCCTTAGCCACCGGATGTAGGGCCCGAAATATGTTGTCAACATGGGATCAGTGGCGGTAGCAGCAGGAGGCGGTTCATCATCGAAGTTTTTGACATAGTTTCCTAATTAGCATAGTCTTAATGCCTGATTTACGAAGGGAACATCCACGAGTCATCTGGTAGAAATCACTTGCGGCGGATGATGTAGAGCTGACGCCAGTTGCCCACGGTCTGTGGGGAACAAAAACATTGCATCATTCTTTGTTCACACAATCCAAATTGTAGCATAATCGCGCTTGCAATTCATCTCAACTTTGTTCGGGATTATTTACATATGCTATTTACAAAATAGTCAATTGAACTCGCAGAAAGTCCCAACACCGTTGCATAAAATTGCCTATCATGGGTTCGATAACACCCCAATCGCTCGAACAGATTCCGCTCTCCTACGCCTCTTGTTCAATTGGCTGCGGAGCGAGCGACACATTGCCACGACGACTGGAAGCAATTGGCAAAGCTGGATTCACTGCTATCGAACTCTCTTTTCCAGACATTCTCGACTATGGCGAACAACTGCTAGGCCATGAAATTCCTCCTGATGATTATAACGAACTAGCCTCGGTGGCCAGGGAGATTCGCACGTTGTGCAAAGCCAATGGCCTGACAGTAATGATGTTGCAGCCATTTGCCAATTTTGAAGGGTGGCCGAAGGACTCGCCCGAGCGAAAAGATGCCTTCGAGAGGGCCGCCGGCTGGATCGAGATTATGAGGGTTGTCGAGACAGATTTGTTGCAGGTACATAATATAATTCTATATATCCTGGGATTAACCCCTCGTCTTATCTTCCCCCAATCCCGTTGTCTAGAATCTCGACTGAGCGCATAAAACTAATATCATGACAGGTCGGAGCAACGGACACACCAGCGAATAAAATCTCTACAGATCGCTCAACAATCGTCTCTGACCTACGCGAACTTGGCGAAATGCTAGCCAAGCACAAATTCCGTCTCGCCTACGAAAACTGGTGCTGGTCGACGCACGCGCCCGGATGGAAAGAAGTCTGGGAAATTGTGCGTGATGTCAATCTCCCCAACGTTGGCCTTTGCCTGGATACTTTCCAAACCGCTGGTAGTGAATGGGGCGATCCGACCTGCTCCACCGGATTGATCAACAATGTGCCCCCGCATGAGTTGACGAAGAAGTTTGCTGCCAGCATGGATGAATTGGCGCGTACTGTACCAGCGGATAAAATTTATTTATTGCAGATTTCGGATGCGTATAAGGTGTCACCGCCGTTGGAGGATCAGGTTGTTGGAGGGTTGAGGCCGCGAGGTCAATGGAGCCATGATTATAGGCCGATGCCGTATGATGGAGGGTATTTGCCGATTGAGGACGTTGCGAGGGCAGTGTTGAAGACCGGGTTCCGGGGTTGGTTTTCGATGGAGATCTTTGATGCTGGGCCACAGGGGAAAGGGAAGAAGTATGAGATGGAACCGTTTGCGAAAAAGGCCATGGAGAACATGCAAAAGTTGTTGAAGAATTGTGCTACAGATAGTTGAAGTGAGATTGAAAGCTCGGAGAACAAAATGATCAAATTCAAGTTATATATAGAAATACACGTGCTTGTCCTTTTTAGAGCAAGGCTTGGGGAGTACAATCGTGACTCCGACAAGAATCAGAACGCCGAAGGAAAAATGCAGAAATAGACGCCGGGTTATCATAAGGCATGCAGCATCAACGGTCAAAACGGAAAGTTTCAACTTCGCCCTTCCTTAGTTGGAGTTGCTAGGGTAGGCAACGGTGTAAGTAGGAATGAACTCCTCCTTGACCGAGCGCAAGCTGACGAAGCGAGACAGCAAGTTAGCGCTGCCAGCCTTGTCGTTGGTACCACTAGCACGGGCACCACCGAAGGGCTGCTGGCCAACCACGGCACCAGTGCTCTTGCAGTTGATGTAGAAGTTACCAGCAGCGTTGCGAAGGTGCTCATCAGCAACTTGCACAGCCTCACGATCCTTAGCGAAAACAGAGCCAGTCAGACCGTAGGTGCCAGTGGAGTCGATCTTCTCACAGATCTTGACAAAGTCGGCCTCGGTGGCGTCGTTGTACGAGTGGATGACGATGATAGGACCAAAGAGCTCGCGCGACAGAAGAGGGTGGTCGGGGTTGGAGGTACGGTACACAGTAGGCTGAATGTACCATCCCTTAGAAGAGTCGTAGGTGCCACCAGCAAGCAGCTCAAGTTCGGGATCGTTCTTGGCCTCGTCAATGACACCGGCAAGCTTGTTGAAGGAACCCTCATGGATAACGGGACCGCAGAAGTTGGTGAAATCAGAAGGCTCGCCAACCTTGATTTGCTTTACCTCAGCGGCGACCTGGTTCGCAAAGTCATCCGCAATGGAGGCAGCAACATAGGCACGGGAAGTGGCACTGCACTTTTGGCCCTGGAACTCAAAGGCCCCACGTACGGTCTGGACCGCGGCGTTGCGCACATCGGCGGACTTGTGGACCAAGTGGAAGTTCTTGCCACCAGTCTCGCCGACAATGCGAGGGTAGCTCCGGTACTTGCCTTCCGCCACACCCTGGGAGATCTTGCCATAGAGCATACGGAAGACATCAGTGCTGCCAGTGAAGTGGAGAGCAGCGAACTCCTTGTGGTTGAGGACGGTGCTAGTGACCTCTTCAGCCTCACCGGGCACGAACTGAATAACGTTCTTAGGGAGACCAGCCTCGAGAAGGATCTGGTGAACGAGCCAGTTGGAGGCAATGGCCGAAGGCGAGGGCTTCCAAAGCACAACGTTACCCATCAGAGCTGGCGCACCGGCCAAGTTGCCACCGATAGCGGTGAAGTTGAAGGGGCTGATGGCGTAGACGAAACCTTCCAGAGGACGGTATTCGAGGCGGCTGGAACGAAAAATTAGCAATCTGTATTCAGTGGATCCACGTGATAATGAAGTACACACTTCCATACACCAGGAGAGTGGTGAACAGGCTGCTGGGCATAGACCTCCTCGGCATACTTCACGCCGAAGCGGAAGAAGTCAATGAGCTCAGCAGCAGAGTCAATCTCAGCCTGCCAGGCGTTCTTGCCCTGGCCGTGCATGGTCAGTGCCATAATATCGTAGCGGTACTTGGTCGAAATGAGGTCGGCGGCCTTGAGGAAAATGCTGGCACGCTCCGCAAAGGGAGTAGCAGCCCATGACTTGCGGGCCTCGAGGGCGGAGGCAATGGCGGCCTCGACATCGGCTTTGGAGGCATTGGAGTAGGTGGCAACGGGGGTGTGAGTAGCAGGGTTGCTCTGAGTGAAGGTTTGGGAGCTCTTGATCTATTAAGCGTCAGAAAGGAAGCATTGAAGATAGTCAGCGCAATGATATTTACCTCCTTGCCTGCAACCACCAAAGGCACACTCAAGGGCGCCGACTGCTTGTATGAAGCCAACACGTCTTCCAAGCCCTTGCGATCTGGGCTGCCAGGAGCATAGTGTTTCTAAATCAAGATTATCGTCAGTATTGAGTAGAACCAGAGCGCATCATACAGGGAAGACTCACGTTGGGCTCGTTGTTAATCTGGGGCACCTTGAAAGTCGCATAAGTGTTGAGAGCGCGAGAGTTCAAGCTAGGAATGCGGTATGCCAGGCGCGAGAAGGGCTGCGCATGAGCGCGCAGCAGAGAGGTCTGCATCTTGAAGATCTACGTGATGCTGAAACTCAGTCGGCAGGGGTCGCAATCAGCTTTTCAAGAATTTCAAGACAGTTGCTTGCACAAAAGAATATAAGAGAAGAAAGGGAAAGCTCTCAGAACGCGGGGAGACCGCCAGATGAAAGGCGGTTGGCTACCGGGACTGATCCCGCCCGGCCATCACAGCGAGCTCCAGGGTCCTGCAGCGAATGAAACGGACCGGAGGAGCCCAAAGGGATCCACCGGAAACCTGTCGGCCACTGCCGATTAGATAAAGCTCCACCGAATATCGTTATAGCGAGGAAGAATGGTTGTCCGGTGCCGTGACGTAACGTAAACTCGCCCACTCAGTCACGGCCCGGGCCCGGATCAGTCAGGCTGTCTCGATTATGTGATATGCCAAGTCCCGCTCTTCCACTGATCTTGCCGCCAGAAGTTCTGCAGCCCCACTTACACCGGCCCGGGTGAGTCCTTCGTTTGCTAACAACACCTTTTTTTTTTTTGCTTATCGAAAGCAATGTCCATCAGGACTCCGTACCTGACAGATAAGCTAGACTGCTGCCCCACAGATCAGATAACTTTCGAGATAATGTGAATACCACCGTAGTCAACTTCGGGTGAGGTATACAATCAATCTATGGAAACAAATTCATTGCCTTCCACCTCGTCAATGGGGTGTACTCTGGGCACTATTTTCAACAGCAGATAAATATGAAGCGTACCTCCTGCTTTATAACATGATTCCCCACAGCAAAGTCTACGCAATCCACCACCAAAACCTTTGTAGCCAGTTACGCGGTACCTTCTCAACCTCCTCTTCACACAGCCGATCAATCTCCTCTCTGCCAAAGAAGATATCAATATCCGCCGCTGGGACCATCCAAGGGGTGCGATACCAGATCTTGTGGTCGAAATATAAAACGAAGAATATGGCGAAAACAACATACGACACGAGGAATCCCGAGGCTGTGAATGCGCCAGGGAAGAATATCGTATAGCCGTTAGTAATGGCCAGCAGGGACACCACAACAATCGCATAGTAGACACCCCGTGGCTGGAATGGCGTTTTGAAAGGTCGAGAATCGAGAAGGCCATGAACATCCAAAGCCCGGCGAAAGCGCTGAGCCACGTTGTCAGCTAAAATATCTGGAATTATGGCCGGGAGAGAAGGAACTAACCAGATAAGCGACACCAACGAGAACCCACGAGATGAATCCTCCAACCGTGGTGATATTAGTGAACCAGTAGAAGGCATTCGAGCCCGAGTTGGAGAGGTTCAAATAAGATAGCAGACCAATCGCCCAGGTGATTAAGACAACAACGTATGGTACTCCATCCTTAGTGCAGCGGGTAAAGATCTTGGTGTGCCTGACCCTCGCATGCCATGGAGTACAAGGTACGTGATACAGCATAGACCCAAGAGTTCCTGATGACCAAGCAGAGGTGAGAATAGCTGCGTTGATAACATGGTTCAGTCCGATACCAGCATTCTGAATGCCGACCTCGAACGGACTAGCGCTTGCGCCAGATCCTCCACTGGCCACACCCTGTAGCAGATTCTTGTCATTCTAAGCCACAGTCACTCCGATGACGAGGGTGCCCATGACATAGAATGTGAACAGGTGGTAGATCAAACGATTCGTAGCCTTGGGGATGTTCCGACGAGGGGAGACAGCTTCTCCAGCGGTTGTGGCGATCAGCTCAGGAGAGAAAATGAACGAGAATCCTGATTTGATCAATGCTGTCCAGAAAGCCAGGAATCTCCCAGTGTTGACATTTGGTACGAGATAGGGCTCCACAAAGGCACCCGGATTCTCCCAATAACGGAATCCTAGTCGGTCATAATTGGGACCTCCACCAAAGAAAAGAATCACACCGACGATGATTAGGCCGATGATAGCGATGATCTTCAATGACGCAAACTAGAACTCAGCTTCTCCATACCAAGATACAGCAATAATATTCAGAAGGAGATTGACTGGAAATGAACGCACTTCAGTTAGATCATACCGCATTCGTCACAGCGGGGAGCGACTGACCAACAAGAACAATTGTAATCCATACACCGACAGTAACTGATGAAGGCCAATATTGAATAACAAGTCCAGCGGCCGTCACTTCAGATGCAGTCAGCATGGCAAAGGAGTACCAGTAGTTGTAGCCTAGAACTGGTTAGTTCCAGAACAATGTATTCCTGCAGAATGACACGGCTGACCAATAGCGAATCCCAGGCTTGGCTCTGTAAATCGGTTGATGAAATATGGGACGGAAACACCGCGCATAGGCAGGTAGGTGGTCATTTCGCCCAGTATATTCATGATGAATACACGACAGTAGATATGGCAATATATCCCATGAGCAAAGGCGCTATAAAAACTGTTAGTTCGGGATAACAATCTCACTGTAAAATGTAGCTTCCGGCAAGTCCTGTAGTAGACACATCCTCGAAAATATATCCAGACCACAAGCTTACCAGGGCCAACAGTGGACAATGATTGTCCGCTACCAACAAACAATCCAGTCCCAATACAACCACCTAGCGCCAGGAATTGAACATGTCGGGAACTCAATCCACGATGAACTTCTGAATTGGGAAGATCACCCAGTTGGCCCGGTACCGGCTTCATGTCATCGTCGGGAGGTGTAATTACAACACCCTCCTCCAGACCTTTGGATGATAATCCCATAGTGAGTGCAATCAAAAATTAAGTTTGTTTGAAAGAACGAAGAAATACGCCCAAGAAAATATATACCGATGGCGCAATGAATTGCTTATATACGCAAAACTCGAGAAAGCAATCGCTATCTGTACCTGGAAGGATCGTCTCTAATCTCACAAGAACACCTAGATGGTAGATGCGCAATTGGAAGAGTACAGAGAAATACGCTTTGCAATCGCGACATCAAACAGCAGATTGGATAGATTGAAGTCATTATCAGGACGAGCGCAGATATGTTTTAACATCGCGGAGACCGCACTCGTTGTGGAGTCCTGGGACAGCGATAAGAACTTTTGGGGTCGGTCTCCAAGGTCTTATCGCTTCGGAAGTCTTCCTATTAGGATCAGTGAGTTTCCATGAGTTGGATGTATGTCAAATTGAAATTGATCATACGAGTCATACATGTCGACTCTTGTCTCACGAGTTCCCGTGATGTTGTCGACCTTTTCTAGCAAGAATTATAAGACGCCCAGTCTCTAGGTTACAATCGAAAAGCTTTATGTTCCAAGTCTAATAACTGGAAATGCGTATTTAAAGCTGGGAATTCGATACAAGAAAACATAAGTACTTTGACTCGAATCCAGTGTAGAGCGAACATGCTTTTTCGGTGCGGCAAGAAGCCATCAAGAGCATACAATATTTGACGAGGAAGTGTCTTGTACATACTACAATTTCCGAGTTCGATTTGGCCTCAGCTCGACTTGGTCATGATAATGCATCCAGAGAACCTCGATGCTTCTGGCGTGAGTTGGGAAGAGCAATTAGGGAATCTTCGTCCCTAGTGGCACAGCAATAATATCGTAATCTCGGCATTGAAAAATCAACCAGACCTGCGCCGTGGTTCTCCGCATCCAAGGAGAAACGCTTTCGCGCGAAAAAATTAAGGCATCACTCTTGGATAGATTTGACCCTGTGGATTTCGTTGCGGGATCCGAGCGACCAGCTACCGGCGAAAACTCGGCTTGGACATGAAGGAGTCTAGTTGATCTCGTAAATTGTAATGCTGGTCTTTTCCAATCATGCCTTCCATCATTCAATATAGTAATCATGCCTAATAATTGATGCAACTATTCACTGAGGATCAAGGTCTTGTGACCGATAGACATTGATGGTAATCACGTGATGCAACCGGTCGGCTAGGAGCGGCGGGTCCAGTGCTTCTTTCCTTCTTTCAGACGCCCGGCTCTGTTGCCGGTCACCTTCGGCCCGGAGTCCAGTATGTAATCGCGGCGAGCAAGCGGTTTTCATTATGAATCGCTGACCACCTGATCGAGTGGGATGGAGGGGTATGTAAGCTATATAGCATGGTAGCCATTTGCTGTCCACAATAAAGAATCGAGATTGCCCCTGTCTTCTTCACCCAAGTTTATCTAGAGCCTCATCCTTCATCCTTCCCATACCTCACTATCTATACCTCTCCCACCACACCACCTACTATCGCCACCACTATCACTTGTCAACCATGAAAGCCGCACGCGCCGTGCGGATGCCCCGTGCCCAGGGCACCGCTGCTCGGGCCAATACGCGTCTGGTGAGCGGCACAAGCAACGCCAAATCGTCTGTGGCCGCCAGCACCTTACTTCACCCTCTATCGCCAACGCCTACCGCGTCGCCACCTCGGAAGGCACTGATAGCACCTCTCTCTAAGCTCCCTGTCTCGTCGGTTCTGCGGTCTTTGTTGATCCTCTCTGTTTCATCTTCACCTCTCTTGCTCAAGCCATGCATCTTTGCTCTCTCTCGCCTGGCACACCCTCGCTCAGCGTTGTGGGATGTGTCCAAGAACCCACTTCTGAATATGCTTGTGAAGAACACTATTTACAAGCAATTCAATGCCGGTGAGAACAAGGCCGAAGTGCAACGCTCGATCCAGAACATCAAGGCCCTTGGATGCCGTGGTGTGCTTCTGGGCTACGCTCGTGAGGTCCTCGTCGGCGAGAACCAGGATGCCACTCGCGATGAAAAGGCCGCTCTCGCTGAAATCCAGATGTGGCTGGACGGAACTCTCCGCACCGTTGATATGGCCCAGGAGGGAGACTTTGTTGCTTTGAAGTTCACCGGAATGGGCACTGATGCTCTTCGCCTCCTGCAGAAGGAGGCCGCTCCTACCGAGTTCATGGATGCCTCGATTCAGAAGGTCTGCGACTTGGCTATTTCTCGTCGTGTGCGCCTGCTCGTTGATGCTGAGGAGCAAGCTGTGCAGCCCGGCATCGAGGCATGGATCATGAAGTACCAGAAGTACTGCAACTCGCAGACCCCCGGTCGTGCCATCTTCTATGGTACCTACCAGGCATACCTTCGCTCAACTGGTGAGACTTTGGCCCGTCACCTGGAGACTGCCCGCCAGGAGGGATACACTCTGGGTGTGAAGCTCGTTCGCGGTGCCTACATGAAGACTGAACCTCGTCACTTGATCTGGGAGAAGAAAGAGGACACCGACCGCTGCTACGACGAGGTCGTCGAAGCTCTCCTCACCCGCAAGTACAACTCCATGCTGCAGCGCCCGTCGAAGGACACCCCCGTTGAGCTGCCCCCCGTGAACGTTATCATCGCTACCCACAACCGCGAATCCGTGCGCAAGGCCCATGCCATCCGGGTCCAGCAGGCAGCCAAGGGTGAGAACTATGGTGTCGACCTCAGCTATGCCCAGCTCCAGGGTATGGCAGACGAAGTTAGCCTCGAGCTCCTCCAGGGGTTTGAGAGTGCCGAGGCCGACGTTGGCATGACTCCCGCTGCCGCTCCTAATGTGTTCAAGCTCCTGACCTGGGGATCCGTCCAGGAATGCATGGGCTTCTTGCTGCGTCGGGCTGTTGAGAACACCGAGGCTGTTGGCCGCACTAAGGACTCTCAGATCGCGATGATCGATGAACTTAAGCGCCGCTGCCGGAACATCTTTGGCGGTAGCAACTAAGCCTGCATTTCATTGCTTGCATTTTGACGAAGTTCTTTACGGCCGCTTTTTCCTTTGTTTTGAAAAGATTCCCCATGCTTGTTTCTCCATTTTTTGAGGTCTCCATGGACCACGAGGGAACAGCTTTCTGCATTGCGTTTTACTGGGGATGCATTCATAGATGGCGTTAGCGTTTCATAAGCCATGGTTTTACTGTTGATAGCGATGAATTACAATACTAGGTGACTATATCTCTTACTTTCCCCCTAGATAACAAGTAATGTAGGCCGTGTCGGAACCACTTGCCCACTGCGCATGAGGCTAGATTAGTTACTTACTTGTTATTGATAATTGCACCGGGTAGGGGTGCGGTGCCTGTTTGGTAGGGGGGCTCCACTCAACCCCTCGCCGGTGCGGTTATCGGAGGGCCTCTCCGACCTTCTCCTCTATCAACATGTACATTCTACCTCGCTCATCATTCAATTAATATTCTTCTCATCAATACCGAGTTGAAAAAGTCCACTTCAAGTAGCTTGAACCGACCGCAACTAAAAATGCATATTCTCTCCGAGCCCGATGTGGCCCAGATCTTCCGCAGCTTGACCCAGTCACAATGCCATGAATTTATCAGCGTTCTGGGTGATGCTTTGGTCGCCATATCCGCCGAGTCCAAGCCAAATGTGCCTGCAACAGAGAAATTGATACATCAGCCACTTCGCACCGTCTTTGCCACAAAGGCAGACAACTCATGCATCTTTATGCCAGTGTCAGACACAGTCACTACAGGTGTCAAGGTTGTGACTGTGGCCAAGGGCGGAATCCAAGGTGTCATTAACATCTTCTCGCCCGATGGACGTCTGCAGGGTCTCCTCGCAGCCGCCGAGGTGACAGCTTTTCGAACGGCGTTGGCCTCAATGACGCTTTTCGTTCGAAGTACTGCAATTAGCAAGGAGAATGTCTTGGTCTTTGGATCGGGGCGTCAAGCCGAATGGCATGCCAGACTGGCACTGCTTTTGTACCCTGATCATATCAAACAAGTCACATTCGTCAACCGCGGCCGTCAACGACTAGAAGAAATGGAGCACTCTGTGTTCAACGATCTGCGTCAACGCTATCCCAATGTATCCGTCAATACCCTCGCCAAAGAGGATACTCCGGACTATGACCAGCGACTTCTCGCAGAGCTTCAAGCCTGCGATGTAATCTTCAGCTGCACGCCCTCCCTCATGCCAAACTTCTCTTATTCCGCGCTTCAGTCTGCGCCCAAACAGCGCTTTATCTCCCTTATTGGATCTTACAAGCCACCTATGCATGAAATTGATACCGAGACTCTGCTGTCGGGTGGAGGAAAGATCTATGTTGATTCTAAGTCTGCTTGCTTGGAGGAATCGGGTGAGCTTATTACGGCGAAAATTACCGAGGACCACTTGACCGAGATGGGTGACCTCCTTGGGGAATTGGGTCCATCGGATGCAATTGCTGTTCCGAACGGGGCGAATGTGATTTATAAGTGTGTGGGAATGGGTTTGATGGATTTGGTGGTTGGGAAGAAGGTGCTTGAGGTTGGGAAAGCGGGTGGATTGGGTACGCATGTTGATGGATTCTAGGGATTCTGGTGCTGGGCTTCTGAGAATGAATATCTTTTTCATGAGAATTCCTTTCTCGTTGCACATGATATTCCAAACAGGATTCGTTGACAATCTTGTTTTATTCAATCGCAGCCCCTAGTTTGGATATGATTTGGGGGCCATACTCGATTGCTACAGTAGAAAGTAAACCTCCCTAATCCGTGGTGCGATGGCAGAAAGATGTCTGATGAACAGAATAAGCTTACGAGAACCGCATAACTGCTCCAATTATATCGATCTCAGTGAAGAGAGGGTGGTGAAAACAGGTATCTTCCGGTGGATATACTCCAGTGCCGAGCGACTAAAAAAGCGGAGGACAAGGAAAACCATAAATTGGGGAGGAAAAAAGGCAGTTCTGCTAGAATGCGGGGCCACGACGAACCGATGCGTTATCGACTCAGATGCCGTTTCGACTCTCCCGTCTGAACTTTCTCCTCCGCAAACTCCGCCTCTCCAAGCCAACATCCGATCCCCCCGACATATCTGACAAATCCCTGGTCCTTCGGCCTGCCTGTCTGCTGGACTAGCGTGCTCCAACATTGCCTGCCCCCGGGGCAAACCCCAACTCCGCCCTGTCCACCTTCTCCGCAGACGATGCCCGGCCGACCGCACCTTCGTTGATACCGCCCGCTATGGACGACTCGACTTCAGCACCAGTGCAGCCACCACCACCACCACCACCACTACAGCAGCAGCAGCCTAAACGCCCTCGAGTGGCCGAAGAGAATCGCAAACGAGCTGTCCGAGCGTATGTCGGCTTTCCCGCCATGCATGTGCATTGCGTCCTTATCGCGCTAACATACACCGGTCTCGTGCAGATGTGATGGTTGTCGCAGAGTGAAAGAGAAATGCGAGGGTGGTGTACCCTGTCGCCGATGCCTTCGCTATCGCCGGCAATGTATCTTTACACACATCGATCCTGCTGAGAAGGGCCGATCGGCTTCTGTCTCGTGAGTTCGGCGCTATCGGAAAGCTGTATTGCCATGCTGACGAATCCATTTTTGGCGTGTATAGGCTGCTCGAGCGAGCTGCGTCGCTGAGTCGGCATGACATTCAAGAAGCAGAGCGGGTGCGCTACATGGAGCGCATTCTGTCGTACTATGTCCCCAGTATTACCTTTGATATTCAGTCACTTCGCCAGGCCGCGGAAGAGCTGAAAAGCAAACACCGTGACTCGGAGTCGGATGTACTCTCTATGAAAGCCGATGCGAATGATTTGGAAGACTTGGCAATTGAGGAAGAGGACTTTACGATCAAAGCACTTCCAGACAATACAACCGGTACGTTCGCAACCTAAAGGATGGCAGCATCGCCGAGCACGAGCTAATTAATTGGACAGAATATTCTGGAGAGTTTTCTTATCTTAATTTCTCTAACAAGATTCGAAAGAAAATTGATGAGTGGATGAAGACGGCGGCACCGGAAGTAAGGGCTTCCTTCTCCCCAGCGAGTCATGACATGCAACCTTTACTAACGAGAGTTCTTACAGGCTACTACCGAAGTTGAGCCATTTGAAGACCGATGGCGGGCTACCCAGCTTCAATCCGGATCTTCATTAGTCTCAGCCTCCATTACATGTCTCCCTCCGCGCTATGTTGCAGACTTCCTGGTCCAGATCTTCTTCAAATATGCACAGACGAATAATTTCTACGTTGAAGAGGACTGGCTTCAGGAGAAAGTGAATATATGCTATACTAACCCATCAAGTCTGTCCTCTGATGATGCGGGGGCAGTCTGCGCTCTGCTGATGGTCTTGGCTGTTGGTACACAATTTGCACATATGGAATCAACAACCCCAGTAAATCGCCCACCTCCAACCGCTGCCACCACCGACCAGGACCACCATTTCTCCGAGGACGAGGTCGGCCTCACATTCTATCAATTCGCGTCAAAATTGTTACCGGACATTATTGCCACGGCCTCAGTGCGGAGTGTGCAAGCTTGTCTATTGATAGGCACATACCTGCTACCTCTGGACACTTCAGGTCTATGCTACACCTACTTTGGTTTGGCTTTGAAATTGGCCATTCAGAATGGCATGCATAGAAGATATCACGGTGAAGGACTCTCGCCTCGAATGATTGAGACACGAAACCGAGTGTTTTGGACTGCTTATACAATCGAAAAACGCATCAGTATTCTGCACGGCCGACCAGCGTCGCTAGCGGATGTGGACGTCGATGCACCGCTTCCTGTGGATTTTCCAGGGATCATGCCAGCAACGCAGCAGTCAAACCATACAAACATGATAGCCCTGATCACCCTTACTCTGAAACTTGGAGAGGTCTCGAATGAGATCTCATCGCTGCGGACTTGTCGAAAGGGGCAAGAGCAAGATTGTCTGGAACGACTGCTCAACATCCGGAAACACTTGGTAGAATGGTGGTCCACTCTCCCGGAGGAGACAAATTGCCGCGACCTGAACCCAGCTGGTCCATTGTTCAGGTCTAACGTCCATTTGAAGCTTGATTACTGTCTTACCCGGATTTTCATCGGGCGCCCTTTCCTATTCAGCAATATTAAGGGCTTATACCAGACTCCTTCCCACGCCGCCACATTAAAGGGTCCATCTGGAATGGCAAAGAATCGGGCGACCCTGGTCACAGACTGCGTCGAAGCAGCTCTGGAAATCATCGACCTGTGTCGCCTTCTTCGAGACGAAACTGGCCTGGCGCGCGCCTCTTTTACTGAATTCAGTTCGTGCCGTGCAGCCCTCCTGGTCATCTTAGCCCAAGGCTTGACGAAGCGCACAGAGCGCCTGGGTGCAGCTCTCGACCAAGGCATTTCCCTAATCAAGATCATGTCTATGGGTGTTGGCTCTGCACGTTCGGCTGTGAGCGTCATTGAGGCCCTTGAGCGAGCCATACGACGTCTTGAGCTTTGGAGCGAAACCCACCAGTCTCAAAGCAACGGTGGCGGCATTGAATCTGCCTATGATCGTTTCAAAAACTGGGAGATGCTATGGAAAACCGGACCCGTGTCACCTACAACCATGGCATGGAAACGAGAGGCGTATACCAACGATCCTGCTATGCAGCAAGGCATGAACCACCCAGCCCCCGATCCCTCCGTGGCAGAATCTGTTTTGGCAGGAGTACCCATCACGCCTCCAGTCTTACCGCCAAATAGTGGGCATGACTCTCATTCGGCGCTTGGCGGCCATGAGCACGAGATCCTTGAAGGCGAAATTCCAGGCACTGGTCTTTCGATTCCGGACGGCTACCCTGTCTCTCATCAGTCACTTTCACAGATGCCTCATTTCGGGTTTGATCATTTTGTTTCCAATTTCCCACAGGAGCTGGGTGAATTTACGGCTATCCCATGCTTTGAGCCAGATACACAGGGTAACCATTCTGGCTTGCCTGTAGGTACAGAGCTGAAGACCCCTGGTAGTACAGACTCGCATTGGTTGCAGTTCATGAACGAGTGAAGGGCTGTCTTCCAATGTGTCCCATTTGAGATGGCGATGTGTGTCTTCGGAATTTTTTGGTCGGCGTCATTGGTTTTCTTTTATACCACATCTTGCAAATCTGTTCATTTTCCACATTTACTGTTTATAGAGAGCTCGACTCTCGGATTATAGCAAGTACCTATAGTCCTCTCTTCGCCTTTCAATTGAAAATAACATATTTGGCATATTCACATCGGTTTTGACATGGGGTAAACATGTCCCCTATAGCAGCAAGTAAAGTACAAAATGGTATCGCTAATCGAACACAATCTTCTTTCCCTCGAACTTCGCCGTAGATGCTTGCTCCTTGAGCTTCCGCTTTGCCTCCCACGACGGATGCAGAGGCCCAGTATCCTTTGGAGGATTCCTAGGCTTGTTTCCATGACTTTGCCCAGCGCCCGAGCGATCATCATAACGATTCTGAGGACGTCCTGCACCGAATCCATCCCTTCCACCACGAGGACCTCCTCGTCCACGAGCACCATCACTCGCTCCCTTGCGAGTATCCCATCCGCTATCCCGACTCCGCCTCTGCTTCCTTTGCTCCTCCTGGATATGATTCGCTCCAGCACCATACTTCTTCTCCCAGAGCGCGCGACGGGCTTGTTGACCCATGCGATTCTTGCGCTTGGGTGGACCGGCGGCTGCTTCGTCGTCGGTAGCCTCCTCCTCGGAGCCAGACCAGTAACCGCCCATCGTGAGGGAAGGAAGAAATGTTGTGCTTTGCACTGGGTCCTTGGAAGCCTTGGCTCCCTTGGCCTTCTTCGGTGGTGGTGAGTCCTCGGCAGATAAGTCTGGGGACGGTGAGCGGGAGATCGACTCGGAGATGTCATCGCCCAGGGCTTGCCTGTGCACATTCTCGATGTCGTCGTCTGACCCTGATTCATCCTCGGAACCGGAGCCTGGGGCTAGGCGGGATTCGAACTGAGCAAGGTCTTCGCTGTCAAAGTCTTCCTCGCCGGAGACGCTCAAGTCTTGCTGGTCTGCGGAATCTGGTTGTCGATCCTTGTCTGCTGATGATTTCCGTGGCTCCTTTGGTTGCTCTTCCTCGTTTTCTGACTCGGATACATCGTCCTGTCGAGCTGCGAGTTTCGCTTTCTTAGGCGCATCTTTCTTGGCACCAGATTTGTCTGACTTCCCGGCGGGCGCATCTTCCACCCCCAGGAGTTTCCGGATTCCGTTCATGATATCGGGCATCACATTTTTCACAGGTGTGGACTTGAACAGCCGACCATGCACATTGGACTCGGCGGCACTCTTCGGTCCCTCGGTAGATACATTCTTGGCTTCTTGAAATTCTTTGAATGTCGGTGATTCCGCAATCCGCTTCGTCTTGACGAGTTGTTTGAAAAGATATCGCTCTGCTGTGATCGGGTAATCGATAGCCTAAATATACCAAAACTGAGTTAGTTTGGAAAGTTCTAAAGCAGTCGTCTAATCCAAGTATTTATTACCTTCAATGCCTCCACCTCCTCCGCCAGTCGCGCCAACGTTGCAGCATTACCGTCAGCCTTGGCGGTCTTCTCGCGTCGGCTGAGTTTTTGTCTTTCGAAACCCCGTGCAGTCTTGAGACCCTTTGTTAGGATTTGTACGCCTTGCTCGAACTTGGTGGTTAGCCGGACGGCCTTAATCGACAATTTGCGGGTGTCGAGTCGCGATGGAACGTTCAGCTCGGAGAGCTTGCGCTTGGGCATTTTGGTGGTCGTGAATGGACACCAGTGCGATGTATTTGTTGCTATAGATGTGAGTAACAACCCAGGGCGAAAATAAACGAGCAAGGCTGAATCCGTCTAAATTTATTGCAGAGCTTGAAGTGTTCGATATATGCGGAGCTTTTTTTTTTTTTCTTAGCGGGCGGACCTTTTGCCAAGATCCTCCGCCTCCGGGCACGGATGGAATACGGGCAGCTTTGTATCCAATGCGACCCAATGCTGAGCTCTTTAGTGGCAATTAAATTCCTACCTCTGCTCTTATTTGCGTTCTGGTAATTGTGGTGCAAGTATTAATCAATTATCATAGATCCAATTGAGCGGTCTTAATCCAGGAGTGCTGGTCTTAGACCACTCCTGTAGGGGACAGACAACTAGCTATATATCTAAATGCTATGTCTTGGCACGAATTTGGGTGAGGAACACCATCGATTAACGATATGTACATACAAACATGGTAATGAAAATTGATACGCGTACAATCCCTTTCTATTTCTTTTCTTCCTCCTTGGGCTCTGGCTTGGGAGTGGGCAACTTGAACTGTAAACCAAGTTTGTTAGCGAATGCTCGAGAGTAAAAATCCTAAAATGTCACTTACCGACTCGGGCCTCCGATCCTGGCCAGAACCAACAGGCTCCCAGGCAGTAGAGCCACTCTCGAAGTTACGGAAGGCCTGGGTGAGCTCAAGGGGCTCAATGACGATGCGCTTCTTCTCCTCGTCGTAGCGGAGCTCAGTGTAACCAGTCAAGGGGAAGTCCTTGCGCAGGGGGTGACCGTCGAAACCGTAGTCAGTCATGATACGGCGCAGATCGGGGTGTCCAGAGAAGAAGACACCGAACATGTCGTAAACCTCACGCTCGTACCACAGGGCACCCTCAAACAGACCAGTAACACTGGGAACGGGAGTGGCCTCGTCCGCGTAGGTCTTGACACGGATGCGGGAGTTATAACGGACGCTCAGCAGGTTGTAAACGACTTCGAAACGCTGGTCACGGGTGGGGAAGTCGACACCAGTGATATCGGAGATCTGGGTGAACTCGGCGGAGGTGTGGTTCTTGAGGAAGCTCATAACGGGGACAACGCCGGCGGGAGCAGTGTAAACAGTGAGTTCATCCTTCCAGACAGTGAATTGCTGGATGTACTTGGGCAGGCAGGACATGATGTACTGTCCGTAGCTGTGCAGACCATCGGCCATGTGTTGGTACTTGTCGGTAGGGTTGACGACAGGGGCGCGGAGGGGGCCCACGGCTGCACGAGAGCGATTCAATTAGTCCAATTGCACCCTCAAAATATCACTAGAGTCATCCACATACGAGGCCGTTGCGCCTGGCGCATGTTCTCAGGCTCCGAGGCGCCCGGTTCTGTTGATGCCTTCGCGGCATATCGCAGCGAAGACGAGGAAAAGGCACGAGGAGCATTGGACCTCGCAGCTGAAGCCACAGAGCGTCCAGAGCTCAGGCGCAGTAGAGAGCGAGCGGATGCCATTCTGGGACGGGGAGCAATGGCTGCAACAAGAGGGGACGAAGGCACGTAAGGCGGATTGTGAGGATGGAGGTTGGTCGAACCTGCCCGGAATCACGTGCCGCTGACATAATACACTGCCACGCTAAACGCCATCGGGCAATGCCAGCAAAATGAAGCCGCGCTTCAATTTCCTTTCTTCTCCTTCGCCGTCCACCTTCTCCACCCCCCAACTCATCACCTCTCTTTCCTTCTCTTCCTCTTTCCTCTCTTCATTCCGTTTCTTTGCTTCACTCTGGCTCCGGAGTCGCGTCCTCGTCTCTTTTTAATTTCTGCAACTACCGTTCCGCTTGGGTTCTGGCGTTGAGATTCCCAGTGTCGCTTTCCCCGTTCACACTACCTTTACTGCGACCATGTCTTCCAGTCGCCAACAGATCGACTCCGTCATCGACGATGACGATGAGTTCTGGTATGTGATGACTCCTCAGAATATTATGCGTGTTGGCCACTGACTCTCTTCAAGCCCCCTTTGCATCGAAGAGTTCGACCTTTCGGATAAGAACTTTAAGCCATGTCCCTGTGGGTATCAGGTATGTCAAAATGGACCTTCATATTCGCCACTACTCCCTTTTTTCCCTTGACGTCCTCCTTTCCGAGGCACTGACATACGATATCTCAGATCTGCCAATTCTGTTACAACAACATCAAAACCCACAGCGAAGAAGGCCGATGCCCGAACTGCCGCCGTCCTTACGATGAGAGCACCATTCAATACAAGATCCCTGATGCGGAAGAGTTAGTGATAAATCATCTTCGTCCCCTCCAACCACCACATGTCCGCGCGACTAATCCGTTGATTCTACAATATAGATTCAAGGCAGACTTGGCACTGAAGCATAGGAAGGCCGCCGCAGCTAAGAAAAAGGAAGCCGAAAAGCGCGAAATCGAAGCTTCCAGCCGAAAGAATTTAGCAGGCGTCCGTGTCGTCCAAAAGAACTTGGTATACGTCATCGGCCTGAACCCGACGATTCGCGACGAGAACCAGCTGCTACAGACACTCCGTGGGCGAGAATACTTTGGTCAATATGGCGATATTGAGAAAATCGTGGTCAGCAAGGCTAAGCCCGGCGGCAATCCTCATCAGGGAATCGGTGTCTATGTCACCTTTTCTCGGAAGATTGATGCTGCTACTTGCATTGCTGCTGTAGATGGTTCCGCAAATGGTGACCGTGTTCTAAGGGCTCAATATGGGACAACCAAATATTGCTCATCCTTCCTTCGCAACGAGCAGTGCAACAACCGCAACTGTACCTTTTTGCACGAGACAGGAGAAGACAGTGAAAGCTACAGTCGTTCGGATCTTTCGTCTATGAACACACTGTCCAGCCAGCGGCCAAGCCACCCCCAACCCACTCCTCATGTTCGCCCGAGCCAGCCTATTACGCACACAATGCGTCGACAACCCAGCAAAGACGACTCGATTAGTGGGCGATCGGGACCACCAGACGGACCCGCGCTTCCATCGTCTGCTAGCTGGGCAAACAAGGACGCCACCATTCGTACTAGACGAGCCAGCTTGACTGGTAGCCAGGCTTCTCAGAGCCCGCGACCTGCGAGTGTTACCGTTGCTACACCAGTCGAGGAACCCAAGCGGGTCGAGAGACCGTCTCCTGTTGCTCAGGAAGCGCAGCGGATCTCTCAACCTGTTTCACGATCTCCAACTGTCCAACCCCCGGTCCAGCACGCTCAGCCACCAACCCCCGAGCCACCAGCGCCAACACCATTCGACAACCTCGTGAAAGATTTAATGAATCCCAATTTCAAGTTCATATTCTCCACTGCCGATCTGCCAGACGACGAGGTCAAGGCGATTCAGTCCTATCCATCGTTCATTGATCCGTACGGCGGTGTCAAGCGTCGGGCGATGCGAGAGAAGGCTGAACAGGACCGTCTCAAGCGTGAACAAGAGCTGATTCAGTCTGCTACTGTCGAGGAGGAGAGTCGTGAGGCTGGCAGCCTGCAACTTGGTGGCGAGCCGGAGGAGTCTAATCAACCGCGTGGTCCTCAGCAGTCTCGTGAAACTCACGGCGCCATTCAACCACCTTCCCAGCAAGGCACTGCTGACAACTCCACAGTTGGCTCCCCAGTGTCTGCGTCGAGTCACCACTTCCAAGGGTTAAATTTGGCAGGCAGAAGCTTGACACCCTTGCAGCAGCAACAGTTGATGCTACTCAAGTCAGCTGGTAACCAGCAAGCTGGTCTTGCCGAGCATCTGAGCTCCGCTGCTCTGGACCAAGCCACCCAGCTCCGCCAAGGCTTGTTGCACAATCAGATGGCACAATTCAATGCGCTACAGGGCCAAAGCCGCCAATCATCACGGTTCACCTTCGCGAACGATGTTGGTTCTAAGAATATCAGCAACGCACGCATGTTGAGTCAGATGCAGGCTGGGACTCCCAACCCATTGTCCGCCCCTAGCCCCCAGCATGCTCTTGCCGGTGGATTCTATGCAAGTGGTGTGCAGGGCCCTCCCCCGGGCTTGAAGACGGCTGGAACTCCTCCGATCAGCGGTGGTGGTATGTTTGCACAGGGTCATGGGTTTACTGCGAATGCCAATATTGGACTGGGATCCAACGTGGGAAAACAAGATGCGACACCTGAGTTGATGCGTGAATTACTTCGTGGCCGAGGCGGCACGAACATTGGTGGTGTACAGGGCCAGGAGGCCGCAAAGCGTGAGTTCATGTTTCCTTTTCTTCAACAGCACCCAACCCCACCTCCCTTGACTCCCGTCAACGGCCTTCTCAGCTCTTTCTATGGGTCCCAGACAGGTTCCGTACTTGACTCTGGTGGCGCGCAGAAGCAGAAGAAGAAGGGGAAGAAGCAGAGACACGCTAACACTTCCTCCGGTGGAGGCGGTGTAGTAGATCTTGCGGACCCGAGCATTTTGCAGGCGAGGATGCATCAGGTCGGTGCCAATGCTACTGCTGGGCAGGCGTTGTACGGGAGCCAGGGTCAAGGTGGGTACAACCCCTCGATGATGTATAGCGGCGGTGGTTTTAGCCGCTGGTGAATGATTGTCCCTTTTTCTTTGTTTTTTCTTCCCTTTATACCTTTTGCACTCTATACCATGTTTATGATTTCCCTTTGCATTCCTCGCTCGCGGTCTGTTGTCATGATTTTTCAAAATGTGCTTTGATGGGGCTCTATTCCTGACGACCTTATACTTTCCCCCCTGGTACCTCTTTTTCTCCTCACTACACGTCGGGCTTGCATCTGTCTTTTTTTTTGCCCTTTTAAAAAACAGGGCTAGCAGCTCTGGCTCAATGCGACGGGCTAGCGTGCCCTGGGCGTATTGTGACGGGCTTTGAATTCTTCTTTTATCTTTCTATATGTTTTACACTGCCCTTGTTCCCTCGATTTCCGAGGGGTTTTGCATTTCATGGGCCTATCGCATGTACTACGGTCCTTTTTTCCTACCCGGCGGCTTTTTTTACCCTCTTATCCTTTTTTCTGATATTGCATTCGGCTCTTCATTCGACTGCCTGCAGCGTCTTGAGGACCGTGGATGGTTTTCTCATGGATTGATGTACGTTAAGACCTCCCTACCCTGATATCGCCATTCTTGGAACAGGGTCTTATTCGAAACCAGTTGTCTCACAGCCATTGTCCATAGACCCCCTGCCCTACCTTGTACCTGGCCCGTATGGGACAGTGCCCATCATGTAATGACCGTTTGGCGCGCCTGTATTTTGCAAAGCGCTCCTGATTAGTCCTGCCGCGTGACCGTTGCTTGCCCTGCATCCGGATACATGACACCATTCGCCTGCTGCATCTCGTTGATACTCATTGCAACTTTGATAGTGCAAGGTGGCTGACTAGACTTTGACAGTGAACGAAGATTTCCCTCCATTAGGTGGACAACTGAAAGATGCTCAACCCGTTGATACTTTCGGATTTCTCAAGTCCCAGCTACCCAATGATTCTGCTGGGCGTGTTGGGACCCCGTCTCTGCCTCCAGGGCTCCCGCTGCCACAATCCCATCCAGCCTCCGCAGTGTTTCAAGACCAATTAAGCCTGTCGAAACCATCGTCCCCGGCGCCGAGTGTGCCTCCCGGCTTGGATGTGAATATCTCCCGGGGTGGTACCCCGTCTCAGAAGAGCCCATCAACTGGACCTTCAGCCCTGACACCCGAGCTTCCTTCTCGCACGATCACCGCGTCTGCTCGCGCCAAGGATGTGTCTCAGATCTCCCTGGGTTCTCCTGTGCCCAAGTCCGCGAACAAATCTCGAATTATGACCAAGCTAGACTTGTCTACGCTGGACACCAAGCCAGTTCCCGCGAAAGCTGGTCAAAGCCCTCCCATTGGCACTAAAACAAGCCCGATTTCTTTGAATTTGAATTTGAATTTGAATTTGAATTTGAATGGCCAAGAAACTGCATCGGCCAAGTCTGAGCGAGTCCTGTCTGGTACCCCGATGTCTGGACCTGGGTCTGTTTCTGCAATTGGATCGCGCCCTAATACCCCCTTGACCACTGTCTCTCGTGTCTCGGACTCATCCGTTCTCCGTCAGCCACGCATTCTGCGTGTGGTAGACACTCCAAAGACCGAGGTTCCCCCTCCGAGTATAAACGGGCCGTCCGCGTCCGTGTCTACCGCCAAGTCTGGCAAACCCCAATCCCGGAGACAGAGCATTTCATCCAGTAGCCGGCCAGATACACCTGGAGATTTTGGCTCTGAGACTGATCTTTTCCCCTCGGCCTCCGTGTCTCGTGCCAGCTCTCCGCCAGCTGCATCGCGCATTGGTTCCGCCCCTGTTCGATCCATCACGAAAAGTCAACTGAAAAAGGAAAGACGACAGAAGGCGAAGGAAGCCGAGGCCAAGCAAGTGGAGTCTGTAGCTCCTGAAGAGCCTGTCCAAGCCCCTATCCTTGGGCGCAAGCGTAAGACCAAGAAGGCACCCACCACGGCTACATCCTCTGCGGATACTGCCCCTACACCTATGCCTGAGCCTGCAATCCCTGTCAAAACTCCTGCTTCATCTCCGAAGAAGGTGGATCCAAAGCCTGAACCTGCCAAGAAAGTGAAGGAAAAGGAGCGGCAGCCTGTTCAAGAGGTCAAGCCGGCTCCTCTGGTAGAGCAGCCCGCACCACCTCAAGCTCCTCCGGAGCCCTGGCGCTCTCACAACACGGTAGAGCAACTCATCAAAGATGCTGAAGAGTCCGGTCGTCCAATCAAGGACCTCTTTGTGGAAAGAACCAAGTCTCTTCACGAAGTGCTCGCCGAGATGCACAAGTCCGGTGAGCTGGACTTGAACAAAAGCTCGTTGTTTAACCCGGCCAACCTCGGGCAGCGTACTGATATGAAGGGCGTTGATTCCGATTACTTCTTGCTCAAGCAACCCCTGGAGCTCTTTGAGTCGCATCGCCGTGCTCTTATGCGCGGTCAGCCAGTGCGAATTGACGCCGAGCAGCTCTCAGATCGTTGTTTGATCACCCCACGTGGCTGCGTGCTTCGTCACCTCTCAGCCGAGGAAGAGGATCGATATCTGGAGCTGGAGAAGCAGCGAGGTGGGGCCATGGATCCCTTTGTGGTCGGCGACGATTCGAGCAACATCAATGGTGGACTGGATGCCCTCTTCGCGACACCCGAGAAGTACAATATCTGCTGGGTAGACGACAACTCCACCCACATGGGCTCCACTTCCCCCGCTGGTACCGTGAATGGTGCTGACTCGGTCATTCCTCCTAACGTTCTGTCGGCTATGGAAGCAGACAGCGAGCGCAGTCACGATTGGGCCGTTGCCCATTCTGCTGAGCTCCTTCAGACCACTACTGCTGCTGTTCGTTCCTTTGCTGCCGCGACTGCCAAGCAGATGCTGGGCTCTGCTGGTGTACCTGGAGCCAATCCCAGCCTCGACGACGTTGCCGCCATGACCAATGAAGAGCTCAAGGAACTCGCTGGTCAATCTCAGAAGGAATTGGAGAGCAATCGCAAGGAGTTGGATATGCTGGACAAGAAGCTTGCTGCTCTGCTTCGTCGAAACAAGAAAATCCAACTGGCCGCTCTGGCTCTCGCGGAGGAGGCGTGATATTCGCAAGTATCGAGGATCAGGTTTACTGTGTGGAGGGTTCATTAGGTCTTTGAAATCGTGTCTCAGGGTCACGATTTCGCCATGTATGATTATTGTCTAGTTATTAGCACAGAGGTATCAATACCGTGAAAGTCTAGATTTTTTTTCATTCTGAGTAGATTCATATGTACATGTTAAACTAAGACAATGGATGGATTGTTGTTTGTCCCCCTCCAGGAGGTAGTCAATTGTTGATTTCGGTCCACTGAAAGAACTCAAAGTCATTCCTTTTGCTGTCCCTACACGTTTTGCTGACAAAATCCCCAATTTCCACTCATCCTGGTTGACTGCATATGGCTCGGATGCGACGCAAAATTTTCCGAGCAAAAAGCAAACAATCTCTCCGATCAAGTCGTATCTCGGCTCGTTTCTACCATCATACACCATCGAAGCGCCTTGCCCTCATCAATACAGGGTCATCAATACGAAAGGAATCGACCGAGCTCCTTCATTTGCTGGAGTGCCAGGTCTGAAACGGTCCTTCAATACAGCGGGCCCAGCCCTGCGTGTGGCGCTTGCGCAACGTGATCTGCCCATTGAGGAAGGTGCATATATCTCCCCAGCGCAAAGTACTGGAGATGAAAAATTCTAACGGGCTTACATTTCTGTTGTACTTTTTACGACTCCGGAGAATGGAGGATATGGACCACTATCGCCAAGAAGAGTCGCGATCGACCCAGTAGCAATGTGCTACGGCGATCCCGCATGGGTGGGGTGGTGGGAGGCGCTTGTTTGTAGGTACATTCTTTGCGACAGGGCCCCTGGCATGGGATCGGCCACATTCCTTCCATAATTTCCATATCCTCTCTGGATTTTGGACTAGCCAAGGGCCACATGGGGGTCTGGTCTCTCTGATCCACGGAAATATTCCTGTTCCTGATGTCACTGAGAAAATGGGACCTACAGTATACGTTTATCTTGTGTGGCCACAATTTTTGCGCCTGCTCTTACCTGAATAAAGCCAGGCTGATGTATGTTGAAACGAGTGGCTTGCTGCACTAGTCGTCGGCACATGGTTTCTGGAAATCAAGTGTGACCGCTTCGATATCATTTGATGCTTGAAGCTAGCACGGGTCTTCGTGTCTGGGACCATGAGGGCCTCGATCTAGTGAGTTTGTCACTATAAAGCGGCCAGGATGTCAGGTCTCCTTTTACATAGAAGTATACTTTATATCAACGTTGTTGTTTGCTCCTTTTCGCTCATTTCTTGGCATTCGATCTAGATAATAAACCCTGGCGGCTTATTATCTGTTTCACTCCTTTGAAAAACGATACATTCATTCACTCATTATCCATTGATTCCGTCAAAGATGTATGGCTTATCCTTCATTTTGGGCACTACCCTTGCCATGACCTCGGCCGTCTCCTCCACAGGCATTATCATTCCTCTTTATGTGTGGCCTGCAGATGACAGCACTTGGAGTCCGGTCTATAACGCCATTTCAACGCACCCGAATATCCAGTTCCAAGTTATCGTGAACCCAGACAGTGGTCCAGGGGATACAAGTAAGGAGAGAACATGATTAAGAATGTAGAGAGATTTTCGAGTTAAAAGCTTCTAGCTTATCCCGATGACAACCTCATCAGTGGAGTCTCCACGCTAAACAGCTATGATAACGTCCATGTCATCGGCTACATTGCTACCAACTTTGCAGAACGTGAACAAGCGGAGGTTGACAGCCAGATCGCCACCTACAGTGGCTGGTCCTCCTACGCAGCGAAGAACATTTCGGTTTCTGGAATCTTCTTCGACGAAGCTCCGAAAACCAACGCCGACACCAAGATTTCATATATGCAGAGCAAATCGGCCACAGCAAAGTCGAGCAACCTCAGTACCGTCGTGTTTAATCCAGGTACCACTCTGGCAAAGGAATCTGCGGCCGAATATTTCAAAGCGGCCGACCTGATCGTTGAGTTTGAAAGCCCATATTCTGAATGGAAATCCACCATCCCGGCGAACGAGTTTTCCTCGAACGAGACTTACAATAAAGATGCTATCATTCTTTATAGTGCACCACCGACCGCGGACTATAAGGCTGTTGTCCAAGAAGCGCAGAGTATGGGATTGGGTGCGGTGTACTTGACAAGCAGTGACGACTACATGTCTATTGATACTGCGCCGAAGATTGCCGCATCTTTTGTTGATCAATAGATGGCACAATCAAGGGTCCTCTGCTATTATGTTGAAATCAAATTCGCTCATCTCGATTGACGCAAAGTAAATAGTCATTCGCTTCATAGTTGTCTCTCTATGTAATGTACAGGCTTCTATATGATGAATCGCCGTAGGATTTCTTCAACAGGTAGTCGCATTAACCAATCCGCTGCTTTCGCCTTACCCACACTTCCTTGCCGCCTTCCGAGGCCTCATCGCTTGACGCAGGCGGGTCACGTAATTCCACTTCCCAAATCTTGAGCTTGTAGTTGCCGCGATCACCCTGTCCTGAAAACAGATCAAAGGACCACCCATGCTTCGGACAGGTTAACCCAGCACTCAGAGTGATGCCAAAGTCCTCAATGTCGAAGATACTGGCTTGTGAAAGCGGGAAGGATGAATGGGGACATGACTGAGGAGTTGATATTAGTCGGGCGAACGATGGAGACAATGGCTTGCAAAGCCACATCTAGGGCACACTGACATGATCAACGGCATGGAATTTGCCCTTGTGTTGGAACACGAGAACCTGGTCTTTCAGGTCTCCAGGGACCTCGACATCGGCTTCTTCTGGGCCATCAGAACTTGAAGTCCCATCTGCCTTGGGAATACGGAATGCCTTGCAACTTGGTGTGATTTTGGAGCAATCCTTATCAAGACTGAGGTCGGGAAATGCAGATGCGAGGCCAACCCGATGCCAAGGATCTCCCCGACGCCGCTGGAAGAAGGGAATCATTGTGCATTCGAGGATTATGTATCAGGGTCTTGGCCTTGGCACTTGAGAAATGCATGCGTCTGGTCCTCTCTAGTCCGATAGCCTTAATCTTGTCCCACTCCTGTCATGCCTCCATTCCTTCGGTCGATGTGTTCAGCATAAGCAATTCCATCGCAGTTGATTCCGCAGCCAGTTCCGATCAGTGTGATTACCTAATATTCACACCACGCCATCTGAATAGACACGAAGTCACGTGCTTCGAGATAAGGCGATGAAAGACCAAATTCTACTTACTTTATGGCATCGTTATACCTGTGAATGACATTCTGTATGAGATTTTTGCATTATTCATTCGGTATACTCTAAGACATGAGAAAGAGGAGCTTGCGGCATCTAAAGTCTAGTCCAGTCCCTTCGCCCCATCCTTGTATGGCCGTAGATCATACTCATCTGGATATGTTTCCAGAATTCGCTTCAGCTCTTTCATCTGTGCCTTAGCCTCCTCGGTCAATTCTTCATACACATCCGTAAAGGCTTCACGGAGAGGCGGCTTCTTCTCGCGCTCGGCCTCGCTGAACTCTTTCAAAACGGCCTTTCGCATCGAATCCCGAGTCTCCTGCTCCAGGTCCTCGTTCCACAACCCCTTGTTCTCGAGCCACTTGCGAAGCCGAATAATGGGGTTGTCGCGGCGTTTCCAATCCTCGACCTCCACTCGGGCACGGTATGCGAAGCTGTCGTCACTCGTGCTGTGGTGTGAAACACGGTAGCTCATGGCCTCGATTAGGACTGGTCGTCCGCCGTCGCTCAAGGCACGTCGCCGGGCTTCCTTCATGGCCTCATTGACGGCAAAAACGTCATTTCCGTCTACTCGTATTGTGTCAATGCCATAGCCAACACCACGACTGGCAATTCCATCACCACGATACTGCTCAAGGGTTGGTGTGGAAATGGCAAATCCGTTATTCCGGCAAATAAACACAACGGGGCACGATCGAGTGGCAGCAATATTGAGTGCCGCATGGAAGTCACCCTCGCTAGCAGCGCCCTCACCAAAGTAGCAAGCAACTATACGACGCTCTCGGTTGGGATCCTGTAGATCTTGCATCTTTAGGGCGTAAGCAGCACCGGCGGCCTGGGGGATTTGAGTGGCCAGGGGTGATGAAATTGTGTGCTTCTCGTGGTTAGCATGGCAGAAACAAGATGGTTAACCTGGGACGGCTCACCATGCGAGGATAGTTCTGTCCGTAGTGAACAGGCATGTTGCGACCTTTACCCGTATCGTTGCAATTGGCAAATAATTGGCCCATGAAGTTTTTCAAGGTAAATCCTCGTTGTTGGAAGACAGCTGCTTCACGGTATTGGGCGAACACCACATCATCTGGGGTGAGAGCAGCTGCTGAACCAACCGCGATACCTTCTTCGCCAGCTGAGACCTATGTTCCCACATCAGTCTCTTGCATTTCAAAATTATTTCAACCACCGGGATCATACCATATAGAAGCTCAGTCGTCCCTGGCGTTGTGCCTCGAACATGACCACATCCATAATGCTCACTATCGCCGATCAGCTTCGCTCAAGATTCGAATCTTGAAGAGAGCATACCAGTCAACATATTCTTATACCATGTCAAAACCTCCTCATCTGATACATCAGGGGGACCTCGAGATTTATCGACCAACTCGCCGTCTGAGTCGATCACTCGATATGTGGGGATTGCGGGCAGATCGGAGCCTTTGAGGAACGACATTTCGGTAGTGAACTTGCTGTTAACAGCGCCCGGGAATAACACACTGTATTCACAATCTCTGTCAGTCAATTTCTTCGACAGGTTTCAGGAGGGGCTTGTTACCGATCCGAACCCGGTCTTTGTGAGATAGAGCTTCCCCATCGACGAGCAGACCCTGTGAGTAAGGGCGTCACAGCTCTGGGGCTGCTGCGAGTTGCACGCCATGAGCGCAGGAGAAGAGCTCTAGAAGACATTGTATGAGTGTTGACAGAGTAAGATTCATCTCCCCTCGGAGACTGAAAGGCAGATTGGAATTCTGGGGAAATATGGAGACGGCCATGCGGAGAGGGCTCGGTTGGCGTCGGCATCTTCACGTCACTTTGGGGCGCTGGTAGCCGCCCGACCGCTCGGCTTTGTCAATTTCTCCGCATAACTAAGCAAAGTGCGCATCCAATTGCCTCAATAAGGGGAGCCGCTTACAGTCAAACTATATAGGGCGTTCTCTTATCGACTATATATGATCAATAGCGCTCTATATGTTAAACACTTCTATGTCCAGATGGTGAATGTCGATAATTGCAGTCCCGAAGTTCTGTGGAACAGTACATGCTTAGTATATCCTGGCGCAGCCTCTGGTGAACTGGCGGGGATGTTGTTCATATTTTGTACAGGTTTTTTCGACTCTTCTAGTAATACTTTCCGTATTCTAACCTAACTGCTAGGCATAACTTAGTATTTCTTCATCTTTGCTTTTTCCCTTCGCAAAGTAGATCGCGTCCTTCTCTCCTTGCTTCCGAGTGATCAACTAGAGTTCTTGACTACTCCCCGGCCCTCCTATCCAAAGAGATTTGTAGAAGTCTTGATTCTCTGCCTGGTAATATACAGTCTCGGACATGCTATTAAATGGTATGTAGAAGAGGGTTTGAGTGTTCCCTACGGTCTTGGAGACTACCGGCCTAGGCAGTAGATCCATAAATTCAAGCGCTACAGGCCGGGCGGTGGAACCCTCAAAGATATATCCAACATCGGGGTTAATGGAACTCCATTTGACCTAGGGCACGTATTCATGGGTAAGGTTGAAATGTATCTTTCCATCTAAGCTAAAGATATCTATCTTCCTAGTCCTAGGTATACTTATGGGATATTAAATGGCCAGACCAGCTTAAAGCCAGGTTCATGGTTCACATCTGGCATCGGGCTGCTATCAGCGCCAAATGTGGGATGGGTACCAACCAAGTCCATGTCACGTAGCACTGCATTTTCGTAGGAAGGCCTTGCCACGATGAAGGATTTGTAAGCAGAACCAACGTCAATAATACAGGTCATGGCCATTGCTTGGTCCTAGGTTCTGAGGTAAAGATCGAATTATCGCGATGTTTCGACTTGGGAATGTCTTTCAAGGGGCACCAATTTCTGTCGCTCAGAGTCCCTTACCTTGTCACACCAAACATGGAGAGGCCGCAGGGCCTAATTTAGGTCCCACTATGCTGTCAATGCAGACTGAGAAATCATTCGCATTGGTGTTGGCCTAAACTCTGATTAGGGCCCGGAAGGCTCCGAAGAATGTAGCTTTGCCCAACCTGTCAACATGATAACTTCTTATTTGTCGTAGTTATATTACGGGGTGATTGTCAACAAATGTAATGAAGGATCACGCACACCCTCAACATTGACATGCAGTAGTCGCTCGAATGTCTATCTTATTGCTTCCTTTGGTGAGATTCATAGATTGCATCGCAATCGAGGTTAGATGATATCAAGCCGTGCCCCTTTTGAGCCCTTGAATGAATGTAAGGCTCAGACGAGAGGGAAAGATGCCCACAGTAAAAGATAAAACCAGGTCACGCAAGGTCAAAGGAAATCCAAAGTCTTCCTTTGTGCGGAGTGTTAGGATGACTCCACGGTCAATCAGATTGCAGAGCCGAGTCGGAAATTCTTTAATTAAAATTGTGGAATGGTACCCAGACCAACCGTTCTTGCAGCAAGAGCATCGATGAACTGGATTGGATCGCAGGCTATCGGGTGGAAACCTTGCCTCCAGAAAGACTTGGGGAAAATGTGTGGCATTCTCCTCGATCATTATATCCAGGTAACTGGAACTAATCATCCGCTGATTGAATTTCTTCAATGTGATTTCTGTGGGTCTACTGTGGGTAGGTACTACCTCAGGGGCATCAGGAGGTGTGTCGGAGATACAATCGATCTTCGAATCATAGCACCGAGTTTCAATCATTCGGTCAAAATTAACTGTTCGCCAATGATACTAGGTGAGACAATGACGGTTTACAATTCATTTGGTCCTTCGACATGGCCATAGCTCATATTCTAGAATCGGAGCTGATGAAGGTGAAGTTTGATTGCAGAAGAGAGAGACTGGGACTAGACAGCTTGAACAATCACGACTTCAGCTGAGATAAATGACACTACGCCCATCGAAGCCAAAGTTTGCCCTTTCCCCAGTTTACGAATTAATTAAAAATACTGTAACTTTTGACCCCGTATGTATATCTGGATGAAGATGAGCCAAGGGGTCCCAGCGGGGTCGCTGCGGAATGCTTAACGGTATGACCACCTGGGATCACATTCTTTGGACAGTGTATTCCACTATAAGGTCAAGTCTGAGACATTGATCAACTGCTCCATGGACTCTCCGATTTTCTTGCTGGAGCAGGCATCTGAGAATGCCCGTCAACGATGCGAATAGCGTCAATATTGTGTCTGGCTGGCCTCACGGCTGCAGCGACAGATGCATCAGGAACCTGTTCGAGCACGGTTTATATCACCAAAGCAAACGACGGAAGCTCTCCTAGTATGCTAAAATGAAGTTAATTGATGAGAGATTCTCAATGCTGATAGGAGGTACCAGCTTCTGCACCCGCGGTTACCGTTGCGCCAGACGGCCGTGGCCAATTCACGGCGATTGGCGATGCGATCTCATATGCTCAAGAAAAGGGCATTCCGACAGTGACGGTCCTCAGCGGTACATATCCAGCTATCACGATCGAATCCACCCCATCGGTGACTGTCGTTGCGGAAAGCAAAAACAAGTATGACTACACCGAGAATCTTGTGGTTGTCTCGAGTGACGCGACTGCTCTCACCATTTCCGCCGATGTCGAAGGACTGACGGTCACCAATATCAACTTTGTGAATACCGGATCATCTGGAAGCGCAGCGATTCTTAGAGGAACAAAGCTCGGGTTTTATCAATGCCAATTCATATCGTCTAGTGAGTCGGGGATCAGTGCAAATCAGGCCTTGGCCGTGATTGCGAACAGCTATATCGAGGCCCCGACAAATTTAATTGAAGGATCGCCGAACATCTACATCTTCGACACTGTTATCGTACCTACAAAAAGCTCCGCAGTGATTGTATACACTGAAGGTCCTACGTCGGGCGGCAAGTCGATTGTAGTGATCGATCGCTCCAGAGTCACACAGAAGCCTGGAAAAAATAACGACAATGTCTCCCTCGCCGCAGCCTCTGGGCCTGGAGCCGTAGTTGTGTACCGGGACTCTGCTTTGGGAAGCTTGATTGCCCCGAGTGGCGTCAAAATCGATAGGAATACTCAAAACAACGACAACCTCTACGGCGAATATGACACAACGGGAGCCGGTGCTTACATCAACAACGAGGACGCAAGGTCAGCGTTCGTTTCTGATCTTGAATCGTCAGACCTATCATCAGTGTTCATCAGCGCAGTTGCGGCTGACGGAAATTCGGACACGACCTGGATTGATCCTGCTGTTCTGGCTGCTATTGAGACTGCGGACGTTAGTTCGGGAGGTGGCTTGTCACCCAATGATGGGAATGAAAGCTCTGGTTCTGGAAACGGATCTGGCAGCTCGTCTGGTACTGGCGATGGATCTGACAATGGGGATGGATCAGGCAGTTCAGACTCCGGTAGCTCGTCAGGTAATGCCGATGGATCTGACAGTGGGGATGGATCAGGCAGTTCAGACTCCGGTGCCTCGTCAGGTACAGGTAGTGGTTCTGGCACTGGAGATGGATCTGGGGATGGATCTGGGAGCTCTCGGTCTGGCAGCTCGTCAGGTGCAGGTGATGGTTCTGGTAATGGAGACGGGTCGAGCACCTCGGGCTCCGGTAGCTCGTCAGGAAATGGCGGTGATTCCGGCAACGGCGGCGGATCAGGAAGCTCAGGATCCGATAGCTCGTCAGCTACGGGAGATGGATCAGGGAGCGCGGGGTCTGGCAGTGGAGACGGATCAGGATCTACCAGCTCATCGTCTGGGAACAGCTCAGGCTCCGGTTCGACAGGCTCTAGTGGTGGATCAGCAGCTAGTGATGGCTCAGCATCTGGCACCTCCGGCTCTGGCGATGGATCAAGCGCCGCTGGCTCTAGTACGTCGGGTTCGGGTTCTGGAGATGGAACAGGACCTGGCGGCAGTACCTCATCGTCAGGTAGTGGATCTGGCAATGATTCTTCAGGGTCGGACAGCTCTAGCAGCTCGGGCTCAGGATCTGGCTCTGATAATGGGTCCGGCTCAAGTGATGATAGCTCTGGATCAAGCAGTTCTTCATCAGGCGATGAGTCAGGAACAAATACTGGTTCAGGATCGGGGTCTGGAGCGTCAGGGTCTGATACATCAGGATCTGATACATCAGGATCTGATACCTCAGGATCTGATACCTCAGGATCTAGCGATGGATCCGGAACAGGCAGTGCCGATGGCTCAGGCTCCAGCAGTTCAGGATCGGGATCCGGGTCCGGCAGCTCTAGTTCAAGTACCGCGGGTTCAGGTTCTGGCGATAATCCCGGCAATAGTTCAGGGACAGGGTCAAACTCAGGGACCGTCGATGGAGATAGTTCGTCATCCGGAAACGGTTCAGGGTCGAGCACTGGCAATGGGTCGGGATCCGGCGACGGCTCCAGTAACGACTCGGGGTCAGGATCCAGTTCAACTTCTGGCAACGCGTCAGACGGTTCTGGCGATAATGCTGGATCTGGCGGCTCATCTACTTCTGGCGATACTTCAGGTTCAAGCACAGGGTCAGGATCAAGCAGTTCTGGTAGCTCAGAATCGGGCACTAGCAACGAATCAGGATCCGGCGACAATACAGGATCTAGCGATGGATCTGATGGATCTGGTAACTCCGGGTCAGGGTCAGATTCTGGAAACGGCAATGGCTCGGGCTCGGGCTCGGGCTCAAATTCTGATACTTCGGATTCTGGCAGTTCTGGGAGTTCAACTTCGGGGTCCACGACCGGTGGATCTAGCTCTACCGGGGCGGGATCGGCATCATCCACCACCAGTAGCAGTTCAGGCGGGGATGGGGGATCGACTTCATCCTCGGGCAGCGACAGTTCAGAATCCTCCGGAGGCACCGGCCCGGCAGGGACAGAAAATGGTGATTCAGGATCATCATCAACCGGCAATGGGAGTGGCTCTAGTTCGGCCTCAGGCGACAACGCTGGTGGTGGATCAGGCTCTTCGTCGTCTGGGGATGGGTCGAATGGCTCAGGTGGCAGTGGTGGGTCGGGGTCCTCCAGTGGAGATGGAAACGGTGGAGGAGGTTCAAGCTCCGATGATGAGACTGGATCGTCCGGTAATGGCTCCGGCTCCAGCTCTGGGTCATCAGGATCATCAGGGACAGGTTCTGGATCTGGCTCGTCGAGCGATGCAGGGTCTGGCAGCAGTGGAGGAGGAGATGGCTCGGGGACTAGCAGCCCAACAACGGGTTCAGCGACTTCATACACAACCACTACCGACCCGCCAGGCACGTCAACGACAGAGTCAACCACGACGATTGACGTGCTTGCCGATCCTTTCACGACGACATTCACTCAAAACTCAACAACAACGATTACTACGACAATTAAAGGCCCCCCGGTTACCTCGACAGTCATCGTTCTTGACCTCGGGCTTCTGTCGCTTGCGCTGACTCCAAAGCTACCTGGAGATAATTCCACATCGGCTGCTAGTTCAACGTCTCCATCGCCGCCGCAGGAGACCACTGTCTTCGTGACAGTTACCCGGACTATCGCACAATCCACGATTACCGTGACTCGAACCGTCACGACCACAGCCAAGCATGGTCCCCTTCTCGAGCCATCGACAACCGACCCTATCGTCACGACTTTGGTGGGTAACGGCACAGTGACGGAATCTTTGGAACCTACGACTGTCATTTCCAGCTCCGTGCTGACTGAAACAAACACGAAAACGGTGACCACGACTCTCAGTTGTATCCCAACAACAAAGCAGAAGAAGCGTGGATTGCTGAGGCCACGATCAACTACGGCCTCAACAACTTCCTCCAGTCGCTCCACAGTCACTGCCTATGTTACCACTTCAACTCTTACCGTCCCGGGATCAATTAACCATGACACAAATATCATCACACGGATCAAAACTCTCGAACCAAAGACCACTACAGTGGTCTTGACCTCGTTAGCGACAAGGATGTTATCAGTGACCGTCCCTGGTGGCATCAATTATATCACGATTACTCGCACTACATCTGTCAATCATGGAACGAGCAAACCAGAGTCTCCCCTAAGAGCAGATGACACCTCAACCCCGGCAGTGAAGTCCTCGACGGCCTTGGATGATGCCCTGCATACCTCCTTGAAAACAACCACCCACACCACCGAGGTCACAGTACATCCATCTCCAGCAACCACAGTGATTACGAAGTGGATCACTATCCAGTCGACATCTACAGATTCCGCCATCACATCCGAACTGAGGAAGACAGTCACACAATCGAGAACTCCATCTGTTACCGTAACTTCTCAGATAACTCTCACGTCGACCAAGCTCGTCAAGACTGTTTCCACAACCTCGACCACGATCACGAAGACAGCGGAGAATGCCTCCACTTGCACGAAATGAAGATATTAGGTCTAGAATGTACATGCTTGGATTTCCTTTAATTATTGTTTTTTCTGTTCTATTTCTTTACAATGTTAATATGTGACTCGTTATCAGTGGAAGAAGGAGTCAATAATGTATAGGTGCATATGATACCAGTGTTGTTGAGACCTCTTTTTGTATTCTCTGCTTGGTTTCATGTCATGATTTAGAAGAATGAGCACAATGCGTCAATTCTTCCTATGACCGTCCTCGCCGTAGAGCTCAACTTCAAGCCCCCAGCAGTTGATATAGCTCGTCCTTGATCATCCGAGGTCTTACCATACTGTGGAAACGGTGCTTTTCAACCTTGGTACTTACGTATAGATCGCGTTTACTTCAGGCTAATCTAGAACGGAATGGCGTCGTGGCCTCAGGAACCGAAGCCGCACGTGGGGCCGCGACCCAATCGGAGCGGGGCAGCAGATCTGAAATTTGTCCAGAGATGCGCTGGCTCGCCGGCTTTCGCCAACTTTCCTCCATATCCAAACCCTTCATACGAATTGAGACTGCGAAGCAATTAGCACGCAGAATGGCTGCTCTTCCCTCCACCTACGATGGTAAAATCCACCCCAAACGCTGAGACTACTCCGCTTCTTCCAAGTCCCCCCTCATCCCCCACTTACGGGCAACGACTGATAGGCGCAAACCATACAGGGTCCGTCTCAATTGCTGTCATCGGCGGCACTGGCCTTCGCGAGCTTCCTGGATTCACCCAGGTTGCTTCGCTGAATGTTTCGACCCCCTGGGGCGAGCCTTCCTCCCCGATCACCATCCTCCACCACCAGTGCAAGCACAACAACAAGACCGTTGCTGTCGCGTTCCTGAGCCGTCACGGCCCCCACCACCAGATTGCCCCTCACGAGGTGCCGGCCCGCGCCAACATCGCTGCTCTTCGCTCCATTGGTGTCCGCAGCATCATTGCTTTCTCCGCTGTTGGCAGTCTCCAGGAGGCTATTAAGCCCCGCGACTTCGTTATCCCCGACCAGATCATTGACCGCACCAAGGGTGTCCGTCCATGGACTTACTTCGAGGGCGGTGTTGTCGCTCACGTTCCCTTCGGTGACCCCTTCGACGAGGGTATCGCCAAGATCGTCCGGGAGTGCGGGCACAGCTTGGAGGGTGAGGGTGTCGTCCTGCACGACCGGGGTACTATCATCTGCATGGGTACGTAATGGGATAAATGGGATACCTTAGCAGGTTGAACTTCGCTGACAGTATGCTTTTCTCTCTTATAGAGGGTCCTCAATTCTCCACCCGTGCCGAGAGCAACATGTACCGCTCCTGGGGCGGCAGCGTGATCAACATGTCCGTCCTCCCCGAGGCCAAGCTGGCTCGCGAGGCCGAGATCGCCTACCAGATGATCTGCATGTCCACCGATTACGACTGCTGGCACGACTCCGCCGATGTCACCGTGGAGATGGTCATGGGCCACATGAAGTCCAACGCGGCCAATGCCCGCCACTTCGTGACTGCAGTTCTTGATGCGCTGGCCGCTGACGAGCACGCTGATCTGATCACTGCCAAGCACCTGGCTGGCTCCATCAAGTTTGGCGTTAGCACTCCCCAGACCAACTGGAGCCCCGAGGCTAAGAAGAAGCTGGACTGGTTGTTCCCCGGCTACTTCTAGCTTCTGAACAGAACTGAAGCACATATATTTCATGACACATTTTGACAAATAGATATCTTGGAAATAGTCATCAAACGCTGAAGCGAATGCCAATAGAATCTTGGTACATTGAGAGTACAGCGGCATTTCAAAGTCTGCGACTAGAGATCAACAGAAAAGGCCATCTTAATATCCTTCAACTTTACGTTGTTTGAGGGATCTTTCTAAGTGTCTTTTGAAACGTCTTTTTCTAGATAGCCCAGGGGTCATCCCGGGCTCAACTTGCCTTTCAAAGTATATCTGACGAGATGATCATGCTTTCCAAGGGGTTTCAATCTGGATAGTGAACATGATCATAAACTGGAGACTATACATTTGTGGAAGCAACGAGAGTCGCAAAGCGCTTCTCTGGCCGTGCAATTTCCTTGTCTCTTGCAGGCTCCCAGGTTTTCTCCTCCATTTCGTTTCTTCCATTTTCCATCTTTAACTTCGTCGTCGTCTCCTTTAACATCCTGCTCATCGTCCTTCTCTCGTCATCGTCCGAGCTTGAACATAACTGGACCCGTATCACGGAGGTGTGCAGACTTCCTCAAGTCTTAGAATGGCAACAAATCGACGATGCAGAGGGTGACGAGGACAAGAAGTGCAAAATGTGGAAATCGTTCTTGATCAACAAGACGATCCGCAAATACTACCGGCGAATGAAATACCCTGTGCCCTCGGAGTGAGGACAAGCCTAGGCCGCATGTTAACAGTGGCACCCAGTGCAATGATTTCTAGCCCCATTTGGCTACCGTAGGCTCGCCGGTGCTAGAAAAGAATGTATGAATTGTGTATCTCATCCATCCATATGTTAATGGTCGTACGAGCTTTGGTTATCATCTCACTTCCCAGTTTCGAGGTAATGTTGTTAATAATCAAAGAAACCCCATGTCTTTCGAAAACTATTCCAACGAGTCTCTGAGCACGTCTCTCAAGCTCTGTCAATGGCGTTAACTCGGAGTCTGAAGAATTTAGACTTCCCTCATCGAATAATTCACGCCGTAGGCCACGCGAGATGAGCCGTACTCCTTATGTTTTCATCGAACCATCTTCCATTCGGAAAAAACAAATTTCCACATTAGATATACAATAGTACATGAAAAGCTCCCCAAGAAGATCACCAAATCTTCTTCGCCACCATCTCATACCGCTTAACGTGATCTATCTTCAAATCTTTATCCTTGTTCTTGTCCTTATCCTCCTTCTCTTTCACGCGCCGTAGACCCTCGGGATCATCACCATAGATCCACCGACGCTTCTCATCGCCAACTTCGACCATACCCCAGCCACCGGCACGCCGACTTCCTTCAACGTTGAACTCGTCCTTACGAGCCGTACTCTCATTGATGGGCGGGTGTGAGGATGAGGTTTTTCGCGACTCGCCTTCCAGACTTCTCATTTTCTTGTAGCGGGAGCGCGCAAAGGCAAGCAAGCTCATTCCCAGGAGCAGTTTGAGGATCAACAGAACAATGTATCCCGTCAATAGCAGGATGACCGTGAAGATCTGGACGGACTGCGCGGGTGAAGGCATAGCGTTATCCACCAGGGTACTGAAAAAAGCGCTGACATGGGCAACGGACACGGGAATAATATTATGCAGAGTCAAAGGCGGCGTGGACGGGAGTGGTGCGGGTGCATAATGGCTATGAATCGATGACAAGGATGTCGACTTCAGTGCTGTTGAGGACGGGTGTTGAGGGAGCAAGGAGGCCAGGAACATCTGGTATGTCTGCACCGACACGCGAATGAAAAGGCAAGACAGTGGGATAACAGGCAGTCCAAGCCGACGAGTCAGGTTCTGGTCGCCAAAGGCGTTGGTGTAGTAATCCTTGGCAAGAACATCGAGATAGCGACCATACAAGGCGGGACGATAGTTGTTGAACTTGTTGATATACGCATGTTTCAGCCAGTCGACGAGCATCTCGGATCCCAAAACAACCAAGAACGGGCCCAGCACCTGACCCAGCGTCGGGAGGAAGGAGTTGACACTGCTGACAGAAGACAGGATTGAAGATGGGAAGAAGGTAAAAGATTGAGGCAGGATCGATGATGCGGTTCGAGGAGGAGTGGACAAAGGTGTACTGTTGGTGCTGGTAGAAGCTTGGCTAGAGAAGCCCGAGCCCAGCCCAAGATCACCGATGAAGTTGAATGCGCCTGTCTCCACAATGTTGCGAGATGCAATGATAGTGAGCATGAGCCACAGTTGAAACCTTTCGACGACATCCGCACATGTGAGCTGGAACAGGTTTTCTTTCTCGAACTTGCGGAAGACAGTGGACTTGATTTCGACGAACTGGTTCGACAGAAGAAGTGTCATGAGTGCGTTTGAATACGAGTTGACAGCCACGTTCAGAGTCATCACCTGGGAGAAAAGAGATGTAGCATGCGCCACAGTGTAGACAAGAGCCGCCAAAAACAACCCGAATGGGCGCAAAATCTTGCTCCGTCCATCAGGACGACGCTCAAGAGCTTCTCGTGAAAAAAGACACTCAAGAACATCTTGTCCAATGGCAGCCAAGAGACGATCCAGTACTTCAAGCACGTTGTAAATGACATACAACTTGATAGCCGCCTGTCCACGGATCCAGTGATACATGCGGCTGGCGTCAAAGTACATCAAGGCACAACAGGTCGCCACCATGAGCAAGCCTGTCAGAATGTCTGCCTTGTCATCTGGAAGTAGGGTTGATGGTATCGACTTCTTCCTCCGGTGGTGTCTGCGAGATTCTGAGGCACGATGTCTTCTCTTCGAAGGCTCGGGTTCCCGAAGCCGGGATTCTCGATCCATAGATGCAGTCACATCTTGCCCCGTGGAAGACCCGTTGGGCACGCGAGATGTCACGTCGGATTCAGTTTCGTGTCTCTCGCCATGATAGTTCCTTCTCTGCCATACTCGCCCTATACCATTGACCACGAAGTTCCAGATAAACCAAAACTCAGCATTCAAGTTCTTCGCCCAAGATTCGAAGAGAATGTAAACGGCCTTTATGAAGCGTAAGGGAAGAATGGTGAAGGAGTAGAGCCATGAGTCAAGGCATGCAAGGGTTCCAAAACATAGCACTTGTTCCAGTGCGCCTGGAAGAATCAGGAAATTCATCAATCTTTCAATCTTCGCGCTGGATGATTCATACGGAAAGTCATTGGTTGCTGGTCGGTAGATATACAGCGGCGATGGACCGCCAGATGCAAGCTCAAGCTGGAGATAGGTCGGTATCGAGACTGGAGGAATGGGAATTGAAGCCGGCATTGGGGATGGTATAGCAGCTTCAATAATCTGAGGAGACGCTGCGAGGTGGCTCTTAAGATCACGATCGGGGGCATTTCGATCTTGCTTCGAACGTGAAGCCCATGTCTGCGCTAATCGATCATTGTTTGGCAGTGGTACTGAGTTCCGAGAGATTCCGGGTGTCGAAAATGTTCGGTTCGTATAAGGTCGATTCCGTACGGAGCCATTCTGGCTAGGTCTTGGGAGCATCGGGCTTGCGGGCAAAGACGATTCTTCAATAGCCGAGCTTCTTGAATGGCGTGCTTTCAAAGCATCCTCCAGAGGAGGTGCCTCGCTGAGAGATTGCAGAATAGAATCTCGAATTTCTGGACGAAGCGTTCCATTCGAATGAGAATGGTCTGAGTCCACTCTTTGCCCAGCATTCGTATCTGGGGTTGCTGTGCGGTAGGGAATCGACTCGGGGGAGGACGTAAGCTCCTGGATTTTGTCGGGAGACAACTTTAAGATCTTCTCTTTGTCGTCGGACGGTCTTCGTGATGCATCTTCAGCAAGCTCAGCCAGAGCGGCTTTCACTTTGGAGCCCTCCAACACATGTGCTTGTCCATTCTTCTCAGCATCATCTGGCGATAAATGAACAACGATACCAAGACCCTCGCCATTTGATCCAGCGTGCTGCCCATTTTTGTGACCTCCATTTTTCACCGGTTCCTCCAACCCATCGCCATTCAAACTGTCCTCTCCAGCGTCGCTTGTTCGATCTTGTGGGACGGTGGGACTCTGGCTAGCGTCTGTCTCAGAGGGCGTCAAAATGCCAGACCCATCGTGTTCGTCTTGGTCAAAGTTCTGCGATGCACCAGCTTGACCGTTCTCCATCTTCCCATGCCCGTTAAGCTTCAGCTCCTGGCTCGGAGTAGCTCCGCTAAGCTCCGTCGAAGGGCTCATATTCGCAGCTTCTCGAAAGACTGAAGTATCCCAAAACAAGCCTTCTGAGTTTTCTGAGTACTCAGGTCCTCGTTACTACTCCCGTGCGAAGAGTAGCTATCGTTCGCATTCTTCAGATTTGACTCCGGAGTTAAGGGCCGAGGAGGGTGGCCACGCTATGGTGCTAGGCGAAGGAGCGGTGAAGGGGGTGCTGGTAATTTCAAGGTGGACCTAGAAATCAATGAGAAATATTCGCGCTAAGCCAAGTGCACATTTTTAGCCAGAGGGAGGGTTTGGAATCCGGGGCATGGCGATCATGCAACTGGTGAAGATGAGCTGCAGCCGGAGAAGATAAGGGAGATTATCTGGCAAGTCGGAGCACCAACCGTTGTTTTGGCCTGAGGCAGAGGTGTTTATCATCACATGATGCGATACGGTTGGTATCTGGTTGCATGGAAAGGAATATGCTCCAGTCAACCATTCTCCAATTATACTACGTCCAATACAATATATAAGAATCAGTGTTACGGCGCAAAGACTTCAATCTCGGGGACTTCAATCCAGCTACAATTCAAATTTTTCGAAATGTTCAATGCATCTAATCCAAAGAAATCAACTCTAGCATGGACGGCCAGAGTAAACAAAACGGGGGTATGTACAACGTTTCAGTTTCAATTCAAGAGATCTGATCGCTGTTCGCTGTTCATGAGGAGGTATTAACGACCTGAGCTTAACTTGAAACATCGGGTCATTAATGTTGCAGAAAAAGCCAGCTATTCTGCAATCAGTCGTAAAGAAGGTTGGAAGCCACTCCTCGGAGAAGTAGAGCCTCAGTATTGATTTGTATTCGCACGGTTGAAACCGTATCCCGCAGGACCAGGGCGGTTCACCGCTGAGGGAGACGTGGTATTGGCGCGTGCGAAGGGTTGATACCCAGATGGACCGGGAGGTCTTTGCATGCGAGGTTGCGGTGTTTGGGAGGGCATTGGAGGGTTATTGCCATTGGGGCTGAATGCCGTGTACCCGGATTGAGAGTCAGACGGGGTATCGGGACTGAAAGGCGTGTAATTTCGCTGTGGGCCTGACGTCTGGCTGTCGGATTGAGGTCCAGGTGTGCTGCGATAGCTCCCTGGTGTCATTGACCGACCGGGTGGAGGATGGGCCGTGGCACCTGTGCTGGCAGGCGTCATCGATCGACCAGGTGGAGGACGAGAGGTTGCGCTTGTGTTCGCTGGCATATATGATCTAGCTTGGTATCCGTCCTGAGACGCATAGTCTGGTTGCGGGCGAGAGGGTGCCCTCTGGTTGTAAGGAGTTCCAGCGTCCAGGTCATCATATCCGTCATCATCTGGCGGGGCACCATAGTAACCTGCAGGTGGTCCATAAGGATCATAAGAAGCGGGCTGGGCAGCTGGTGTATGTGATCGGTCGAAGTAGTCGTCCGTAACGGCTGTGCCAGGTGTGTTCGACCGAGCATACGGATCAACAGCAGGGGTGAATGGGCGGTATGGGTGAGCGCCTGATTCAGTCAGGTTGCGCACTCCGGGTCCCGGGCTATTTCGGCCAACATCGTTGGCGAACGGCGGCGGCCCAGGTGTACGTCGCGACTGAGCCGTGTTTGTCCTTGAAGGGGGCATATTTGGAGGCAGAGGTGGAACACGAGGCAGCGGCATGTTCTGGCGATCCAGTGGACTGTATCCCATTACAGCCGCATTCCCAGTCAATGATGCCGACTCGGACATAGATGACTGGGTCATTGTTCGAGTAAGTGGCGGCTTGCTGTCAAAGTCAAGGCTTGGTAGACTTGGGACTTTCTCGGTTGCAGTAGAGTTTGACCGCGTGTAAGGGGGCAATGTAGTTTGCGTAGTACTACGCGATAGAGTCGTCACAGCCGGTGTCTTGTCCGCCTCGACACTTGGCAGGGAGGGCAAGGTCGGTTTGATATCCCCACCAGCCAAACTTGGCTGAGTTGGTGCGCGATCTTGTAACGTGAAGCCAGTGGCCAAAGCCTTGTCGACCTTCTTCCGAACGATGCGGGTCAACCGGGTGCTAATCTTGCGACGACAGTAGGCCTTGAGTGACCCATCCGTGGAAGGAATATGATGGAACAAGAAAATCAAGTAAAGAACGACAGCCGATGCCAATTTCAAAACTGACAAGACCCAGATCACCAAGGTGAACAGCATACCGAACAGAACCACGGCTTGAAGGTTGTTTTCCTCCGCAAGAATCTTCACATTGTTGAAGAATTGCAGGGCTTCCGAGGTTCCATTATCTTTTGGTGCATTTTTGCCGCCAGGAAGTAGATCGGCCTGCACGACGGACCACAGCGTGATAGCATTGAGGACCTGGCGTGGCCCATCGGCGAAGACAGTGTTCATCCAGAATTGGAAGGAGAAGTAGGCGTAAAGCGCAACATACTCTGCTCCTTTTTTACTTTTAGTCAATTCGGCGAAGACGAGGAAACGTTTCCATCCACGACCTTGCTTGGTGAACACTCGGAAACACTGGACACGAACCGCAAGGGGGTCCAGGTAGCTCCGGGTGATGCTGCCAGAGCGCATCGCACGGATGGCAAGCATCCATCGGTAGATCAGGAGAGCGAAAGACACAAGAATACAGACAGCGAAGATCCAACGAGAGATTCTGAAGGGAATAGCGGGTTCGACGCGGCCGCTCCAGTGAGAGAAGGCAAGCAGATTAACAGCAGTGAATGTATCGACGCCATAAACGGCAATCGAAACAAGTAGGAACACCCAGAGGAAGAAGTAGGAGAAGGGTGTCCAGCAGGAGTCGGACTTGAAATCATCGAGGTTCTACAAAGCGATAATTAGTATGAATAGCCACTGTCGCTCCCTTTATCAAACTGTATACGCACCACGTAGTCCCACCTCTCCTCCATCGAGACTGCGCCCTTTTCACGATCACCACCGCAGCCCATTATGACGGTAATCCCGGACCTGCCAGGTAGCGACGGCGAGCGATTGAACGATTGTACGGATTGTACGGATTGTACGGATTGTGCGACGAGTAATAGACTTCCACGGGCCAGCCGGGTGAAGTCACGATCAGGGTTGACGAGTCAGGTGTAGAGTCAAAAAGAGGCACACGGCGACACAGCAGTTGTAAAGAGAGACCGGAGTGGGAGAATGTCTTAATCGCGTGACTGGCGCATAACTCTGAGAGGCTCAGGTAGGAGGCTGGCAAGAGTTCAAGGGGCCAGATGTAAGGTACCAGGTACCTCGTACACAGGCACCGGCGCAGGCCACGACGAGGGAATACAAGGCAGCGATCGTGTTTCAGACTGGCATCCAGCGAGATTCTACACGCCAGAGCATACACGAATGCGCAAGCAGATCGTGGGTATCAATCGCAATGCCAAGCGCGCGAGGTTGATCTTTTTGTTGTCTGAGCGCCAAGAAAGGGGGTGGATTGGATGAGCCCCGACGATCGGATTGCGGAGAAAAGAATGCGACGTGCGTAAGGGAGGTTGGACTGTGGGAGTTGAATGAGTGGAAGGCAAAATTGAAAGCCAGTAAGTAAAGACTGAACAATGGATCAAGAGAATAATGAATGGCGAGGGCAGAAGGCGACCTTGACAAGGTTGAAAGGGGAGAAGGGGAAAAGGGAAAGATGAAACGTGAGAGAGCCACGCAGGAGTTCGGCGAGTGGAGAGGGCCAACGCGGGAACACCACCACGACCTCTGTTAGGGCTGAAGCGCCCTGTTGGTTGCCTTTGTCCCTGTCAAAAGTACATACTCTCTTTGATGATCGGTACGGACATCCTACACTTCTATTCTGGTCCTGAAACAGCTGCCTCCTGCAGATGCTGGCGCCTATTGCATTGTTTGTATCGTCAGGCTTCCATTTCCACCGTCCTTCGTTTGTATACTTTCTCCCTGGGACCCAGCGTCAGGCCTCACACTTTCTCCACCGTCCCACTTTTTCCAGCTGTGAAACAAATCATACGGGGAATCCCCTCGGGGCTCTTTAACCGACAGCCAGTCAGTGCGTCAGATTGTGGTTTCGCGTCCCCGGTCTTTAGCGCCGAAGAGGGCGCTTCCATTCTGCGATGCCTGTCAGCAGTAGAGCAGCCGTCTTGGACTCTCTACTACAGATTTAGAACGGGCTACGGAGTATATTTCCTGGCCGCCCCCTAATCTGCAGTCGCAATCATGGATTTCTTTCAAAAATTTCTGTACATAGGTCGTCTCCCTAGTGTTCTATTTAGTGTGGCCAGCGACAGCAGCCGCTGCATACATGACAGATTCCACCAAGTAACTACATCAAACTCATCTCGTCAGCCATACATTGAAAGGCAAGTTGAGGGTTAATGCTTGGGCTATCTAGAAAGACAGGTCAAAAGACACCCAGAAAGATCTTTCAAGAAACATAATGTTGAAGCTTATGAAGATGGCGTTTTTTCGTAGTCTCTAGTCTCTAGTCTCAGACGTTTAAACTGCCACTGTACTGATGTGGTCAATCTAATGATGTCCAATACTCAGGATTGACATGGGCAGGTCATGTTGACCTTCGCAGAAGTACACATCCATGGACAAAGCGTCCGGTCGCGAGGTGGGGGTTCGCACGCACATTAGGTATCGGGTCGCGTACACCCAATAAAAGACCTGAGTTCAATTATGGGTGATAAGACCATCACACTCTCAATTAAGATATGGTGATCCAAAAGAAAAATAAGATTGCAAGCCTGTAGCCATTCATCATCAATGGAGTGATCTTTTCTCGGGGTTCCCTCCATCCATAAGGAACCGACCGCAGCAAGCTGGCCCAGCAAGTAACCAGTAAAAGTGGATAGCTCGCATTTAGGCTTGACTGTTTCTCCCCGCAGACATCCTTTGCAACCGAGAATCAACCTCGGATGAAAATTGACACAGCTGACGAGCATGTTAGGAATGTCTCTCCGATGGACTCGATAGCAGGGTCGCTATTGGCCCGTTCCGACCGTCAGTGATGACGTCGAGTGGCAGTGGCAATCTGCGATCCGGAGAACGAGAGGGTATGCTGGAGCTGCATTTATAATACGGTGGAGTTGCACCACTGTCGCCGGGAGGTTATAAAGGTGGTCGAAGGTTCCTGCAGCTTGCACCTAAGTCTTAGCAAGAGCATTGAACAGCTGTGTGCCAAATATTTTACGAGCAGCGTGCCAATTGCTTGTTTCCACCGTCAGCCGACTGTCTACTGGAAGCGACCAAATTCAACATCCTAATCATACCTTCTCCTTCTTGCAATCCAGACTTTCTCGATTTTCAATCGACTTGCTACCGCAGTCATGGCCCCTCCTGACATCGTGAACAAAGCCGCTGAGGGTATCTCCTACTATACTCCTGCGCAGGAGCCTCCCGCGGGGTCCGCCGCCAACCCGCAGTCTGACGGATCACAGCCTCCCAAGCTCTTCCACCCTTTCACAGTGCGAGGCGTGACATTCCACAATCGCATCGGCGTAAGTTTTCCTTTGACTGGTACTCTTTGAAAGAAGTCCTAATCTAACAAACCTCTACACTGCATAGCTTTCTCCACTCTGTCAATACAGCGCAGATGACGGACACATGACAGACTGGCATATGGCCCATTTGGGCGGCATCGCCCAGCGCGGGCCTGGTTTCCTCATGGTGGAAGCGACGGCAGTGCAGCCCGAAGGTCGCATCACCCCACAGGACCATGGGCTCTGGAAGGACTCGCAGATCGAACCCCTCCGCCGGGTCGTCGAGTTCGTCCACAGCCAAAACCAGATCATCGGCGTCCAAATGGCCCACGCCGGCCGCAAGGCCAGCACCGTCGCGCCATGGCTTAGCATGGCCGATATGGCCACTGAGAAAGTTGGCGGATGGCCCGATAACGTCAAGGGACCCACAAACACCCCATTCCACGACAAGTTCCCCAAACCCAAGGCGATGACTACAGCCGATATTGGGCAATTCAAGAAAGACTGGGTGTCGGCTGTGAAGCGCGCCGTCAAGGCTGGTGTGGACTTTGTGGAGATTCACAATGCCCATGGGTATCTACTGATGAGCTTCTTGTCCCCGGCGACGAACGACCGTACCGATGAATACGGTGGTAGCTTCGAGAACCGGATCCGATTGTCGCTGGAAATTGCCCAATTGACCCGCGACAATGTGCCCAAGGATATGCCTGTCTTCCTGCGTGTCTCGGCTACCGACTGGCTGGAGGAAGTCATGCCCAACCAGCCTAGCTGGCGCGTCGAAGACACCGTCCGCTTTGCAAAGGCTCTCGCCGAGAGCGGCAATGTCGATGTCCTGGATATCAGCAGTGGAGGTAACCACCAGAAGCAGCATATCCATGCCAAGGCCGGGTTCCAGGCGGGATTCGCGATTGAGGTTAAGAAAGCAGTTGGAGATCAGCTGAAGGTTGGCACGGTCGGCATGATCAACGACGGCTATCTGGCCAATTGTCTGTTGGAGAACAACAATCTGGACTTTGTGCTGGTCGGGCGTGGTTTCCAGAAGAATCCTGGTCTTGTGTGGACGTGGGCAGAGGAGCTGGACGTGGAGATTTCCATGGCGAACCAGATTCGCTGGGGCTTTAGTAGTCGCGGTGGTGGTGTGTACCTCAAGAAGCGACAGGAAAAGATGTAGAGAGGCATGGCCGTGACGTCACATCAGAGCCTCAAGATTAGTTTAGATCTTAGAAAATACGAGGAACGAGTGAATAGCGGAAAGCATATGCTGATTGCCATCAACCTTAAAGAGTTCTTTGAAAGCAGCCACAAGAGACACCCTTTTTAGCTTCAATTACTATATTCAACCTCCACTTGGTAGAGGATCATAGGACAATGAAACTTCTTCTCTGACAAGGCACTGTGAATAGTTTGGGCCAAGACGGTGCTCAGTCGGGTCGGGGCATCTATCCAACCGAAATACGAGAGGCGACTGGCGTCCTCGGGATTCGAGTCCACTGTCACTCCGCCCGAGAAGTCTATCCACTTCTCCATTACCGCTGAATACGGAAGTCATGCTGGAATGTAGTTCGAAAGAATGCCAGAATATAAATATGCCGACATCTGTCGAAATTCTCAATGTCCATCTTGTTAACACAGCCAACTCAAAATGGTCACCTTAACCGACGTCCAATCTTCCAATGCACAAATCGCTACAGCCCTCCCACCGGGTTTAGTCGCAGTCTTCGTGGGCGCAACAAATGGTATCGGCGAAACTTCGTTAAGAGAATTCGCACGCTATGCGCGCCAGCCCCGGGTTTACTTTGTCGGCCGCTCACAAGAAGCTGGCGATCGAATTGCCGCTGAATGTCGCGCGCTGAACCCGGAGGGCGAATTCATCTTCATCAAGGCGGATGTGAGCCTTCTGAAATCTGTTGACGAGGTCTGTCGCGAGATCGCGAGTAAAGAGAGATGCATCAATCTGCTGTTTCTGACCTGTGGCTCGGCCCTTTCACACGTTGGTTCGTATCTACTTTCTCAAAGTCAATACATACCTGCACTTTCAATTTTAACACTTGCTCCATTTATATCCAGACACAAGTGAAGGCCTCCACATCTTCATGGCACTGGCATACTACGCCCGAACACGCTTCATCCTCAATCTCCTCCCTCTCCTCCGTCAAGCGCCCAGCCTGCGACGAGTGGTCACCGTCCTAGCCGCTGGCCACGAAGGCCCCATCGACGCCGACGACTTCCAAAGCCGAAATGTCCCTCTCCGTAACGTGCGAGGCCACAACGTCTCCATGACCGACCTGATGCTCGAGCACATGGCCACCCTGGCCCCAGAAGTAAGCTTCGTGCACGACTACCCAGGCCCCGTAAAATCAGGCTTTGGCCGAGAAACGAATAGCGTCTTGATGAAGGTTGCGATTACGATTTTCAAAATCGTCGGACCGTTGGTCTATGTCCCGATTCGGGAGTCTGGGGAACGGCATTTGTTCTTTGCGACTAGCGCAAGGTATCCACCGCGGTCGGGGGGAGTTGAGGCGGTTGGTGTGCCTGTGTCTGGAGAGGGGGCTGTGTCTGGGGGTACGAATGGGGAGTTGGGCAGTGGTGTTTATGCGGTTAATTGGGATGGAGAGAGTGCTAAGCCCAAGTCGCTGCAGGTACTGGCGACGATGCGGAATGAGGGCATGGTGGAGCAATTGTGGCAGCATACGATGGCGGAGTTTAAGCGGGTGACTGGGTCGGAGAGCTTGGCTAAATGAGGATGGATTGGTTGATGGGGTTTATGAGTTTACAGTACGTTCTTCTAGTCATGTCACAGTCATGTAGTAATATACCTCCTGTACGAATTTTGATTGCGATCTGAAATCTGTAGGAATTGCGACAGTATGTACGAGCTCCAGTACGATTATCCATCAATAGGTATTGTATCGAGTGACTTGCACGAGATTCTGGGGAAGATCGGACCGGAATTCGGGTCAATTCACACGAGTCATGTTGATCAATGGTCCAGCGAGCTCGTGAGTATACCCCTAATCCGGTAATATATTCGTCGTACATTCAAAACAACGCCGTGGAAACTCTTGTCTCCCGTGTTCCGTAGTCCGTTTCGAACTCCAGCATCGCAGTTGGCTGCAAACCAACCGACGGCTGGACCCGCATCGTCGAATCGGGTATGGGTTGCGACACCACCAACGCAACTTAGTCCCCCGATTATCGATGGGAATATTTAGGAACCTAGGATTCCCGTTTGTTACTTTTAAATATCGGTGCCTGCTCGTGAAGTCATAAACGAACGCGATATCAATAGACTAGGGGTCCCACTAGCTAGTGCACGTTAGTGTCCTCAACTTGCGAACGACCTTGCAACGTGTTCAGGTCTCAGATCGCGGTCGCCTGCTCCTGTCAGATTCTCGGATTCACCAGTGTCACCGTCCCCCCCCCCCCTCCAACTAGGGTGGCACATGCTTCGAGGCTGTAAAAAACAGGTGTTCTTCTACGACTTGCAATCGTGTTCAAGGCCTTCGTTGATTCACTCATACGAACAACACTTAATTGATAGTCGTTGAGTCCGAGATCATTGATAAAGCGACATTCAACAACACTAACAAGAGTGTCACTCTCCTGTGAGATTGAGACAAGAGGCGTCTGATTCATATCTGCCAACTTTGGCCCTGTCTTGACTTCGATCAACATCATCTGAAAGAAGCTCGGGGATCTCATGACCATTCGAAATGGGTATCATCAACGATAATCTCAATGTGCTCTATGTGGGCGTGGCTGCGGCCATGTACTTTCGGCCAGAGTACGCCCTCTTCGATTCACGAGCTGCCACGATGCTCCTATCATTTATCATCATCACCGCGTGGAAAATCCTCTATCAGCTAGTGCTATATCCCGCATTTTTAACCCCGATAAAACACATCCAGACACCAACGGTACATAAATCCATCCATTCCCGTGAACACTGCGATTCGCTAATAACCCCAGGGCCGAACCTGGTTGAGAGGTAATACCGAGACTATCTTTCTCGAGACTCCCTACAAGCGGATGCAAGAATGGGCGGCAAAGTTGCCAAATGATGGACTCATCCGGTACTATATTGTCGGAAATTTGGAACGAGTCGCCCTCACCAGCCCGAAAGCACTCAGCGAACTGCTGGTAACCAAAGTCTATGACTTTGAGAAACCCAAGACGGTGCGACAAAGTTTGCGTCGTATTGTGGGAGATGGAATCCTGCTTGCTGAGGGTGATGAACATAAGGTACGTCTCCTGAGTATACCCTGCCATATCGCGTTTACACTAACCGAATTTGTAACCCAGCTTCAACGCAAGAATCTGATGCCTGCGTTTGCATACCGCCATATCAAGGACCTGTATCCGATCTTCTGGTCCAAGAGTGTCGAAATGGTCAAGCTGATCCAGCAGGATATAGAGCAGCGACAAGCCTCCGGAGGCAAAGATAACACCATTACTGTCCGCAACTGGGCAAGTCGCGCCACGCTGGACATTATCGGAGTAGCAGGCATGGATCACGATTTCGACTCCCTGCGCGATCCCACCAATAAACTCAACCGTTCATACCAACAAATCTTCCAGTCACCCTCTATTGGTACTAAAATTCTGTTCATCATTGGAATGATGATGGGAGACATTGGGCTCCTTCAGAAGTTGCCAACCCAACGCAATAAACGTATTGACGAGGGTGGTGAAGTCATCCGCGACGTTGCCCGACAAATGATCCGACTGAAGAAGGAGAAGATGAAGGATTCCAACACGCAGACGGACGTCGATATTATCTCCGTTGCAATGCACAGTGGTGTCATGGATGAAGAGAATCTGGTCGATCAATTGATGACTTTCCTGGGTGCTGGTCATGAAACCACCGCTACAGCGATGCAATGGGCCGTCTACGCCCTCTGCAAGAATCCCGAGGTTCAAATCAAGCTGCGCGAGGAGATTCGCGCGAACCTTCCGTCGCTCTCATCCGAGGACTCTAGCACAATTGACGCTACGACGATCGACAATCTCCCCTATCTCCACGCCGTCTGCAACGAAATCCTTCGCTTCCACCCCTCCGTCCCAGGGACGATCCGCACAGCAGTCAAAGATACATCCCTCGTCGGCAAACCCATTCCCAAGGGCACGATCCTTGTCATCGCTCCCGAGGTCTTGAATCATTTAGAGGAGCTCTGGGGACCAGACGCGGACAAGTTCAACCCTGAGCGATTCATGGGTCCAGGTAAAGCGAACACGGGCGGTGCAACCAGTAACTACGCATTCCTGACTTTCCTTCACGGCCCACGCAGCTGTATTGGTCAGGGCTTTGCTAAGGCTGAGCTCGCCTGTCTGCTCGCTGCTACTGTTGGCAAATTCCATATGGAGTTGAAGTATCCAGATCGCGAGCTGGAACTTCGTGAGGGAGCTACTGTCTCGCCGAAGGATGGCGTTTTGGCTAAATTTACTCCGTTGGAGGGATGGTAGAGCAGCTTTGCTACTTAACTATTTCCTTATCTTGTCTTGATGATCTAGAAGGGTGTATAATAGTGCCGGCGGCAGACCTCTCCACTTTGGACATACGCGCTGCGAATGATAGATACGTCATGTACGCTCACAGCCATACAAACGAGTCTCCCAGATCTTTTAATCGAAACCCATGACATTCAAACAAGCTCTGGTGGTCCATCTCGCAGGAGATCTACTTTAGACCTGCATCGAATTCACAGCAATGAGCATCTAGAAGTTGGAGTTTGGATGACGACACGACAAAATCGGGTGCCAGGCGGTTGAACATCGCCCCGAATCCCGATCCGGCACAACTCAAACACCCGCCACCAGAAATGTACTACCGTTCTGTGATGTTTGATAGGAATGACTCTAGAAAAGGGGATCTTCGCTTCTGAATGCTTAAATATGCTATCCTCCTATCATATTCTGATTTCCTAGTTATACCTCTCCCTGCATCATCTGCATCACGACAACACGCATACATCATGCCTAGCCTCAATTTCAATCCCGACAAGGAAATCCCCGACCTGACGGGGAAAGCTATCTTCATCACGGGTGGTATGTGACACAGTCCAATATACTATAACCGCAAAGCTCATTTTCCCAGGAACCAGTGGTCTGGGCGCGCAATCGGCCATCAACCTAGCCAAACACAACGCATCCCACATCTACATCAGCGGCCGCAATGCCCAAAGCGCCGAAAAGATCATCTCCCAAATCCGGGACAGCGGTTCCAAAACCAAAGTCAAATTCATCCAATGCGACTTGGCATCTCTCTCCTCCGTCAAAGCGGCAGCCGAACAATTCATGTCTACATCACCGCAACTAGACGTCCTGATGTGCAATGCCGGAATAATGGCCAAACCGCCATCCCTCACGACAGACGGCTACGAATTACAGTTTGGAACAAACCATCTCGGTCACGCACTACTCATTAAGAAGCTACTTCCTCTCCTCGAGGAAACGAGTAATAGTGGCGGCGACGCACGCATCGTCATCCTCACGTCCGAGGGCATGTTCCTTCATCCCAAGGGCGGAATCGTCTTCGATGATTTAAAAACCGTTCAAAATTTCTGGGCTGCCGGTCCATGGCGCCGATATGGCCAGAGTAAATTAGCAAACATGCTCTATGCCCGCGAACTATCCCGCCAATGCCCAAATATTACTTCCATCTCCATCCACCCTGGAGTGGTGTCTACAGAGTTAATTGCAAACTCGCGATTCATGGATCGGATTCTCATTTATATGACCAATCTTGGAAATCTACTGAAACCGGAAGAGGGAGCTTATAATCAGGTATGGGCAGCGACGACACCGAGGGAGAATTTGAAGAATGGAATGTACTATGAGCCTGTGGGTAAGTTGGCGCAGAAGAAGCTGGATAAGACGGCGAGGGATGATGATTTGGCAAAGAGATTGTGGAAGTGGACAGAGGATGCTTTGAGCGAGTACTGATGAGGAGGTGTCGGATGCTAGAGAGCTTGATATCTTCTCTAGAAAGCTGAATTCTGAACTTAGCGCGTCTATTGACGGAGCAGTAGGATTGGTGGATACTCGGAGAAAGGAGATACTGTATAGTTATCCGCCAAGATTAGTCATTATTTTGCCCACATAGTTAGTTAGTTAAATTGCCAGCTAGGGGCATTACAGCAATTCAGACTTATTGATATCCTATTGGTGCGCAGCATGATCCACTAAGCAGGAATTCCGACTTCTATTTCGTGATGGCGGGTCTGAGTTGCGGCTCAGGCCGCTTGCATATTCCAGCGATCCACTATGAGACTTTAGATCCAATAGGATTTACTGTTTCATGCCTCGAGGTTTGTGGAAGTAATTCAGTAGTGAGTGAATGTCAATTAGCAACAATAGGTAAACCAGATATCAAGCTGACATTACAAAAGAGCTTCGCCGTTTTGCGTTCGCAGTCGGTGATTGACGTGTCCTTGATCAAAATTAGAAGCAATGATTTGACGTGACGTGACGGTCTACATCTCTGTGCCTTGGATTGTTCGCTGAATCACTCAGAGTCCTCATGCCCTCGTCCCAGCGTCCCAGCATTGTCATCAATACTCGTCATATGAAGCTGAATCTCGAGAATATGAATCCCACCTTCCCTCGAGCGAAGCCCATATCTGACGCGCCTGGGTAGGGCTAATCTCAGATGTCATCGACTGGTCAGGTCTTCGATAGGCGTCGAACTTCAAGTCGACTTCATTGTCATCCTCCTCTGAGCCGTATCGAATAAACCCATGAATGTGACCCTCGCCGTTGAAGAACAGTCCATTGAACGAGCCAGCAGAATCCTCTGTATCAATGTTATGCAGCTCATACTCATCCGTCCATCTTGGCATGGCGTCCCCGCGCCAAAATATTGTCATGGCATCCTCCGTATTCACTTCATATGGTCGCGTTACTTTCATCATACCAGTAGCAACGCCAAGATTGAACTTTAACCACAGGGTGTTCCCGTCTAGTGTCCCAATGAGGCTCAGACGATCCCGATATTGAGGGAAATTCGCCTCAACATGCTTACAACAGAGGTCGTACCGTCCATTAAGCAAGCCGATCCTCCGCCGAGGGCTCGACGGCGAGGTTGGCTGCACAGGGCCCCGCCAGACAGAGGACAAGCTTGGGTCATATTCTGAGTAGGGTGGTGGTGCATCGCCATTTTCATCTTGAGATGGTGCTACTTGTTGAGCTGCTGTCTTGGTGTTTCCCTTCGCCTTCGCTGCGGGTTTGGCTGCACCTGTTGTCGACTTGACCGGAGCCGTTTTCTTTTCCGTTAACTTTGGAGCTGTCGTTTTCTTCTCCTTTAGTACAGTAGGGGCTGCCTTTGGCTTGGCTGTCGAGGGCTTCCCATCTTTCGCCATTATGAGCTGATGGACCGTCCTCCTAGCGGGTTGCTTTGTTCTCTTGGGGACAGCCGCGGGTACAGGCGGATTAGCGGCTGGCGTAACCTTCTTCTCCTTGGCCGTGATCTTGGGGGCCACCTTTGCTCTCTTCGTGGCAAGATTGGCAGCCTGCACCTCAATGACACCGGTACTCGAAACGCTAACACTGACGTTGACGTTGACACTAGTCGAGGTCGAGACTTGGTCTGCCTTGCGCTTTGTACCCTTCGCCTCTGGCTTGACAGCGGCAGATTCCTTCAACATCTCCTTCACCTCCCGTTCCTTGTTCGCCCATTCCTTCTTTAGATCGGCCTCGATCTTCTGGATATGCGGCGGCACGGCGAGACCGCCCCCCATCACGGCGTCGAAGAGACGTTTATGGGCGGTGCCCTTAACTTTGGATGGAGGTAGACCATAATGGAGGAGTTGCGCTTCATACCAGTGTGCAGGGCGATTCTCTGTGTCTTTGCCTTGAAAGTGGTTCTTAAGCTCGGGTAGGGTCGCTCGACAGTGAAGGTTTAGGTTGCTCGCTTCACAGTAGAATGAGTCCCCGGAAAAGGAGAAGCCGTGTTTCTGGGCGGTGGTACGAGTGCCATTGGGCAGGTTGAATTGATTGTGGATAGGATACCGGGAGTAGAGACGAATAGATAATAGGGGTTGAAGATCAGTCTGTTGGGAAAGGGAAATATTATACGTGGGACGCTTCACGTTGCGCCGGGTTAGCGCGTTGCTATTGATACAAATCGACAATAGGAAACACCAAGGGAATACGAAAAACAAAGGGTCACTATGGCTTTATAAGGGCGAGCCAAGATGACCTCAAGATGATAAGGTCGATGGGTCGTCACTCATTGCTAGGAAGTAAGTAACAACATCAATAATTCGCGGGGGTCTACGACTGTAGCTAGATTGGCGTCTCTAAAGAACGTATTAATCCTTGCATCCGAATACTACATCATATTTACTCTTACAGTCTTAGCGCCCGATTATCTTTTCTGGCCACGATGTAGGTGACGACTGCAGCACCTACTGCAATATACTATTCTGTAAATAGATAAATATGATCACGTGCTCTTCTTTCCTTATCGTCTCTTATCGCGACCAAAAAATTTTGGGCCCCAAAAGCGTCACATTTGAACGTGATACCGGCCAGCAGATCGATCAAAGAAACTTCGATCCGAAATTGGGCCGCGGTCAAAATAGCGACTCCGACTATCATCCCCATTCTCCTCTAAGAGCCTCGCTCACCGCCCTTGGACATCAATTCTTTCTCGGTCCCGCCACAAACCCGCGGGGTATCCAATTGCACGCATCTCCAAATGGACTCACAATCAACAATCGCGGCTCCGGCCATGGATGCCACCTCCTTCCTCGACTTGGCCATCACACTGGTCCTGAACAACTGGCCCGCACTCACATTAGCCGTGCAATCAAACTGGGGCGGCCCTACCTCCGCCGACAAGCGCGACTGGCTCTGCGGCGCAATCTCAGACATGCTCAAAGACCGGCCCGAAACCGACGCCGAGGATCTCGAAGACGTCCTCATTCAGGTCTTGAATGATGAATTTGAAGTTTTGGTCGACGACGAGAGTGCTGGCAATGTCGCGCTCGAGATTATGGAGTTCAAGGCACAGACGGCGCGGGGAGAGTTCGGCGCTATTCAAGAGCTGTGGGAGACGTGGCAGAAGAAAAGCCAGCAGAAGTCATCGGCGGCGAGCATGTTCAAGCAGGTCGATACTCGGGATGAGGACCAGGAGACCGATGAGGAAGAGGACTCTGAGGATGAGGATGTTGAGATGGGCGAGGCACCTTCGTTGGTTCGGGCCCCTAGGGAGAAGGTTGAGCCTGAGGTGGATGAGGATGGTTTCACTATGGTCAAGAAGAAGCGGTAAATCAGTAGTACCGGGGGCGGTTGTTATTTAATGACCCATGATCGATGTCGCTTTCATTTCATGTTACATGCACATGAAGCATTTGAATACATATACATCTCTTTTTACATAGACGAATTGCTGCAATTTCAGTTTTTTTTTTTGAATCCACTACAGCACAATTTTGCTTCAGAAAAGAATTATTCTTACGAGGATGGAGTACTGCGATTTGACTGCTTGTGTTGATGAGACAAATAGCAATTCTATATGGAAGGGGTAAAGAAGTTTCATAATCATCAAAGTGAAGCGTATGCTTTTGAGTGTATCGTCGCTCGATCTCCAACCGCCCTAGCTTTTCCTCGTCGTGAGCACTGCTCGGACCTGGCAGATTGATGGAGAGATAGCAAAACATCCATAGGCCCCGTGGTGGTATCCCGTTTAGGTTCTTTTCCCCGCATGGCGAGGATATGCACATTCCGTTATATGTTTCCAAGAATCAAGCATTTACTCTTCGTTCTCCGGCATGATGAGCTTGGTGATCATACCAATAGCAATGGTTTGTCCCTTTAGTAAAGCAGTCAGCGTCTAGATCATCTAATATTATAAAGGCTAACAGATCATCACATACCTGATCACGCAGGGTGAATCGTCCCAGCTGCTGGTAGTCCTCGAATCTCTCAACACAGACGGCACCAGCAGTGCTGGTCACCTCAAGGCGGGCAATAATGGTCTGACCCCTGTTGGCGAATGGAGGGGGGCGCTTGCTTTTGCGGCCGGTGCCAGGCTCCAGCTTGTGGAGGAGAGCAGCAAAAGTGACTTCCTCAATGGCGGAGTGAACGTGAAGAACGCAGTTAAAACCGGCAGTGAGAATGTTCTTGAGATCTAGAATACGGATCTTGGCCTCGAAAGCAGACACACAGTGGACAGGACGCTTGGGAGAGCAGAGTACGAAACCGGGGAAGAAGTCCTCCTCTTCCACACCGCGCAGGCGCATGCGGACCTGGTCACCACATGAAGCGGTGGAAATTTCGTCTTCGGTTTCACCGTAAAGGGCAGAGATCTGAACCTCAGTGCGATTAGGCATCATGAGATAACTACCGTTCTTCTTGATGACACCGGACTCGACACGACCTTCCGCCATGGTACCCATGTCTCGGTACTTGGCGCTGATAGGCATCATGAAAGGAGCGTTGATCTTACGCTCGGGAAGCTTGAAGTCCGTCAGGTACTCCAGAAGAGATGGGCCGTCGTACCAGGGGGCGACGCCGGCTGGAAGTCTGTCCTTAATGTTCAAAGTAGTCTGAGCGGAAATGGGCATGCAGAAGATATCGCTCTTCTTGTAGCCAAGAGCTTCCAGGAACTTAATGACCTTGACGGTACACTCGTCGAAGCGAGCCTTGCTCCATTCGACGGTAGGGTCGTCCATCTTGTTGACGACAATGACCAACTTCTGAACACCGGTGTTGCGGGCAAGCAGAGCGTGCTCACGAGTCTGGCCGCCCTTCTCGAAACCAGTCTCGTACTCACCCTTACGGGCGGAAATGACGAGACAGCCCAAATCAGCCTGGGACGCACCTCCAATCATGTGGGGAACGTAAGACTTGTGGCCAGGCGCATCAAGAATGGAGAATTGACGCTCAATGGGGCCATCCGGGTGGGGAATTGTGACCTTGAAGAAAGCACGACCAACTTCGACAGTCTTACCCTTAGCACGCTCCTCATTGGTCAAATCCAGAGCCCATGAGAGGTACCAAGTCTCACGACCAGCTTCCTTAGCTTCCTTCTTGTACTTGTCAAGAGTCCGGTCATCGACCATGCCAGTGGAGTACAGGAGAGAACCACCCAAGGTAGACTTTCCGGCATCAACGTGGCCAATGAACACAACATTGATGTGCTCGCGCCTCTCACCGTAGATTTCCTTGAGAGTTGCCTCATCGACATCGGCTTGTTGCGCTTTGGCCACAGCATCGGCGGCACGGGTAGCCTTGGCGACCTCGCCACGGCCAGGGCTAGAGCGACCGGATGAGGGACTGGGAGAAGTCTTGCCGCTAGCAGCTGCCTTGGCATCGGCCTTCTTCTCGGTCTTCTCAATGGCCTTGGCGGCAGTCACCTTCGCACCAGCCTCGGCAGCCTCAGTACCCTTGGTATCACCCTTGGTCGTAGTGTTCGGTGTAGCCGCAGCGGCGGGGGTAGCGGCGGGGGCAGGAGTAGGAGTTCCGACCGAAAGCACCTTAACCTTAGGAGCGGCGCTGGAGGTGGTGGCACCGATGGACAGGACCTTGGCCTTGGGAGGGGCGGCGGAGGCATTCACGGCAGGCTTGGGGGCAGGTTGGGCAGCGGCGGGAGCAGGCTGGCGAGGTTGCTGCTGCTGCTGCTGCTGGAAGCCACCAGGTTGCTGGTTATAGTACTGGTTGTATCCACCGGGCTGCTGGCCATACGCACCGTGTTGGCCGTAGGACTGCTGGGGGTAACCGTATGCTTGCTGACCGTATTGGTTATACTGGTAACCACCACCGTATTGCTGGTACTGCTGTCCAGGCACGAAGGATGAGGCGCCGGGGGTGAAAGAGGCAGCACCGGGCTGGAAAGTTGCGCCAGGCTGGAATGAAGGCGCCTGTGCCTGAGGACGGCCTTGTGCGTTCAGGTTGACACCCTCCGTTTGGCGGGAGAGCTCATCCTCCCAAGAATCGGGGGTCTGGTTCGACATCGTGAGGTAGATTCCGGGACGCAATCAAGGACACGGCAAGCGACACGGAAGTCGAGGTTGGAGGTTTCAACAACAATGAGGGGTCCTACAATTTTGATTTTGCACCGCTGAGTCAGCGCCCCCGCGATAACGTCACGTGTCTGATATGTGCAGTGACAGAAAGAGGAACTTCTCTTTGTTTTTGTCCTTCGTCAGAAAGAGGTTGTTCTCGTCGTTTGAATGTCTGGAAAGCCCAGAGGATATTTGTGTCCCGTTACTGGTGGTGTCCAACTCACCGTTGGGATTGGGCTCTTGTCACCCTCATCTTCTTTTTTGACTGTTGGGCATAACACAACACGGGTTATCGATAAGCCCCTCCATGCTTTGTCCTCAGGGGTGCTTACCAGCTCAATCCACCCAGCGTGATTTGAATCGTTCAAGAGATTGCTGTGGTCAAAATGGAGGTCTTCTTGACACGCGTATGTCATCACTATCGGCCGTATAGATCCTGTGCCAGTCTACTAACAGCATCTATCCACGAGAAGCTGACCCAGCAGGCAATGAACTATGCCATTCGGTAAGCTCAACAATCCGAGATTGAAATGATTATTAAGACTGAGACATTCATATAGCTCAGGGATTGCGATCACCGCGACCTATGCTATGCGCCAATCATCTCGCTTGCTCAAAGTATGCCCGATCTCGTCCAGCTGCCACAAAGTGGATCTGAAGATGCTGACGTCAATCTCGATCAGACTGTTGACGGCAAGGACCGCGAAGAATTATTGTCTTTGCAGCAACGTCTCGAGAGCAAGATTCAGGTTTGTCTAAGTAGATTACTGTCCTTCTTGGATCCTGACTGATGTAGGAACGCAGGTTATCGCTCCATCAATTGACATGATTGAGCTGATGTAAGTCCGTTGAAATATTCGAGGTTAGCATTCTTAGGCACTGACAGCAGGATACAGAGCTGCTCGGGGCAATACATCTCTTGAGTCGGCAGTCGCCCTCACCAAGTCTCTCAGGTGGGAAATTCAGGCTCTTGGCCAACGATTGGCAAAGGCCGCGGCTTCAGAAGAAGCCATGCAAAGAGACTCCAGGTCATCGAAAGAGCGACCAAAGAACGAGGCTGAGATTGAGTTCATCATCAAAGACATCAAGAACTTACTTGCCCGGATTGAGGATGCGGTGCCACTCATGAACCTGGCCATCACCACATCCGGTGCTAAACTGTCAACAAATCTACCGTCGACAGTGTCGCCCTCGCGACTTCTACAAGCTAGCACTTTCCTAACAGCAGGAGACACACAATACTCTATGTCACAATCTGTCGAGCCTCACGCTGTGCAAATAGGACCAACATTTACACTTTCGATGTACATGCTCTTCGCCAGCCATCTCCGTCCGCACGACGAGGAATCCGTGCGAGAAGCAACCTGGAAGGAGGTCATGCACAAGGCACGACTCAAGCTGCGACGCGTGCCCATGAACCTCTACTATTCAGAGGATCAATCAAAGTTGTCACAGTTTCCATCACGACCAGGTATTGATGAATATGCTTATCAAGTCATGATCATCGAGGATCTTGATGATGGGAGAGTTCACACATTTGAAGAGAATGAACCTCAGCCTCATAGCTACGAAGGAGTTGCGACAGCGGGAGTGAGAGAGATTCTCCCAATTCATCAGATCTCCAAGATTTTCTACGCCGACACGGGCAGAATTCTCAATATTAGCACTGAAGGCGAAACCAACAACCCGGTTCTACTACTCAAAAGAGATTTGAATGCATTGCCTCCTCGTCGCATGATGGAGCGCGACGATAGTGATGATGATTATTCCCAGGAAGCAGAAGATCAGGATTCGGTCGACGAGGAGCAAGCGCAGCTCGATGCACAGCTGAGTGGTAGTAGTACATCGGATCAGACCAACCTCAATTATCTGCATGAAGATTCCATCCCCGAAGAATGGCGGCTACCTCCAGGCCTGGACCCAGAGTGGATCGCGTTTGAAGTCTACAACGAAGACGAAGATTCAGACACCGAGTCGGAAGCAGACCCAGCAGCAGAACCCTCCATTGATCCTAATATGGTGGCTAAGCTGTCATTAAAGGACGAAAAACATTCATCTTCCCCGTCTTCCTCCCCAGTCGGTCGCCATGACGTCTCTCAAACATCAGCGTCAACTCAACCCGCTGCAACCACAACAACAGTCTCCAATCCACTATTCGAACACATTCGCACATCACTCTCACTACTCGAAACCCTCCTTCGTCTAACATCCCTTCAACAATTCCAGCAACAATCACACCTTTCAATCAGTGACGAACTCCTGAACTTCTTCCTCGAAGAGTCGTCTTCAACCGGTGCCGGCGGCGATGAGCAACATCGCCAGCGTCTCCGGTCCGAGGCCCGTCGTCGCGTCGGATGGGACCCTTATGACGAGAGTCCTGTCAAACACCGCGGCGAGGACTACCAATATGGTTGGGGACCTGGTAGTCCCTCCGCCTTTCCACGAGACGGCGATGATCTCTACTCACCAGGAGGCGGATCACGGGGGTTCCAGATTCGTTCCCGCGAAAACACGCCGGAGACGCCTCAGCGAAGGGGTTCGCCTAGTGTGCGCCCAAGTGGGCTGAGGGATATGACTCCTGCCTATTCGGATGATGCCAACTCGAGGCAAAGCTCGCCATTGGGGAAGAAGGCTAGTCGCGTCCCCAAAGGTGGAAATGCTGGTTCTGGAACGGCAGTGTGAGAGACTCATTTTCACTACTTCTGTAAAATTACGGGCGAGGATGACCGGGTGATGCCCTGGTAATACTGCTTTTTGACCCGCTTGAGGAGCAATTCTCATCGCAGTGAATGAGAAGGAACACTTTATAGACGTGATCAGGGAAAAAAAATTAGGCACAACAGGCGTATCCGACGTAACCGACTTCCTATGTAATTGGAGAGAATCATGTGCAGGTTCGACGACAATAAAGGGAACAGGTAGAAAAGGCAATACACGTTATCGATCGCTGAAATCAAGAGATGAAAACGTAACGAATCCGGGAATAAGGAGAGAAAAGTCCTAAAAACGCCATTGAACCGGCCAGGGCGGCCTAAACTCCGGCAAAAAGCGACGCAAATGTAATAACCAGGTCAACTGGTCATTGGGGTCTAGAAGACAAGATATAGCCTTCAAGGAGACGACCAAAGTTATATTCTCTTGTCCATGGACCATTGGGACGATCAATCTACTCCCAATCTTCGTCACTATCATCCGCCTTGGTGTCGGCAGTTGGGCTCGTCTCCTTGGGACTGCCAGGTGTCCGGCTGGCGGTCCCACTCACGACGTCGTAGCTTGATTCACTGTCGGCCTGGGACTGCTGATCGTTGGATCGGCGAGGTTCAGCCTTCTGGGTATCTTTGGGGGCAAGGTTTTGGTTACCAGGGCGGACCTGGGGAGTAGAGGGAGATTCGGACTCGTCCTCAGAGTCATCGTCCCAACCGACTTCCTCTTCCTCTTCGACATTAGCGCCTATCAGCGAGAGCCAGTGTTAGTATATAAGACACGAGAAGTACAAAATAGCAAATTGATGCGACATACCCTTCAGAAGCTCCTTGCGCTTCTTCTCCTCGGTCTCAACGACGAGGCGCAAGAAGTAGTACCGAATCCAGAACTCCGCATACTCCACCTTCTCAGGAACAAGCTTCTCCATGGTCGTACGCAGTTCGGGGTACTTCTCCAGATCGGCGGCGATTTCGTCGGTCTTGCTCTCCACATTGAAATCCTTTTTGAACTCCGGGAACTTGTCGCTGACCGGATCCTTGGTGAAGCTATCCAAATTGGAATGAATGACGTGAAGCTGGGCCTCGAACCGAGTGGCATGAATGACTCGCTTGCCGTCGGCATCCTTGCTCTCGAAGAGAAGCTTGCCAGGGTCTTCATTCTCGGGCGGTACGATGCTCACAGCCTCACGCAGCTTTTGACTGATGCTCCGGCCGAATCGCAGGATTGCTTCGTCCGCAGCCTCTTCGGCTTTCTCAATCTCCTTGAATCGCCGGGCGGCTTCGGCCTTGAACCGGGAGATAAACCCCTCTCCGCTAGAACCGGCTTCCTGCGCCTGGTCCTTGGAAGTTTCTTCCGTTGCAGCCGTGGGCGTAGCAGCTCCATCCGTCGGTCCTTCGCTGCCGTCTGTAAGCCCAACCGTGCTGAGAGACAGCCCCTTTGTTCGATCGACGATGCTGTTCCGCAGGTCTGAGAATCCCTTCACCGCTTCCTCACTGGCAGCATTGTATTCCTTCTGAGCACCTTCGTAGTAGCTTTCTCCCTGTTTGCGTACATTGTCCCAGAGTCCTCCGATTCGGGTACCCCACGGGCTGGCGGAAAAGGCGCGGAAGGTTTCTTGGAGCTCGGTGTTGAGGTTGCTGTTGGAATTCTCGTTATTTGATTCAGAAGAATCCTCGTTCTTGTTCGAGGCCAGGATTTCCTCCTGGATATGGTCGTATGCGAAATCCATGGTGAGGTGGACGGGGAGATGAGAAAGTCGCAGACCGACACAACAATTGAGGTTGCACCTCCGCGTTCGTCGATGGCCCGACCGCCCGCGCCCCGCTCGTCCCGTGCTAAGCTCAGCGCAACTATTGAATGAACTGAACAATAACCAGCTATACGAATACGCCGGTCTCGTTCAAACAACAAATGAAAATCAAAAGACGGTTCGCTAAATCCATTTTCATAAATATATAGGGTATCTAAGAATTTGACGCTTCAGGTAGACTATACGGTTCTCCTACACTCTCTTGACTCCCTATCCAAAAGTTCGGCATAGGAATGCTCTCCATCACACTGGAAGTCAGAAGCTGACTGCGTGATAATATCCTACCAATTCCATGATGGCCACGCTCGACTGGTTGAGATGACTCGACTTGAATAACCGACCCAGGAGGCCGAGGTCGCTGAAAGACATCTTCATCATGATCCATGCTGTCGTCTTGACCCCGGGTGGGCGAAGACTCCGGCACTATTTCAATTTGGTCTGCTCGTTGACTTGGTGTTGGAGTCTGGGAAGACGAAAGAGGAAGTTGTCGTGAATCATGCGCGAGCCCTTGTCGAGGATATTGCGTGCTTCCTTCATTGGGAAATAGCTCAGACAGCTTTTGGGTATTCAATGTCGGAATAGGCTCATGTGGGAATTGAGTCGCTGGTTGTACTCTTCGATAGAACATGGAAGCGTCCGACATTGGAGCTTCGGAAGCAGGTGCAGAGTCTGGGTCGGCATATGTGTGAGCGCTGGGCAAGGGTAGATCTTGCGAGTCATCACACGGCGATTGTGGTGCGTCATGACCCTCGCTTGAGTTCGCCAAGCGTGGGCCGGGATTTCGAGTGGGTGTATCAAGACCATATCCAATATCATCCTCAAAGTCATCATTGTCGGTGTCCGCGTCCGTTTCATAGATTACCGTTCTTTCGCGTTGGGTACGGTCCGGTGGGGGGTCGTCGACTGCTGGCACGGATTGCTGGGAGACTCCAGCTAATGACGAAGCAGTCGATAATGTATTCCGTTTGAATGATGGCAATTCTGTGTTAGGAGAATTGTAACCGATGGGTCCGTTTTGTGTGAGCGTCTCATTCTGGACTGTGTCATCTTGATTGAGTGACTCTTCGGCCATCACTGGTGAACCCGTAGATTCTTCTTTGATAGAATTGTCAGGATTGGCGAAGTTCAATCGCACTTTCCTCTGAGGTGACCGCGTTGCACTGCGAAACTGAGATGATGTGATAATTGCCAACCCTGGACTTTCCGGTGACTGCGAAGATGGAATCTCCAGTCTCCTCGGTTTTCGCGGTGTGATTGGAATTTCAGATTTCGAAGGATCTGAGGGTTCAGGTTGCTTCCGGAGGCTTTGGGTGTCGTCCGACTGAGATATTGGTTCGCCGGTAGACAGGTCTACTTCCGCTTCCAGGGCCCTGCGAGTGCGCTTTGCGGAGAACACGGGAGTTTCCAGCTTCAATCCATTATTCTCCAAAATATCCGGTTGCTGAACACCCTCTTTCGAATCCTTTTCGGGAGCAGGCTGTAAATATCCCATGTTCACATCATTATCGTCATCGTCATCAATCGTTATATAGCGCCGCACGAAATCCATTTGTGTAAGAGTTTTATCGCGCTTTGCTGGCGGTTTGTCTGTTGACTTTCGCTTTCCTCTGCCGTTGCTTTGCCTCGGCGTTTGGCTCTTGCGTAGGGGAGCTCGTTGAACTGTGGCGCTTTTTCTTCGCCGTTTTGGATGGTCTTCATTCATTCCGAGCGTGGAAAGGCCCGATTTGGCCCGTAAAGATGGTCGGTTTTCGGTATTCTCGCTAAGACCGTCGTCTATTTGCACTGACCCCGCATCTTCGCCGCCGCCAGTGCTGTCAATATAGTCGAGCTCGTCATCGTCTTGTTGTGGAGTTTGGGTCACAAAGTCGATCTGTGTGAGAGTTGACTGTGCGCAAAATGAACTCGGTAGGGAGGCTCTTTTCCTAGGCCGCCCAGAGGTTGACAGTCCGGGAGACGCTGTTCTCTTCGACGTGGTGCTTTTCGATGTCTTGAATGATGACTGGGGACTGGGTCGCCGGGGGGTTCGGAAGTGATCACTGGGTGTTGCTGATGCAGTATCTGGGGCCTTGTGGAATCTCATTGCAGCTTCCGCTAAACATACGGAGTTACACCAGCAAGACTTGTGGATTCTGTGGGATGACCTTGCTGAGAGCCACGGTTCCCTTCCGAGGATGACGTTTGGAGACACTATTGCCTGAGGCATACCGCGTCGACGCGTCGCTCGGTGTTACGAATTCACGTGACCCCTTGAGACCCCCAAACGGTCCATGATTGATTATGGTGACGCTACCTTGGTGTCTTCTCAGTAGTGAACATCAAATGGGATATTTATATGTCACGAAAGGCCATGCTCATGCAAGTTTCACGATGGCTCGAGACTCTTAGAATGTGGTGGGGAATGGGCCTAGAATGTTGACTTTCAACCAAAGACAATGCTTTTAAGATCGAATACTATCAAACTTGGGCATAATTCACCTAAATATTTGATCACTTCATGTTTACATGAGCCACTCTGGAATCGCATCTTCATCTTCCGGATCCTCAGATAGCAGAGATCCTTTTTCGATCTCGCTATCAGAATCTGGAGCGGGTGGAGAGGGCTGGACAGCCTTCATAGGAGACGGTGAACGGGAAAGAACATCCACGCTAGCAGATTTCGAGCCACCGTTGGCTGAAGAGTCGACTGCAATTGGGGCCATTGCAGATGATCCCTCGTTCTCTACCTCCACTGTCTCCGGCGGGCCGGCTTGATGCGGTCTCTCCGCTACTGATTCGGATTTATTTGGCACCACGATCAGTTCATAACGAGGAGTCTTGGGTGCTTTCACTCTTCTAGTCCTCTGCAAAGTCGCATGCGATTGGATCGGGCTCGGGGGCTGAGGAACCGGTGCGGAGGGGCCTTCCATGGGCTCATCGTGGGTAAAGTCTCCTCCTTCGCCAGGTTCGTCAGGTATGAAGCCTCCACCCTCATCTTGGGCGATGGGTTCATCGTCTTCAGGAATGAACCCCCCGCCATTTTCAGTTGCAAAGCCACCGGCATCTTCAGGTACAAAACCCCCGCCTTCTTCGGGGATGAATCCGCCTCCAATTTCCCCGGCGTAGTCCATGTCGATCTCTGGCTCTGGCTCTTGTTCATCGGAATACTCCATTTTCTCATCCTCGTCTGCATAAACTTTCACTCGTTCAGCGATCCTCAGCTTAATGAGGAACAGTCGCCATAGTCGCAACGCTTCTGCAGATCTTGCTTCGACGGCGGCTTGGCGTCGTTCATCGGCAATACCTCTAAGCACCTCCTCGAGTGCCTCCTTGTATTCTTGGGCAATGACAATTCCCCCAAAGACCGCCGTACCTCTCCGTCCTTTGAACTCAAAACCGGTCACCGCATCTGCGTAATCAATACCCAGAATTTTCGCAGAGCGAGCTGCCTCGGGGTGTTTGATGTGGACTGCTCCAGGTGGAACCATGCTTGGCACATAGACATCCAGATTTCCATAAGCATTTTTCGGAATCATTCCTTGTACCACAGGAGGCGGCCGGTATATCTCGGTTTGGTACTCTGCGTAGAGTGCAGTATCCTCAGTCTCTTCATCATTCTCGTCACTGGCGAATCCACTCTTGGGCCTGGTCGCGGGAACATGTTTGAGAGGCTGTTCGCCCACCTTGACATCTCGTCCCAGTCGATACCATTTATCAGCGCTACGTACGATATGTACGTCGGAGCGGCGGTAGACAGACTCCAAACTGTCACTCTTTGAGGTGGTCTTGCTCAAACCCACATGTCCTATGACACGTTTGGGGAAGATCACCTCATTCCGCCGCAAATGTCTCTCCAACGCATAGACAGGGTGATCCTTAAAGTCCTGGATGTTACGTGGCATCGGTTCGGCAGCGGATTTAGAAGTCAATTCGCTTATCTCAGCCTCATCTCGATCCTCCAGGAATGGCTTTTCATAGGCGATCAGTGCATCATTCCACCATTTCTCTCCACTCCGTGTGTTTTCCACTCGATACTTGCGAGTCTTTCCGTTGAAGGCTTTGGTGTATCGTCGAGTAACATCTCGCGCGGAAGCATCATCCTCAAAAGCAACCACATAACTCATATTGTTGTACGGATCGCTTGCGGGTGGCTCGAATTTAGATGGCTTTGCGAGAGACTTGGTCACCAATGGGTCGATGGGAATCCATTTTTGTACTGCGTCGTTGAAGGCTTCGACCCAGAATACCGGATAGGAGGATTCCCGGGGTGCTGGTTGAGAACCTTGTTAAGTTAGCCACTGCACTCAAACTCGGATTCTCTTACATACCGAGGCGAACAGGCTTTTGAGGACGTGAAGTAAACTCGGGTTTTCCAATCCGTCGTGTCCTTGAGGGAGTTGTGAGTCCACTCGCTGACTTCTGCTGATCGTCGGCAGATGTCTCATGGTCGTCAGAGGAAATGACAATATACTGTGGTGGCCTCTTGGATGGAGTCATGTCCTTGACGGTCCCTGAGAATGGCAACGGTTGAAGGGAACAGACGAGCCTCGCCTCAACAGCAGCGGAGCGTAGCAAGGCACAGAAAAGCTGGGCGCCAAAGTCGCGAGAACCCTGCAATATCTTTGCTTGGGACTGAAATTCTTCCTTTGAGAAGAAAACTTCGGCGTCAGACATGATTGTTTCCTAGCGATATGTCAGAGATCGCCCCTTTCATGTCACATAGAAAGTATCAGCACGCCTTACCATTCTCTGCTTCAGCTGATCTTGATCCTCAGCCCAGTGCGCGCGCTTGAGGCCCGGTTTAGTCACACGAAACCTTCGACTGAAGATGTCACCAGCTTGATTGAGACCGTCAATAAATGTGGTCGATCTCGTGAATTGCGGCTTATCCTCGTCGGGGTTCAACAAAGCAATGATCTTTTTGGGTAGCATCCTTTTGAGATAACGCTGCTTGTTCATTAGAAGCAAGATCCATATCCAGGAGACTCGGACGTACCTGCGTCACATCATCATTACACCACCGGTTGCGCAAGTTAACATGAGCCAAGAGGCAAAGAAGATGAGCCTTATGGGCATCTAACCGCAATTTTTTCTCGGCCGCGGTGACTGGCTTTCTTCTTGGGGGTGCTCTTTTGCGAGCCTCAGGTTCTCGATCCAGGGTAATCTGCAGAGTTTCATCTCTCCCCTCGATGGCAGAAGCCGTGCCAAATAGTCCCTGGGCAGGTTGGGCAACATCCACATCTTCCCATTCAACATCCGATTCATCGGAGGTAGTTGAATCATAGACAGTTTGCACGTTCTGACTGATATCTTTTCCTGGAGGTAAAACCATGTTTGCCTGCTCTAGAGGTGGAGAGTCGACGGGGATAGCCCTTGTCTGTATGGACTTGGAGTCTCCAACTCTGCGTCTTTTGATCGGTCGATCTAAATGGAACTGTCCCGGATCTCGAGCTTCAGCCTCTTCCAACATCTCCTGGTAGACATCAGGCACTTGGTTTTCACACGCTGTCTCGAGCTTTGAGCGACGGCCACGGGCCGCCCTGCCCCGCGCAGGACGCGCTGCGGACTGGCGCGCCATATTTCTGCTGTGTGGTGCATCAAGATGTTTGGTTCATGAAGAGGGATCTGCACGTCACGTCTGCTTTATCTATCTCTAAGTGTGTCGTCAGGTTCGACACACTGTAAGAGACAGATACAGTCGAATAGCAGGTTGATCCTGTCAAGATCTAATGTTGTGAGCCTCAAAGGGTCTAATCTACATGCTGAAGCTGATTGGGGGGCCTCTGCGTCATAGCGGGATATAGTTTATCCGGCCGTGTTATCGTAACCCGATACGTAATAAGGGGAAGGTCATGAGTAGTTAGTTGTACCCGAATGTTCACAACCTCGAAGCTTGAAAAGCGATTTCGAAATTTTGTAGCACGTTTGATTCTATGGTAATAAGACTGTGGTGGTAGCTGGTTCAGGTACTTCCATTGTTACACATTATAGGGTGGCCTGCTTGAACCCTAAGCTGTTGCCATTACTGCGGGAATATATAGTTGCTGCAACTACGTCCGAAGCGGAAGAAATACACATCACATGGATGTTGTTTTCTAGAAATGGATACTTCCAGCAAATACCCAAGGTCGAGGTTAGCCCAGCCATTGAGTCAATCACACACCGCAAGATCCACTGGAATCGTGGAACTCTAACGCGAACTTACCACTCAGATTTTGTATCAACGTTTGGACAATCACATCACGCCCTTGGAACGTCACCATGATAAGTTCATTAGGGCGATTTAAATATTCAGAGCCAACATAGCAATGAATTCTCTTTCATTGAATTCTCATGTCATCTCATTCCTGAAAGATGTCTTTCACCACAGCAGCTCTAGCGACACCGGCTCGCTGCACAGCCGATTTCTCTTTGATTCCAGTAGGAGGAGAATTTTCATTTCCCAACCAATTAACCTCATCTAACAGTTGTCGTTGTACTACTAGATTGGATCTGCTACTCCGTCTTTTTCTCAGCAAATCACCGATATCCAGCGACTACTCCAAGATTCGGGGTTGACATTCGTCACCCATACTACTGGCACAACAATCGGTAAGTCACTTGCTCAATGCCATTTGGAAGAGAAAGGGGTGAGGCTTGGATCTGGTCCCTGGAATAAAGCCACAACTGTATTGCTTGTTTCAAGGCTAGGAGGCTAAGGCCCCTGTTTTGAGGCCATCATAATGCGTACATGCACAGAGGACTAAGTGGCGCGAATTACAATAGAAGGTACATGGGATCAGGTCGTCCAGCTAATTGGAATGGCCCACACCCTCACTCATCAGCAAGGAATTGCGAGGGTCCAAACCGATATTCGTGTTGAAACTAGGTATAGGATCTAACCAACGAAGCTCCCCCAAGCTCAGACTGTGCTGAATCTCAACAGAACAGACAAAGCCCAACCAGTTGGTGGAACCGTGTCGTCAGTGGAGAGAGTCTACTCCGCTACGTCCTAATATCCAGATTGGGTTCTCCTAGATGAGAGTCATATCAAGTCATTGAAGCCATTGCGATAGAAAGTAGAGATGATCTGGGCTGCAGACCATGATTGCAGGCTTCGTGGCCACTGGGGTGAGCCTGATGATAGGGATATGAAGATCCAAAATTTGCTCCAAATCATCAGCAGCATACGATATAGTTACCGAGAAAAAGAATGACAAATTCACTCTTTCCTTTCGCTATCATTATTGGCTCCCAACACACTGCAAAGCTACCAGGAGCTCCCCTCCGTCGCAAATCTTCCAGTGGGTCTTGCTTGTTCGGGGGAAATCCCGGCGTGGATCGAGAAAAGGGTCGAAATGAATGTACATGTAATACTTAGATGTAATTAAAGGAAACCATAGCCCAATAGACGTGCCTGATCTACTGTAAAGCGCCTCTTTTTTGCAGTTGACCGTGATTGACCCGTGTCATTCATGCATCCCCAGGTACACGGTGAGCCGATTGGTGGACAGCCTCCACTTGGGCACATAGAATGTTTCGACTAGGCTCCGCGTTGCTGGTAATTCCAAATTGTACTGTAAGCCTGAATTATGTTAGATATTACTTTGTGTAGCGCGCGTTTCCAGGCTTGAGTTTTACACAAATCGAATGCTCACAGTCTCATGTTGCTCCTCCATAAACGAAGGAAGGGGCTGGGTAAAATAATAGGTAGGGTGGAGGAATTTTCCAGCTAATCGCCCTTAGGTCCCGCAGCTTATCCCAGGTCAGTGGTAAGTGCTTCTCAATGCATACGGCTTCTTCATATGGCTTACTTTAGGAAAAAGAATATCAGTAGTACTATACTTCTTTTGTATATTTCATTTTGTATTCCCACCGTGGCTGCTATCTAACAGTGTGCTGTAGTGGACGGAAGATTTTATAATCCAATAGCAGGCAAGTAAGCTTGTGGGCCCATTAGTATTTGTTACGAACAGCGGTCTACCTTATCACAACAGGGTCTTACTTGCCTTGGGCGCAAGCCACGTATCATTTCAGTTAACGGTAGCTTCTAGTGTGAATGAGAATAAGAGACTAAGTGCGATCTGCATATTCGGCCGGATGGCTGTGTTTCTAGCCTCCCTGGTATTACAAAGAGCTACCTTGTTTAAAAACACTTAACACTACCTAGAAAAATGTCGAGAGTAGATTGCTTGGCTGACGGGTTATAGAGAAGTGAAAGGCTATGAGTGCTTCGAATCACATTATTTGCACTCCATGGTTTTCGGAGTCCGTGCCATAGAGGAACGGTACCTGTTCTCATGCCCATCAATATTAATCGCCTGCTATACGCGTGTTCTCGGCCCCACGGCCTCCTTAAAGTTGATCTGCATGGCATTATGATCTGATGATTCGGCGTTTGTAGAATAATACAAGCCTGGCCTGTTGTCTCACAGAATTTCATTTCTTCAGAGCAAGAACAATAGGAATTGAGGGATACCCCAACACACCGCCGTAGGTCCTACCGTACTCCGTTCTCCGAGCAGCGGTGGTAGCTAAAATGGAACGAACATCGCTTAACGCTCAGTCGTGGATGATTTGAAACACCCAACGAATGGTTCCATCGAGCCCAGAGCGCCCGCGAAGGTTTAGCAAGCACCCCCCCCCCCCCCCCCACCAGAGCGAGGTCTTTGGCGCCGAACACGACCGACCTGTCTCCACCAACGCGGAAACGCTCGGTCGCGCCAGTTGCGTGTCATTACATTGCTGAAATAAGGTATTTTGCATCCGAAGATCAATCATTATCGTATGGCAACGAGAACTATCATTTTCTTTACGATTCGTCATCAGAAGCACTTCAAACAAAGTGTTTTCAGAAGTACAAACTCAACCAGACCCTCGGGATCCCCCATGTTTTCCAAAATTTGGCTCCTGCGCCGGCGTTACCGACACTTTGGGACCCCGAGACTTTCCTGACAGTCGGGTCGGGGCCAGTTGTTTTGACTCGTCCGATTTCTAATAAAGCCCCCGGTTCCCTCTCAATGGGAATCCAGCACCGTGGCAGCTAGGGGTTTATTTTTGGTGGGTTTGCAGGGTTCCTTTGCTGCGAAGGGGTTACAATCACAGCTGGGGCCAGATGCACGGTTGCTCTGTTGGCCCCTGGTTGGCGCGCACTTCCTGTATGGAGGATTGATGATGATAAAAATCTATGACTCGAATTTCGGGGTAGTCCGAGTTTGGCCGTGACGAAGGATGAGCATTGGGATAGTGAGTTCTGTTTAAGCATACCTTTGTTATTGAGCCTTGATTGAGCTTAACCATGTCCAGCCAATAGGTGTTGAAGATCAGTAACTTTTGCAAAGCGTCGTTCATCCACGTAAAACGGTCTAGGCAGCTTCATTGTTATTAGCATTTCGCTGTACGCGGACCAAAAATAATCTCAATATTGACTGGGATTGGTTCCATTTCATTTAGCAATTTCATGTGCATTGCGAAGAATGGTAGGCACAGTAGGCACGAAGCCAAAAGGGGAATTCCCTGAGGAATACGATCGAGCTAGGTTACAGAGCATCGTGGTGAGTCAGTTACACTGCGTATAGAAAGAGCAATGGAAAGGATACGGTTGCAGAAAGCACAATCGGAATCGCCGGAGTATACTGCGCAGTTCCACGATGCATGAACCAAATCCGGGCGATGGGAAACCCTCCTTTTTACGTGGCCCAGGCGGGGACTTCATTTTGGGCTGATTTGATATATACCTGACAGGCAGCCCCCTGCAACGCCGATACAGTATACTACTTCTCCGCTGCACTCTAAATTATTGAGGGCAGGAACTGGAGGAGCACTCGTACTCAGTAGCCACTAAAGTCCAGGGAGAGACAAAAAGAGAAAGAAAAGGCATCCAGGCTCTCATGTTGCAGGGGACGCTATTCTGACATATCAACTTGTTTAGCGCTAAAGCTGAATGCGGTAGGAGTCTAGCACTTCGGCTCCGACTCAGGCGAAGGAGTTGCGAGTTAACTTATTCTTCCCGAGTGGTAAGCATGCAAATCCATTTTCCCATCTTACATTTTGATTCGACCATTGCTATTCGCTGACAGGAAGCTAGACCGGATTCATATTGAACAGGTCCCCGGGATTTGAAAGGGCGACTTGGTTTATAGCAGGGCCCCGGGGGTCACTTTGATTGAGAACGGCATCCTCTTACCATGAGGTATTATGTGAATTAAATAGGAACAAGGCTGTCCCGCCAGGTAGGATTCGAAAAGTACTGTACATATTGTAGCCTCTCTCTCCTACTGTGTGTACTCCGTAAACTCGATGGGAATTTCCCTAACAGCTCCACTCCCATGGCGGCTCTCCCCCCGATGGTTGCGGGGCGGGGCATTCACAATCAGTGGTCGATCGGAAGAATTTGCAATCACCCTGGTCCTTTCCCTTTTGATCTAGCTTACTCCGTAGTAACTGATGAAAGGCATTGATAAATTTGAGAGTTCACCGAACTATAAAGTGTCCTACCCACCTAACTAGATTATTTCTGAACATCAAAAGTGCACCAGATCTTACCCTCTTCCAGCTCTTTGATACTGCTTCTCTGCTCAAGACAAAACAGTGGGGAATAATGGCGACCGGGGGATTTGCGCAACCAGGGTGGCCTTGCAGGGGATGCAACTTCAACTTCTCCGTCAGGGGTTGAGAATATGAGCATTTCTTTATTTCCTTTTTTTTGGTTACCCCCAAAGTGGCGGGGGTGTCCAGTTCCAGCCCCAGCACCAAGGGTGAAGCGGGCCGTGGCTGGGCTGGTTGCCAATTCCCAGCAGAATGGCACCCGTGCCCATTGGCCGATCGGTGGACAACCCTTCTGGGCGATTCTTGCAGGAGAAGAATGAGCAGTGGAAAAGAAAATGATATGCTCCTGGATTATTATCAATCTCACTCGCTACCCAAGTTCTGTATCCCGAGGATGAGGTCCATCAATGTGCTGACCAGGTTGACCAGGTTGACCAGGTTGAGGTGGGCTTTTCTTACGAGCCTTGTCGATACGAGGTCTAGAGTCCAGGGACTCAGTAGGGAGGGAACCCCCGATTCCGGTGCCTTGGGACGCCTTCCGTCCGGCTGGTTCCCGGCATCCCCAAGACAAAGGGTCCCGGCCAACAAACGTACACTTGGACCTGCACATCCAACTGGAGATCAGGACATATCTACGGACTTGCCCGAGTTTCCAATTCGATTTTGGATGGCGATAGGATTTGGATTGGCTCTCCAACCATGTATCAACAAAGATGGGAGAACGATATCACCTTTTGTATCGGCTGTACTCCACGGTAGTAATTCGTGTAGTATCCCGCCGGTACAGTACATATTTTCAGCTCCGCCAGACACCCCAAGTCGATACACGAAAGTAGTAATAGTCCCACCCTCGAGACTAAAAAAAAAAACCGAAATTAGGGAAATTTCTGTTTAGGTTCTGAAAATGCACCCTGTCATTCTTGTTTGGAAATAATCCCTAGCCTCAGAAACGGGACAAGTCTCGTGGGAGCAAGATTTCTACTGTGCCACCTACACCATCATCATCATCATCAGCTGAGCCCACGAACGACTCTGTTGCTCCTTGTTCCCGTCGGCGTCAAGCCTCGACTTCTCGTAAAGAAGATTTCTATGATTGCTGGCCGCCCGTAGCGCCTGTTCTGATCGGCTTGGGGCCTCCCCGCTCATAGGCTGTAGCCCATGCCCGACCCTCTGACGTCTTCTGGACCACTCTTCGGTATACTCTGGCTCAACCTTGTACCCCATCCATGCGCACACTTGGAACTCCACCTAACCCTCCCCTGCGGGCCCCGGTTTTCGCGTTTTCCCATGTCGATCCCAACCCCGGCAAGCTCATAAGCGATTGTTTTATACTTGGTCGGATCATCTTCCCGCCCTGCCAAATTAAAACTTAACCCAAGCTGTCGGGGCTTTCAAACGAGGAAACGACCCAGACCTTTTTCCTCGTTCCGAAATATTTCGTCCTCGTCTGTCCCGAAACCTCACGACGGGCTTGCGACTAAATCCCTTTGCTCACCTGACCGGTTTCATTTGATCAATACTGACCCGGTGTGGGACATGAAATGGAGCATTGCCAATTCCAGCTGGCCAACTCGCATATTAAATCCACTCAGTACTAGCTCCCCGCCATCGTGTGCCCTAATCCGGCAACGCCCCCCCTCCCCCCCTGGCCATTAGAAATGTCAAGGTCTGACACTTTATGTTCAGTAGCACTTTGTCGAAAAAATTGACGGGACTCTCTTCAAAAGTTGTGGATTGAAAGCGGTTCTATTCATCACTCCTACGCTAGATAGGGCTCACTTCCATATCCCATCCGCCTGGGTCGATCCCTCTGGACGAAGGCCTAAGGTGACCAGGATGGGTGCCAAATTAGCCGTAAGTTGTTAACCTGCGTCTGTCCTTGGACGGTATCTTCCCATCCCTACTATGTGCTGTTGTCAAAGTGGGAAAGAAATGAAACTTCTTAAATCTGCTATGATTTCCACGCTAGCATCTCGATACGTTGCTGACATGCTTTGTATGCAGGAACCAAAAAGCGAATGGTAATTCTTATCTTCAACGTCCAATTCTTCCATCCTACGCCTCTTCTGACTTTTCATACTAACGATGTGACAATAGTGACACGCAATCGCTGACTGACAGTGTAACGGACTATCCCGTGGAAAATGGTAGACGGTATCACAAGTACCATGAAGGAGGTATGTTGTCAATGCCATCTGTCCATGACTGTAGGTATCCATCTAACCTCTCCAGCCTATCCATACCCAAATGATGAGCAAGAGCTTGATCGGCTTGACATGCAACATCACATGTTTAAGTTGGTCATGGGTGGCAAATTATACCATGTCCCGCTTAAGGACCCTAAACATATTCTCGATATCGGCACTGGATCTGGTATCTGGCCGATAGAAATGGGTATGTTTATTCCACTTCATCCATAGCTACTCTCTGGAATGTGCATGAGCTCATTGCTTTTTCTGTTGAATGTTACAGCGCCATTATTTCCAAATGCTGCAATCACAGGCACGGATCTCTCCCCAGTTCAACCAACCGAGGTTCCAGAAAATGTCCACTTCCTTGTTGACGATGCGACTGAAGAGGAGTGGCTATGGGAAGCGGATCATTTTGACTACATTCACGTCGGACATATGACTGGCGCCATGGAGTCTTTCAAGGGCCTACTACGGAAGGCATTCACACACCTCAAACCGGGATCATACCTCGAATGTCATGAGATGGATCCCAAGCCAAAATGCGACGATGATACCATGCCACCTGAAAACCCGGACGGATACAGCACATATGCTTTTCATGACTGGTTTGACCTGAACATGCGGGCTAGCCAGGAAGTTGAGCCCTTGCGGCAGTTTCGAATAGCACCTCGGATTGAACGGTGGATGAAAGAGATCGGCTTCATCGACGTGGAACAGCAAGTCTTCAAAGTCCCGATAAACATGTGGCCAACCGATGAGAAAATGAAGGATATTGGGAAGTGGAGCGAAAGTAATTGGCTAGAAGCGCTAGCTGGCTGGTCTTATAAGCCCTTCCTCGGACTGGGTTGGTCTAAGAATGAGATCGAAGTGTTTCTCGTTGATGTGAGGAAAAGCATTCAAGACCGGAATGTGCACGCTTACATGGATTTCTTCGTGGTGACGGGCCGGAAACCGCCGGCCGATACGGAAACATCTTGAGTCTAAGGACTCAAATGCTAAATCTTGAGCCTTCGGGCCTTCAGAATCTTGATACCCTCTCCTACACATTTTGATTATCCCTTGGCTGTGAAGATTCGCATGAGATACCACGGGTTGGAGAAGAATTTTTGCATGCATTATATTGGCGTATGGCTGCATTCCATTCCATAAATAATGGATCTTGAATACACTCATTCTACTTTTTACCTTTCGTTATTTTTGAAGCGTACTGTTCTAATTTAAGTTCCTCTCAACATTGCAACCGGCCCACATGCAAGTCCCACGAGCAGCGGCCTACATGAGAAGTAGGCCTTGGTTGAAGAAATGATATGCAGATACCTGATATTGATTTTGCAACCACGTAGAAACACATCCACAATCATCAAGCCGAAAAAGAGCAGCTTTAACTGTCAGGACCTCCTCACGGTAAATGGTCACCTCCTATTGGTTGTCTTCGCATAATCACGTGATACCAAGAACCAGCAGCGGAGACTGCCAAAAGCCATCTCCGTCTCAAGCACCTTCAATCTATCACAATTCATCGCGGTTCAATTGGCTCGCGCATGCCCCAAATAGACTCATGTCTTTCGGGAGGCATGCCTACCGGCATGCGCTAAAGCCCACGGCTGCTCCAACCTTTGATCACCTCTGGATTAGCGATGACCTACTCGCAGCTACTTTCCGTCGCTTCGCGAACGGCCAGCGTCGCCATGGCAGCTGCGTTCCTGGCCCTCTGGAGGCACGAAGACGCCTAGCCAAGCGAAGAAACACCGCTCTCGCGGGCTTGGGTGCAGTGTCAGCGGAGGATATTGCTTGTCTTTTCGGCCGCAATGGGAGGGAGCATATGAAGTGGACCGACCACCCGTGGCAGAGAGCTTCGCTTGAGACTCAAGGCACGTCAAACAAGGACATTTCTCCGATCCAATCAGTTGCTAACCATTACGAAGACTCGAGAAGTTATTCATTAGCCACCACGGAGGCTTCCTTGCCATTTTATGACCACAACCCCGAACCCATTGACACCTCCATCTCCCATGACCCTCAACCAACTTCCTACAAGCCGACCGCCGCTTCCCGAGCCGAGCTTCTAGCAGAATTTTTGGAGCAGAGTGATTGGGGACTTGAAGATGCCAGGGACTTTGCGCGTCAATTGGGGATCGATCTCCAACGAGAACCCAAATACAGCCGGCAGATCTTCGACAACCTGCTCCCGCGTTCGACCACAGACCTGAAGCAAGTGATTCAATTTCTAGATGACCCATTCTTGAACACACGAGGCTCTGGGAATTATCTTACTGCCGTGAGTTTGTTTGTACAGACGAAAACCAAGCGATCCAACCGGATCGCCGTACTGAACTCACTTTGTCGTGCCCTCGAATTGGGGCTTGTCGCAACCGACGAGCTCTGCCATATCGTCAAAGCTCTACCTAACATCATTGTTGAGCGAAACCAAGCTCTCGGAACATGGGACCAGAAGACATTGTTGAAGCATTTTCGGGCTATGTGGAAAGCTATCGGTCGTTGTACCATTCTTGGCTACCATGACTTGGACAAAGAGCTTGTTGACGTCTGGCTTACTGAGCTTGTGAATCTACGCAGCTTCCGCTTTGCGGAAGAATTTGTTCTGGCCACCCACGACGCGAGCTCCGATAGTCGTTGGCCCACGGCTTTAGTCATGGCGCAACTGCATGAGTCTGAGACGACGCTGGGCCTGACGACTGTTCACCACATGCTGAGCCAACTTGATGCGGATTGTGGAGCCAGGTGTATTGTCGAAGTTACGGAGTCCTTGGCGATGCCTGATACACAAATCCAGAGTCGATACCAAGTGCTAGAGTGCTGGCGACACTGTCTCTCAGATTTGTCTAATGTTCCGGCTCTTGCAAATTCGCAGGTATGGCTCGACTTGCCATTTGCATATAATGAGAATATCGCAGAGACAGCGCAAGCTCCCCCAATCCTGCCTGTCCAGCAGCAAATTGTACTTCGCTTGTGGGCTCTGCGAGCGTTGAGTTGGTCGCCTGGGCCTATGTACCGCCATATTCCGCGGCCCACCGACAAACCGATTTACTTCTTGCTCGGACTCTACGAAATGTCGACTGAGAGAACAGATGGATCTTTCTTGTCGGACCTGATGCGTGGGATACAGACTTTGAACCTCCCACACAGCAATCTGCTCCTGCTTGCGGTGAGTATCAAAATGAAGAAGAATATCACGAAGAATGCCCGCGAGACACTTGAGAAACTGGAAACCTCGCAAGTTTCTCTGACCGATGTCTGGGCCGATCCGGCGGCTTATAATGGCATTCGTGCGCTGTTCCATGGCACATTTGAGCAAATGTTCCGCCGCCTCGACATCACGAGCTCAGAGTCCGCAGAAGAATGCCTACATCTTGCTAGAGTAGGAGACTCAAAGAGCATCTGGTCCGTTCTGAGAATCCTCCGCAATCACACACCCTTCAAGCTTTGCCTCAACAAGGCTTGGGTCCCTCTGCCCCACCCCGATGAAATGGCCCTTGTACGCTATCACGCAGGACCACGGAATAGTCAAAGCCCTGACCCCCATGCTGCGGTTGATTTTGTCCACCGGCTAGCCGTTGCCATCTCCTGCAGCCATAACTTGACTCCCTCTCGGTCCTTCCATCTCATTCATCTATTGTATGACTACCTGCGTCGACACGGTGGCCCTGTATACCCGTCTTTGGTTCAGGCCATGTATCATGCCGGAGTTGTGCGATATCGTCGCGAGGGGCGTCGCGTTTCTCCCACGCAGTATGAATATATCCTCTGGATTGTCAGCAAGTTCGAAGGCCACGAGGTTGCCAGGCAATTGAGTGCCCCGGCGCAGATTGGCTTGGGCAAGCCTGGTCACCAGGATGAGTTCTAGCCCGGATGGTCGCATGGATGGCTGTCATATATTGAAGATTTAGACTAGCGCTGTGCCATACAGATACGCCTTCCACGTATAGCCATCGAAGGTCACTGGAGACATGGATGTATATTACACTCAAATACCAATTGGGATCGAATTCAGTGGCTACGGTTCCAGTAAACTTCGAACCTCAAGTATTCTAAATCAAATACGATGGTACTCCGTGCAAATGAGACATAATCCAAGTGTATATTAAATCATCGTAGAAGAAGACCACTAGGCTGCGCCTCATTTCTGTTCCTGATCCACACAGCTTCTAAACATCAACCTCCATCTTCTCTCCAGCTGCCAGGTTATCATCCCCCGACAAGGTCTCAATGGTGACATATTTCTTCATATCCTCCTTGCTGATGACCTTCTGATTCAACCACGCAGTCGTGCCACGAGGGAAGCGGTAGTTGCGCTCCTTCAGTCCACGCTCGTTGGGCTTCTCGTAGTTGCGGAGCAACTGGGTCGGCTTGTCCTTCTCGATAACACACACGTCGACATTGCTACCGGAACCGAGATCGTTGAAGATACCGGCCTTGATGGCTTCAGAGCACAAAGCGATGGCACCCTCCTTGTTCAGGTCCGGCTGCCACATGGACTCGAACACCGACATGGCCGCCAGTGAACCGGATCCCATCGTCACATATGGCAGCTTGTCTGTCGAACCGTGCGCGTGCACGGTGTACAGCCCGACGCCGGTTGGGTCCACGCCTGCAACCACGAGGTACGCTCCAATGTGTCCCTGGTATCGGAAGAGGTGCTGCTTGAGCATGGTCATGCATGTGATAACTCGAGGATCGCGGCCGGTAGATAGGGAGTGTAGTTCGACGTTGGAACTGATCAGGGCGGTGGTGAACTCGGTGTCTGCGGCAGTACCGGCGCCGGCACACCAGATCTTGGGTGCGATGTAGTGGAGCTTCTCGCAGTTCTGTTTTGGGTTTCGATCAGCTTCTGAAGGCTAAGGCGGAGATATGCCATCTTGAACTCGGGTTATGGGGACCGATCGTACCTTGTCTGCTACTATAGGGCCGCTGGTGGCTCTGGTATCTGCTGCGATCTTCATTCAAGTCAGCCTCCATTGGTTGCGTGACATCCGACTCTTTTCCTTCCTTTAGAAACATACCACTACACCATTATCGTAGATGCAACCAACAATTGTTGTACCAGTGCTGGTGGCTTTGGGCAAGGGAACACCCCTGGCGTGAAGAGCCGCGTTGCGGTTGTAGTTGGAGAAGTCAAAGCCCGGCATCGTGACGACGCAGAGGGTGTGAGACCTGGAAATTCGTAACAGTCAAAAAAAGAGTGATCAGAGCAGATGGAGATTGTAGGATAGAGTCGATGAAGGAAGGTAGTCGAAGGAGGAGCAAGGTGATGGTAGAGGTGAAGTCGGAGTGTGGAGCTGTTTGGAGTGACGAAGCTCCCGCAGCCTGGTGATTGGGAGCCTGAGTTCCCAGGCATCAAAAAGCTTTAACTCGGTGTTTTTGCCTTTCGCATCTTCCGTTTATCTAAACCTCACAGCTACTCAGAGGGCTCCCTTGAACTTTCGCCTTTACACCTCACACCTCATCGAGGGCTCTTCTTTCGCGCAACTTTCTTCTTTCTTCTTCTGTCAACCGAGAGAAGTTGCCTCAAGATTCTTGCGCGTACCTTGACTCTCTTCAACCGGAGTCTTCGTCACTCTACCACCGCTCGTTCTCTTCTACTCCACCTACTTCTCCTCTGTTCAATGCACCCAACCCCCTTTCACCTCTAAAGGGGCGTTCTCGTTCAGTTTCCGCTGAGCTTGGCCATCTGAAAATGGCTTTCAATTTTGGGTCATCTGCCAGCCCCGCTGGTGGAGGCGCATCAACAGAGCTCTTGGACATCTTCACAGATGTATGCCGCCCCGCCACAGCTTTCGCATCATCTTGATATCAAGTTATTTCTGACTCACGGAATAGGATTTCGGTTTCAAAGGTCTCTCCGGTGACGCGAATATCCGCCTCCTTCCCACTCCTTGGCCCCAAGACGCACTTCCTTCCCCGAATACCTCCCTCCTAGCCGTCGCGCAAAGCAAAGGCATCGTTGTTGGCGCTGGCCCCGATTGTCTGGCTGTTGCAACTACAGATTCTATCAGAAAAGCCATCCAAGCTTCTACCGGGGAAGAAAAGGCGAAAACAAAGCCATTCCAACCACAAGCGACGATCCCGCTGCCGGCTCGCCCAACCCATGTCGCCTTTACTGCAAGTGACGATGCGTTGATTCTGGCGACAGAAAACGGTTCTCAAATCACAGTCTTCCAGACGGATCATTTGCTACAGGGCAATGCACAGCCAGCGCTATCAGTCCCGACAAATGGCGTGTCGATACGATCACTTGCTCCTAACCCGGATCCTGCCTCGACCTTTGTTGCCTTGGTCACCACCAATGGTGAACTTATGGTTGCGGACCTGAAGGCTGGGAATTTGATCTCCGGCGTGAATGGCCCAATTCTCCGAAATGGTGTTAGCTGCGTCGCGTGGAGCAACAAGGGAAAGCAGCTTTTGGCTGGTTTGGCGGATGGAACTGCAGACCAAATGACCCCAGATGGGACTAAGAAGGATCAACTTCCTCGTCCCTCGAACTTGGAAGGTGAATGTCATGGTAAGATATTGCACTATCATTAGCCGATTGCTTTTGCACTGCTCATACTTTTGTAGTATCGTCTATCGGGTGGCTGGAAAATGATGTCTTCTTCATGGTCTATACCCCAAATGCTCCGGAAGACGATATGGGAATTCCGCCTTCCTTCTTTTACATCATCACGCGACGAAAGCAAGCGCCATTCTTGATCCAGAAGTTTGAGGAGCTTTGTTCAACGATAGGATTCTCGATGAAACGCGCACCAGCATACCAATTCATCGTTCGACTGCGAGACTACAAGCCACATTTGAAAGATGTGTTGATGGTCGCGTCAACTGCCTCCAGTGATGTTGGGCTCGTCGTTCGATCCGAAAAAGAGCTGGATAACAATCCCGCCGGCCAATTTGCGGCAGTCAGTGTTAATGATGACACCAAGAGGGCATCTGTTCCCTTGTCGGATAGCGGTGATGAAACATCGGTGATTGGATTTGCACCCGACCTGTCTAGCAGCGAGAATGTTCTTTCACCTTTGCCGGGAGAGGACATTCAGGAGAGTGCAACCCCTCTACCAGCACTATTGCTCCTGAACAATGAAGGCATCCTCTCGTCTTGGTGGTTTATCTACGCGGAGTCTATCCACCAGGGCGTTCCTTACTCTGGCCTTGTTTCAGCCAGCCAGCCATCACAGACGCCCTCTCAGCCCGCTATCGCACCCTCACAACCGGCAGCTACCCCCGCTCAACAGCAGCCCGCTTTTGGTCAGTCCTCATTTGGCAGCCCGTCGCCCTTCGGTGCATCCGGATTTGGGAAGCCCTCGGGTGGTGCTACATTCGGAAGTCCCTCCACGATGGGAGCTACAGCGTTTGGAAAGCCATCTGCACCGTCATTTGGAAGCCCTTCTGGCCTAGGTGGCAATGCGGCGCCGGCATTCGGGAAGCCTTCATTCGGTGATGGAACTAATTTTGGCCAAACCAGCTCCCCTGGACAGTCGGTGCAATTTGGTAAGTCAGGATTCGGTGCGCCAAGCTCGTCTTCGCCGTTTGGACAGCCTAGCACCTCTGGCAAGAGTCTCCTAGGTTCTGGTGCGGGTACAAGTGGTGGTGGATTTAGCTCTTTCTCAGGAGGGACCGGAGGAGGCGGGTTTGCTGGATTTGCAGCTGCAAAGCCAGTAGAGTCACCGTTCGCCAAGGCTTCCGGTGAGAATGCATTTGCAAAGGCGTCCGTTCCCTCGCCTTTTGGAGCAAAGCCTTCAAGTGACACAGCTTTCCCTCCGGCACGGACTACCGAAGTGAAGAATGCCTTTGGTTCTGAGGCTAAAACTGGATTTGGATCTGCTGGGGGTTTCGTTCTTGGTTCCTCTTTCAAGGGTGATGGTACGGCTGTTAATGACCTGCCTAAACCAGAGAAACCTTCATCGGGTGCTCTATCCTTCGGCGGATTCGGGGACTCGATCTCCGTGTCGGATAAACCAAGTACCCCCGCAGAGTCCATGGATGACTCGGAAGACGCCACTGCGGCTCAGCCAGCAAAGGTCGAGCCCGCCTCGCTATTCGGCCTCCCGAGCAAACCTGCGGCCCCGGCTCCATCTTTGTTTGGCGCACAGACAACGCAGCCGGCAAAGTCACCTCCTCTTGAGACAAACAAGTCGACCTCAGGATTCTCAATGTTTGGTACCACTACTGCTGCTTCAGCACAGTCCTCCTTCCAAACCTCATCGCAGACTCTGGTTACCAGCCCTGCCTCTGCACCTTCCGATGTAACGGTCACTCCAAAAAGGGAGCCCTCTGCTACAACCCCAATATTTTCCTCGCTTGAGGCACCGTTGCCTCCCGATCCAACGAGCAGAGCTAGCTATGCGCCGGGAGATACATCAGCTTCTTCGAACGCCTCTAAAAGCTCGGTTGAGGACGCGCCCCTTCCCCCGGATTTCATCACCAAGAAAACGCCTACTCCCCGATTTGACGATGCTCCCCTCCCGCCAGACTTTGTCACTCATAAGAAGCCTTTGCCAGAGGTAGAGGACGCGCCGCTGCCTCCGGATTTCGTGACTAAACCCATTAAATCGGAGAGCCATCCTCCTGGGATTCCTGACGAGGTCCCTGAAGACGCGCCATTGCCGCCTGACCCGGTTGTTTTCAAGGCAGAGGACACGCCCGCAGAGGAGACTGTGCCAATCCCTGATGGCTCAGACGCGGAATCTCAGGACGCTGACGAGTCTGACTTCAGCGATAGTGGCGAGGAGATTACGCACGACGATACCAAGATTCCCAGCCCCAAGTTGTCGGCGGGGACTTCGTTTGGCGGCCTATCCGATAAGAGCTCTACGGGTGGATTCTTTAGTGGGTTCTCGAAGACCGCACCCAAAGAAGAGCCTAGCCAGCGTCCGCGACAGCTGTTTGGTGAAATTTCCAAGCAGCCCGTCCTTCCGCCCCCAGGACCAACCACACGATCTGGTCGTGAGCCCTTCCGCTCACCTAGCCCTACTCGCATTAGCTCACAAAAGATCACAATGTTCTCTCGAAAGCCCGAGGCTCGTCAGGCTGGAAGTGCATTGGCCTCAAGAAAGGCTTCGTTGACCCAGATCGCACAGCGTGAAGGGCAGATCAGGAAACCTAGTGACGCTTCCCGACAAGAGCGTGCTCGTGTTGAGGCGGCCGCCCTGCGTCGGGCCGAGGAAGAGGTTCTTGCCCTTTCTGATGATGACGAGGATGAGAGACTCCGTGCTGATCTTGCTCGCCCGGTTGAACCTGTTGCTACGCTTGATCCGTTCCTCCCTCATCAGAACTACACTGGGGACACTGTCAAGCCTGGGATTCCAGGTATGATTGAACGACTGTACCGGGATATCAACTCCATGGTCGACACTTTGGGTATCAATGCTCGGTCGTTGGAATCGTTCCTCCTTTTCCAGCAACCTACCAAAGGTCCCGACGCAGACAAATGGGTGCACATCTTGAGCGGCAACGACCCCGCTAATGTCCTGGATGAGGAAACATTCCTCCAGGATATCAGCAACTTCGAGGACGTTGTTGCGGCGATCGCCCGGTCCCTTGATGAACAGCGCCTTCAAGGCGTGGAGGACAAGTTGGACGATTGCCGAGAGTTGCTCACAAAGGAGATCGTGACGCTGCGCAGTCAATTCGCCGGTATTCGCAAGACCCTTGACGCGCTGACTGACACTGGAGTGATCCTGTCTGCTCCGCTTTCTGCTGAACAGGCGACTCTTCAGCACGATCTGCGGACCGCGTTCACAAGTTTACAGGCGAAAATGGCCGAACTTGAGCAGGGCGTCTCCATGCTACGGGCCAAGATGGCCGATATTCCCCGCCCCGATGGAGCTGGCAGCGGTTCCAGGAAGCGACCTACCGTGGAAGCCGTTGCTTCAACTATTGCTACCATGATGAGTATGGCTGAAAGCAAGAGCAGCGACATCGATGTTCTGGAGTCTCAACTCAAGAAGCTCGGTGTTGACACGTCTTCGTCTCGTCCTGCAAGCCGCGAAGGGTCGCCCTTCGCTACCCCCCGCAAAAATGTCGGACGCTTCCCTGCCACACCGGGCTCCCGCGGCTCTATTGATGGCAGCGCCTATCACACCCCCGAGTCTGCTTCCCGCGGCGCCAACTTCCGGACAAGTATCAACGGCTCGGCGAAGCACAGCCGCCTGCGGAGTGTTGATATCGCGGGTCCCATTTCTATCCGCGAAGAGACTTCGCAGTGGAAGGCCAAGGCTCAACGCCGAAAGCAGTTGGTTGGTAATTTGAAAGATGCTATTGAAAAGAAGGAGAGTAAGGTTCGCGGAGTCGATGATTTCTAAAGTTTGGGGCATTTGGACTACTTGGGAGGAAGAAGACGTGAGCCTTTGATGGATCCCGTTTTCCTTCTCATAATTTGGCATACGGGACTTTGCTTTTGATTCGATATTTTTATGTCCCCGGCGTGGTTCTTTTTCATTGGAATGGAGGGCAACAAGATCGGATGCCCATAAGAGATGTACATAGATGCTTCGCTTTTCAAAACTCAATGCTGTGCTTTGTTTTCACTTTCTGGACACTGACATCATTTCGCGGTGTGACATCAGTCCCCTGACTTCGACTCCATCCATTAAGGTTGTTTGTAGCCTCGTAATTCAAAACTTTCCTTACTACCTGCCTCTCTTTCTTCCCCGCACGAAAATCTGCGATGGCCCAAATTAGTAGTGAGTTGATCTTCTTCAAGGTGAAGTGCGATGTTGAACCGGAGGACTCCGCCAGCGACCTGGGCGCGGGCCTGCTCAGGCTGTTCCGCGCCACTCAGCAACAGAGCGGCCACCATAGCTCGGCCTGGGGTCGCACGGTGGAGGAACCGAGTATGATTGTATGGGTGATTGGTGCGTCATATAATGTCATGTTTCTATGAAGGATTGTTACTAAACAAGAATCTATCAGACTGGACGGATGCCCGCTGCTCAATAACCGGGTCACTTTTGAAGCCCTTCCTTGCCGACGAGAACCAACCTATACCGGCAATCTATGCGACTCTCAGCCCACCCATCAGCAGTTCCGACACATTAACTAAGAACCCGGTGACTGAGCTTTGTTTTCTACCAGTCCCTAATAACCTGTCGGCATCCGAGACTCGACAGCTGGACGCTGACTTGATCAACTTACGCACGGCGTTGATCGTCCAGCTACCACAGGCAGCGAGGCCGCGATCGTGGTCAATGGGTCACGTCGACCGGCCGAATACGGTGCAGCATGACAAGAGTCCGAGCGGGCAGGCAAGAATCCACTTGCTCGCCGTGGGATGGGAGAGCATGGAGGCCCATGAGGATGCCAAGCAGACAAAGGAGTTCATCGACGGCATCGCGCCAATTCGAGAGAAACTGCTTCCCCCTGTACCTGGGTTGGAGATGAAACATGTTAGATTCCAGAAAGTCTAGAGAATGGTGTTGCTCCAGGGAATAGAATCAAAGGCCACCGTGGAAGGGTTCCATCGAGTTGAAACGCTGGCCAGCAAGAATCAATGATTGACGGTGAATCGGGCGATGAAAGAAAGATAGACAGGTAGAAATTGGGTGTGGGCTACTGCTAGGGAAGAAGGGCGATAGGGTAGAAGAGCATAGGTGAATTGGTTATTAGGAGGCAGGGATCAGGGCACACGCCTCAAATAAGATACAACAAGAAAAGGTCAAAAACACGTGTGTGAGATTGAGAACAAGGAGAAACAGAATCATCATGAACCACCGTAGACTTTTGGAGCGCGATGCCGGTAAGGCTCCCAAGAGATGAAAAGTTGTTGAACTTAAACGCGGTGCTTTTCGCTTTCTATATGATGGTCAGTATGATAAGGATATACGCGGGGGATCAAAGGCACTGACCGAGTCGCGAGTAAAGCATGTACAAGGCCATCTGGTTGCATTCCTGAGTACCAGTAATGGTCACCAGACGCTCGTTGCTGTTCTCCTGAGGCTCGTTGATCTTGATCACGCTGCCACTCAGGTGGCGTATTTCATTGATCTTGGCACCGCCCTTACCGATAATGGCACCCACCATATCGTTAGGGATGTAGATCTGTTGGGTCAGTGGCTGGCCGGGCATAGCGCCACCAACAGGGGCTGGGGCAGTAGGAGCACCGCCGCGGCCGGCAGCAGGCTGAGGGCCACCCACGTAGGGATTCGGCTGGTGGGGGGCAGCGCCACCGTAGGGAGTGTGCGGGGCCGCACCGTACGGCATGGCGGGCTGGGCAACGGGGGCAGGAGCCTGACCCTGCAGGTAGGGGACGCCGTAGGCACCGGGCTGGCCGCGGTTGGGGTGGGGGTGGTTGCGCTTGAAGGTGTCTGGGTGGCCGTACTGGCCGCCAGCGGGCTGAGGCACGTACGGGACTACCTGCATGCCGCCAGGAACGGCTCCAGCGGGCCCCCCGCTGCGAGTAGCGTAGGCCGAGGCTGCGGGGCCGCCGAATCGCTCCGTCAGCTGCTCGACGAGAGTCACTGCCACGTAGTAGGTTGCGATGTGCACAGCATCGGCGACACCAAGAATGACCAGCGAGCGCTCGGTCGAAAGAGGGAGGCAGGTATCAGAAGCGTTCAAGCGCGCACCGGATGCCTCCTGGATCTCGCGAATACGACTACCACCCTTGCCGATGATGGAACCAATGAGAATGTGGGGGATTAGCAAACGCAGAGGGTACGTCTTGGACTGGGCAGTGGAAGGGGCATCGATTGGTTCATTGTTCAGGGTACGAATGATAAGACCGAAGGCCTATGAGGATTAGCTTCTCAAAATTTCCTGACTCGCGACTGGATGGAACGAAAGACACCTACCTTGGCCACCGCATCCTGGGCGCCGCTCACGGTCAAAATCCGCTCGACGGCGCCCCGGGAGTAGTCGCTAACGGTGCACTTGGCGCCGGACATGCGGCGAATCTGGGACACATTCTCACCTCCCTTTCCAATAACCGTGGCGGCCTCGGGACTGGAGATCACGGCTCGAATGTGGATCCAGCTCGACTCGTCCTGTGGGGGGTGGGTGTCCGACTGGGAACCAGCCCGCTCACCGTGCGAAGCGGTCGACTGAATGGGCTGAGTCTCAGGGTGGCTCTTGCCGTTGGGGGCATCGGGAACAACGGTGTCGCCCTGGGTATCCTTTGAGTCCTCTGCAGATGGGATCTGGTTGGTCGACACCTCGGTCTCGGCCTCGGCCTCGGCGTCACTGCGTGCTACTTTATCAAGGGCGGGGCGCTTGGCCTCCGGCTGGTCATTGGGGCCCGAGGGGGAGGAAGGGTCCTCGAGAGGACGCTTGGTCGATTGCAAGTTGGATGGAGAGGCCGACATTGTAATCACTGTGCTGATCTGTCCGCACCTACGTGAAAAGAGTCGGATATCAAGAATGAAATCTGCTTTCTTCGTTTCTTATGATCGTCTATGTACACCAGGGGTTCCCACAGAAGGTGCTGGTGCTTGGCGACAGGGGGGAATCTGGTGCTGTGAAGAGGCTGGAGGTGGAGAGACGGTGCTGGTGCCGACGGAAGAAAGGGCAGAGCAATGGTGATGGATGAAGCTCGTCAGTTGAACAGCAAGGGGAGCTTCACGGGATATTCTGCCGGGGATTGTTCGAGGGTAGAAAGCGAACAGAATGGAAGGGAGATGAAGGGTGTCGGTGTTGGATGCGACGGGTAGGGAGGTCCAAAGCAGGAAACCAGGGAATGCGCGATCTGAACGACAGCTGCCTCCAGACGTGTAATTCACAAGAGGAAGCCTAGAAGGACAATAGGAAAGGGGACGCTGGGATGAAAGGGGATGAGAAAATGAGAGAAGTCGTATGAGGAAGAAGGCGAGGAGGTGAGGACAAGAAGTAGCCACGAGGAAACGAGGATGAGGTGAAGTTGGGTTGGCGAGTTGTTGAGTCACGTGAGACAGGGGCAGGCGGTGGGGACACTTGGAGATGGCAGTAAGCATCTACTCAAAAGAAGACCGTTGTTTACAATTAACTTGTAAGTATAATTCGATCTTCTTTCCTATCCCCGTTCTACTGTAGTCTCATCTCCTATCTCATCTCTTATAGTTAATCGGTCTATTTCGCTATCTAGAGGGCTCGAACATCCTTTACGACTAGATACTAGATACACCATACAACTCGATTATACGACGGAGTAGAATTTCCTCAATCTAATCATTAAACAAGAATATATAAAAGACGTATCAAAAGACGTATCAAAGAATCATTGATAAATTTACATAAGATACATCTTTCAAAATTAGTAGGCCAGGTTAGAGAGGCTTTTCTTCTACAATTTGGAACGCGGGACCTAAGGTATTCGCAACCCCTTATTGAAGGACTGTATATAGCCATGGTTTTATGCCAGACTACCGCGTGACTGTGGACGACCTATTCTAGAAAAGGACATAAACAATTTAGTTATCAGAGATCGAACCTTAGCGCAAGCAAGCCTTTCTCCGGAAGAGAGTATGCTAGAGATGAATAGTTATTATTTTAGTAACTAACCAACCTTCAAGACTTGATGACCTAATCACTCAACGGCCGACTGGCACATCACATGATATCAACGCGTCGCGAATGTTTGGCAGGTTGACCATTGTTCGAGTCGCCCAGCTTTCGATCTTTGAATACAAACAGGGCATGGCTCACAGCAAACATGGAAATATCAGAGGAAACCGTGCAGAAAATTCAGAAATTCGTTCAGAACCGACAGGCCGCGGAGAAGGAGTCCTCCACAGAGCCGTTTAGTCCAACGGCCCTGCATGCATATGCGCGACGCCTCGATGGGACCCTACAACAGCTTCAAGAGCAAGTTCGTCGACAAGAGGATGAACTGAAAAAGGTGTGTGGAGCCCCTTGGCGAAAGATATGTATATAGCTGACATTTAGGGAAACTTTCAGCTCCGAGAAAGTCGTGGTTCTCATGGTCTTCTGGACAATCATGACGACACTTGGGTGCGCGTTTCTCAAGCTCGACGCGCCAAAAGGGCATATGAATCTATGGTGCTAGCCGAGGATGACCTGCCAACAACAGACTCCGTCTTGCCTGCACTAATTGCGACGGACGAGACTTTCCAGCTCATCAAGGAAGGCAAAATGTCCATTCTGGTTACTGCAGACAGACTTTCTGCAGATCGCGAGCGCTTCCGCATCGAAGAAGCCAATCTTCGTGATTCACGCGCCATTTCCACTGGACTTCGAGAGCGAATTCAACGGATACGCAGTGTCAATATCCGAAAGCAGGAGCAAACACCTTCCCAAGTAGCACGGGAGGTTGTTCGAGAACAGAAAAAGAAGAACCAAAGTCTGGACCGAGCATCTGAGGATCTCAAAAAGTCGCTGGACAAATTCATTGATGAGTCTCTAGCGCCGATGCTCGCGGCTGAAGACCTCGGTGGTCCCACTGTCGGTGATGCCCTTGAGGTGTCCGACGCGACGTTGAAAGCGGGTTACACTGCCCATGGGAAGCCCAAGAAACCAAAGGAGACCCCTGTGCAAGAAGATGGGAATCAACAGCGAATTGACCAATTCCTTCGTCGCAGCACGGATGGTTCGAACCCGACAAACAAACGCGAAGCTTCGGCGACGGAGGCGCATGAGCTACTCCATGCTCTGCTTGAAGCTGGGACATCGTACATCGATTTGAAACGAGATTCAGCAGCCTCCCGGTTCCTTGTGCGAGCAAAAGTGGCTCAGTTCCACCCACGAGATGCGAGACGTTTACGACTAATCGATTTTGGCCGATCACTTGGTGATTAAGCTTGATGAGCGCTATGGAATTTTCCAAACGGAATGTGGTCATTATGTCTACGTATATCCTGTCCTTAACCTAACGTAATACTTTACAAGACACCACAAGAGAGTATTCCTCGAACCATGGGTAATCGCAACCCTGAAATCGAACATGAGAAACGCCTTTAGATGCTCCATGCGTAGACAACAAAGAACGCCGAGTCGTGAAATTTGGAGAAAGAAAGGGGGGGGGGGGGGGGGAGGGAGGGGTAGAAAGGGTAAAAGAATTTCAGATGGGCATCATTCCAATCGTGGATTTGGAGGCTTTGGCATTGGCGGTTTTTCGAGGTGCAGCTGAAGACCTACTGGGAGCACGATCACCGCCGGACTTGGCTCTGGATCGGGCTCCCTTGGCTTTCCAGGTGCCGGTGGAACCACTATTCTTTCGTCGAGGTCGCTTCGCGTATGAGCGTTTGCCACCCTTTGAGCTCGACGCTGCATGGCCAGGCTCATAATCATCACCTGGATCAAGTCCTGGTGACGGCGCGGGAGGGAAATAACGGCTAGTGATGTTGTCGGGAGGATTTTCCATAGGATAATCGAGATCAAGAGTCGAATTTTGATCCACAAAAAGGTCATCATCACTGTACTCATCGCTGCTGCTAAGGTTGATGACGTTGTGATGGTTGGGATCAGGAACAATGCCATTGCTTTCTTCCTCATCCTTTAATTCGTGGTAGCGGCGCCGGGCATTGTCCACCAGTCTCAAGATCTGACGGCCATAACGTTTCACCTTGTCAGAGTCGATGCCGGGAATAGCAGAAAGCTCTGGGAGGTCTGTAGAGAAATCAGTGTCGATACCCTATCAGTACGAGCTCTATTGTCAAACTTACTCTTCGGAAATGAGATCGCCATATCTCGCAAGATATAGTCGGGGAATGGCTGGGATCGAAGGCCCTTCTCCACAACAATCTATACGAAATGACAGTGAGTACGATGAAACAACCAGAAGCACACGCTGGGCTCTTACCTCCTGCAAATACCTCTTTGCGGTCACTTCGAAGTCCTCCACAACGGCACGATGAAGATGATCCAGTCGCTCCATCTTTTGATCAATTGTGATGGGAGGTCCCACTTCATGACCATTCTCATTCCGTGGCCTGCCCGCGACTCGGAGAGGCTCAAAGCCATCACTCTCGTCGTCGGTTGAAGAGTTGTCGACGCGCCTGTTTCGCTGTTGAGATCGAGCCTGACGGCGGTCATGGGCGGATTGGATTGGGGATGACACCATTGTGGATTGAGGATAAGCCTGGGTGCCCGACTTTGACGTTTGCGCTGGTCGTGCCGCTGCCTTGCTTTTGCCTTTGGGGGACACGCGTACTTGAAGTTTCAACTGACGCTGGCCGGTTTCAAATTCCGTCGCACGTCGACCGAGTTTGACGTATTGAACAGCAAAATCCTTCCCATTGATGACATTTTCTTCCGCTAGAGCATCCTCCCCAAGTAAACGGTAGAAAAGTCGCTCTGCTTCACCTCGATCCAGGTCAGACCCCTTCCCGTACCATGGAATGTTCTTGTGCGAAGGGGACTTGGCCCTTTTCAAGTCACCACGTAGAATATCCACGCAGTAAAGCACAGTCACGTTCTCCCCCTTTTGGCCCTTTTCATTGGTTTGGTTTTGGAACCAGCGAACGATGTTAATGATCCAAGCAGCATGCTGAGAGAAGTCATGAACTTCAAACACCAAATCAGATTTGCAATTATCACAAGAGTTCCCACAGTCTTCGCGACGGAAATATTCATTGAAATAGGCGAGGACTTGCACACGTCTGCAATCACTGCGATTTTCGCAGAACTGAACGACGTTGCGAAGCATGTGCTTTTGCCGGGCTTTCTGCTCGTAGCTGCCATCGCCTTCGTCAATCATGCGCTTAAGAGTGGCAGCGTCCTTGTACCCGTAGTAGAGGTAGCAACCAGAACGTTTACCATCCCGACCAGCACGTCCAGTCTCCTGATAGTATCCTTCCAAACTCTTCGGAATGCTGTGGTGCATGACAAATCGTACATCAGGCTTGTCAATGCCCATTCCAAAGGCAATGGTGGCAACAATAATATGTGATTTACCACTCTGCCACTGGTTCTGCACCTTGGCTTTAGCCTCAGATTTCATGCCAGCATGATAATGTGCGGCCTTGAGTTTGTACTTTTTGCGAAGGTCATCAGCCACTTTCTCACATGTCTTGCGCGACAGACAGTAAACGATTCCACACTGGTTTTTGTAAGACGTTGTGATCGTTTCGGCGATGCTGGCGAGCACTTCATCGTTCTTCCCTTTAGGCCGCACCTCGTAGGTCAAATTCGGCCGGTTGAAGGACTGTAAGAAGACCTCGCATCCGGTCATCTTGAGATTATGAATAACATCTACCTTGACATTCTCTGTTGCCGTAGCAGTCAGAGCCATAACAGGCACACCTGGCAACTTGGCTCGGACTTCACCCAGTTCCTTGTAGTCTGGTCGGAAGTCATGTCCCCACTGGCTGACACAATGGGCCTCATCAATAACCAGTCGTGCAAGCTTTTTCCGGTGATGAAGGTTCTCGAGAGCCCTGACCAAAGTCTGGTTCTTGTTGATCATCTCTGGTGTGATATACAACAGCTCCAAGCCTTCCCCATCCCCGTTGGACAACTGACCAAGTATCCATGACCGCTCGGTCTTGTCTGATTCACCATTCATCAAGAAGGCCTTGATGTTCAACTTTCGAAGGTGATCCACCTGATCTTGCATCAAACTCAGTAGCGGAGAGACAACCAGTGTCACGCCATGTGTACGGCCGCTCGTAACGATAGAAGGAAGCTGATAGCACAGAGACTTGCCACCGCCGGTTGGCATCAGGACGAAAGTGTCCTTGCCGCCAAGAGTTGCATCAATAGCTTCTAATTGATTTGGACGAAACCCACGCAGATGGAATCTGTCTTTCAGCACTGTTTTCACTTCCTGTGACCATGGATGGTTAGACCAGAAATTGCTACGGCCAGGTGACTTCTTCGGAGGAGGCATAGGCATGCGAGATGTGTTTCCAGATGTCTCTGCAAACACCTTGCGGTTCTGTGTGGACTCCCGAACAGGCACCTGGGGTTGATTTTCAAAACTCCCAACCACTTCCAGCATCTCATCGTCGCTGTCGCTCCAATCGAATTCGTCGAAGTCAATTGTTGGCGAAGCCATGGTTCGCGAGACAAAGGATTCTCCATTTCGAGGTCGGTTAATCTGGTCAGGTACCCATGTACCTTCCTGGACGTTCCCCGAGCTCGAAAGAGAGGGCTGGGGTCGTTGATACACAGGCGCTGGCTCTCTCGAGGTCAAGTGTTCAGACTGCCCCCTGGACAGTGAGACGTGACTTGGCGCATCTTGGCAATCTGCACCAAGCTCTGCGGCAAGATCGAATATTTTGGCTCGTGGAAGAAGGTCGCGTATCTTGCATTCTACCTTCTCCAGCTCTGCCTCGACTGCTCGGCTTTCAGAAAGTTCCGGAAGAGTGGTTGGATCTAAGCCCTGAGAGATTACACGCATGACATCCCGCTTGAGGGTTTCCTTGCGAGCGGAGCAATCGTTGTGTGAATGCTTCTGTCTTTGCAATGACTCAATTGCTTGAATCTGCGAGACGAGGTCTTTGTTTGCGGCAATCAATTCCGGTGCTGGTCGACCCGCCATCGCCTGTTCGTAGACGACCTCAGCGTTCTTCTGAAGGATTTGCTGTAACCGTTGAATCGCCTTCTCTAGGACCTCCGAAGAAAGAGCCATAAACTTGAGGATGTTCTCATCTTTGGCTTGTGAGCTTGGCACCGTTGTTCCTAAAGTGGGCGGCTGGGGCTTTGAGGGCTTCTTCTTCGGACTCTTATCTTTGCGTGCTGCTTGTCGTTCAACATCTGGCTCCGACGTATCCTTCCCATCATCCGTAGGGCTCACTGCAGGGAGCTTTGGATACAGCCCTGTATTGGCATCAATGATCATATCGTCGTCATTGAGCCAACTATCACCAAACAGGTCTTCTTCATCAGAGTCCGCAATTTCTCGCTTTCGGCTCCTCCGCGGAAGGTCTGGCGAACTGGGCTTGTCAAGTTTCACTCCGTTTGAACGGTCTACCCGACTGGTTCGACTCGGTATCTCCGGTATAACGTCTTTTGAAATGGAGGGTTTGTTGGCTTTCAGAGGCGACCGTACTTTGTTCGCATGTTTCGAAGGCGAAAGGAGATCCGAAGTGTACTCATCGCTTTTCCGTTTCTTTCCTCGTTTCTCAAGTGAGGGTTGGCGCGATGCAGAGTCCTCCGTCCACAGGCGTCGTGATTCTCCTAAGTCGAGGTTTGAAGTTGAAGGTAGGAATCGATCAGGGTCTCCAGTCAGATCAATAGACTCGATCGCATCAAATGGGGACGTTGCGGGTTTGCGGTCTGATCGAATTGGAGTGGCTTTTGATCGCGTGCTCTTAAAGGACGACGCGGGCGGCTCGAGGAACGACTCTGTTGGTAGAAACTTCGCGTTAGGCCCGCGATTTGTTGACTATTGGAAAACGAGCATACCTTGAACTACACTTCTTGACGAAGAGGGCTTTTTGATCGTTGTGGGTGAACTCGGTGGCCGTGTATCGCCTCGACTGAGCATTCGAGGTTTGCTCTCGGACGACGGCGCGAGCATGAGTCTTGCCATATTCTCATCTTTCACGTCATCAGCATCCTCCAAAAGTTGGTCTAGAAACTCGTTTTCGTCGGATGGTGGAGTGGGTTGCTGCGAGACGCGACTGCCGGGATCAATTGGTGGGTTGTCGGTGGACAACGTGGGGTACAGCGACGGCCCTTGTTTCAGTAGCCATTTGAGGTGTAGGGCGAGATTATTTTTCGTCATGGGGGTGTGCGTCGCTCATGGCCTTCATCTGTTGACGTTCTTCGTTGTCTGGGTGTCTGATCCGAATTGTCGATGCTCCGCGCCGTCGGAAGCCTATCGACGCGTCTTGCACGTGAGCGGTCAAGTCCAACTGATAAGAAGCGAAGGGGCTGGCCTCGAGCGCATCACTAAGCCATATATTCCAACATAAATCTAGTTCAATTGTATCAAGTTCAAAATCAAGATGAATAGTTTCTTCGTAATCGTAAAATTTTTCTATCTCTGTGTGTTTTCAGCATGGTGATCTGAACAAACCGCATCTCAGCTATAGTGCGATAAGTGTGTATGTGGGGAAAAGCTTTTTAACATATGCCCCGCGGCCCAGACAAAATATTGATACATCCAAAAAAATCTACCCAACAGGCGACAATTCACCATGGGCAAGAAAAACAAGAAGTCTGTCGAGCACAAGGAGCGTGTGGCAGCCAAGCAGTCCAAGAAGACTGCCCAGAAGGAGAAAAGGTCGAAAGCGAAGGGCAAGGATGTCGATAGCGACGCCGAGGATGCCGACCTCGATGCGATCCTCGCCCAGTATGCTGAAGAGCAGGCCAAATTCTTGAAGGTCACAGAAGTGCCATCGGGTCCCCCGGCACCGAGGTCTTCTGCTACTGTCCTTGCGTCTCCATCAAACCGGAATGAGATTCTGCTTTTCGGCGGAGAGTACTTCGATGGAACCCATGCGACGTTCTTCAACAATCTCTTCGTGTACCAGATTGATCGGGGCGAGTGGAAGGAGGTGACGAGTCCCAATACTCCTCTCCCTCGGAGTGGACATGCGTGGTGCCGCGGAGGTAATTCCGGAGGCGTGTACCTGTTCGGAGGTGAGATTCTATTCTATGGATCAAACTTTTCTGTGACAGACCTGACTGCGACTAGGAGAATTCTCGTCGCCCAAGCAGGGTACTTTCTACCATTATAACGACTTTTGGCATCTGGACACGGCTACTAGAGAATGGACTCGTCTTGAGACCAAGGGTAAAGGCCCTCCTGCAAGAAGTGGCCACCGAATGACCTACTACAAGGTATCCCCTCGCGCAGAATATGTTTTCGCACAACATGGATCTAACTAAAGATCTAGAACTACATCGTTCTCTTCGGTGGATTCCAGGATACTTCCCAGCAGACAAAATATCTGCAGGATCTCTGGATCTACGACTGCTCCAAGTATGCCTGGTTCAACCCCACTTTGACAACGGCCTCCCAGAAACCCGACTCTCGATCTTCATTCTCATTCTTGCCCCATGAAACTGGTGCCGTGATCTATGGTGGCTACTCCCGAGTCAAGGCCGCCAGTGGTGCGGCCGGCAAGCAAGGCAAAGGTGGCCCTCAGAAAATGACCCTCCGACCCATGGTCCACCAAGACACTTGGTTCCTGAGAATCACTCCGCCGGAAACTGAATCGGCAGCAGCCTCGACAGGTCCAGCTATCCGTTGGGAGCGGAGAAAGAAGCCTGCCAACACACCCAACCCACCGCGCGTGGGTAGCACCATGGCTTACCACAAGGGCCGCGGAATTATGTTCGGTGGTGTTCACGACGTCGAGTTGACCGAGGAGGGCATCGACAGCGAATTCTTCGACACATTATTTGCTTGGACCACGGACCGCAATCGATTCTTCCCATTAACTCTTCGTCGCCCACGCGCGGCAGGCAAGAAGCAGCAAGCCAACCAAGCAAACAAGTCTCGCAATCGTGGCAAAGCAGACGAGGAAGAGCTCCTGCAGAATCTGAAGGCATTAGAAGCGAAGCAGGGACTTCGCGATGAGGACGACGATGATGATTTCATGCAACTGAGCACACCAAAGACCGAAGAGGAGCCTGTTGAGCCGGCAAAGCCTGCAATTGTTCGATTCGAGATGCCCCACCGGAGATTCAATGCTCAGCTTGCTGTACAAGATGATACACTTTTCATTTATGGTGGCACGTTTGAAAAGGGTGACCGAGAATTCACATTCAATGATATGTATTCGATTGATCTGGTCAAGCTCGATGGCGTGAAAGAACTGTTCTACGTCGAGCCTGAGAACTGGAACCTTCTGGACGAGGCAGACAGCGATGAGGAGATGGATGATGATGAGGACGAAGAGGATGAAGACATGGATGAGGAGGGAGCGGATGCTATGTCTGTGGATACTTCTTCACCCGCACCCACGGAGGTGACTGTGCCCTCGGTCACTCAGGGCATGGAACAACTCGAGGTGGAGGAACAAGAATCAGACCTGCCCGTCGACACTCGTCCACAGCCTCGCCCCTTCGAGAGCTTACGAGAGTTCTACAGTCGAACCTCCGAAGACTGGCAGAATATACTTCTCGAGGCTTTGAGGTGGAAGGGCCAGGCTGAGGATAAAACAGTGAAGGAGTTGCGAAAGGGGGCTTTCGATCTGGCGGAAGAGAAATGGTGGGATAGCCGTGAAGAGATTATGGCATTGGAGGATGAACAAGAAGCTGCGGGCATTGGAGAGGTTGTTAGCATGAACGACCGCGCCGAAAATATGGGTGGAGCAGGTCGTCGTCGGTGAGAACCTGAAAAGATTGTAGATTCTCGTCAAAATGAATTTTCGTTGTATCATCTTGGATCACATGGTTATATATGCTACCTCATTAAAATGCTTGATGATACATATTTTTTTTGCGCCACTTGATGACCGTGATTCGCATCTAGAGTTGAGCTACCTCAGCGAGAACTCCAGTCACCAGCTCCAAGTCTCTTTCAACATCAACCCTCCAATTCGAGATTGCAATCCGAGTCGCGGGAGCACCGTCCCAGCTGGTCCCAGACACAAACATTCTCGAGGTATCGTTTATCTTCTTTGACAGCTCACGGTTCAGGTTATCATCCTTGGCACGGAACAGGACACTCATAAAGGTCTGGTCGAGAAGCTCTGATTTGGAAGATGCCTCTGGCAACGCTTTATATTGTGGGTGATCAAAGATCCACTCGTTAATCCCTCGAGCAAGGCGGATCTGGCGCTGCAACATGTCTCTGTATCCATGCTTCCCATAGGAGAGGAGAGATGCGTAGACCGGCAACGCCCTAAAGCGGCGAGAATTCTCGATTCCAATATTCAACGGCGACGGAATTGCGGGCCCATCCGAGGATCCTGCTGCTAGATAGGCAGCATTGGCATTCTGGAAGACGCTGGCTGCCAGTTCTGGGTGTCGACAGAAGAAAAATCCACAGTCGTAAGGGACATTGAGGAGTTTGTGGCCGTCTCCAGTGATCGAGTCCACTAGTTCAAGTCCCTCGCTTCCCTTTTTAACCGTTGCAAACTCCGGGCTGTCGTCCAAGATGCGACCGAATACTCCAAATGCCCCGTCTGCATGAACCCACGCCCCGTACTTATCACACAACTGGCGAATCTGCAACAACTGTTCCTTTGTCGTTGCAAAGCGGCCAGTGTTGACTTCTCCAGAGGAGACGGCCACGATACTGACTTTGTCTGCTCTTGCTAATTCCTTCTCTAGCTGTTCGATATCAAAGTGAAGCGGGTTGTCGGCACAGCATACGTTGTGTACATTGGCACGGCCGATACCCAGGATACCGGCTGCTTTCACCAGGGATGAATGAGGCAAGGTCGATAGCACCTGGACTCCAGAAAGTCCTAGAGCATGCAATACCTCGAATAAACCGAACTCTCCGACACTGTCCACTTGGACTCCCTTTCTCTCCGCGGCTTTGCGCAGAACATATTCACGGCCACATGCCAAGCCGAGGATGTTGCTTGCAGTAGCACCCGTGGTGAAGGTGCCGTTGTGCCACATGGATCGATCTAGTCGCATAAGATCCGCAAGAAGACCTAGCGCGCTGAACTCGACATCTGTGACGATGGAGTGGTTGGTGAGATGTACTTGAACGTTTTGGTCGTAGGCAGACACCACATTATCGGCGAAGAGTGCAGCTGGCGTGGCTCCACCAGTGATGAAGCCATAGTAGTTGGGACTGATACTACCTCCGTTGAATGCTGGGACAATATCATCCAAAATGTGCCGCTGAACAGCTTCAAGGCTAGTACCGGTAGCTGACAGTGTCGTAGGAAGAGAAGCCCGCGCCCGAGCTAAGCTGTCTTTGCTGGGGAGTACACCGGATTCCCATTTGCCCTGGGCCACTTTCCACAGATCTTGTACGATTTGTTCCTGCATTGTTGATCAGATATCACTTCAGGTATATTTGGCTCAGGTGGGTGACGGGGGCTAGATCTTTATTTATAATCCGGTCGGGATTTGCACTGTGTTCGGGATGAAGACTCCGGTTGGACGATCCTGGGAGCTGATGCTGTGGAGCTAAACAATCTTATCTGCCTAGAGGAAAGACTACCATGCGCATTGATTGGCCATGTCCGAAGCTAAGCTCGTTGCAAATGGAGTCGTGGGGGGGGAGGAGGAGGTTGAGTCCCAGCACGAGGCTGAGGTGGGAGAAGTGTAAGTTCTGGCGACTCTAACAGCGTCCAATGGAACGGCGCTTCTCAGATTCTCCGCAGTCAATCCACTCACTCTCCTCGCCGTTTTGGACCCCAACCATTTGCATGAAAAAGAAATAAAAAGAACATTGACAAAAAATGGCTGCGAAATTGATTGATCGACGTTTCCACAATGTGCCAGGTGTGTATCTGGCTATCTGTATCGCCGAGAGATACGAGAATCGAGACAACTGACCAAATTCTAGGCAAGCTTCGTGTGGCCGAGCTGTTCTTTGATGTGCCCCTTGACTACAGTAAGCCAAGCGACGGCACATTGAGACTCTTTGCCCGAAGCGTCTCGCGTTTGAATAAGCCTGTTGAGCCCGCTAAAGAGGAGCCCAAACTGCCCTGGCTTGTTTACCTTCAGGGGGGCCCGGGGTTTGGATGCGCTGCCCCGCAAAATTACGGCTTCGTTGAGTCAGCTCTCAGCAAAGGCTATCAAGTACGAACCCACTTAAGTCTTTCTGGAATGACTTATGCAATGTGCACTCCGGGTTTGTTTTTACTCATACACTAGATAGGTTCTCTTCCTGGACCAGCGCGGCACTGGCCTTAGCTCTACCCTCACTGCGGGGACCTTGGCTCGTCAGGGGGACGCGATCAAGCAAGCCGAGTATCTGAAAAAATTCCGTGCCGACAACATTGTCCGTGATTGCGAGGCTATTCGGAATTTTTTGACTCTGGAGTACCCAGAAGGTCAGCGCGCATGGAGCATTATCGGCCAAAGCTTCGGCGGTTTCTGCGCTGCCACCTACTTGTCCAAATTGTCTGTCCCCGTCGGTCTATATTTTGATCAAGTTCACATTGTCGAGCCATTTGCTGATTGTCTTTGTTTGATAAAAGCCCCGAGGGCCTAAAGGAGGCTTTCATCTGCGGTGGATTACCGCCTCTTGTTGACAATCCAGACCCAGTCTATGCACGAACTTATGGTAGGCGGTTTGCAACAGTAATAGTTGGGATACTGATTGACTGACACGTCAACAGAGAAGGTGCTGGAGAGAAACGAGGCATATTATGCCAAGTTCCCCGAGGATGTCGAGCGTGTCCGGGAAATCATGCGGTACCTGGCGGCTAACCAGGTTGCCTTGCCCTCCGGCTGGCTGACCCCAGCCCGCTTCCAGCAGCTGGGACTCATCTTTGGCTTCCACGGTAAGTAATTATGAGTACGTATGTTGGAGTATATTGGAATGTATGGTCTAACTGTCAACCAGGCGGACTCGATATTCTGCATGGTACGTATCTACTCTCATAGACACCCGAACAAGAGGCAGCGTACTCACCTTGGCCCTAGAAATTGTCATACGAGTCTGGAACGACCTTGAGATCTTTGGCTCTCTTACAGTCCCAACTCTCGCTGTCATTGATAGCAATGGTGGAATGGATAAGAACATCATCTACGCCATCCTGCACGAGGCAATCTATTGCCAAGGGTAAACAATCCCAGTTCTGGAATCTGGAATGCCTTGAAATGGAATTTACTAATATTTCCCTCACAGCAAACCCTCACTTTGGGCGGCTGATAGACGACGGGGAGAAAACCCTCAGTTCGAAATTTCCGACTCACAAGCCCGGATCTACTTCACCGGCGAGATGGTAAGAGCCCCCAGCTGTTACAATAAAGCCCATAACACGGAGCCATATCTAATATCATCTCATATAGGTCTTCAAAGACATGTTCGACTCGTACACGGAGCTCAAGCAGCTCAAAGAGGTAGCTGATATCCTCGCTACTACCAGCGATTGGCCAGCCTTGTATGATGAGACTCAATTGGCCAAGAACGAGGTGCCCGTGTATGCTGCTACTTACATTGACGACATGTACGTACACTATGACCTGGCTTCCAGTACTGCCGCCAAGATCAAAGGGACGAAGCAGTTCGTCACCAACACCATGTACCACGATGCTTTGCGCAGCAAGTCGAGCGAGGTGATGCGCCAGCTCTTCAACCTTCGTGACGACTCTATTGATTGAACGAGTGTTTGGCCGCGGGATCTAGCTTCTGAGCGTTACTTGTTTAGTTACGAATGCATGCATCATGTTATTTTGCGGCAGTCTTGTTGACTAGATGATCTCAAGTGAAGTAGCAGAATCCAGTTTTGACATACAGAACAGCACACGAATTCCACGAGAATCTTAGCGTCCACTATGTACGGCGGACTATAGGGCAATCTTGCTGAAACTACACAATCCTACTAAGTACGTTCACCGCGTTTTCTACGGCCTTGGGGAAGAGAATTTGGAAGAGAATTTGGAAGTGAAATTGTAAATACCTTTGATTGCATCCTATACCCTTATCTACCATGATCCTCTCCCTGTAGGAGGGGGAAGGCAAGGCAAATAGAGAGGAGAATAGGAAGAAGGACTAGAACAAGAAGATGATTCTGGTCTCCACTCTCTACAGAATCCATTCAATTTAATTCGTAATTACGCGAAGGCTGAGGTTTTGGGGAAGTTGCCCATATAGTCCGCCGTATTATGATTACAAGAAGCTAAAGATGTTATGTACAGTGCTATTTCCGTGAAATTCGGCCAAGGTCCACAAAAGTCTGGAATCCGATCATTCAAATTCGGGCCCGTCGCATGTCGAAAATCTTTCTAGATGCTGTAAGGATAGCCTTTGAGCGCCCTTCCAAAGCATCTTCAAGATATTAGTGGAATTTATCTCCTTGAAGCTGGGCACCATGTTCAGGCCGCTGGACCACCGTTGTATGTACAAAGCGCTCTTCTTCGGGATCCTGCCGAGCTAGCAAGAGTTGAGATATCGGGGATCAAAAAACCTGTCAATTCTGTTAGCCCCACGAAATAATCAAGGCGAATGAGAAAGTACTTACGGCGCCACCAATGATGAATAGCCTTTCTTCCTCTTGCTGTACCCACTGAGCAATTTTACTGGCGCTCTGTACCAACGCGTTTCGATTTGCATTGGGCTCAGCGACACAGTACAGCTCGAAAATCGGGGTCATCCATGCGAATGAGCTCGCGGACCGTGATACACAGTGGTGGACCTTGACGTGGCTATTCTTGGCATGGATACTGGAGTGGATGTTATTGTATACGGACATTAACCTATGTATGAATGTTAGATAACCAACTCAGTCTGATGTGGTTAAGAAGGCTACTAACCTTCGCCTGCGAGAGATTGAGGTAAACTCAGGAGAGTAGGACGACATCGTGAACTGAACGTTCGCCCGTGACTTGTATATGAAATGATGCACTACTGTTCCGGGGACAATGTCGGTGGTAGCTGCGCGCCCCTGGTCAATTGAAGCGGCGATCACCTTCAGACTGCCGCTCTTCTCCATTTGCTATAATTGGGCTTGAGTCAGTGCTTAGACTCATAGGTTTCCCGGTGTGGGCCTTACCTCTATCAGTGAGTCGCGCATCCCTTGCATCTCGAAGAAGCTTTCCTTATCTGGACTGATCAGGACTATAGCGACAGACTCGTCCTTCAAAATGTCCTCATTGTCGTCCACATCGCCTCGAAGATTGAGGAAGCTGACATACATGTATAGGTAGCCGCTGCTGTTGAAGCCAGGTAGACATACAGGAATCCAACTTTCACCACCCCCTGCTTTGATGCCATCGGCCTCAAATATCATGTTGAAGAGGAGTTGCAGATCACCGGGGTGGAGCGAATGTTTCTTCGGCCGTACGACACTCACAAGTCGCCCACCCGCCACCACTAGACCATAGAGCAGATTAGTAGCTTTCGTTTTCAAAAGTGCATTGTTAATTGACTGTCGATGCGCCTTGCGTAGCTTGAGACACTCCAAGGCCGACAGCAATGTAGATGGGGATCCGCGGGTGAAGCTGTCTGCTAATGAAGACAAAAGCGTTTCAGACCCCTGCAATGGCCGCTTCAAGTCGGTAGACGGCCGGACAGAGAACAAGTGAGTGAGGGATGGGAGTGTTAAAGTGGATAAGATTTGCATGTACAAAGCCTCTAGCTGGAGTCGGAGCTGATTACCACTCTCCATCATCCTGCTGATAGCGACAAGATGCAGTGGCCCTCGAGTCACAATGACAAACTTGGTATCCCCAGCAGTAAAGCTCCGGAGACGATCGTTGGATTCTTCGTAGAACGATATGATGGTCTGGACGACTCCGACGTAGGTGGAAATCAGTCCGCCATCACCGTGCCGTGTCCAAATTGGTTTTCCAGCGGCGGAAAGAATCATATAGTGTTTCTGCTTGCTATTCCACCGCCGAATAAGTAAGTCTGCGTTGCTGGCATCTTGATCCAGTTCACCAATGGGCTCAAACTCGTCCATGAAGTCATCGTCATCCACATAATCTGCGGGGAATTCAGGGAAATGAAGCAAGCTTGCTGCATCCGGGTGACCTACAGGCGCCGTCGCGACAAAGTCCTTGAACAGGGCTTCAACGTCGCCTGCGTCACTGTTTGGGATTGAGCTCCGAATGCTCGCAGAATCGCTGGCCTCGCTACCTCTCGGACTTGCCAAGTGGCCAAGGCTAGCTCTTGCTTTTAGCCCTCTAGATAGACCACGCACTGCCAGTGTCGAATAGGCACTACCTCCGGCTTCTGGAGTCTGTGTACCAATCTCCGTCCGGGAAACGGCCGTTGTTGCTTCTGCTTGCAGATTCGCATTCCGCGATGCCGTCTCATCGTTCAATAGACTCAAGGTGTTCGGTCGTGGAGGCAGAGGGGGCCGTGGCCCCTCTGGACTGGGGCTGCGATCCCGAGACTCGGCACGGGAAGGACTGGGAGCTGATAAAGATGTCGAGTTCTCGTGGGTAGGCTCATCGCGGTGGGCGCTCTGAGAGTCTGGTGGTGTTGTAGTCATCCCCGCAATGGGCGTGCGCCTCTGGACGCTATCGCTGGGCGCGGGGAATAAATCATGAGTCCCGCATCGTCGATATCGCAAGAAATCACAGACTTCACCTGAGTCGCTGGGTGTGCTTGTCGGCGTGTGGTATTACGGAGTTGGGGAAACGGTCTGACGTCGATCGGAGAGTCGGCGAAGCTCAAGGCGGACAAACATCAATGTGGCCGCCTGCGTGGCCCTTTTGACCCTAGTCAAACCACCAACCTTCCCCTTCCACTAGGGTTGTTCTCGATGTCCTAAATATGACGGAGTGCGCTCTGCAGCTTTTACATCATTTCACCCTCCGTCATTGGCACCATGAGCCTTGATCCAAGCGCTTTTCCGAGGTCGGACTCCCCCGCAAGCTCCCGAAAGCTCCCTGACGCGCACGCGGCTACAAGGACAGCAAGGTCTGTATCTCCCGCAAAGCTTCGTTCGCCCTTCATAGAACTGGTGTCTAATGATGTTTTGGCAAATATAGGATCCCTCAAGAAAGACAAGAGTTATCGCCGCTATGCTTCCAGCGTTGAACGAGCGTTGTCGCTGTTCGATAACGCCCTACAAGAATGGGCCGACTATATCTCCTTCCTCAGTCGCCTGCTAAAGGTGAGCGCAAGTGGAACGGCTCAGGAAGCTCTATAACTAAGTATCGTTCAGGCGCTTCAAAACCATCCTCCTGATCAACCGGTCGTCCCGCATAAGGTTTTGGTCTCAAAACGACTTGCCCAATGCTTGAACCCATCATTGCCTTCGGGCGTTCACCAGAAGGCGCTCGAAGTTTATACGTACATATTCGGGCTTATCAAGGTACTTTGACTTCTCAATTTGGCTGGCGATGCCCCGACTAATATAATTCCCTCGCATCTAGCTCGAGGGACTGTCGCATGACCTCCCACTGTACCTGCCTGGCCTTGCCCCGACCTTGACCTTCGCTTCGCTCACCGTTCGTCCGCTGTTTCTATCGCTGGTAGAAGGGTATATTGTCGACCTAGAACCATGGGCTATTCGGCCCGCGCTGAAAGCAATCCTTCTCGCCTTACTGCCTGGGCTGGAAGAGGAGACAAGTGATGACTTTGAACCGACATTGCGGATAATCAACAAGCTGCGACATGTATCTGGGCAACTTGAGACACAAAGGACGTCCGAGGCTGGCGCTTCTGGGCAATACTTCTGGCAATGCCTGTTTCTGGCCTCGATCACAAATTCCAGCCGACGGCTCGGCGTGCTTGCATACCTGAACCGTTATCTTCCTAAGCTGGGCATCGCTGATCGTCGTCTAAGCACAGTGGATAGCAACGATATGAAGGACATACCGGCCGAAATTTTGGCGGCTGCCGATTCTGTCATTCTACCAGAGCCAGGCCTATTGATTCGTTGTTTTGCATCGGGTCTTTCTGATGAACAGCTCTTAGTGCAGAGAAACTTCCTTGATCTGCTGGTCACTCACTTGCCCCTGAACTCTCCGATATTACAGTCTCGCATCGCCGACAATGATTTGCGAACGTTGATCGTGGCTGCCGTGGGCGTGGTCACCCGACGAGATATGAGCTTGAACCGCCGCCTCTGGGCGTGGTTCCTGGGACCAGAGCCTGCGACTGAGCGACATTCGACGGACGACCGAAAATTCTCATCAGAAACGGCTCGCTCGACCTCCATTGATGGCAAGGAACTTTCTCAATCTCAATACTTCAGCCGCGTTGGTCTGCAGCCCTTGGTCAACGGTCTTCTGAATATGATCAAGCAGTCCCCAATAGTCCCTCATGAAAGGACGAAGCCTTTCCGAATTGCGCTATCCTTGATGGATCGTTGGGAGATTGGTGGCTATATTGTCCCGGCCGTTTTTCTTCCAATAATGAACAGTGTCCAATCATTTGAGGGACAGGCACCCAGAAACCACTTTGAAGAAGTGTTTAGGAGTGCCAGCGCTTTCTTCGATGGCGTCGAGAGTAGTGTCATTTTTGCGGAGCTGTTGGGTCTAATTGACTTTCGTGTGTCAGATGTCGACAACACTAACGGTCAAGCCTTGCACAACCTGAAACTGGCCGAATTTATTCTCGAAAACTTCAACGTCCGAGAGGAGGATATGGTCCAGGTCCATGTTCCTCTTTTGACGGTGTCATTGTTGGCCAAGATGGGTGAACTCTCTTCTTTGAAAGCGCCATCGTCAGGAACAGCTGTAACTAGGCAAGCCGTGTCCAATTCATTGCACAAAGTGCTCACATCATTGGCACCTCTTCTTACAGAGCGGGCATTCTCAAAGAAGCCTGGTTCTGAGAAGTCTAACACCGCTGATGCAAAAGTACGGAACGGTGAACTGCTGCTGAAGGTTCACCGATTCTACGAGAGCAGCAAGAACAGTCTTGAGCTTCCACCTCTCCCGTTCGCTCCGAAGCAACTTGGCGAGATGATCGTTCGGGAAGCTCATGAGCTATCTATCCAGGCTTTGGAAGGCGACGATAGTACTTCGTCAACTTCGTCACTTCACGAGAAGCTCAATATCCTAGTAACATTGCTTCAAAAACTTCCGAGGTCGCGTGTTCTTCGAGACAGACGACTGTTTGAGGCAATCTCGGGAAGACTCTCCAGAAATGCCGAAGGGTCTACAACAGCATCTTTCGCAGTTGTTTCCACCATTGCCTCTGCACTGACCAACCTTTTCTTCATTCAGAGCCCTGGGTTTTATGTTAGCTACCCAGACGCATCAGATATTATTCCAGGCCTAGTTCAAAGGCTGTGGCGATACCTATCACCATCAAGCCCCAAGTTCCACGTGGAGGCTGTACGCTGTTTGTGGTCATTGCACTCAATTTCCTGGGTGGATCACCTTGTGGAGGCGTCCATTACTTCACACATGGTCAACGCGTCTAGTGCAGGTTCATATTCCCTATTATCAGAAGAGCAAGCAGAGAAGTTCTACGTCCTGTGGAACCACAGTCATCATGGTGGACATGACCAGCCTCCCAAACAAGTCTTGGAAGTTGGAGGGACTTCGTTCTCCTATCAATGTTCGATGCTCGAGCGCCCACTGTTTATCGTATTAGACCTTTTGTCACAGGGACCTGGTGATGTTTCCCAAAGTGTTCAACAGTGGCTTCAGGATCTCCCATCGATCCATAGGTAAGAGATACCGCTAAAGACCCAGTTGGACCTGGAGACTAACAGAACTGCAGAATTTTCCATGTTGTTGTTTCCAAGCTCGAAGAACTGTTCGAGCGTGATGTCCCTGGTGCGAAAAGTAACCAAGCGATCTCTCCAGACGATTACAAAGAATACACTTACTTACTGCGCACGGCGTCGAATATCGTCTCAACTCTGTCCCACCCCGGGTGGATTACACTCCTTACACATACCGTCGGCCAACTTGAGAAACGGCCAAATGGCCCAAAGTTGGATGACAATGCAAACTCTAAAAGCCTTCATGCCACAATATTCGAGGCCTCCTTACGAATAATCAGCGACCAAGAGCCAGACACCACAGAAGTCACGCCTGAAGGAGAGAAGCTGCAAAACGCTGCACTGTATCTCATGCGACAACTTCTTTTGGGCCCTGGTGCTGAAGACCTAGTCGAATCTGGGATCGATGAATTCCTAGTCGATCGACTTCTTGTCGAGGCAAATGAAGGAGATAGCATTGCCGTTCAACGTGCACTCATCGACGCTCTTCTAGCGGCTCTCAAAGTACGATTCGCACAGGCGTACTTGCCGCCACCTCCTCCTCGACTGAAGGATCCGCGAGCCGCCTCACGTGAACGATTGACCAGCCCGTCTATATTGTCCTTTACCAGTGACAAGGCAGAAAGAGCGCCGTCGATGCCCCAACTTCCACGACCGCCCGAGCGCCTCCTAGACTGTCTGCTCAAAGGCATTAGTTCCGCAAAATCTCGAGATATTGTGGATAAATGGATCGGCCTGCTCTGCGAAGTACTCCCACTCTACTCGCACTCAATCTTCCAGATTCTTCTCATGCTTGTCGAATGCTTTTGCAGGGAAATCAAAGCCTCTTTTGGGAGACTTCAGCTTGCATTTCAACAAACAGAAGATTGGCCACAAGATCGCTCGGAACATGTGACAATCGCCCTACTGACGGGCCTTGAAACATGTATCGCGCATGCCCACGAGCGTCTATTGGTAGAAGAGTCACATACCCCAGCAGCGAAAAGCCCTGACCAACCCCAGGGCTTCTTTGGAAACATGGTATCTGGAGTCTTCCATTCGGATGGCAGCCTGGGTCGGACCAATACTGCCAATGACCGATTGACTGTACTACTCTGCTTCCAGGACGCCGTTCGTCTTTGCTTCTCTATTTGGGCTTGGGGGCAGGGGATAATAGCGCAACTGCCCCTGACACTGAGTCGATGGCATCTTTCCAATACACATCACTGCGTATGCGGAACAGGTCCAGGAGGATCCTAGAACATTTCTTTGGCGCCGAGGCGCTTGAATGTCTGGAGACATTAGTGGAAATGTGGGCCAAGTCAGATATAGAGACTGCATCGCTCATCTTCAATCTTCTGCATACCCTGGATGGTTCAAGCCCGAAGATCACCATCCCGGCTGTCTTCAATGCGATCTACACGCGCACGAATCCGGCTGCTTTAGATCAAAACCGCAAGTCATCGTTGACATCGAGCTTGTCTGAATCCGAGCTTGCCAGTTTCTTGGTTGCCTATGCACGCTCTTTGGATGATGACGTACTGGATGAGATTTGGACGGACTGCACAACATTCTTGCGGGATGTACTAAGCAATCCATTCCCCCATCGCCAGATCCTCCCACGACTGATTGAATTTGCGGCTATCTTGGGCTCAAAGTTGGAAAACACAACGTTCGGTGAAGATCGGCGTATGCGCAAGGAGCTCGGTGTACGTCATGTCATGCCTTCCTCCACTTGGGATTTGTTTATGGTTTTCTGACTGACTTTTCAATATATAGGACGTGGTTCTGCGGTTACTCACAGCTGTTTTCACTAGCAAGCCCCTTGGACTTAACCAGGAATCTGGTCTCATGGCCAGGTCATCTCTGGAATATGACCGCACTGCGGTGTCTCATACAGGCCCCGACGATATGTTGAGTATCTTGGCGGTCTCCATGTCATCATTCCTTACAACCTTGGGTGATCCAGATCGCATCAACACTGCCATCAGTGCCGTGTCCACCAATGTGGTTGGACCACTTATTCGCTCCCGCCTCTTCCCCAATAACCTCAACCGCAACGTGATGGTCATTTTACAGCAAATGGCTAAAGTGCCCGCCGCCGCAAAGCTCTGGAAGAAAGATATCTCTGATGCTTTCAATGACACTCGCTTCTTCGGACTTCATCTGGATTTGATCAAGGGCTGTTGGATGGAACTTTTGCGGCAGTGGACTCTTGCAGATAAAGATCGCCTATCAGAGATCCTGAGTCGCCTTCCACCTCCGAGCGCGGCGGGAATTATGTTTGGTGTTGGGGCATCTGCTGCGCGATTGGAAGCGGATCGAAAGGCGCAATTGAACCTTCGCCGCATTGCTTTGCTGATCCTCTCGGCAAATGACGACTACTTTGTCGCAGAGCTACCAGGCTTGCTCCAGAAGCTTGAAGACCTCTTGGCTGCGACCAGCGCTTCTTCACCGTCATCTGCAACGCGGGCGGAGATTTTCATGGTTCTTCGTGCCGTGGCTCTCAAGACGTCTGCGACAGCAATTGCACCGTTCTGGCCATTGATCAACGCCGAGCTACAAGAAGCCGTTTCAGCAGTACCCCGAAACTCCCAGTCAGAGCTCTACAATGCTTATTCGCTGCTTCAGGCTTGCAAGCTTCTCGACGTTCTCTTGGTGATTGCTCCAGACGACTTCCAGCTCCTGGAATGGCTCTTCGTGACCGACACGATTGACGCGGTGTACCCTCCAAACCGTTGGGAACCAGTCGCTCTAGCCGACGAGGTCTCGCAAAGCTTCGGACCTCGCGGTGTGTTCTCACCGACCATCCCTGGAGACTCCACGGAGCCTGCAGTACGCAGTGGCTTCAAACGACCCTGGCTCATCTCAGACCAGATCCGAGAAACTGCAAAAGATGAGATTGTTGAGCGAGTATTGCGGCCTTTCTTTGACAGGTTGAGTATCTATGTGTTTGAAAGTACGTACGGAATGGAGAGCGTGGATTTCGGAGTGTGCCGAGATGATCTGTTGGCAGATCTGTTCAACGAAAGCACCATGGCAAACTGAGCCTCCGAAGGTTTTTTTTTCTCTGTATAGCTGATTGTAGATCAAAGCGATTAATTATGCATTTATGTGGCTTAACTCTGAACTATATCCTGTTTGTTTGGCTGAGAACCTGTTTTACTCCTGGATGCGGCCGTCAGTGTGAGTATTTGAGTCGGCTGTACAATTGCATGTCTACCCTGAGGAGGCCTAACCTTTACTTGTATGAACCTGACAACTCTTTTGTGGATTCCACTTGATCTTTTTCCATTTTATTCCAAACCATGCATGTCTTGTTGGGTTGGCTGCAGGTCCATCTGCATTTGTTCAGTGGTCAGTTGTATACTCGCTCTCTCCTATAGAAACGCCGGTTCCCGCAGCCACCTCCGCGCCGGAATTCCCGCCTGTCAACGTCACCTTCCTCCAAACAGCTTCGATCGCCACCATCACCACAACGTAAGAACTACCCATGCCCCGGAATTTAGGTTGATCCCTCGGTCGAGTCTAAATATCAAGGGCAGAATGACTGTGCGCACAAAGATTTTACTCCCTCTCCGTGGACGCGCCGTCGCTCGATCTTTCTCCGTCTCCCGTCCCCGCTGGGAGGCCGCGCCGTTGCCACCGCGCAAGCCTGTTGGCGCTTTCCGAGGAGGGTATGGTTTCGTCAGCTAGTTCTCTTGTGCTATGTTGCTATGATGCTTGATGCTGTCTCATGCTTTGACCGTTTCTGACGACAAGCAGACTCTTCGGCTTTCTGACCGGCGCAGTTGTAGCCGGCGCGTCCGTGTACTACTATGTGCTTGGAGATTACCGCATCTCCAACGAGATGCTGAATGACGATATTACTGTGCGTTTCAGATCTCCCCTCTTTATGGTTGAATACCACGCTTGCAGCGGCTAATCTCGCGCCCTTGACCTGTCTGGCATTCCCGGACGGTCGGTCTTGCTGATATACAGGCTCTTCAGCATGCCACCATTAAGCTTCAGTCATACATTACGGAGCTAGAGTCTCGGGTGGACCAGTTGAAGAAAAAATGAGCTATTCTTCCGTTCGTCTTTGATCTTCCTGTGCTTCTGGCGTTGAGTCGTCTATTTTTGCATCATTTTCATTGCGAGTTAGGCCTCGTTAAATCCACGAATGTCTTGAGTCAAGTTGGTATCGCAAGAAATGAGAATTGCCAGAATGACACCCCCATTTCTGAATATGTTTAAGCGCTGTAAATGAGTTACTCTCTTCCCATAACCCCCCTTGGAGATTGCAGATTTCTGCTAGTACAGCTGTAGAAATCCAATACATCCAAAGGGGAGGAGGGAGGGCGTATGGGAAGATAGTGTACAGCTCTTAACTAGATTTAGAATGGGAGTGTCGAATTAGCAATTCTCCAAGAAATGTATTTTTCGACTATTTCATATGACTATCCCTTGAATTACCAGGCTATACTATTTCAGTGTTATATGCTCTTGATATTCAGCTCCCCATGTTTTGGCAGCTCGTCGAGTGGGAGAGTGCAAACAAATCAAACACCACCTTATCTTCACCTGGTCCTACAAATCTACAAATGATCAACTCTGAGGTCGGCTTCATCATTCTTCCCCGACAACTCGCCCTGCCCACACTCGCTTCTCGCCGGAAATCATGTTTCGTGTGGAATTACTCGCAAACTCCTCCTCCCACGCAACCCCAGGCTACACTTATGTCGCCGACAGGGGGTTCGACCGAGCCAAAGCCGCCATGGCTCCTGCCCTAGGCCGCAAACGCGGAATTCACAACGCTGGCAAAGCCGGCGACATCTCCTCGCGACGTGCAAATGCCATCATCCGGCACTTGGCCGAACTAGACCGCGAGAATCAGCGCGACGTGCAAATCGCCGTCCCCGCCAGACCCGCCAAAGAAGCAGGCGCTCGCGTCTCCCGGACAAAGACCACCTCGAACGTGCGCCGTATCCTCGTCTCGCAGAAGACATTTCGGAATCACCTTGACGATGAGGAAGCTGCTATCGCTGCGGGAGGCGGTGGTTTGAGTATACCAGTTGGTGCTGCGGCGGTTGGGCCTGCGGTTCCGTCGCGAGCAAAAGCTGCTTTGGTTGCTGCCGCGACACGCCGAAGTTCGACGCCAGCTTCGACCGCTGCGGCACGGAAGAAACGCACTTCGACAGTCGCTACTACCACTACTACCTCCACGCCTACTCCTGCGCCTTCACAAGCTGAGAATACGGACGCCGAAGCGGAGGAGGATACCGAGGAGCGGAAACACATACTCATTAAGACGGAGCATGATAATGACCCGCTTCTACGATCATACGCTCCGACAATGCCGTCAGAACGTATCATGGACCACCTTCTGGCGGAGCCGGCTTTATCGTATAATGCTTCCCGCGCCGGACCTCCGATCTCGACACATTTGCCCCGTGCTTTTTGCTGCATGTGTGGATATTGGGGCAAGATTCGGTGCAAGAGGTGTCATTTGCGAACTTGTGGGTTGGATTGTTACAAGATTCATGAGGATTCGAGGTGCGGTGCCTTCTTCTAAGCTGTGAATGAAGGCATTTGACTGTATACTATGGGGAAGGGAGGACGCTCTTATGCCTTTCCCCAATTTCACGACTTGATGAATCTTATGTCAAAAAGCTACTGTACTATGGCTAATGTACTCTTAATCATTATTGATTTCTTTCTCGCTATAGAATACAAAACATGCAAGTAAGATTTTTACCGCTCAACACTTCAGGTTGATACCCGCACGCAGCTCGTCCTCGCGAATCTCAAACATGACCTGTACTCCGACGAATAGCACCACGCAGCAGGAGATCATATATGCAACCCCTGAGTACGACCCCGTCAGACTAGTAAGCAAATTTTGCAACCCATCCAGACCAAGTGCAAAACCGACCAGGTTAGCAATCATCATCATGAGCACGTTACCAACCGATCCAATACCACTCAGCACTCGGTACGCGGTAGGACGCGAGCGCCAGCGCCTAGGAGGGAACAGCATGCCACCCAGGACTTCGGGCAAGACGAACAGGGTGATGAGCCAGCTCCACATCAACAGACGCAGGTTGATATCATGCCAAAGAGCAACGAAAGTGAATACCAACAAGAAGTTGCGGATTTGTAGGAACTTGGCCATCAAGCCCGACTGTGCAGGTGATGAAGAGGGTTTTGATCCAGCGGGACGCTGTCCACCACCACCTCCGCCGAGGGGGATGTAGATGTATCGGACGACCCAACGGTTGTAAGAGCGGTGCCATCCACGCCAGAAGGCGAAGGCAGAATAGTTGTTGGACATGCAGCGGACCATGTTCTCCGGCGGATCAATTCCGTCAATGAGAGCCCATAGGCGGAAGAAGCGCCAGGGAATGAGCAGCTTCAGCCATATGATGTGGAGGTTGAAAAAGGCTAGCATACTGAGTTGACCTGGTGTGAATAGAGACCAATCGGGTGAGGCCTTGGAGATGGCTACTGCGTAGATGTAGTGGAGGATGAGTTCCATGCAGAGCAGCGTGAGGAGGAACCGGATTCCATAGAGAATAGTGCGAGTACTCGTCAACGACGGTGCTTTGTAGCGTTGCTGTGACACATAATCGTTGAAGGTCAAGATCGGGCCAGCTAGGTATAATGGCGAATAAAGCACGTAGGCAATATAGTTACGCATGCTGAATGCAGAGGGTTCGGCTGGGATCTTCACACGGTCTCGGTCAGACAGGGCCGCGGGGTCGAGTTGTTTCTTCTTGTAGAACTCGGTCAGCTATGCTCAGTTGATAAAATCTCAGTGTAGGTTACTTCAAAGAAAACTTACTTCAATGGCGCTTCCTGCAGGATAATCCTGGCCCCAACAGTGGTCCAGATTGAAACTAATCAAGCGCAAAACGGTCACCTTGAAGAGAACCTCCCACCGAGGCATGATTCCTCCGAAGTTATCGAGGGTCTTCGCCCATTCAACAAGCAAGCTGCGCGTCTCCCCTGGTGAGCCGGATCCAGGAGCTAGCATGGTTGCAATCACTTCGAATTGGTATCCTCCACATAGTTCGTTGGCGAACAAGGTGCAGATATTGAAGATCCACGTCACTGCCGGCACATAAGACCGGGAAAGGTTCTTGCCAATTTTGTAGTTGATGAACAAGATCAACAAGACCTTGATAGCTGAAATGCCATGAAGCACCGTGACAAAGATCAGACCAAACGCAAAGTCAAAGCGCATTCGTTGCTCCAACTGCGCATCACCGGCTGCCGCCGCCGCGGGGTGGGCGGGCCTGGTTTCGGTGCTTGAACGACCCGTGAAGGATTGGTAAATTCGGCGAACGATTGGATGGGCAATCAGGAGCAATAAAAGATAGGGGATATTGTCGCGGAAGCTGGCGTATTGAGCATCGGAGTTGTCCTATCGCCATTGAAACGGCGGGTGTGAGTTATGCCTGTCTTGGGAATTTATAGGTAATGTGAACTCGAAACTCACAACCAGGCGGCCGGGGATCCATCCCGGTGACAGGAGATGGGAGTATTTAGGATAGATAGGGTGGGTGTCTGTTCATTTTAGAGATCTGCAGTAAGCATCTGGCCCTGTCTCATCGGCAATATCCGCAGATGAGCACCTCACTCACCTTTCGAGGCATCCACAACGGTCTTGAACATCAACGGAACGAGCGTAATGAAGAATAGGTAATAAACGAAGAACTCAGGCGTCCGCCAGAGCGGAGCAGAAGCGCTCTGGGCGATGGCATTGGCGCGAGCATCTTTCGTGGAGGGAGGTCGCGTGTCAGCGGCTGCGTTGGCCGGGGTGGTGGCGGTCGAGGTGAAACGAGTGTCGAGGGTGTCGAGCGAGTAGATGCGTCGGAGCCAGGAAAAAAGGGCAGGCATTTTATAGCAGGGGCATGGCGCACGCGATGGCCGACTGAAGAGGGGAGGGATCGAGAGTATGCGGTTGGGGTGTTTACTCAAGAGTTGCGGTGGTTCTCAGGGGGGCCGAGGCATTGCCAACTGGTCACACCTAAGGGAACCAATCACCGCCCGAGAATATCACATCGATCTATAACCATCTCAGTACATCTATTAGGCTATAGAGTATACTACCCTTACGATTTGTATGTTCAAAGCACTCGTTATGTAGAATTGTCTCTAATTCGACCCAAACGCCAGGCACTGGAGCTCGGTTGTCGCGCGGTATACCTCAGTGGATCAAATGATATCAGCAGGTAACGGATTCGTTTTTCTCGGTGCTAGCCATGTCGACTAATAAGTCTGTGACATTCATTATGTCAAATGACTCAATAGAGCCGACAGTTACCTAATCTCGTGGATGTGGTTTGATAGCTGATCGAGAACCCTCGGCAAATTAACGCATTTCACTGGACAAGATTGTTGCTGCTTGGGTGATTAGCCTCGCAGTGGATCTCATTACTTCTTTCATCGACGACATTAAAATTTTGTAACTTTACTAATTAGGAACTTCGGTGCTAGCAAAGAAAGAGAAAGCCAAGAAAGAGACCTTGCAACACGTATACCGTTTCACAGGCAAAAATGTCACTTGGCGGAGTAAAAACCAGCAGACTAACATTTCTCAGCAAACTTGACGTTGTCAATGAATCTCAAAGTTCATACTCATATGATTTAAGCGGCCTTAGAAGGAACAGGCGTGATAGATGCTTCTGATCCGCGGCCAACAGGAGCCAGCACACTCTTGCGTACTAGTCTGAGATTGAACACCAGGAGGATCAGTGCAGTCAAGACCGCAAGAACACCCAAGGTGACCATGGCACCAATGACGCCAGCAACCGCAAGGCTCATTCCATGGGACGAAGAATCAGATGACGGAGTGTTGGTAGTGCTATCAGAGCTGGAGCTGCAGATACCAGTGGAGTTTCCACAAACCTGACACCATTGTGACTGGGAGGTGATTGCGAACTTGTTGGTAGAGTCGACAAACTGCGTCCATGGAATCTCCACCTCGGATTGTCCGAAGAGAGGATATGCTTGCAATTGAGTGGAGCCGTCAATGCTCGTTCCGTTGTGGAACAAGAAACGGACGTTGATATCTGACACCGCGGGGATTCCAGTGCCAGAGGCGTTTGTGACGAGCTCCCATGTCATCGAAGAAGCATAAACGGGCATACCAGTGAATTCGACATTGTTTGTGAGCCCGGCCAGGCCAAAGTAAGCCAGGAAGGATGCGTATGCGCCAAATTGCATGGTCAGCTTGGACTTGCCGCCAGAGGTAATAGTCTGGTTCAGGGCAGTCAAAACTTCGCCTGCCAGCGTCATGCCCGCCACTGAGCGAATCGACTCTGAGCTGTTATATGCGAGATTGAACTCGTGAGTGTTGGCCAAAACCAAAAGCTCCTGCATCACTTGGTCGGAGGGGATGCTGGCAGAGGCGTTGTGAATCGACGCAACATTGAGCAAGTCCCAGATGGTGAATGCATTCTTGAAACTGAGACCACTCGTAGAGACGGTGTTGTTCAGATCAGATGCCAGAGACTGATACAGCGCGCTTGTGCTGGAGAGCAGCTTCTGGTACGAGCTTGAGTAGTAATAGTCGTTACTGCTCACCTCTGCGTTGCTGCATTCGGAGGTGCTTTGGAGCCATGTGTTGTCTTCGCTGCCGGTGCCAGACTGGACATCCGCCATGGGAATGAGCTGGTAACCGCTCATGGGAGAGTAAATAACAGATCCATTGCGAAGAGTTTCATTTGCAGCGGAACCGATGGGTGGGTAGAGGCCTTGCAGGAAGGCTTGGCCGGAGAGTTGAATGACAGTGTCCTGGGGTGCACTGGCACTAACTTGAGCCAAGCTGACGACGCTGGAGCTAATGCCGTCGATATGATTCTGCGAACTGGCTGAGATGTACCGTTGATGGAAAAAGTTGCCGGACATGTATTCTTGATTGTAACCAAGGTCCGTCAACTTGGCAGGTGGAAGGGCTTTAGCTGTGCGGTCTCCATGGCGTTGGAAGATGTACGCGCCCAAGACTCGTTCTGCACTAGCGAGATCTGCCAGAGGCAGAGAGGCAATAGCCAGCAAAGCGGGGATGATAGTCATTGTTATCTTGGTTGGTTCAAGATGAAGCAGTGCCGCTAACTTGAAATCACAGATTCAGATTCAGTTCTCTGAAACAGCAGGATTTCCATGTCTTCTTTATTGTCCCGAGTACGGTGCGGGGGAACTGCAACTTCGCCAGTGTATGACTATTACTGGCGTAAGAGGAAAGTCTAGCTCCATGTGGGATGGCCGTGGAGCAGTTTTAGTTTGGCTTCCGATGGTCCTAGCGGACCAGATGCATGTGTGCGATTCGTTGAGTTCATTCGCCCGCAAGTCTCGATCTCTACTGTTCGTGCTCGAGCCATCATTGAGAAAAACTCCTACTGGATGAAAGCAGATTCGGATAGCGCGGTTCTCTATCAATCTCGTAACGGGGCCGCATGGGCTATCTCTAGTCTTGATGTGATTGTTCTCTGGGTCCGCTGGGCAAAGCTTAAAGGGCCCGTTCACCCCCGCCCTCGCTCAGGCCTGCTGCTTCTGGCCTCACTACAAAAGCAATGCAACATTTTGCTTTTTAGCTGCATGATACTACATCTCCCTGGTAATATGATTGACTCACTGTTGACAAGATCAGCATCTGGTTGCCAGACTCCCCGCAGAACCCCTCTTTAAACCCCCAACATGCTGTCGTATGTTTCCGACACGCGGGCGTTACCGTCGTTGTTTTTTCCGGACCGTGCCTATTTGCTCTGACCTTAACTTGATATTTCAGACAATCATGATCCAGTGGCTTCATGCTGTGGCGCCTCTCTATTAGTAGATACTCGACGGCTATATATCGGTGGCGGCCCCGATTTAAGACGGCCCACGGTTCGGGCATTCGACTCGCAAATTGCCGTGAAGCTTCATGTCAGCTTCAACAGGAGGCAGGTTTCCAGGATATGACTAACAGGGTCCTGCGACAAAGTACTCCGTATCTTAACTTTCAGTACATGGTAATAGCTATGAAACATCCCGCGTGCAACTTTGGGTTAACTGTGAATCACAGCTGCCAATACCCAACGGACTATCTAAGGAAACATTAGATTAAGTACAAAGCCTGGAGTACTGACTGAGTATGATACTGATTTACTATCTTGACGTCAGGGACCCTGACCAATAGCACCTATGAATATGTCTCGTTGTGATTGAATGAAGCAAGACTGTGATTCCACTTGGAAAAACTGGATTTTGGAGACCGACCGGGGGGGGAAGTTGGTTTCGAGGACGTCTTCGACTCTTGCCAATGGCAAGCACAGGAAGTCGATTGCACCCAGCTAATACGATGCCTACTTTGGGAAGCACTATTCATCCAATGAAAAGCAAGAGGATTTGTCTTACGCAGTGTCTGCCACCTCGAACAATGGACCCTAATCATCCCTGCATTCCGGAAGGGTCCAGCTGTCCGGCACGGACATCCAAGCCGACAGAAGCGGGACCGTAGTCCAAAATCTCGACCAATAGGAGGGTAAGACCCGGAAATGGCATTCCTTCGATATCCCTTGATACGCTTACATTGAACTTCAAAACTACTGCTTTTGGGTGTTCATCAACTATCATGTCGAGCCCGAGGAGGTGGATATACCGAAGCGGAGATAACCTGTCATACTCTTGTCATACTGTTGGAGAAATGATCGGCTATCAACTACATTACTTGACAAGGGTTACCCTAGCACAACGGCTACTTATTCGAGGACAAAAAAGATAAAATTAGGATTCACGAGTTATCGGTCTTTGAACTAGCGGACGATTGCTGAAAAGTCTCTTGCATAGTAACAATTGGGGATGATTCGGCCGCTACTGATAGGTAGTGTTACGTGATCCGTGAGTCGTGAGGTCATCCTAAGCTCTGGTTTCCACAGCCGAGTAATCAAACGAATAATTCGAGCTATTGTTCTAGTCGCATTCTTGGGACGGAGCTTTCTTTTCGACCGGAGGCTGGGAAGTCAATTCTTGCAAGCCATGGAAGGATTTGTGGAATGTCCCACGGCCGATCTCCTGCATTCGAAGCCATGAGTTCCGTGCGAAGAACTATATAACGACATGGAAAAGTCGACCAAGTTTGCATCTTCATCAATCACTCTTCTCATTGTTTACATGATCTGATCCAAGACTTGATCCAAACTTCTTTTACCATTTACTTTCGTTCATCATGGAGATCACTGCGCAACTGGATACCAACAACCGTCCCGATGAGTGGAAGATCGAACAGGGTATGGCAGGCCACAAGCTGCCTATCCTAGATCAGACTGGGAGTGATACCATCAACCTTTATCCTCCACCACCTGTCAAGATCATCAAGGACGAGGAAGCTATTCAGTCGGTGGGCGATCGTGACAAGCTGTTCTCTCGAGAGCGTGTGGGTTGGAAAGGGTATGTTACTCAAATGCGATGTCATGTATACCCCGCCACCATAGCTGACAAACTGTGCTTCACTGTTTTAGATACGTCGAATGGGAGAACTTCCCGGAGAAGAAGAGCAAAGCCAAGAAGATCTTGGCATCTCAGACCTTCCCGGAATGCCCTGACTTCATGTTCGGTCCCATCCCCGGCACCAACCCCGTCCTCCCTGGTGATGACTTCAAAGCCTGGCATGCGGCTCTCGGCGGAGAACTCACCACCGTGTCTGATGACTCCTGGCGCACGGTGCTTCGCGAGAAGCATCCCGATATGCTTCACCTTCTTCAGTTCCCCTACAACGGCGAGCCCCCGAAGCGACTAGTCACTTCTAAAGTGATCACACCCAACCCGCTCCACTTCGTCCGAAACCATGGCGGAATTCCCATTATCGACAAGGATAAGTGGGATCTGTCACTGGATGGATTGGTTGCAAACCCCAAGACCTATACTCTGGACGATATTATGGATGAGTCCAGGTTCCCCCGTATGGAGAAGACCGTTACTATTCAGTGCTCGGGAACCCGCCGCATCGAACAAATTGCATTGTACGGCGGCCAGGGTGACGAAGTGCCTCAGGCTCCATGGGCCGAGGGTGCCATTGGCACCGCTCGCTATGTGGGTATCAGTTTAAAGAAGCTGATCAAGGATTGCGGCGGTTTGCTCAAGCCTGCCAAGCACCTTGAGCTCTACGGGGCCGAGACCTATGTCAAGGATCTCGAGGTAGGCAACTATGTTGTCAGTGTCCCATGGTCTAAGGTTAAGGCCAACGAGGTTATTCTGGCCTGGGAGATGAACGGTGAGCCTCTACCGAAGATCCACGGGTACCCACTCCGGGTCGTCGTTCTGGGATATATTGGCGCTCGAAGCGTCAAGTGGTTGTACCGCATCAAGGCCATCGAGAATCCCTCTCGTGCTCCCGTTCAGAGCAGGGAGTATCTATACTTCAACCAGCAGGTTGGCAAGTACAACCAGCGTCCCACAGACGGCATCCAAATCCAAGAAATGCCCGTCAGCTCGGCCATCATGTCACCCTGGACTAAGCAAGCTGTCGTCCACACGGGCAAGATCAGATGCAAGGGCTGGGCATACTCCGGTGGAGGCCGATGGCCCGAGCGAGTCGAGCTGTCTGCCGATGGAGGCTTCACTTGGTACGATGTGCCACCAGAGAAACTGTCCAAGAAGGGCAAGTGGACCTGGAGAACATGGGAATATGATCTCCCTTGCGATGTGGAAGGCTGGATTGAGATTGTGTGTCGCTGCTGGGACAATTCGCTCAACACGCAGCCACTGAATGTTCGCGCGGCATGGAATTGGGGTCTGCATGTTACCTCCTCGGCACATCGCATCAAGGTTTACAGTATCAATAAGAGTCGGGAGATTACCAGGAAACGGTTGGACAAGTATGAGCATCTTGGTATTCCTTTGGCTCCTGTGACTCGCTATGAGATTGTTCCTGGTCAGACGCCAGAAGAGTATGAGCAGTACTGGATGGATCACGATCCCCGCGATGTCGATGATTGATTTGTTTTGGAAAAAGCTACTTTTTTCGTGAGCTGCCTGTATTACCTATATGCATTTGACTCGTCTATTGAACAGATTGTATCTAATAATCACAATTGCAAATTTCATTGCGATTCATTCATTCCTATTTCTCACTATATTGTTTACACTTCTTCTAGTTTGCCGTCGGCTAGCTTGAAGCTCGACTGTATTACTCACAGCTCCCACTGGAAGCTTTTCAGCTACTGGAAAAATAGATCCGAGGCCGATAAGACCACAGAATCATATACCAAAAGCATTTAAAAAGTATAGTTAAATGGCAGAACCTTTGTACATATAGTGCTGGTGCGGGGGAGACGCGAGATTAGATCAGCACTCTGCGCCGAGCATTTCCCCGGAACTTGCCATCTTAATCGACAACCTCCCTTCGCCACTTCACGAGTGCCGACACAAACAATCATCCAAACATGACCAGCAAGAGGGTACGTATAAATTCAGCAAATTCACTCAAATGATCATCTTCAGCATCACAGTTGATCTTTTTCCATCATGAAATATTCTCCTTTGGCCCGGCAGAGCTAACTGGATTCTAGGTCGCGTTCAAGGTCCACGGCATCGTGCAAGGTAAGACAGTCGGCCTTACAGCCTCGTCCCACCATCAGCCCTCCTTGCCTAGAAATAAAAGTCAGAAAATATAAAATAGTTCCATACTAATCTCAAATTCCAGGTGTCGGCTTCCGGTAAGGACGCAGTTATCCGCCTTGGGGTATGACATCATGTCTCATACAATAGCTGAACTAACGGTGGCCACCGTTGATATATCACAGAGACTTTACTCAAAAGTGCGCAAATAGCCATGGCCTGAAAGGGTGGGTTCGAAATACCACCTGCGGAAGAGTAAGTAGATCTTCGAATTTAGCTGAAGGCTTCAGCACTCAGGCTGATTCGATGCTGGCGTTCAGGTTGAGGGAGAAGTTCAGGGTGATGAACAGAGCGTACAAAAGTTGTTACAACAGGTAGATAAAGGCCCGCGTAATGCTCATGTTGTGAAGCTTGAGAAGCGAGACTTGGAGCTTCAAGAAGGGGAGGATCAGTTTTTGGTGATGCGGACGGCCGAGTCGATGTTTCATTCTCAGGCTTAATCAGTCTTCTCTTTGGTCGCTGTGATGATATGTCTTAACGTGGATCATGAATTATTTGAAGCCTACTTTAATTATCACGGGTTCTGGGTGATTGATCAATCGAGTCAGGGAGGTAAGGACGCCCGGCGAGGTTCAAGCTGTATTCTCGCCATTCTGGCCATTCTAGATGGAGTGTTGACTCTCTATATATAATGAGGCCCCTCGCCAGCATCTCCACTATGAGCGACAATGAGCAAGATATCGGCAACCACCGGGGCCCTATAGTTCTCTTCATGGCTCGTGACCAATCTCTCTTCCTAATTCTTCCCCGGTGAGATGAGCTCCAGAAAAAAGTCAAGATCCCGAATAGCAGACGCCGGGCTAGCAGCCCGCTCAGCCTTGCTCATCCCGAGATTTTCTCGGGAGGCCGTGAGTCAGTGCCTGACGGGCAGGGCGGAAAGGGGCCACCCCCGACTCTTCCCGAAGTCACCCGCCTCGTCCAACGGCCCTTCCTGACGGTAATCGGATGACAGGTGTGTATCATGGCCAATGTTGACACACAACTGCATGGACAATGGGAAGCTCGCTGATGTTGCTTCTTGTTCGTAGATGGTCCTCTAGGGTCATACTTGTTAGATATCAGGTTTGATGGCCTGTCATCAGAGCCGCAGGGCAGATGATCGACCAAGTGGGGAGCGTTCTGGTATTGTCGCGTCAACGGTCGATCGCCCTCGTCGTATGGCCCGCCAATGAGGATCAGCAAATGCCGTCATTCTTTCAGGCATACCCCTGGCCTGGTCCAGAGTTACTATGATTGAGATGGGATTTTTTCAAACTCGGGCTTCGTATTCTCTCGGCCTTTCGGCCTTGACTCGAGCGGTATATATAGTGATGCTACCGCTGCGTATAGTCCCTCTCCATCATTCAAAGACTTGGACTACAATCAAAGAAACATTTCTCAAGCATTGATACTCAACTACAAAACTTATTATATCACACATACTACCAGCTGGTCTATGATGACTTCACTATCGATACTATCGACGACTGCACCCTTGCGGGTTGCTACACGACCACAGACCTACCTCTTCCTGGCTGTACGCACATACTCCGGGGTTGCTGCCACGACACTCAACTCGTCCTGTCTTGCCAAACAACGCCCTTCACCATTGACCTACACCTCAAAGCGTCTGATTTCGTCAACACCCAAACCCCAGATCAAGGAATTCTTCCCACCTCCAGAAAACCCCGCAGTGAAAGATGTGGCCTCGGCATGGTCGCATCCGATGTAAGCAGAGAGACCCCGCATGCCAATGTTGAATACGAGCTGATTCCAAGGACAACAGCTACACCGATGCGCAGATGCAAAGCGTGAGAATCGCACACCGCGAAGCCACCGATTGGTCCGATTGGGTTGCCCTGGGCACCGTTCGCTTCTTCCGATGGGGCATGGACTTGGTGACGGGGTACAAACACCCACAGCCGGGGCAGGAGATATCGAAGTTTAAGATGACAGAGCAGAAGTGGCTGACCCGCTTCATCTTCCTGGAGAGTGTGGCGGGCGTACCCGGGATGGTTGGTGGAATGCTGAGACATCTCAGAAGCTTGCGACGCATGAAGCGTGATAATGGCTGGTATGTGTTCCGTCCAAGACAAAATCCAAGTTCCCAAAGAGATACTTACATTGTGGGTTTTATAGGATCGAGACTCTCCTCGAAGAAGCATTCAACGAGCGAATGCATCTACTGACCTTCCTCAAACTGGCCGAGCCCGGCTGGTTCATGCGCCTGATGGTGCTCGGTGCTCAGGGCGTGTTCTTCAACGGGTTCTTCCTGTCCTATCTCATTTCTCCACGGATCTGCCACCGCTTTGTGGGTTACCTGGAAGAAGAAGCTGTTTTGACATACACACGGGCCATCAAAGAACTCGAAGATGGCCATCTGCCTGAGTGGAATGAGCTCAAAGCACCGGAGATCGCAGTGAATTACTGGAAGATGCCTGAGAACCAGCGCACAATGCGGGACTTGCTGCTCTATATCCGCGCCGACGAGGCCAAGCACCGCGAGGTCAACCATACGCTGTCAAATCTGGATCAAGCGGTTGACCCCAATCCCTATCAGACAGAGTATCAGGATCCTACCAAGGACCATCCGACAAAGGGAATTGATAATTTAAAGGCGACGGGCTGGGACCGGAAGGACATCTTTTAGATGAGAAAAAGCGTTTGCATTAGTTGATGGTTTCTCCTTTGGCTTATGGCGTTGGCGGGAATTAAGTCACCTCTTCTCTCTGGTTATAGAATCATCAATCATGAAGTATGCAGTGGATTCCTATTATCGAATCTCCAAATCATCGAATCATCGAATCATCCATTCGCCGTGTGACTTCGGTTGGAACGCGGGACGCGGGGCTCCGCTAAACCCAACTGGGAAATGTAGCAACACGCTTCGTTGTAGTTGTGTAAAACTTGATATTATCATGTCATGAATACTGGCGAAAGACAATGCGTTCATTCCAGATCATAGTTAGGGTATCGTGGATGCTTATGCTTATACTCTGTATGAATAGGGGTTGGATGCGTGTCGGGTACGTCGGTCTATAGGTTATGAAGTATGAACTTGCTATCTTGACAAGAGCCACGACAGCTCCAGATCCAAGGCAAATTAAAAATTAAATTCCAATCCGTGTATGACCGTTGGACTCTCTGACCCGCTTTCTTTTCCCCCTTTCACCCTTGAAGTCTCGGTTTTGTACTGTCCTGTGCTTAATTTTAGCCCTGGGCCTCCCCCGTTAGACCAATGACACAGTTGGTTAGTCGGCACCACCCCTTTTATCCCAAAAAAGCCTCTCGGCCGTCGATCCTGCACGTTCTCATTAAACCTCCGTTCTGGTCTCTTCTGTTGGCCCTCCGACCGAGAGACAACAGGGCTCGACTCTTTCTTTTTCTCTTCGCCTGTACGATTCTCGACTTCCAAATCTCACACCTCATCCTCCGATCGCGCCATCGTCCCGAGTAAACGGCGACCACATCCCCTCCCGGTCGAGTCCACATGCCAACAGTCGCCGATCGAACGATTGACCATTGAGACCCCCCCCGGCTGGTGCGACAACAGTTGCGGTTTCAGAATTCTTTCGGCCACCTCACAAGTCATGGAGGAGCCGCAGTCCCTAGACGAAGCCCTGTCGCTGCCCGTCCGCGCCTCATCGCCGTCGCCGTCGGTTCCCGCAACGCCCGCTATATCTTCATACTCCTCCCCAGACCGCACCTTCTCCTCCGTTTCCTCCCACTCCGCCTCCTCGGCGACCTCGGCCGACGCTCGCTCCACGATCTCGACTTCCTCGCGCAGACATGGATATGTGCGCGCTTGTGGAGCTGAATTCGCCGACTCGGCGCGGCATCGCGACAGCGTCATGAGTTTGGGCAGCATTGCCCACCTACAGTACTACTTTGCCCGCACGGGTCTGTTGGACGGAAAGACAGGCCGCGGCAAGGACTTTAAAAAGAGGAACAGGGCTAATGTGCCACGGGTGCTGATCACACCAAATGAGCAGCATATGGAGGATTTGGTGGCCAGCCCAACAGAGATGGGGGACGACGCGGGGGACGACGCTAATTTTGACGACGAGGAGGGGGAGGTAATGCTGCCACCTACCGTCAGTACATATAGCATTAAGACACACCACGTCCCTCCCCCACCTGACGTGGTGTCTCTGCGCCGTGATTTACAGATCGCACTGGATCGAGCCGAGAGTAATATCGAGGCCATCGAGAATGGGGTTGAACCTCCACCCCGCGCACCATTACGTACCAGTCTCTCTCTCCTGGTGATATCCTTGAGGGTTCAGATGACGATACCGCGCGAGAAGCGCCAGCACCGCAGACTAAGGAAGAGGCACAGGGCATGTGTATCTTGGACGATGTGACGATGGCCATCCGAGCCGCCAAGATCTACTATACGGCCCACCCACACCCCGAACGCTTGGGCTCAATCAAGAGTGAACGGGATATTCGTAAGGAACTACTCCATGTCCTCGATGTGCTGAAACGCTGGGCGGCACGGCACTTTGCTAGCGGCCTCCGCGGTGAAGAGCGCGATGTGATTAAGGGATGGATTGCGGGTGTCCGCACCATGCTCGTTCGGGAGAAAGCCTTGGAGGATCTTGAGGCTCAAGAGCGAGAGAATTGGGACTGGGCCCGTGGCGACTGGGCTGGACGAGAGCGAGCCCGCGAAGAGTCTTTCCTGCGCAGCCTCATGCCCGGTGGCCATACGTTGCCTGAATGGACAGCCATCGACGACACGCCTCTAGACTCCCTCCCATCTCCGTTCCTGGAGCGTTTCCGGGATGGCCGCATCCTGGTCCAGTTGCACAACATCGCAGTCAAAAAATCGAAGCGTCACTTTGGCGAGATTAAGGCGTACCACGAAGACATCGCCAAGCCCTATCGCCAGGCGGAGAATCTGCGATTCTGGCTCAAGGCTGCCGAGCTGCGGTGGGAGATGCGGAAGCAGGTGGATGTTATGGGGGTTGTTCAGAGCACTAGCGAAGTCGCCTGGAGGCAATTCGACGCCGCACTGTTGGCCTGGTGCAAGACGGTGCGTGAGGAATTGGTCCGAGATTGGATGGAGGCCAACCCGGGACGACCCCCGAGTGCTGGTCTGATTTAATCGAGGGATTGATGTAGAGGAAGAGTTTACGAGTTGCATTTCGGCTTTTGACTTGATGTTGTTTGTTTGTTTGTTTTTTTACCTCCAAGGGCACTTGGCTAGATACCCCTGAATTGTCTCCGACAGCTTCTGCCCATCTCCGCATTTGGTGTTGGTTGTTGGTTGATTTTGTCATTTCTCCGATGGTTGGTTTAGTTCGGAATTTCGCTGCATATTGTTTCCAGGTTTGATCGGGGAGAGTACAGCGGAAAATGTATAAGAATAATGCAGTATTAATATCATCCCTAGGGAAAAGTAAGGCTTACCTTGTCAATGGAAGGACGTTCTCCTGTACAGTATTAGGGGTGGAGCCCATACATCCATGCGCCAGCACTGACAAATTTGTAGGGTCTGGACGGGAAGTTCATCGAGACGAAACCGTGGATGGTATCGAGAGAGTACCTTGGTTACGCGGGCTGTTCCTGATTTCCAAGGTTTTCCATTATTTACCATTTTGCACTGCGTCTTCAAAGACAAGACGATCAATAGAAAGCCATTATTCACTGTCTGTTAATCAAAAGTAGGGTACTACAAGGGTGCGGTGAGATTGAAACACCCAGGAAAGTTCAACATTATGCCACAGTCATACTTGAAAGATCAATTGAAGAATAATGTCTGGGCTATCTAAAAAGACAATTCAAAGGACATTCAGAAAGACCTTTCTTAGTCTCTAGTTTCAGACTTTGAACTGCCAGAGGATCTTCCCACTTTATCACGGGCCTCGAGCTATTTAGTTATTTCCGTGAATGTCCGCCACCTTGACGCTAGGGCACATGGGCGCTGATCCGAGCGCCCCTTGAAATGAACATTGTACTCCTTTTTGGAGCCGTTGAGATTGTCATTAAATGTGACTGTTTCATTGAGAGGCGCTTCGTACCGACTGTAGAGGAACGTGGAGAAGGATATTCTTCAAATCTACGTCATGTTCATAGAAAGAACTGTCGAGCTAAGCTATGCTTTTTACCTTCGTTGAATATGCAGCCGAGACCAGAAGACGCATGCTTTCATTGGATCGTCCAATGCTGATCCCTTGAACTACGAAGAACACTCAAGAAATACTATGTACTGTACTCTTTTTAATTACATACCGAGGAGCAGAGGGACAGGTACTTGGGCCCGCATAGTCCCCCAGGCGGAGCCCCAAGTACCCTCATGCTGTGTCCACACTCATCCCGGCCACTTCATCCCTCGTTTCTCTTGTCTCAAAGCCATTGCTGCCCAATATTTATCTGCAATCACACCTCCCAGCACCAGATAACTCTCGGCTCTCATCTTTGACACCGTCCGAACAAGAACTATTAACCTGGCCATGTAGCCCCCTCCGGATCTTCCAACTGCTTATTATCAACCACCCGCCGTGAGAAGGGGGAACCCGTCCCACCGATAAGTGCTTTGGATCCTTTTACCGAACGAGACGAAACATTCCTTGTCCATCCCTACCTGAACTGCCGACACCTATATCTCTTTCCCTGTTCCTTTTCAACCGTCCTTCTACCCATGCATGCCACAGTCGACGACCCAACTCCCTCTGCGACTGACATCGCGCCGTCTGCCAGCGTGTCCGTTACATCCGCCTCTCCTCCGCCCCCCGCGGTCTCCAGCTCACCAAATGAGCCCGGTCCCTCGCCCCTCCGCCGCTTGAAGTCCAAGTCATCCCTCTGGAGTCTCGGCAGCAGCAACCATAGCGGTCACGAAGACGATTCTATCCCCGCGGAGCCCTCCAGTGCCGAGAAGGCTGCTGGCAAACCAGGCATCTTCCGACGTTTGTCGCCCGCCCTCGCGGCCCGCGTGAAGCTGCTCGACAGCACCAACAAGGTGACGAGCGCGCCCCGGGATCCCAAAAACGTCGGTCGGATTCCCGAAGAACAGTTGAAGGTGCTGGACAGCCAGCATCAGGACCTGTCGATCAAAGTTGAGAGGCGAGGACAGACGTGGACTGGCCCAACAAATACCTCCCCGGACCAGCAACCACAGTACTTTAAGCGGAGCGCGTCGAACAGGCTTGAAATCCCCAGCCACGATCTTCTACAACGCGCGACCGAGGCACACGCGCAAGGGCCAGATTACGCCGACGCGATCGTCGACGACCCGGAACCCCCGTTCTGGCCGCCGCTCACACCTTGGTGCCGGTTCCCAACGCTCAGAGCAGCCCCCCACCGACGGCATCATCCATGTCTGTTGCAGAGCCCGTGCCCGCGCAGCTGCGCATAGAGCCTGGGTCCGGACCCGAATCAACACTACGGAATGACGCAGCCCAAGATACGCGGACGGATTTTGAGAAGTTTGTCGACGACACGAAACGCAGCGAAGAGCAATCAGCAGAGGCCGCCCCTGCGCCTCCGCCAAAGGACTCCCCGCCCAACTACACGATCTCCTCATCCTCTAACTCACAGTCCTACTTCAACCCCATGGGCTTGCAACGCGCCGAATCAATATACTCCTTCTCCCGAGCCTCGTTTAGCAATCAGTTGTCCCAGCTCACGTCTATTCCCTTGCCGCAGCCCGGAGCGCTCGAGACCAGTATAGGAAACATTTCCACTGCCCTCGCGGCGGTGCGCGCGTTGAATGGTGCGGCCGAGCAGATTCATATTTGGATTCGAAAGGCGTCAGATGTGCTCAGTGGGCTGGACGCCGAGGATGACGTGGAGTGGGCGGCTGCCGGTGGGCGAGAGGGTCTTGAAGGGGTCGATAAGGCTATCACCCGCTTTGAGTCGCTGGTGAATGTCTATGTGAAGGCAATCGAGAACGTGCAACTTCGGGATGATATTGCCAATGTCGATTCGGAGAGCCTGAAGACGATCGTCAGCCAGATGGAAAGCATTCTGCAGAACTGGGCTCAGATAAAGAACAAGTTGCGGGGTGTGAAAGAGCAAGTGGAGCTGGCCATGGAGTGGGAGGAGCTTTGGTCAAACGTGTTGGGTGATGTGGGCATGGAGATTGACAATCTCAGCGGGATGATTTTCGAGATGGAGGAGAAGCGACATCACACTTTGATGGATACTGGCGATTCAACAGGTGGTCTCGATATAAATGAGCTCGAAACGATCGTGGAGGAATCTCCGACCAAGGGCCGGTCCCCTGCGACTAACCGACTAAGTATGCTTGCAACAGCATCCGGCACACCCGTTATCAAGACGCCGCAGGATGACACCAGCTACTCCAACCTGATGGCCCTGTTTGCGCGCATGCAGCCACTCCGGGCATCTTTGGATTTCTTGCCCATGAGACTGTCCATGTTCCAATCACGGGCTGAGGACGTCTTCCCAAGCGCATGTGAGGAACTTGATGACCGACGAAGCCGGCTGGAGAAGAGCTACAAGGTTCTCGAGGCGGATGCCGAAGCTTTGCGGAAGGAGTTGGGTGAGGATAAGTGGATTATTGTGTTTCGCAATGCAGGCAGCCAGGCGCAGAAGATGTTTGAATCTGTTGAACGGAGCATTTCCAAGTTGCAAGAAGGATTGGAGTCCAATGCGCAGGTTCACAACCCGGGCAATATGACCAAGCGAATTGAGAATTATGAGGCCAAGAAGATGCACTACGTACCTGCTATCGAGCGGGTTATTTCCATCATCCAGAAGGGAGTCAACGACCGTTTGACTGTCAACGGCGAGGTGCTGCGGCTTTTGTCCGATATGACCTCGCGGACAGATGCTCTCAAAGCCAGTCTTCGTGTGATGGATGCTTCTCTCGAGGATGTGCAGATTGTCAAGGGCCAACAATTGCGTGACTCCATCTCCAGCATCATCACGATGGATAGCCCAGCTACAGGCAGTGCTATTGACACCCCTGGGAGCTCGCCTGCTTCGTCGGTCGTTATGAGCGGCAATGGATATAAGACGCCTATGGGAAGCTCAAGTCGCCGCGAGAGCTCAGTCGGTAGTGCCACCACTCGCTCGACCATGTCGAAGGCCCGCCGATTGTCTGGTCTGCCGCAGGTGACTGCCACTATGACTGGACGCAAGTCCTCTCTCCCCAAGCCAACAGCACCAGTCACTCCCACGCCATCAACCCGCAAGACCTCGCATATCCCACAGCCATCCACGATCCCGAATCGTCCTCGCTGGAATGCCAGTACCAACTTGAATGATCTCTATTCGAGCTCTGGGTATCTGAGCACGACTACCCCGAGCACTTCACGAAAGAGTTCTGCCCCGCTATTCGGCCGTCCATCCTCGACCGTTCCATTCCGGCGAGACATGTCTGCCTCCCCGCCCCCGGTGCAGGCCGCTCACTCAGCCGTCTATCGAACCGACTGGCTTCATCATCTCGCAGCCCAAACCGAAACGTGTCATCCCCCACCCCACCCCGATCTGCCTTGCTTGATCCTCCCCCTTATAGTCGTCTCCGCAGACCATCTGGTCTAGCGGCTACACCTCGAAGCCGACAGAGTTTCGCTGGTATGGGCACGTCCTTCAGTCGCAGTGTCTCGTCCCAAGGGCCTGGCCAAGAAACACAGGAGAGTCCCACCAAGTCGACGCGTCCGGGTACGGCACTTGGTCATTCCGGTAGTCGACGGACGAGTCTCCTGCCCTTACCTAAGAGACCCGAGAAAGACCGAGCGGCCTCGCAGGCCAAGTTGGCTACCCGGCCACCTTGGAGAGCATAGTTGTTTTGCTCAGAATCTACTCTATCACCAGTCACAACTCCCGCCCGCCCCTTCTTATACTTTTCATCTCATCCTCCGACCCGCCTTACCCTCTATCCATTAAATACCTCCTCTTCATCTCTTTCTATTCAACCCCACTGTCTTATTCATTGTTGTCTTTGTGCATTGCGCCAGTCTCCTCATATTGAGCGAGCGGGCCTGGCGCCATGATCTTGAGGATTAGGTTTTGCGTGATATCCCCATTGTTGCATGGTATGGTCTGAGCGTTGGGTTCTGTCTTGTTGTTTTATCTTCGGGCTTTTAAAACTAGGTTGCCGTGTTTTGATTTTCTCCTTTTCTCGCTTCTCCCCTTCCATCCGTGTGAATATTATCCCTTGTAGTTCTATCCTTGGTGTCCTAGATAATGGAAGTCGATTGAAACATATAGACTATGAAATTGATTTAAAGTCTGGATTATGCATAAAACCCTGTTTTCTGTATCCATCTCTTCATCTATAATTGTCATCATTCGTATTGTCAATGTACCCAGTTCTATGTATACGTCAATTCCAAACTTTTCATCTCGATTACAATGGAGATGGAACAAGGTTATTTAATTCCCCAATTCCCGTCCAAAAATCAACGCATCCACCAGCTCCTCGCTATTAGCGAGACGTGCCGCCTTAGGAACCCGTCCGATGACGCTAAACCCGAGCCTCTCCCAGATGCGGATAGACGCAGGATTGTTAGCGAAGACCAGGTTGAAGACTGAGTATTTGTATCCCTGCCCCACGAAGGAATTAGTATGTAGAAACTTCGATCGAACCGTGCATAAGCTTTGACATACCAACTTCGGAGCAAAATCCAGATACGCCTCGCCCATCTGCTGCCCAACGCCCTTCCCCCGTGCAGCAGTGGTCGTAAGGAATCCCGCATTACAGATATGCGAGCAACGACCTACACTCATCAGTATCAAACCCAGGTCTATACACATAACCTAATCTACCAAGGCAATGAACGGGTGTTCTGCTCCAGAATTCAAACTTACCAGGATAATTCGGCTTAATATAAAACGTCCCCAAACAAACCTTCTCCCACTCCCTCCCCTCCTTCAACCCATCCCGAGCAGCAGCACCACCCTCCTCATCAAGAACAGCCACAACCGCAAACGTACCAAACCAATACTCCGCAAACTGCTCCAGCTCCATCGGCTTCTCCATGGGATAAGTGCTCCCGCGCTCAATTTCAGCGCTGAATTCCGCGTGTAGAAATTTGACTAATTCCCATGGGAGAGTAGATGCGCCGCCCGTGACGGGGTACAGAGTCATACCTGCATTAGCAGCCTTGGGGAGGGTAGTTTGACGCGGTGATAGTGTGGGTGCAGCGGTGATGTGGGCTGTTGGTGCGGGGATGCGTGAGGAGGGGTCCTCTAGTATAGAAGGCATTTTTGGATTGGTTGTTGGGGGATTTGATTTATTTGCGCGCTGGAATTTTTGAGCAATTGAGGTTGCAAGAAGGTTGATTTATGTTCAGGACTGGGGCTGTTTGTCAAGGGAAGGGCGTGGGGGATGTATAAAATCGGCTTTTCTTTGCCGACTTCAGCTGCAGAAGCCGAGTTTGTATTACGTAAGCGAATACACGAATGTTGATTGGTCAGAATATTCGACGAAAAGATTGGCGTTTGCATGACTCGAGAAGGTACAGGATGGATGGGCAGAAGGCTTGTAGATCTCGTGGGTATACATTGCTTACGATAAAACTTTAATATGTGAAGTATAAGTCTCTAATATTGAAATTGGCTGAAAGTGGCGCTTCGCTTGCTTGTGTATATATAGTACAAAGGAAGGTTGCAGACGGCCATCGAGTAGTATCTGCATCTCCCAGTGGATTTGGGGGTGTCCCCAGACCCTTCTAGCTCATCAATTCTGCACAGGATTGAGTGGACTTAAGCTAGCCCTGTTCTAGGTAGCAATGAAAGACCTCGGATCAGTTGTGCGAACCAGGTTGAGTCCGCCAGTGCCATGGGTCCTCAACCTCAGCCTTGAGCATTTCAGCTAGGGCGATATTATCCCATTCGAGCCAATCATTGCTTCTCGCCTTCACCGTCTTCCTCGGAATTTTTGATGGCCTGCATCAACTCAAACAGCTGTCCAACTTGTTGGTCTGGAGGATGGTGACTTGTTAGTAACTTTCACCAACAAATGACCACCATGAACCATACCACTCAGCTTGTCCAATTTGGACTTGTCCAGCTTCTCTCCCGCCCAGTTATCACCCTCCAATTTTTGCGCATATAGTTGCCACTCCGTCAAGAATCCGATCTGCAATGGTTCGAGTTAGTCGCAGTCCGTAACACCGGGTGTACCCTCCCCGCAACCCCGCAACCCTGCATCACCAAGACCGGTCAATAGACCAGCAGCACAAACATACAATGTGTAGTGGATTCTCCGCAGTCCGATGCGCCCGGAACTCCTTCTTCACGTATGAGTCGCCCAAGACGCGCAGCTCCGGGTCAAGCTTGCGATGCACGCGCAGGATGCGCCGGTAGAGCTGCAGCGGGGGGAGAAGGGCGAGAGCTTCGCTAAGACTGGATTTGGAGCCAATCGAGGCTGGGGTAGCCATGAGCAGACGGTGTGCAAGACGCATGGTTGCTGTTGTCGAGGTTTAAAGAAGAAGAAATGACATAATTTCCTGGGGAACGGGTTGGAGCAGCCGAAAGGCGGCGAGGCGGCGGAGCGAATCGGTGGGTCGGCAGGGCCGCTCGGCTTTGAGCTTTTCCTTGACCACGAGGCTCTGCTTAATCCCAGTCAGCTACAATATAATTCGGAATTAGGATCTTTGACTGGAATAATCCACGGAGGACCGTTCAACATTGCATCAAAGCCGCCAAAATTGAAATCATTGGTCCGACTAGGGCCGAAAACCAAAGGGCAAATTCTCAATCACAGCGACCAAACTGTGATCCCAGAAGAGAAAGATACTACAAGACGAGCATCTTGCGCATCTTAAAAGTTCAGACAGTGCTCAAAAGATGCTTCCCACGCCGGACACATCACATGTCTCCTTCGACACCATCTATGAGCCCGCCGAGGACTCATATCTTTTCCTGGACACCCTCTCTTCAGCATCTGAGTCCAAATGGCTATCTCAACGCTTCAAAAAGTCTGCCAGCCTTTCATCAGACCCTTCAAACAACTCAGTACCTTTGGTCGTGGAAGCTGGTACCGGTTCTGGCGTGGTCCTAGCTTTTGCAGCAGCTCAATCACAACATATCTTCGGACGACAAGACATCCTCACATTGGGGATAGACGTGAACCGCAATGCATGCATAGCGACCCGAGAAACCGTCTCAACAGCCATCAAGACAGAGCAGAGAGAGTCAGAAACCTCTACCGCAGACTCGAATCTCCGTACAGTCCACATCTCGTCCATAACCAGTGATCTATGCACCGCATTGCGTCCTGGAAGCGTCGACGTCCTCCTATTCAACCCACCTTATGTTCCAACAGAAGATCTGCCTCGTCTACCTACGGAATCAGAAAACGATCCCACGAAATCCAAATCCATGTCTCGTTCTGCCAAGTTTGAGAGCGATTCGTACTTCTTGTCTTTGACGTATGCCGGCGGTGCAGATGGCATGGAAACGACGGATCGGTTACTGGAGGCTATTCCTGGCATTTTGTCTGCTCGTGGAGTGGCATATGTGCTTCTTTGCAAACAGAATCGACCGAATGAGGTCAAGGGGCGGATTCGTGCTTGGGGTGGATGGAATGCTGAGACTGTTGGGTCAAGTGGTATGCAGGCAGGATGGGAGAAGCTGGTCATTGTTCGGATATGGAGGCAGGACACCCCATAGAAAGAGAAATATGATCATATAGACAGTCAGGGACATGTACTGGGCATTCTACTATCACTATGAGTTCCTACGTGTACCTACGATCTTGGATATAAAAATAAATACTACACGATCAATCTCATGTGAAGGGGTCACGTTGATTAAAGACGGCAACGTGCAAGTTAGGTAATCACCCAGAATATGAAGTGTATCAAATTAGAATCGGAATGACAGGGCAAAAGAAATGCAAACGAAACCTGCTTCGACGAGCTCGGGGTACGCTCCATGGTGGATTTCGCCTGTGATGCAGGGCTCTCGGCAGAGACGATCTGCAACCTTGCATTGCATCACACCATGACCTGATTCTTTCATCAAAAAATTAATAAAATTGTGAAGAAGACAGCCCCAGGGGCTTGATGGACCAATTGCTCTTGAATCATCCATACCTCCCTCGGTTCGGTCATGTTTTCAAGATTTGTCAGTGTCCGATGGTTGTATACAGTGGCAGTTCAAACTCTGAATCTAGATAATCGAAAGACGTTCAGCTGAATATGCTTCAGCTTTCCCATTCTAGAAAGACCTTTCTAAACATAACTTGAAATCTCTTTCTAGATGGCCATCTGTCATGTTATCACTGATGACATGATTTTTAACTTTCTTGGGGGTTTCAAACTTATGGAATACCACTGTACATTCTGACAGATCTAAAGAGAGAATCGTGCCAAAGCAGGTTATATTTCTTATGAGAAATCTTAGTAGTCTATTGCTGTGGGGTTGTCTTTCGGTCCGAGCAGAGTAAGTATACCAGGGCGCAATCAAATAGGTTTCCTCCACATCGACGTCAGCAGTTCTTTGGATTTGTTTGATCGTTAGTATGCTTTTCCATTATGAGAGTTCACGACATTTCTTTCTCTGATTTCTTTCAACAAAGTGGATTCTTCTCTTTGTTCAAATCTGACATAATATTAAGAGGGGTTTTCTACTGCGAGGTTCGCTCAACTAAGTAAATGACACAATAGAGGGGATATGGCAGGGTCCACAAGCTCAGCAGTATTTGTAGATCTTGGATTGATTGATCCAGATAATAACAAATACCATGTAGTTATCTAGTCCCTAGTCTGACAAAGGTCCAGCACGGTCAAGCTCTTGTTCCTGGCCCCAATACCTTCGGTATCCATGGACTTCTCCGGGGCAAAGCCAGGGGTATAGACCTAGACTTCAGAAAAACGGCTCAGACTACGTTGAAAAGCTAGAGTTGCCCCGCATCGGGCGGCCCTGGGTTCTTGCGAGTCGGCATCGCCGTGATGATCTAGCGCCGTCGAGTCAGCGTAAGGATTGCGCCGAAAATTGGAGTATTCTGCAGGCCAAACTGGAAATGAACCGCACTACAGACTCTATAGGTAGATATAATGCCGAAGATCAAAAAGCTTAGAAATGCCACGCATGAAATAACTGTTTTGGAGGGAACGAAGTAAAGGCAGACATATTGGCGCAGCATGATCCCAGTTTGGAAAGACACAAACCCAGCGCTTCCATACACATGGTACATATTAGCAGATATGCGCGGTAATCCTCCTGAGTGGCGCTAGTCAGTACTTCCTTATCAGAATGAATTACGCGTAAGTGAAGAGGTACGAAGTGTGAAATTGGTGAGACAAATGACCTACTCCACTGGGCTTTACCACAAGGTTTGCGGGTGCGATCTTCCCACGTCAGCAGAAGCTCCACGCGCAAACTCGTGATGCATGCCCCCTTTCGGCCATAAGAGCTTTCGGCCGTACGTATTAGGTAGGCTCTCTGGTGTTGAACGATGAATGATACTGGCTCATTTCCAACCAACATCCCCACTTGACTGGCTCGGGATCAAAAGGCTTCCAGAGTGCAATTTTAAGGATATTTTGAAAAGGCAAAACCTGATAGCTGTCTGAATGCAGGGGTCAGTCAAGGTGGGGGTTTGATCGCCCTAATTGCGGCCTCGGCGGCAGGGCTGTCGTTCCGCATGCCACCAATTGCGAGTGGAAAGGAAATCTTTCAAAACTTGTGTAAATCAAATGTAATTTCAATTACAGGCCTTGAAATTTGTCGTTGAACTTTCACATGGTAGCCCGAGCATATATGCCCAGGCTTTACAGGTGTCGAGGAATGATTATCGGCTGATGGCAGTCTTCAACCACGTGTTCCAAGCGGTCCGTACTTCAAGCTAACAAGACATGTCATGCCTAAAAGAACATTATCTGGGGATCTCTATGCTTTCGGATAACCTCTTAGCTCCGAGTCGCGAATCCAGTTTGAACCCCTGCATTGTATGGTCAGCATTCGAACTAGTGTCAGAATATTTCCATGATCACCTTTTGATCAAACCTGAATTAACGAGATCAAAACTAGGGACATATTGCATCTCGCATATCGCATTGTCTTTCTTATTCCAGAACCTAGACAGCTCCACTCATCGATCAGTGGACAGAAACTTGAACCACAATTCGAACTGGCTTGCGCCCCATGTCCCGTCCGTGTGTCCGAGCGAAGGGGTCCTAGAAAGGGATATTTGCAGATTTACGCAATATCGCATTTGCAGACTCGAAAATCACGACAGCGACTTTCCCATGAGAATATCACTTCTTTGCCAGTCCTTGTTAGAAGTCTAAAGTATCCATCGCTCTAGGTCATGGGTTTCTTGACAGTCATATTTGCGCGCTGCGAGAATTCTTTGAAATAGAATTGCAAGGCAAGTGATTCCTGTTCTATAACTTTTCCACGATCAACCTGCCTAAAGAGGTCAAAGGCTCGGGGAAGCGAGCACAGTTCAGGGACCGAATGTAGACCATAAAGGATGTATAGATCAAGTAAACAATGGCATAGACCGTCTTGACGGCAGCATGAACGGTTCAAAGGACTATCCAATGGCACGGATATCTCACGGGGCGGGCTTGGGTTACATTTGGCAGCCCAAAGCTATTGGTTTTAGGTGCGCCTGGGGCTAGTAGAGTGAATATTTTTACCCATCAGATCGAAGGAGGGGGCGATGATTCCTCCAAGCTTCATGAGAAATGGGGGCAGAGAGAAGGAAATATTGGGCGTGCCGAGGGGCGGAAGGAACTGTTACTGGATCTAGATAATGGAGCCAGCTATGATTCTATTGCTATAGTAGTCTGTACAGATACTCAACGAAATGAAGAGTTACCAATTATTCTGTGCAAACTCTGTATAGCTATCCAGCCAGGCCGTCTTCCCGTTGCGTCTGCAGACGTCTGGAGGCTTGTTCATCTCAATTCTGGACCTCACTAGTACTGTAATACATTGGTGCTACCAAGTAGTAGGTCGAAGGCTCCACCACAATCGCTGATCTGAAGCTCATATTGGAATTACATGGTCATCACTTCTCCACAAGCATCCGTATGCAGGGTAGATTTACAAGACTAGGGCAAGCCGCAGGTTACATGCATGCAGTCGCGTGCGATTATACCACAGTCAGCTGATGGGAGGAGAGGTCGGTGGGATATGGCTTTAACGGCATAAACTGGTAGATTTGATACGGAGGAGATTGATACAAGCAGCTTTCACGGAGAGATTGTGTTTTCGGGTATAGCATTGTGGTTTTGTGGCCCATAGGTCTCGTTGCCTGGAGGCAAGGCCGGGCCCTTGGAACTAAGCATCTTTCGATACATCGTCCATCTGCATACATTATTCCAAGTCGCGAAGACCCAGCATACCCCTCGTCGCCGCATTTTTCGCCCGTAGCCATTGTGATCCAGGTAAATAGGACTGCAGCCGATACAAGCCAAGGGAATCGAAGAGAGAGAAGAAAAAAAGGGCATTGCTTTTTCTATTACCCTCCCACGTTGGAAAAAGTCCCGGGGTAACATATGAGTTCCCATGATCATGCAAATAAAAAAAAGAACCGAATTTCTCAAAGACAAAACGCCGGTCTGTACTCTCAGAAAGAAAGGAAGTGCGCAACAACTTAGAAGCCACGACCGCGACCACGGCCACGGCCACCGCCACCGCCACGACCTCGCCCACCTCGGCCTCCGCCACGGCCCCCGCGACCACGGTCAGCTTCCTTCCGGGCCTTGTTTTTCGGCTTGGGGGCATCATCCACAAGCAGAGTATCGAGCGGCAAGCTGTCGGGAAGGATGTAATACCGAATTGTCGAACCACGAATATTGATGGTATCCAGAGAGACGGGGTCGCGGCCCTTGGGGGTCATCTTGACGGTTCGGAGGGAGGTATTCATCTGGGGGGAGACGGATGTGATAGTGCCGTGGAGAATTGTGCCTGCAGGAGGGATTTCGTTAGTGTTAGAGCTCACTAGGGGTCTGAAAACCCAGGGCTGTCGCGAGATTGAAGGCGGTCGCCGGAACGAGAAGGGGCGAAGCGACAGGACTCACCATTCTTGAGCTCAATAGTCACCGTCTCATTGGCGCATTTCATCAAAAACCTGATGATTGATCAGTTGGAAGCTCTAGAAGAAGATATTTCGAAATTCAAGAGGGCGTGTCGCAGCCGTAGCTGCGCACGACCACCCGGTAGGGGGACTCACCGGACGAGCTTCATGATGGATAAATTGACTGCAGATGCTGAGATATGTCAAGTGGTCGATTAATATCGAGCAACGAGCAGGGTTGGTGGGGAATGTCCGTTGACCGTCGCGTGGATGATGCCGTTGGATGACAGTGCAGAGTTGACCATGGTCATGTGACTGAGCTCTCAGTTAGATCACGTGACTACATCACTGGCCGCCTACAACAATCTCATTTTGAATTAGCCAGGGCGTGAGAATGAATTGCTCTGGGTTGTACACCAATCGCTCCTCATGATGAGTCTAGACATTGAATGACAAATTCCTTGGGATATGGTGTTGTGCTGCTTCAGTATCTGCCCAATCATAGACTCGCATTTGCTGCTGTGGTCAGCGAATAAGCATTTAGCATGCGATTGTATACTGGTTGCCGTTTTGCCCATTGTTGGCAAGGCAAAATGGGCGCTTAGTCTTTTCATCATAGAGGGGTAGACAAGGCTTCGGAAGTTTGGAGATCTTTGCCTATACCTAGGTAGGTCTTGACATGCTCGGTCACTGGCCTAGCAGCATCTTTAAGCTGCAGGCTTAGTGTTGAAATGCCGCCGGCAGTTTTGCTTGTTCTTGCGACTGCGAATTTGTCTCTACAGTATTCGCGAGCAGCCAAGCGACGCTGTACGCGATCTATCCCTCGATGCAGCCCCGCTAGTTGCAAATTTCAAACTAATAACTTTCAGTGCCGGCCTAATAGTCGGCCGGTCCCTGCTCCAACACACCCTTGCCCGTTTAAACGCATGCGTGGCTCGGAACCCTCGCTCTCGATCTCCCAATCGGGGTCCACTTTTACTTTGTCCCCCAGAGGTATAGTCAAAACCGTTTGATAGAGCAAGCCAGCGTACGGAGGACTTGAGAGAACTCCGCGAGGCATGAATCTGGCTCGGCTTCGTGTGTGATGCAAAGATGGCTCGACCATCCCCAGCGGCTTGACGGACGCTCACGTATGAAGTCTACGAATCAACGCAGTTGAGGCTTTCCAAGGCCCTCCACACGAGGCTGCGGGAGCCAAATCAGAGCGCCCAACGTGCGCGTGCAAGGTGCAGCAAGTCGATTGACTCTGCATCAGCCGGGTCGAACCGCCCCCGGGCGATCCAACCACCCACCCGCAGGCTCTTCGGGGTCAGCGTGAGATTTGCGCTGCACATGGATGCTAACTGCAAAGACACATGGCACATTGGCACATGGGCGAGATGCGGATCCCCGAATAACCCTGGGTGTGGAGTTGTCGATCTAAAAGGTGGTCTTCCGGGCGGGAGTCCTCCCGGACGCGTTATGGCCCTGGAACTCGCTCTCGAGTCTCGACTAGCTTGAACTCGCTCGACTAAGACCCTTTGGAATGATCGGGAATAGTAGTCCGGCGGAACAACGAACCGAGTCTGGTGAACCAGGGGGCAGGTTCACCGTAACCATGAGTGGTAGCTTCGAATGTCGGAAATCGGATAACTCAATTTGGGTGGTGGCAGGTTTGAAGTTCGCAGTCTTAGCCCTGTCTGGATGAAGCCACCCAAGCTCGCTCGCCCAGTGAGTAGTAGTTACTATATCGGGGGTGTGTTTGTCGCACCCACCCGTAAACCCGTAAAACGCCGAGGTGGAACCAATAAATAAGCAACCAGTTTGCTGGGAACGTGCCAAGAACAATGAGAGAAAGCCATTATATGATTATAGCCATTCAGGCATGGTGAAAACCCGACATGCAGGGATGCGATGGCGCCGCGTCGTCGCGAAATTGTCACTCAGCCACTCGAGTACCTCCTTGAGAAGCTAATTTTTTTTTCCCTCGCACACACCTCCACTCTCTCCTCTACAAAGTAGTGCTCATCAAGATCGTCTGACGGATTCGACTATACTATCACTAGTCTAATGCAAAGCTTCTTATATAACCGATGACCTGGACTTCATCTCTCCCCAACGGCTTGTTTGTGGGGGCCAAAAATGTACGAAGCATGACTGAGAACAGCCGGGGACAACCCCCCAGACGTTTTTTATAATTTTCGCAGTTAATTTATTTTCTTTTGGATCGGCGCATCAAATGGCGGCCTAACTCGATGGAGACTAACATTTTCCTTAATCATGGACAGTACATCATGAATTGCCTGCCTGCCACAGGGAAAAAAGGCCAGCGTCATGGCCCCCAATTGTCCGCTCTGCCCCATTTACCTCTATGGGGCTAGGAATCCACTCTGCCCAGTGCCCAGAGATGAAAGCTCACTTCTGCCGTTCAGGATCAATACGCACGCCCTGGCCAGTGGCACCAGAGTAGTCATCCCCTTTTACCGAACTTATTTTTCCAAATTTCTAATCTAGGCTTTGGCCTAAAAACGGAGGGGTGTCACTTGTGGGGGTCGAAAGTCGACACAGGACCACTCTTGGCTCGCAATGATAGTGCGATTTCGGCCCACTTGTCGAAGATCATACTGTAGGAACCTTACGGCCGCATCTTTCTCGCCTCTGTCGTATGAGATAGGGCAATTAATACAACATTACCCGCGATAGAAGATCCTAACTGATCAAAAGGGTTAATGGGCGGCCTTTACCAACTCAAGTGGGTTTCAGACCATCCGCCTTCTCGTCCACTTTTAGTTATCCTAGGTTGATCGCAAACCACCCACATCATCATTTCCATCTCCATTGACACCAGGACGAAGAAGTTCTAGAAGGCCCCGTTGCGTTCGCCCTGTTGCGAGTGGGCCATTATTGTTTACCCATCGTACCCATCGTCTGGCGTCGCTGTACAGACTTCCATACCTGACTATACTCTATTCATACATACCCAACACCGGACCCTTTTTCGATCCTTAAAATTGCGGGGACTTCCCTCTACTCTGGGCTCAGGAACGCCCTGCTCAACTATCTGAAGAATTTCTGTTTTGAAAACCTCTTTCTTACGCCCGTCGCATAGCCCGATTGCCATCCTCAGGGAACAAAAAGCCTCGACTCTGTCAATATCGCATCATAGAGTTGGAAAGGACTGCACTGTATGTTTGCCTTTCTACGGCTTTATTTTCTTTTCGCATTTTGCAATTGCCGCCCCCTCCCCTTAGGCTTTCCTGGCCCCTCCGACCCCCTGCTGTTCGGAAGTGTAGCTGTGCACTAGTTAGGTCCATGGCCCACAAGTCAAATCAGAGATGTCGCCCGGGAATTCAAGCTCACACAATTCACCTTTTCACCACAGTTGCCAATCTCACCTGCTCTTGGCCCCAGCCTCGTTCCCAGAAGTTGATATTCTCTCCTTGGTGTTCGAGTCAGTGCATGCGCCAGACTACCAACAACACCAAGGCTCTTTCCCCGGCGCGGACTGTTCTTGGCCTTTTCATAGCCCTGTGCGAAGCCTTAGAAACGACACGCAGTCCACGCAATCTTTACCAGCCTCACTCCACTCAGATACCTCGTCCCTATCATTCAATTGGAGTGCCAGTCTTGCTGGAACTATTCTAGACCCCGATACACCACTCCAGAGTCTCGAAAACGAGCAATCTCTCAACAGTGTCAACCGTGACAAGCACTTGACCGACGACAATCCCTAGTCAGTACCTAATGCTTAAACTCTCATTTGATGCGTTATCTGTGATTTTGTATTGGAATGCACACTAAATCTCTGACCAATTTGTCTGCAGAAGCCCCGCGATCACATCATACCCTATGTCAGTAGCTTCAGGCGCATATTTCGCAGGCCCAATGCAGCCAAACAACAACCGTAAGTATTGTCTATTGAAAAAAAAAGGATCTTGCTGACGATCGAGCAGCTTATGTTTGGGGCAATCGCTCCTTTCAACTCATGCAGCCCCAGTTTGGCAATATGAATCAGCATTTCCCACCATCACAACAGTATCCTCCATCAGGTTTTCCTGCCGGTTATAACAGCCAGCCAGGTGGATCATTGCCTAGCTACCCACAGGACCAATCACAACCTCCCTCATACTTAGCTACAGCCCCTGGGGTTGCTCCTCGACAGAATCAAGGAAGAAGGTAAGCAAGACATTTTGAAGGGACTTTTGCGAGCAATCGCTGACAATTGGGTTCCAAGCTCACCTATGCCTGCAATGGCTCGCCCTTTTTACGCTCACTCAGCCCCTGCCACGTTACCTGATCAATCTTTAATGACCTCGTGAGTTTCAAGAGTTCCGAATCCAAAAGATGGGGGTTAGGAGTTAGGACATCAGATTGCTGACTCTGCGTGTAGTTCTTCACCCTATATGATCAATCAACCAGCCTATTATCTTCCCGAAGCACATCCAGTACCGTGAGTGCATCGTGGACAACACTCCCAGGAGAATTACTAACCATTCCTTAAAGATCCTCTCATCCGCCCTCCATGAGTCCACAAGCTCCACCTATGGCCCCAGAACCTATCTTCTCCTCTCCACCCACGATTCATCCCGGGGATTCCAATGATCGCTCTCTGCGCGTGGTTAGTTCGCGACCTCGACCACAATGCTGGGAGCACGGGTGCGAGGGTCGTGAGTTTTCAACATTCAGCAATCTACTGCGACACCAGCGCGAGAAATCTGGCGTCGTCGCCAAGGCAGAATGCCCCGTTTGCGGAGCCGTGTTTACTCGCACGACGGCACGAAACATCCACGTTGCGCAGGGCAAGTGCAAGGGCACGGGGCGAGAATCTTCGGCGGAATAAAAAGGGTGCTAAGAGGTATAGGAGCCGGATATGGAGTTTTTTCCTCTTTTCATTTTTCATCTTTTTTTGTATATTGGGAGCTTCAGGATTTTGCTTTTTCCCCCTTTCTCTTTCAGTGACTCTGTTCCTCCTGCGCATGGATACCTGGCAGCAAAAACTAATGTCCGTAGTCAAGCGGCATTTTGAATGATTGCCCCTCGACCACGTTTTTATCAGAATTGGAAGGCTAGATTTTTTTTTTCTCAAATATATGCCAAATGGACCATTTAGACCTGATCTGAGGAGAATCAACAGTGTAATAATGTCTAATTATAATGGTTTCCCTCACAAGAGTTCATTGAGCAACCAAGGGACCTCAGATAGGGTTCTTAGATGTCTTTTGAATATATCGATTTCCATTAAAATTGTTGTCTACTATCGAGTTCATTGATTCTAAGAGAGGAGACCCATATGATAGAGGTAGCATAGATAGGCATTCCAAAAAAACCAAACCAAGTCAGTGGATTCGAGGTTCTGTCAAGGTTGAGGAAGGTCAGCGCTTACAACGTGGGGAGACCCACGTGATGCCTCAGGCAGCGGCAGCCCACTTGTGACTCAACCACCCGCCAACTCCAACTGACAACCGCAACGGAGTAGCAACATTCAACCATCACCAAGTCCACTCGGCGCAAGAATGCCTGCTTCTGTCTCTACGACTACTACTGTTCGTCTTTGTTGGAAATCTTCTTCGTACCGAATACCTTTATTACCCGTGTGAATTGTAATCCAAAGCTATGGCTTCCATCTTCACTTACGATCCCGACCCGCCACGGGTTTCGTCCCCATGGTCGACCTCGGGATCTTCCACCCCAGGTCAAATCAATCAGCCCAACCAAGCCAGCAGAAGTGGATTGGCTATCTGTACACAATCGAGTTCCGCTCTGGACCGCGCCCCAGACTTTCTGTCTGACTATGGCATTACCAAGTTAGAGCCTGAACCTCAGGAGGGTCCTACAGAGTACAAACTGCACCTGCTGCTTCGTCCCCGCCGGCCTTACCTTTCCATGTCGACGGGGAACGTGGTTGCAGGCTCGTACCACTCTCGTGTATCCCCCACTCCAGCTTCGTACTCTGCATCCCCGGCCCATGATGCAACTCCCCGCCCTATGCAGGCCAAGTCGGCCCAGGGCCGCCAGCAACGGCTGCAGGGCCTGACCACGCAGCTCCTCTGGCGTTTGCAACAATCGTCACCGTTTCACTCGTCCACGACAGCCAATCTGGTTGTCCCTGTGCTCCCCGACACCACCCCGCAATTAGGTGTCCCTTCCAAACCCGCCCGCCTGCTTCCGGGTCTGGAAGAGAGCCAGGGAGCATTGTACGAGATTGGCGTCGCCGATGATGGCACGTTCGTAGGTCTCACCGAGGACGAACTCGACGAGAGCGTCAACACCTTGCAGACCATGGCTGCCAGTCTCGGGTGTAAGGTCGAGATTCTGCGTCGAGTGATCGTGGGCAAATGCGAATGGGCAGAGGACTCGCTGGTTGTGCCTCCAGACCCGAGCAAATGCCAAAAAGAAAGCCTCTGGGTCGCGGAAGCGTTGGTCTCTCCGGACCTGGACTTTTACAACCTGTCCTCTGCCCGTGTGCAAAAGGCCTCTGCCGTTGACTCCATGGCGGATACTGGGGTTGAATCAGCTGCAGAGGAAGACTCTTCCAACACTGCACAGATTCGGATATCCATCACTGGACCGAGTGCGTCTGGAAAGTCCTCTCTGCTGGGCACGTTGACTTCGTCGTCATTGGATAATGGTAGAGGGAGCAGCCGACTCAGTTTGCTGAAACACCGCCACGAGATCTCGTCTGGCATCACCAGCTCCGTGGCTCAAGAGCTGATTGGATATACGGGAGATGTACCTCCCACGGTGGTCAATTATGCATCTGGGAACGTGGCGGCGTGGGATGACATCCATGCCGCGTCTCGTGGGGGTCGCTTAGCCTTTGTATCGGATCTTCCTGGTTCGGTTCGGTATCTCAAATCCACTTTGCGGGGACTAGTCAGCTGGGCTCCGCACTATGTCATGCTCTGTATGCCCGCCAACTGCGGCGACGAGACGGCCGATGCCGACTCTGGCGCCGAGTTTGCGGGCGAGATCGACCGATGCTTGGCATATCTGGATCTTTGCTTGAAATTGGAAGTCAACATCATCATTGTAATTACCAAACTTGATGTCGCTTCTCGAGGTGGTTTACGTGAGAACCTCGCCAGGGTTTTGTCTGCTCTCAAAACCGCTGGCCGCAAGCCGGCGATGCTTCCTGCGTCACCAACAGGAGATAGAGTGCCTGATCTGCAGCGGATTAGCGCCTCCGACAGCAACGAAGTGCAAAAGAACATCACCGCGGCGGACGGTCATTGGCCCCGCACGGTGCCTATCGTCCTCTCGAGTGCCGTCGATGGTACTGGGATAGGCACGCTGCATGCATTCCTTCGACACCTGCCGATTCCTTCCCGTCCACCGCAAAGGAGATTGCGTCTTGCCAAGTCGTCGAGGCAAGCTCCCAGCCCTGCAACTGTCTTCGATGTTGATGAAGTATTCGCTATCCCGCCATCTAAAGTGTACTCGGCGTCCACTGAGAAAGAGGGTCGTGAAAGTCGTGGCATGGTCCTCTGCGGGCTCGTCCGCCATGGCAGCATCTCGATTGGCGACGAGATGACCATTGGTCCAATATTAGTCGACACTTCTGCGGACAGTGGCAGTGAACCTGCGCCTTTGAGCCTGCTCTCTCGTAGTAGTGGACCGGGACCATCGAGCGAATTCCCAGCCTCTTTGTCACACGGCTTTCTCTCGGGAAAGGATGCCTCGACGCAGGCAAAATGGCAGCGCGTTCGCGTAGTTAGTGTAAGAGATCTCAGACTACCCGTCCGCTGCCTCAAAGAAGACCAAGTCGGAACGATAGGCATCGAACTTCTCGCATCGCCGGATGAGGGACGCTTACCTCGGCTCGGCCGAATACGAAAGGGCATGGTGCTAACAGACCTGCACACGTCTCTGCGTCCGAGAAGTTCCCTCCCATCCCCTCTGCCATCGACATTGCCCCTGCCATTCCACACGGGTTTCACAGCGACATTCCCGGCAGCCGAATTCTCAGCCCCGAATTCGCCGCCGTTACTCCTGGGCGGGAACGCAATCGCTTATATCGCGAATATCAGAACGACTGTTCGTGTTGTATGCATGGCTCTCGCAGGAGCAGGCGATGAGCCAGCCTCCCCGTCCCCCTCACCATCCCTATCTCCCACTGAGCCTGAATTCTTCAGCTTTGACGGTGACACGCAGTCCTCGCCTCCGTCTGGAAAGGACAAAGGCAGCAGTGCCAATGGCACGAATGACATTGACGGGTCTATACGGCGGCGCTCGTCTGCCACCGATATCAGTAAGGTAGTCTCCGGGACCTCGGGTGAAGGACCAGGTGCGTCTGAAACATTCGAAGGGGACGTCAAGATTACCTTCGGTCTGGTGACATCTGTCGAGTGGATCGAGCTCGGCTCGCAAGTCCTAGTCATGCCGGGTATGTCGATGACAGCTCCCTCTGGAGTCGCGGTGGCGCTGGCTCCCGGATCTAGCGCTGGTAATAGCAACGGGAATGGGATAATATCGCTGTCCGGGTTGGAAGGGTTTGTCGGAACCGTGTGTGAGGTAGTCCCTGGCAGATCTGTGGGCAGCGAGAGTTGAGAGAGATGGTGCATGTGATTTAGTCCTTGAGCGATTGTTGATATGGTTGCATGGGGGCTCTTCTTGTTTCCTTTGTTCTTCTATTCTTGTTTATATCAGGTTGAGAAGTCCCCAGAATCAGGGGGTCATGACCCCTCATCATACACTGTACAGTGGCTTGAGACAAGTCTCATACTAGATCTAGCTTTGCTTCGTCCAAAATGCCATCTCTGATGTTCGACATGGCCTCTCAATATCCCTCCACTCTGCCCGCTGTGTATAGGATTTTGACGCAGTCAATACTAGGGACTACCCAAGACCCCTCATCATGTTTGAGGGTGGCCGAATGTTGAAACATCGCGTGATGAGCACATACCATCCACAGACACGGTCTATAGGGTTATCTACCAGGCTATGGATTAAAGGATAAGGGGATGTGTATATTTTGAAGCAGCTAGCTTACTTCCTATGCCGTTGAATGACGGAGCAAGTCCTTTGAGACCTACTAGTCGGGGCATCATACCGTCCAGACTATATTGAACCACCGACAAGTTGCAAGCATCGCTGCTCATGCAAACAGTCATGCAAAGTCATCGTGACCGTACACAGTTAGGATCAACTCGGAGATTTCTCTTGGTTATTTCCTTGAAAAACGAGACAAGCAGCACCGAAAGAGGCATCTGCTCGCCAGATCGGTTCCTCTGCGACCTTCATGTCTCTTTCTCACTCACATCACAAGGGGTATTTCCATAAAGTCTTCACCGAGTGCCAGCAACCATGTCACGTCATGGCCGCCAAAGCAATTCGATGAACCAGATCAAACATACCGCACCATATTCCTGACCCACGATTCGAAAGCCGGGGAGCAACAGGGTTGACATTTATCCACCTTTGCGCTGGTCACCAGCATGGCGGGTGAAAGTACTGGTCGATCCAATAGTTGCGCTCGCATTACGGAGCTCGATCTTCTTACGTTCCATCTCGAGCTAAATAATGCGATTAGTACACGGATCACCCCCAAGTCTCAAATAGAATAAATTTGACTTACCACCTTGCGTACTCGAGCCAGCGCAGCCTCGTTGCCCTCTACCAATGGACGACAATCATCAACCCGGTAGGGAGGGCTAATGCTAACCGCATCCGCAACCACGATATGAGGACCATTCCAATGAGCGGGCATAGTCCGACTAAAAGCATCAAAGAGATCTTGAGCCTCGCGAGTAACACCCTTTCCACGACGGGCTTCACGGTCCATTGCCTCACCGATAGCCTTGGCCTCGCGTGCCTTCAGCGCACGGATATCAAGGGCCTGGATCGAGGGCTGCGCATCGGTGAACGACGGCAAATCGGAGGAGTTGGATGAAGGAAGAGCGAGCAGTTGGAACGCCTGGATTCGGGAAACTGGAATGACATGGTAATCGCCGCTCTGGGCCTGCTTCGCATCTCCGGTTGCCGGCGAGGGGGATGTGTTGATTGCGACAAGGTTCGTGATAGGGCACGCAGTGAAAAGTGTGCCCTCAAAGGTAGAGGCGTTTGGTGCGGCGGTCGTGATGCGAACACTACCACAGCGCAGGATTGTCAGTATGCCTTTGGCTTGAACATTGTGCTATCCACGCTTGATGGAGGGGTAAGGACTTACCGAGCACCAATCGCGCCACTCAAAGCGGCCTCCAGGGGAACCATATTCGCCGCCATTCCGCCCGCAGTCGAGGTACCAGCGGAACTGTGAGATCCTTTCGCACCGGAACTCTGGCGCTTATTCTCCGCCATGCGGCGAGTGATAGAGCCCCGGGCGGTGTGATTCACACGTCAACAATCGGCCCACAAATCGCTCAAAGAGACCGAGCTGAGTCGATCAAGAAAGCTTGTCAGGTTTGAGTAGATAACACTAGACCATTGGAAGGTGGCCAATGTCAATTGAATCCCGGGCGATTCCACGGGAGCTGGGCTGAGGGTCGTCCTGGCTATAGGAACGTTGTCCCAACTGTCCGTGGGGTGCGGGAAGAGTGGCGGGCCCCAGATCCTCGGGGTCCTCCGAGAAGCAGAGAAGTAAAGAAAGGCGGGGGGAGGCTCGGTAGAGTGAGAAAGAGAGAAGGAGGGACAGAAGAGAAGAGCACCAACTCCCCGGAAATGTTTGGAAGGAGACGGGAGAGGTGCGATAAGATGCCAGGAGCGACGTTGCTCAGATTTCCCGATATGGATTAGCGTCATTCGCCCCATGATTACCTCAGGACTCCCAGGCACTCAGGCACCACATCTACTGGTCGAGACAATTTCTACTCGTAAGACTTAACTCTACGACAAAGATCCTCCAATAATTAAAATAATTCGTTACGTTCCATTCATGGTGACATCTAAATACATTGAACCCAATTTTTGTTCCCTCTATCTCCGATCTGGCGCTTATGCGATGTAGGTCGAGGCCGACACATCACCACCACGACCGGTCCAGTTGACGTGGATGTCCTTGCCCTCGGGGAAGTTCTCGTTGGCGAACTCAGACTTGATGCGGAAGGTGTGGGCACCGAAGTAGTCACGCTGAGCCTGCAGCAGGTTGGCGGGCAGGTCCTTGGTGCGGTAGCCGTCGTAGAAGCTGAGGGCAGTAGAGAAGGCGGGCAGAGGGATACCCCACAGAGCAGACTTGCTGACAACGTTGCGCCAGCCGGACTGAGCCTTGTGGATAGCGTTGGTGAAGAACTCGTCGAACAGCAGGTTCTCGAGGTCGGGGTTGTTGCGGTAGGCGTTGGTGATGTCCTTCAGGAAGACGGAGCGGATAATGCAGCCACCACGCCACATGAGAGCAATGGAAGGCTTGTTGAGCTTCCACTTGTACTCCTTGGCGGCGTCCTGGATGAGCATGAAGCCCTGGGCGTAGGAGATGATCTTGGAGGCATACAGAGCCTGCTCGAGGTCATCAATGAAAGCGGCCTTGTCGCCCGAGAACTCGGGAGTGGGGCCGTTCAGGATAGTGGCAGCACGGCCACGCTCATCCTTGAGAGCAGACAGGCAGCGGGCGAAGACAGCCTCACCGATCAGGGTGACGGGCATGCCGAGGTCCAGAGCGTTGATGGCAGTCCACTTGCCGGTACCCTTCTGGCCAGCCTTGTCGAGGATCTTCTCGACGAGGGGAGTGCCGTCGTTGTCGTTATAGTAGAGGATATCGCGGGTGATCTCGATAAGGAAAGAGTCGAGGACACCGGTGTTCCACTTGGCGAAAACGTCACCAATCTCCTTGCAGGAGAGACCAAGACCGCGCTTGAGGATGTCGTAGGCCTGATCGTGGTGCATCAATTAGCGTATGATACACTGGCGCGAGATCCCGCCTCGCAATCCAAAGCAGGAGCTCAACTGCTCCATAAAACCACAAAAGCTTACCTCACAAATCAGCTGCATGTCACCGTACTCGATACCGTTGTGAACCATCTTGACGTAGTGGCCAGCACCCTCGTCACCGACCCAGTCACAGCAGGCCTCGCCGTCGCTCTTGGCGGCGATGCTCTGGAAGATATCCTTGATGTGGGGCCAGGCGTCCTCGTTACCACCGGGCATGAGGGAGGGACCGTAGCGGGCACCCTCCTCACCACCGGAGACACCGCTGCCGACGAAGCTGATGCCCTTCTCACGGAGGTAGTTGGTGCGGCGGTTGCTGTCGGGGTAGTGGGAGTTACCACCGTCAATGATGATATCACCCTTCTCCAGGAAGGGGAGGAGAGACTCGATGAAGTCATCGACGGGCTTGCCGGCCATGACGAGGAGCATAATGCGACGAGGGCGCTTGAGCTTGGCGCAGAACTCCTCAATGGAGTGAGCACCGACGATGGGCTTGCCTATGGGGGATTGAGTTAGCGAATCGGCGCCTCCAGGCAGGATCCGAGGTTGATATTCTAGGGAAATACTTACCCTTGGCCTCATTGGCGAGGAAGCGGTCGACCTTGGAGGTCGTGCGGTTGTAAGCGCAGACAGTGAAACCGTGATCAGCAACGTTGAGGATCAGGTTCTGGCCCATAACGGCCAGACCGATGAGGCCGAAATCAGCACTAGGAGCAGGATGCGCCGGAGCGCCGACATTAATGCCGGCGAGACGGGCACTATAGTCAGCGACCGAGTTCTCATGTCAATAGCCGGGATAAATGTGAATCATCAAGAGATCCAAAGAAACGGGGTATGTGTGACCCGCGCAAACCCGAGGAACTCAGGTCTTAAGCTCCATTGTCCTCTTTTCTCGTGTCGCTGGCGCGGGCGCGGGTAGTGCATCCGAATCCATCGGAATTTAGCACCTGGCGACACCGAATTGAAGCTGGCAATGGAGCTCACGCGCATGCAGATTGCTGCTAGTTTCAAGTGTAGAGGGGAATTCATTTTGGGGAATAGCATTGATGATGATGGTGGCGGGGAAGGGGCACTGGTGCAGGATCCGGTGGGGGGACCGAAGGATGGTAGAGGAGGAAGTGACTTACACAGCCTGGTCAGCCATGATGTAGATATTGAAGCTGGAGAGGTAGGAGTGCTGTAGGTGGTATCTACAGAATTGCAGAGGAGGGAGATGGAGAGATGAAGAAGGGAGAGAAGGAGGGGAGAGAAGATGTCAGAACTCAACCGGCTGACGGAGCAACTCTTCCGTCATCTGGTGGGACAGGCCAGCGGGGGGCAGATGATTATTACCGCACGTACAGTAACAGACTCCGGGCCAGAAAATAATACTCCTCCCACCTTTGGGATAGGTGGACCATCGAGACTAGACCAGGGGTGGGGGGGGCGGTACTTCGGATTGGGTGGGTATTTGGCCTGTGTCTGATGTACCCCCCGTCACTGGCCCTGGCTGGCTCCGGTGTAGCGCGCCAAGTATCTCAGCAATTCCAGTATTCTTAGTATTCTTAGTATCGGTTGGTACAGGAGTAGAGTCCTCCGGTGAATGAGGGTCATCCCACTCGGCTTCTGCTATTGGGGAGCAATCGAAAAGCAATATCCGATCCCGATCATGTTCCTACAGTTACCGTCTGCACATGTTGACATCGGGAGCCCTTCAATGGCCGATTATCAATCTCGATGTGGTTGATAACTGGTCTGCATAGAAGGTTACTTGGGCGCGGGGCATGGAGGGGTAGTGATCTCATCGACCTTTTTCCTGATTTACTACGGGAGACGGTAGAGACGGGCATCACACGAAAAGTACCGAGTATACTTAAACACTTTGCTTACTCTGGTTCTCGAGGTACAGGCTAAAGTCAGGGCTATTACCAGTTGCGTTTTATCCCGGTTGTATGATATTGGTACCAATTCAACGTAAACATCGCAACTTCCGGAAATGAATCCCCAACTCCCAATTCATCCACGCATCGGTGAACTGTTCTGGTGTAGAGTCCACGGAGAAACTTCTGCACTTGCCGACTGTCCGTCCGCAACCGGGTTCGGCCACGCTAGTCTCTTTGCGGACTAGGGTGGGGGTCTCCCTGTCCACACTACTCCGTAAAATGCAGCGCATGACTTCCGTACGGACTACGGAGGGCCGAGTAAATTAATAACACTGTAGATCTACCAAACTAGATCCCGCGGAAGTGTGGTGGTATCGGTCGATAGCTTCAAGATAAATCTCATCTCGTAACTCTCTACTGGAGAGCTCATACCTCTGACGGTTTATATATGTAATACATGTTGATGCCTTGTTGATGCCTTGTTGATGCCTTGCGCTCCCGTCATACACTCTTTCCTTCGTTCCTTCGTTCCTTCCCTCTAATACAGAGTACTCGGTTGAATTGCACCATTGTTTTTCATTGACGTTGTAATTAGTTCGAATAATATTCCCGTCTGGTCTATAAGACCGCCTAATTTGTAGCAAGTGAAAATGATTCTACAGCGTGTCACGCTTATCTGGCACGCAAGTATAAAACACATTTACGTAGTTAGCGCCTTGAAGTAGTGGCTTTATCGATGAATACCATCTTTCTAAATTTTATAATTTTTATAAAAACTACTCTACTAATAGGCTAAGATTTTTAGTCTGACGTCTACTATATGCAATGGAAGCCCAGACCCAGAGCTAACTCCTTTCTCCTCTAGAATGATACAGCTCACGCCAAGGAGGCTCGGGGTGGGGGGGGGGAATAACAAAGGGGGTTCTGTGGTTGGTTAGATTTAACACAAATCATATCAATCCAGTGGAAGAATGCTGAGCATAGCATTGATGTCTCTCAAATGAACTGACCGATGCATAGCCAATAACCCTTTCTCATAGCTAGTGTGCAATGCCCTGTTGAGTGGGCTGGATCTAGGCGTAAGTAACCTTCATTTAAGCATATTTGGCACAACAAGGGGCTTAAAGCTCCCTGTCTGCCCTATCGAACCGACTACCTTATTGGGTTTAGCAGTAAAAGGTAAGAATCAAGTGGGGTCTGACATTTGAGTGGTTCATAGGTAACATGTCAATCATATTTAGCCCATTTAATTAGAGAATAAGTACAGTTCATCAAGTCAAAATCACTTTTTTCCGAGATTGTCTAGTGTTCCTATGTATGACCTAATACCAAATCCGCACTACTCGCATCCGACGATCCATCTACATGTCGCCGAACATTGGTATGCACCGTAACAGCGTTCACTCCACATCAGAGCTGTGTTTACGTCCACTTTGATGAATCGTACGTATGCCTTTGCGCAGCAGCATATTACCACAAATCCTCAGCGGTTACTCGTCCACTGTCGGTGTCTCGGGCGATTGGGTCCAAAATGGCGGCCACTCCATTCTCAGCCCGGTGTACGGTCTCGCGTTGGCCGCGTGCTCGAGTTCAAAGTCGTAATTCCGGACGGTTTCTACTGAACTGCAACGAATATCGAAAATTCAGACCTATTCGGGGCCCTATGAGGCGGCAGCGGTGGAGGGATCTTTTGAGTGGTCCTTGAAAGCACGAACCGTGTCGAGCCTGCGATCCGCTTCGTTGCAGCCAGTCTCAAATTCCCCATCGCTTCCACAAACATACTCCACTTCGTGGAGATTGTCGTCAACAACACCCTCTTCAACGTCTCCCCTTTGCTGTCCATCGATCATGCCACAGGGCCTCTCTGGCCGACGTGATCGCCTACACCAAGGCACATGGCGGCTCTGCCACCATCGAAGAGTTCACCTCCTAGTACCCTTTCTATGAGAAATACGTCACAGCCAGCCCCTGGTCATGGAACAGTACCCTTCCCACCTGAATGAAGAAGATTGCGTCCATCCAGAATATGAAGAATATGACAGCCGTTTTCGAGGGCATAATGCCGGGTAGCGGTGCGTATAGCAATGAAGCGAACCCATTCACGATAAACTGGTGAGAGGCATAGTGGGGCGATAATTATGAGAAACCTGTGAGTATTAAGGATAGCTATGATCCAGACAGTGTGTTGAGCTACTGGAGGTGTCTTCGTTAGGAGGAGTCGCAAGCTGCCTCTTCGTCTTTTGCGGCATTTATTTAATTCCAGATGTCTGAAACCTGGAAAAGTGCAGAAACAAACCATGTTGATAGACTCACTTGTACTTGTCTTCTCCAAAAGATTCGCTTTTGGTCAAAAAAACTGAGCTCGAACTTTCCAGGGCGATTGTGGTGAGGGATCTACCAACAGAAGTAAAGTGTTCAACTTTGTGAATACCCGTCTCTATATTCCCTTTGAAGGATAAAGAGAAAGCCATATTATAAGACACGTACATTTCCTGGAAATAAGGCTGATGATATCTCCAAGAGTTGGTTTTGCCAGGTGAACTGTGGAAGCTTCCTCTCATTGGTCAGGTTTTCCGGGCGGTCAAGTCGCATTCCGATTCTGCCCATCTTTCTTTCAACGTGAGCTTTTCCGAGTCTTCGCCTTCCCTTGCCTCAACTCAACCGCCTCTTAATCTCTACCACCACGAACCACGTTTGCCAAACAGTTGGACCAGGGTTGGATACTAGGTCTAAGTGCGTGTGATATCGCTGTCGCTCCGGTCCTGAAGGTACGTTGCAGCTACTGCTCTGCACAATAGCTCAACCTCCTGTTGCGGACACCTCATTCATCATGTCCTATCCGCCACCTCCAGGTCTCAAACAGACTCCCACCTCTCTTCCACCTCGACCTCCTCCTTCCAACAATGCATCCAAACCATCGGGCTACAGCGCCTTTACTGCGTTCCAACCGCGCGCCGTAGCTTCCACCCAGGCACAGTCGCAGCCTTATCGCACCCACAGCCCAACCATCTCGGCGCCACCCGTCTCGTCCACTGGCTATGCATCTCCTGCGACAGGCTATGGCAATTATTATCAGCAGCCACAATCCCAGTCCTACCAGGCGCAACCGCAGTCCTATCAAAGCGGGCCCTCCTACTACGGCACGGGCGTCCCGCAAATCCAAAACCCGTTTGGCTCCACCCCAAATCAACCTCATGGCGCTCGGCATGGACAAAATCCTGGCATGGACCCAGAGACCGAAGCCCAGATCGCACAATGGCAGAGCGCCTACTCCAACCCTGCCGAGGAGGTCGGCAAGCCGCAGGGCTCTAGTGCCGTGACACCATCCGCTGTCGGCACCCCCATCCCTACTCCCCAGCCGGAGCCCGAAGCCACTGTCGCTCGATCCGGTGGTGGCCAGACGTGGACCGACTCATCTCTGCTGGAATGGGACCCAGCGCATTTCCGGCTGTTTGTTGGCAACCTTGCGGGCGAGGTGACCGACGATTCCCTGTTGAAAGCGTTCGCACGCTACTCGTCGGTACAAAAGGCACGCGTGATTCGAGAAAAGCGAACACAAAAGAGTAAGGGGTATGGCTTCATCAGCTTCAGTGATGGCGACGACTACTTCAAGGCCGCGCGTGAAATGCAGGGCAAGTATATCGGATCTCACCCCATTCTGCTGCGACGGGCCAACACCGAAGTGCGTCCCGTCTCGAACAATAAGAATCAACGCAAGAACAATAGCGGCGGTGCGCGTGGAGCAGGGTCGAAGGTGAAACCAGACGGAGTGAAGAAGCCCGGAAAGACCAAAGGCGGCTTGAAGATTTTGGGTTAAAGATCATGGGATTATTTGTACAATATACCTTTTTTGCATCATGACGCTCAATGCCGCTCTAGAACTGATTTCCACTAAATGGGTAACTTCCTAATGGGGCGGAATAATTGCTCATCATGGGTTAGTAGCTCCTTGTAGGAAACCAACCACGGTTTCCTTTCACGGTCATCGAATTCGCAAGCAGTGTAGTGTCAAACCCCCTCCGTGTCTGTTCCTCAGTTGAGGCCGCTGCTCCATTTCTCGAATCGTCCAATCGCCAGTCCACGGATGCCCCGCGCGACCAATAAGGCTGAGGCGTGAACCCCCCAACGCCAAGGCAGATCAACCTCGAGAGCTCTCCCACATCCTCGACTCACCACACCCCAGCTGTTAACTCCAGGGAATATTCATGGGGGTCTAGCAACGGCCAGAACTGATATAACTTCTACTTCAACCCTCAAATTACCTTTTGTCTTTGTAACATCTCTTTCATATTCTCCCCGGTTGGCGGTGGATGTGTCAGGATGGAGGACCAGGCTGGCCCCGCAGACAAGTCTAAACAAACCGAGCTGGGCGCAGCTGCTCCTACTACGACGACAGGGACCGCTTTTGCGTCGCGCTCATCTGCGCCCCGGGTCCGTCTTAGCTGTGAAGCATGCCGTCAGCGGAAAGTCAGGTGCGATAAGCTTAGTCCCTGCACCAGCTGCGTGCGCCTGGGATTTGTCTGCGTCCCCGTCGAGCGAGCTCGTCTGCCACGGGGCCGCACCAGGAAAGCCCCCGAGCGGCTGCATGGCTCAAACAAGGAGCTAGTGGAACGAGTCGCGAAGCTGGAGGAGCTGTTGACAATGTTGGCGACCGAGCGCGATGCCGTCTCTCATACCGACTCATCACGAGAGCCGTCACGATTCACGCCCACCAGCACCGAGGCTAGCTTCGAGACGAATATGGTTGACGTCGAGCCTTGGCGGGCTCAGGATCTACAGCCCAATACGCATGCCTTACCGCACCGGCCACGTCCCTCGACGACTTACATGGCTAGTTCGTTTTGGGAAGATATCATGCAGCAGGTAAGCACTTTAAAGTCCAATTCCTGTATTGCTTAGTGAGGTTTCCTATATGCTATGTACCCCGTTCCCAAACGTCAAAGTTAATATTCCAATATAGACACAAGAACTCCGCACAGTCTTGGATGACCGCTTGGAGGATGAAGAGGAAGAGGAAGAGTCCAAGAATCAACCTAGCTTCGGGGCCTCTTTGGTCGGCTCAGAGACCTCAGAGAGCATGTCCGGTTCTCCTCAGTCGTACAAGGGACTCTCCATTTCGCCCCAGACAAGACGGCAGCTGTGTGATATCTATTTGCACAATGTTGATCCGGTCTTCAAGGTCCTCCATCGGCCTACGCTGAGGGCCTTTCTTCATGACGACCAACCTTATCTTGATTACGAACCCGATCACCAAGCTCCCGCTACCTTAGCATGGGCTGTATATTATGCGGCCGTCTGCACTATGGACAATGCCCGATGCCAACAGTTGTTCGGTGTCGACAAGAAGACGATCTCTGCCGACCTGCAAAAAGAAACGGAAGCTGCTCTGGTAAAAGCGGAGTTCGTGACTACCAACGAGTTGACAGTTCTACAAGCCTATGTGATTTCATTGGTAAGTGCTAATCGGATCTCTGGTCATAAGAACCCAGTCTTTCGAAGGGCCCCTCACAAAAAGTGCGATACTGACTTCACTTAGCTTGCTGCCCGCTGCCAAGATCAAAGCCGACGGGTATGGACTATGCTCGCCATGGCTCTTCGAGTGGGCCAAGCCCTGTCTCTCCATATGCCCACTCCCCCCTTCCAGGTCAGTCCTTTCGAACAGGAGCTGCGACGACGCACATGGCAGGCCATTGGCCTTCTCGATTTAGCAGCGGCTCTCGACCGCGCATCTGAACCAATGATGCAATCTACTTGGCTGGATGTGGTCCCGCCGGCGAACATCAATGACGACGATATCTGGCATGGCATGGACGTGCCGTTCAAGGTGCATCCAGAGGGCACTTTCACCGACATGACCCAGACGTTGATTATTGGGGCAGCGCAGTCTGTGGCCCGAACAATCGGATTCACCGATTTTATCGAGCCTACGGTCAGATCATCGTTGAGGCGACAGGAGATCCTCGCGAATTTCCGGAGAAATGCGAATACCCTCTTAGCTGAATGCAGACCTGAGCTATCCTCGTACCACCTCTACGTGTCGCGGGTAGCCTTGACTATCTTCGGTTGGTTACAACTAGGGTGTGTCCGACCAATCCAACGAGGTAGAAATTGGGTTCCCCCGCCTGTCGAGGGCGATGCGCTCCTCAGCCTGGCTTGTGATAATTTGCAAAAATTAATGGAGACCGCCAATGACCCTGAGATGAGGCCATGGATGTGGTTCGGGTCCATGTGGGTTCCCTGGCATGGACTGGCAGTTGCCCTTGCCGAGCTTTGCGTTTGCAGGGACCCGGCGACGATAGCCAAGCACTGGCCGGTCGTGGAGCAAGTATACCACCAGTCGAGTTTCGTCATTGCAGACTCCCAACACGGGATGCTGTGGAAACCACTTCAGAGACTCATGAACCAGGCACGCACCCACCGGAAACAAATGCTCGCTAGCCAGTCTCCTACCGAGGCAATCCGCCAGTTCACGATCAGCGATATACCGGCCATGGAGGAATTACCCCCTCAACTTGTTCCTCCACCCGTCACCGAGCAGTACAATCCCCAGGCCAATATCCTCACAGACCCAACGGCCGTCTATACTCTGGGCCTGGAAGCGCCGAACATTGCTGCTGGTCAGCAACTTGATCCTGCCATCACCATGGCACCCCCGGCGTTTACGATTGAACCGTGGCACTCCGTCTGGGAACAAATGGACTACATGGGCAATACTGGGCTTCAGCCTCAGGAGAACAACGCGTGGCTTAACTACGAGAACTTCATGGGCGAGATATATGACAGCGTCGAAAGCATGTTTTTCCCTCCACAAGGATGATTGAAACCAGTCTATTCTGTTTGAGTGAGCAACGGGCGGCCTTGTCAAGTCAATTGGAGGCTTCATGCAGGAATTTTCCACCGGCGTGGTATCAGTTTTATATGCCTTTGTTGAGATAATTCTCGATATGGCACTGAAGGATCTGATCATAATGCATAATCAAACAATTATCCCCATTCTCAATACGTATGGAATTCTTCATACTACAGTACATTCTCAACAACCCCCACCCATCCCCATCCCACCCCCCGCCGCCCCAGCCGTAAATACATAATCCGCCCCATGCCTCATCTGTCTACTCTGCGCCCGTCGTTGCTTTTCTCGAACCGACACCCCCGTCAACAGGGCTAACCGATCAAACTCCTCCCCAAACTCCCCACACATCTCCACAGAACCAGGTACCAACGAATACGACTCGGACGAAAACACCGCCAACACCTCATCACTCGACTCATCAACTAACTTCAAATTCCCCAGTGGCGTAGCATGACTCCCCATCGACCGCGTTTTTTTCCACGCAAATCGGGCCATTTCACCATATCTCTGTGCTTGGAACGCGAAACTCGGCGATAGATACCCCTTCTTCGCTAGATGGACATTCTCCCAGTTACTCGCGAACTTCTCGACATCCTCATCGCTGTCGAGAAGGGAAATCTGACAATCTTGCGAGAAGCGCTTGTATCGGGATACACCGATGACGGGACCCGTGATATCGGGGCCTATGTGCATGCGGAGATCGGGTTGGGATCTGTCAAACGGTGAGTTTTCGAGGAAGAAGTGCTGTTTATCGCCGGCCAGGTCTGTGGTTGTTACGTTGTAGTGGTGACATCCGGGTTGTTCGGAGATGTGGAATTGTTTGTAGGACATGTTCCTGTTGTGATTGACTGGGATATAGATAGGTATGGGATGGTGTATTGGGTGAAGTAGTATGTACAGTGGATAGATAAGTTATATGACTTATTCCTCACTTTCTGTCTTGATGGTCATGAGGCTGCCATGGGTCAGATTCATCGCCACTTTCGAGATCTACAGTATTTGGCCCCCACAGCATCCATCATCCAATGATTCGGGAGCAGCGATCCTTGGGTGTAGCGACGTCATAGGAAATCTACAGTTTTTGGCCTGAAGCATCCTGCTTGGCTTTCTAGATCTTATCGGCTGATGGTTCTATATAGATGTGTGTCTAGGCCAACAGAGAAAGCTTTAATGCAAGGCAACAGCTAGGAATGTCGAAGTAGACTGGCAGGAGCATAATGATCACGTTCAGCTGGACTTGAATTTATCGATAGTCTGCATTCGGATTTTATACATCGGAAATGTGAATGTTTTCATAACCTTCAATCAAATCATTTGTTGTACTTTATGATTTTACTGTGTTGCTCATGAAACCTAATTCCACTGTCTGATGTGCAGACACTGGCCCCCAGCCGAGGTGCTTGGCGCGAGTGGGGAGACTAACGGCAAGCTTCTGGTCCATCTCTAGCTTTCAATATCTCCCGCAACAGTCTCAATACTCTTGTAATCCAGCCTGTCTCTGGAATCCAGCGCTCTCAGAGCCCAGAAGCCAAGGACGATGTCAACTTCTAGTCCCTCGGAGGCTCAGGCCGGCCAACCCGATCTCGTGTACCGGTCTCTCCCTATTCTCGCCAGCTACCTCATTCTCGCAGCCTCTCTGGCCTTGAATGCCTGCCGCACAATATTCGTTCGGTACCAGGCACGAATCAAGGGAAATGACTGGGAAACTCCCCATCGACGCGTGCAATTCCTCTTGTTCGCTATTCTGGCGGCCCTGAGTCTCGGCGCGACCTGGTATTACATGTTTGCCTTCTTTGCGCGTTCGTATCACAATTGGGGAGCCAGTCAGTCTCTGGTGGACCTTGCGAACCCGGAGATCACCACTCTATTCAAACTGGAGCTTTGGTTGCAGAAGGCGAAGTTGTTCCGTGAAGCTTGGGAGACTGTTATCGAGACGCCTGCCCGGTTTTGGTGGAGTGGTCAGATCTTTTCGTGGACGACGGGATGGAGTGTCTTTCTCGGAATTATGGGTACTTCAATAACATTTCTTTCTGCTTTATTTGCTTTCATGATGCACTAACTTCTTCGCTAACAGCTCGACGATATCGCATTCCCCATGTATGGGCATATATGCTCCTGGGCCAGATTGTCGCTATCTCTTTCGCTCAGAATCTATTCTTTGCTACTATTCTCGTGTCGCGACAGCCGTGCCAGACTGACGGCACCAAGAAGGATAAGAGCGGTGCTCAAGATTCCATCGCAGCGTGGTCCCCACCTTTGTATGCCGAAGTTCTACCGGTCGCCATCTCGCTCATTAGCACCGTTCTGGTCCCAACAGTTGCACATACCAAGTACTTTATGCTGATGTTGCTAGTACCGCATCTTCTGCTTTTCGTTCCTGCAATTCTGCGACCGAGTCAATCTTCGACCGTTGAGACGCGTGCCAAGGACTGCAGTGAAGAGAGAACTATTCAGAGATACGCGGCATTCTTCCAGTGGTATATGGTAGCTTGTGTGATTATTCAGGCTCATTCTACGTTCCTGGTATTGCAAGAGATGGGGCAAGAAATCAGTGTTGAGTCATTGCGGATGTTGGCTGCGAACTTGCCGGGCGTGATATATGAGCATCCAGCTGTCAGCAGTGTTAGCTGGGATGTGATTTACTGCACGATTACAGCCGTTGCTTGGATTGCTGTGAATGGTGGCAATCCGAAGCGAATGCTTGGGCAGTGATAGAGGGCTATGGGCATTACTTCGTAGATCTATCGGAGGAAAGGGAAACAGAAAAATGTGAATTAGATATAGAGATCATTCAATGAAATCAAGAAACATAAAACTGTTAATCATTTGGCGAGACAGAGATATAGACCATTTGAGGTTTCCAGCAATCGAGCCGCTGGCCCGAGCGTCCAAATGTTTTGGTTTCCAGCTGCCCCTCCTTTTGACTGCAACCTCGACATCATCGCCACTGATTCTAGCCTTTATTTTGTATCGACAAAGCCGTTGAGCATCATGTCTAGCCAAGCCGAAACTCTTCCTGTCGAAAAGCCATCGGCGACATCAAACCCTGACCCAAGCCCATCAACAGAAGTCGCCCCAGTGGCTGATGACGTCAAGGTCGCGGATGCCACCAAGCCCAATGAGGTTCCATCAAACGATAAGCTACCCTCTGCAGACGCAATCCGTAAGGTCGAGGACTATGTGATTCTCGATAACAAAGGTGAAAAGCATTCGTTCAAGAGTATCTACGATGGACCCGAGTCAACGGGGCGCGTTCTGGTGATTTTCATTCGCCATTTCTTCTGTGGGGTAACTAAGCCTTTCCCAGCTGTGTTTTGTCAACACATATAGAAAAAAACACTTCATAGAAACCCCATATTAACCGTTTTCTCTAGAGCTGCCAAGAATATATCCGCGCACTCGCAGAGTCAATCAAGCCTGACGAATTGCTGCAATTACCAATCCCTACATCCTTCGCCATCATCGGCTGCGGCGACCCCGGCCTAATCGACTTCTACGCCACAGAAACGGGATGTACATTTCCCATTTACGCTGATCCGGCAAACACCCTCTACGATGACCTGGGCATGACTACGACATGGGCCCTTGGCGCAAAGCCGGAGTATTTCCGCAAGAGTATGGCGCAGCTTGTGACCGGGTCAATCATGCAAGGAATCAAGCATTTGGGTAGTGGACTTGCTACGAAAGGAGGAGATACTAAGCGCGTGGGTGGTGAGTTTCTTTTCGAACCGAGTCACGGAGCAAGTGGGAAAGAGGTCACTTGGTGTCATCGGATGACGACTACGCGCGATCATACCGGGATCAAAGAGTTGGCGAAGCTGCTTGATGCGGATGGTAAGACTTTGTTGCAGAAGGCGTAAACTATCGTCATGGAAGGATATTTTTTCGGGACTTGGCTATACCCTGTTGGATGTTTGTTACTCAGGATGCCGGCCGACAAGCAGTCTACAGAGAAGAACATCTTTTTGAAGGGGAAGTGGAGGAATTGTTTTTCATTGGAATTCCATTATGATGGGCATCTGGCCTCCATGATACTGTCTAAGAGATGTGACCCAATTTTTAATGTCTCATGATCCCTGCGCTTCCTGTAAACATCAAGAATCGATCAATAATGAGAACTTGTTATGTAGCCAAAGACTGCAGTTGAATGCATCCCGCAAGAAAAATCAGGTACCAAAATTGTTTCGAGCATATACAATCTTTCCCGTTTCCCTTGATGGATAGAAATTTTGAGGGCCAAGCTCCCAGGGTTGTCCTGCAGGCTTGTCAATATCCATCTCTGGATCCGAAGCATCGACTTCGGGGTCGTCCTTTTCTGTGTCTTTCCCGGCGTTTGAAACCGGGATATCTATACCCTCGTAGAGCCGTTGATAGCTACAGGGTCGCCCACGATGGTTGCACTCTGAACAAGGGTGTTCCCCGTTACAAGCCTTTCTTATGCTCGCACAGCTATCACAAGCACGCTTATGCTTGCCGCCTTGGTGACTCTTGGGCATCTCTATGCCATTTTCGAGTCGTGTCTTGCATGATCTCCAATGGCGTCGTAATACATCACTTGATTTTTCATTAGTATTTGGAAGAACCCGCTAGCTACAGAGTATGTAGAAGAGGAGAATGTAACTACCCACCCCCGGCTAAATAGCGCGCCACAGAAATGGCAAGCGTGATTCCTTTGCGTTTTATCTGTAACGGACAACTCAGCCGCTGACACATACATTCATGATTGATCTCAGCATGGACACACGCGTGGCCGAATGGCGTTTCAAGTGATCCTGGCGCTTGAAAGTCGACGAGCACCGATCACATTTCCAATGTTTCTCATCTGACGCGGCCTCTACGCGAGAGGGCGGTGGTGAAGGTTGCATGCCGACCGGTGGTTTCGGGCTGCTAACCCGTTTTGAGGAATAGCAGGCGAGAAAAACACTCGACGAGGTCCGGGATTGCTAATGGCACGACGTGATTCGCTCCGAGCCCGAGGGCCGAAGGGGGTCAGTCGAATTAGGACTATGGTACAGCGAGAGTACCAGAATGGTGAATGTTGTTTGAGAAGTGGAGGAATCCCGTCAAGCGAGACGGGTCGAGAGTCCCCTCCCGCAGCCGCACAACGTCGGATGAGACGGAAGGAATGAAGACTGCATGGAAGGGCGAGATGCACGTGAGATGCGCTAGTGAAGATCGGAGTTAGCCCACAGTCTGGGAAGCCTGAGTGGAAACAGCCGTAGGATGGTGGAGATGGCGACGGGACGCTGGCAACTCCACGCTCCACTGGGCCGATCCAACTGGCGTAAATTGGCTAGCCGTCGCGGTTCCCCCACTTCCACGGTCGCCTCAACACACCAAGGCTGAAAGGGGTAAGGGCGTAAGGACCAAAGATGGCCTGGAATATCCCGAGTGGCATAGACATCAATTTCTCCTTCCAAGGGGCATCTCCTATATATAAGATACGAGTGGCCCTCTACTGGCCCTCTCTTGGCTCGATCATTTTCCCAACCACCTAGAACTCGTGTCTATTCGACATAAACAGCATACAACGCCAGCACAATGACCACAGTCACGGAGATTGCGCCTTCGGCTATAGTCACTGAATCCATAGAGTCTCAAGAGCACTGGAACAACTGGCCAAATACAAAGGGAGTAGGTACTCACCAACTGTGTAAGAGAATTTCCACCTCTCTAACGCAATATACAGTTCGATCCTGAATACGAGGAGCGCACGCCCGTGGAACTTCAAGTCACTGGAAAGATCCCTGCATACGCAGCCGGTACTTTATATCGTACAGGTCCCGGCAAAAGCCAGTTGCAAACCGAAGAAGGCCAGACTTTCCACCTTTCGCACTGGTTCGATGGACTCAGCCAGACACATCGCTTCCAAATCATCGACTCGGGCGAATCCGAACCCACCCGAGTCCTATACAACTCTCGCTTTTCAACCGATGAGCTGATCGAATATGTCCGGAAAACTGGATCACTGGCCAGATTGAGCTTCGGTCAAAAACGTGATCCATGCAAGAGTATTTTCAACAAGGTTCAAAGTGAATTTCACCCGCCAACAGGTCCCTCGGGCATGAATATTGGAGTTACTCTTTCGGTCAATATGCCCGGTCTTGGCCCCCAGCCAGAGGGAGAGTCAACGGAACGCTGGGGAGCGTCCCAGGGCATTCGTACATTGTACGCAAAGACCGACTATAATGGGTTCAAGAAGTTGGACCCGGAGACTCTCGAGCCAATTGGTCTTGCTACCCAGGAGTCGCTTCATCCTGAGTTGACCGGCCCTTTGGCAGCCTCGCATGCTCGATCGGACCCTAAGACTGGCGACATGTTCAACTTCAATCTTGAACTTGGTCGGACCTGCACATACCGCGTCTTTGGTGTTTCTGCTTCGACTGGCAAGACTACCATCTTCGCTGCTTTCCCAGGCACACCCGCATACCTTCATTCCCTTCTCATCACCGAGGACTACGTTCTGCTCTGTGTTTGGAATTCGCATATCAACCCTCTAGTACTTAGAGAAAAGTCCTTTATGGATTCGATCATGCCAACTGATCCTTCTCAGCCGGCGACCTGGTATGTTGTGGACAGGAAACATGGCAAGGGCTTGGTTGCAACGTACGAAAGCCCGGCCTTCTTTTGCTTCCACACGATAAATGCCTGGCAAGAACCATCAAAAGAAGACCCAACAAAGACAGATATTGTCGCAGACTTGGTACGAATGGACAGTACCGAATTCATCACGTCCCTCTACTACGATAACTTGATTTCCTCGCGGCCCAGCGCCAAAGAATTCGCTGCGAACAGAAAAAATGCACTTCGTTCAACTATTACCCGTTTCCGCCTGCCAGCACTACCATCTTCCCCTAGCTCTGATATTCTCAAGGCTACCGTTGAATGGTCTGCCGGCAAGTCCCTTTCCCCCGAGTTACCTACCATGAACCCAACACGCGTCACGGAGAAATATCGCTACGTCTATGCCACTACCTCCCGCGGAGAGGCCACCTTGGCTGACGGAATCATGAAATTTGATTGTGAAAGCCAGGAATCTCGCTTGTGGTCGCGTCACGGCCACTCAACGGGCGAACCTATCTTCGTAGCTAACCCCGAGGGTGTGAGCGAAGATGACGGTGTTTTGCTCAGTGTTATTCTTGATGGCCTGTCGGGTAACAGCTACCTGCTTTGTCTTGATGCCCGCGACCTGACTGAACTTGGCCGGGCGAATGTCAAGGGTCCTGTTGGCTTTGGTTTCCATGGACAGCATGTTCCCACTATGGGCATGCCAACGGGTGATTACTAGGAATTTCCTTTGTAAGGGTTTTCCTTAAGCTATGCGGTTCGTGACAGATTATCGAATTGACACTTAACTTAATCTACATTTGTACTTCTTTCCCGTTGTACATTTAAGGGGCATGTGTTACCTCCGCGGAGGGTCTACAATGCGTAGGTAATAAATGACGGCTTAAGACTATGATTAGAGAGAAATGCTTGGCTGCATGATGAAATCCTTAAGATTGCTGTTGTATTGGGACCTGTGATTTACTAGATCGTGTTAGTTTTGCCGTTGCCGGGTTAGCCCCCCGATACGCTGTCACTTAACCTCTCCTTCCGTCGCCTTGACATGGAAGACCCGACCTCGCCTTTTCGATATCTCTTTTCCTTCTCCACCTTCCTTCAACTCCTCTATCTTGCACTCATCGCCGCCCATTTTCTTTCTCTCGCCCACCGACCACTGTGCCTTGGCTTTCAGCATGACGCACTGCGCTATTACTCAGGAAATAACAGACGAGCCTGATACTTCTGTTAGGAAGAGCCTACCGCGTCGCTCCCCTGACGCAATATCAGTAAAACGCAAATTATCACACGACAGTATACGTTCTAAACTCAGACGATCAGGACGATTGACCAAAGAGCTAGAACTTGACGGTGACTCTCCTTCATGTATGCATTTTTGATAATCAATGATAGCAAATATAGAACCTTAGAGCATTAATACGGGAATCCAGCCTTGGATGACAACTATTCGAGTCATTCCGCTAGCAAATACGCGCGGAATCAGACGCTTGTCTGCTTTGGTTGAAGAAACGGATGCCCCGCCATTTTGCCTGACGCTTTTCTCGCATCTGGCCAGACAAGCATTCCCTTTGCGAGATCCAGAAACGCTTCCCTCTCTTCTCCGTCAAGGAAGGAAACTGTGTCGCTTAGTTTCCAGTCGGGGATCAGCTCTTCGTAGAGAAAGCGATCTAAGATGTTTCGTGAGTCTGAAAATAATTCACTCAAGATCGGAAAGCCAGTAATCACCTGCAGTAGTACTCATATCTCAGGTACTAGCTCAAATGTTCAGATCCACCTCATCAGGCTCTCAGGCTAAAACCCTCGTTCTCGTCTCTTCCAATTTCTTCTCGACTACTTTTTCCATGTTTGCTCTTTCGTGTTCGGTGAGAAGGTTTATCCGTTCTTTCCAACGGTCGTCTTCAGTGCTCGTTCCGGGTCCAAAGAATCGGCCATCAAGCTTTTTCCAGAACACCGCGTCGAACGCGAAGCTTTTCCTCGCCGCATAGGTGACCCAAAAATCACCGCTCTCCCAGCTTTGCTGCATTGGCCTAGAAAGCCTTTGTTCATCTTTCAGTCTGCCGCGGTCTATGGCCACGTCCTCCTGTTCACGTAGCACCTTTAAGAACGTCTGAAGGCGTGACTCATACACCTTCGTCCACGCCTCTATCCCATCGGTCCAATACTCTGGTTGTTCAAGAAACAGCCACCATGGTGGGGCGTGGGAGAACTCCACCGGTGCGGCGTAAGTGAATTCCCAGTCCACAACCTCTACGATTTGAAGGTGCTCATCGACTTTAACAATCCCCTTAACTTAAGCTAGGGGTACGGATATAGGCGCAATAAGGAGAATTCGGTGATAAAGGCTAAGGTTTAGGTTATACGATAGGAGACTTAGGAATCAAGTATATCGAGATCGATCCAGGTAGCGGAGGTAGGAGAAGAAGGATATTGAAAGGCCTCTGGGGGAGAGGGCAGACTAAGTATCGTACAGCCGCTCGACTAGGCTAGGCAAAAAGGAGGGAGGCCTTGGTTTAGATGTAGAGGGGAGCTATTTTCGGCGTCGTTTTAGTCGCTAGTGGAAACAGGGGGAACAATCGTTGAAGTCAAGCTCTAATAGTTAACAGGATAAGAGGTAGATAACTTGGTTGGGTATAGAACAGGGGTCGGTACCAGGTAACTAGCGGGCGGTCAAGCGACGGCTTGCTGTCCAAAATTACGAGTGGAAAGAAGACCGTTACTCGCGCTGGAGGTTGTCATTTTTGGCGTCGTTTTCACAGGTCAATAACTTAGTAACATTCCAGAAGGGTCGCGCGTCCATTGATTAGGTCACAAAGACCCCATATATGAATCTGGATGCCATCGTATTATAAGGTCGTGCTAACTAGAACGGGCTAGGACCAAGAGGGCCAACCTATCAATTCTGGGGGGGCGGTCCCGTCAATGACGTTCCGCCTTCAAGAACTTCCTAAACCGGAAAGGCCTGGTTCGGGTGTTTCCAGCCGGATTTCTCATCAATTAGGCTCTGTTTTTCGATAAATACTCGGCGTTCTCACCTCAACAATTGCATACATCATTTACCAATTCATATCATATCGAGCTTTTTCAATCACTGTCAGAGCTACCAAGCTCGGAAAATTTTTGTTCAACATGCTCATTCATCTTTTGCAATCGATTCAATTTTCCCCAACCGATCCTCTGGTAATCCGAGGCGCGATAATTATTCTCCTTCTGCTGAGCATATTTTTTGTTGTTATTATACAATCCGGAAATGCCCAGACAACACGCACGGGAGTCAAGAACCTACGAAGAATCGGATTGATGACTAGCAATATGGCAGACCAATACGATACTAAATTTGCTCTGGCATCGAAATCTACGGTTGCTGGCCTACCACGTATCAAAGCAATATTTATCCATCCCATCAAGTCTTGCGGGCCTATTGAGCTAGATCGCGCCTTGCTCACCAAGACTGGCTTCATGTACGACCGATCGTTCGCATTTGCCACGAAAAAGATCAATGGCAATGACGCAGAAGCCTCCAAGTGGCGATTTATCAGTCAGCGAACGAAGCCACTCATGTCTCAAATTAAGACAGAGTTGTGGCTTCCACATAAGGACAGTGACCCAACTGACCCGCTGGTGCAGTCAGGTGGATGTGTGGTCGGGACATTCGAAGACCCAGACCAACCGAGTTGGATCGAGCGTATTGAGACCTTCTTCCATCCAAGGAGTCTTTCAGAACGACCATGTATATCCTTCATCTTGCCTCTCAATATTACGCCTTCCCTGGCAGAGAGTCACCAGGTCAAGATGAAACCGTTCGGCATCCACCACCGTGAGGCAAAGGGCCTTGACATATCCGGACTCCCTTCTATTGCACGAGCTCTGCCAAAACTGAGGAAATATTTGGGAATACCACGAGATCAAGCCCTCGCTCTTTTCAAATGTACTCCGGATACTTTGACACGAACGGACCGGAACCTCGCGCCACTTGAACATATCGGTACACCAGCTCTGCACGGCTACACGGATCAGCAACCTGTCAACATCAACAGTCTATCCTCGGTCCATGCCGTGTCCTCGCTCCTTCCACCAGAAAACCAGCCTCTGAATGCACTTCGCTTCCGGGCAAACATATGGATGGCAAACGCCCCGGCATTCGAGGAAGAAACATGGAAACGCTTCCGTCTCTTGCCAAAGAGTCGCAGTACAGCGCCACGAGGGAGTGTTGCGCCGACATTCTCTGTTGTCTGTCGAACATCACGATGCACAATGCCCAACGTCAACCCGGAGACTGGAACGGTCGATACCGATATGGCTCTTCCTGGAAAGAAAAAGGGCAAACCACAGCCAAGCACCACAATGGTGCGTCATCGCACGGTTGAGACGGGAAACAAAGCGGCACTCGGGTATATTGGTATGCATTGTGTTCCTGAGGATCGGAGTTTTGAGCTGGTTGAAGAGCAAGAAGGGTTATATGTTGAGGTTGGGGATGAGATGGAGGTCCTTGAACGGGGGACGCATCTCTATGGGTCGACGGGCAACGACTATTAGGACTGATTGTATCGTTCTCAGATGCTCTTTTGAGATCCGATGAAAAACCTAACGACCGAGATGAAAAGCGTGTGTATATTATTTATGTATAATATCTGATTTTTAGAATTGTTTTTTAAATAACGGATGCAATCTTTTTTCACAAAAGAGAGCGAGAGGTGCATTTATCCTCGAATACAGCTCCGGGTCGAGGCTCTTTCTCAAGTCGCTAACACCCAATCCCTTCACATTGACTAATATACACCCAAATCCCCTTGATAGCTTCCAGTACCGGGCCGGCATGGCCGGGCCTGGAAGGGCGTGACAAGACCTAAAAGGTTATTGACTTTTATAGGTACAGCGGTCTGAAAAGCGGGGTGTCAAGAAATTAAATTCCTATCAAAACTCGAACTCATGTTTCCTTCATCCACAATCATCAAGCACTCCTTTTTGATCTCTACATCAATTCCTTGACCATATTACCCAACCAAAATGGCACCCGGCGAACAAAACCTCTCCACCCTCCTCGCAACAATGGAACCCACACTGGACCCAAAAACCTACGTCTTCATCACCACAACCCAAGCTCTGCACTCGCTTCCACTAGCCACAATACAACCCACCCTAATCGCCCACGAAGTCGAGGGCACAACCATCGTGACGACGGCGGACCTTGCCGCATCGCACGGTCTCGAGGGTGTATTCCCGTGCAAGAGAATCTCACTGACGGTGCATTCGAGTCTGGAGGCTGTGGGGTTGATTGCGGCCATCACAAATCGTCTTAAGGATGATCGGATTAGCACGAATGTGGTCAGTGGATATTACCATGATCATATTTATGTGCCTGTGGAGCGAGCGGAGGATGCTATGCGAGTTTTGGAGGAGATGATTGAGGAGGCGAAGAAATAGATATTTCTTCTGTCATACATAGTATCTACAATTTATGGCTGTGTCGGGAAATTACTGAAAGAGATAGAATTCAATCAAGATTGACGGTTCTCTCTATTGAGAAACAAACATCCCCTACTCCATTCCTATGATACACCCAATTCATCGTTCATCGAGGAAGACATCAAACACAAATAGAAGGACAAGGACATGACAGACACCGAGAGAGAAAACCCAACAATCAACAACGACAGAGGGGCAAAATACTACATTGATCCTGTTCTATCTTCCTCGACCAGAGACGCCAGAAAGATAACGATCACCGACCACGAATCCCGTGGGAAAAAAACTCCACTGTGCTTTTAGCGTGCAAGGCTGGTCGAGCCCAAATGATGACCAGCAAATTTGATGGAACAACAACCGCCACACTGGCCCGGTCCCTAATGCAGCACTTATGGTCGGATGACCGTTCAGGCGAGAAGGGGTGGTTAAGCAGACGGGGTATTAGTTGTACAAAATAAGAGGGCGGAGGAAGAGTATGAGGGGAAAGAGGAAGAGGCAGAAAATAAAGACGAAAAGCACGAAGCTGGACTGAACGTGAGCGCTTTCAGTAGTCATCATCTTTCTCGATGACCATGAGAAGCTCAGTCAACTCCTTGCGGAGAGCACGATTCCGATCCCAGACCTCCACAATTTTCGGACGTTGGCTCACGAAGCATGCCTTCTTCCATGAGACCCCTCCATATTTCGTAGCGACCCGTTGAGGAAGTCCTCTGGCAATATTGCGCAGTACAAGTGCAGCCTTGTACGCTGCTCCATAAGCCTCGCCTTTCTCGTTCACCGGTGTGTCCATATAGTACCACTTGCGCACGATTCTCTCTTGAAGAATCGGACGCTTGGTGCTGGGTGGCTGAGCGTCGGCGGGGCGGTCCTCGGGCAAATGAGATGAAACGTGGCCGGCGACCATCGCAGTATTAGTACTGGGTCCCGAGGATCGGAACCGCGTGCAGCTGTCCCACTGACAGGTGTGAATGGGAGTTTCAGCAGCTTCCATCTTGAACTGGCCGGGAGCCTCGGTGGTTTCCAGGTTCATGTGGTCCGCAAACACGTGGTTGCGGAGATCAGTAGGCGATGCAAATGCACGCTGGCACATCTGAGAAGGCTTCGAGTTGTCTGCCCATTTGCAGTACAAGTATGGGAAGCCCTGGAAAGTGTAGGCAGTCTCCAGGGGCCTGATTCCCTTGATGATGAATTTTGTGGCCGTGCCGGGGCCGTTGATGACCTGAGCCTGTGCATTGGTGAAGGTGTTGCTCACGTTTTTGATGAACTCCGCAGCAGGAAGAACACCTCCACCCGCGACTCGGGGGTCAGCGAACCGGCTCTGGTAGGCTTGCCACAAAGCAATCTGTGTGATTTCACACTCTGCATCTTCCACGAAGCAGCATCGCAGCCATTGAGAGCTGCGTTCCGGTTCTGAAAGCTCCATCAGTTTCTCCAATAGCTCTGGCGGCACACGAGGAATATCAGTAGGCGGTGGAGCGACCTTTTCCTCTTGAAGAACAGTCTCTTTCTTTGTCGTTCGGGCCTCGTAGGTAAGAAGAGCGACCATACGAGGCACAAAGACGATCGGGAAGTTGACGACATCCATCAAAGTCTCGATGTTGTCATGACTGAGAGTGTACTGGTACCAGAAGTCCAGCGCACCACTCAAAATGTCTTTATCGAGGTCAAGAAGTGTGTGGTAGTACAGTTGTTGTAGGGCTGGCTTCGACAGACTCTCCATAGCTCGGTTCGCATCGGCCTCATGCAACTCGGTCGAGAAGTGAGTTAATGCCCAGAGAGCTCTCACAATATGCGCACGATCGGGTGATTCCAGACAATTGACCAGAGAAATCCAGAGGGGATCCTCAGGGTCGGTCCTCATGAACTTGGTGACTTCCTCAGCAATGTCGAGAGCGTCGTTCTTGATTTCGTTTAGACGCGGTTGATTTGGCACATTCATCATAATAACCAGGAAGTCTCTAAGAAGGCCACTTGCATAGCGAGAGATGTAGAAGGCGTTTTCCTTGAGCAGTACCATGTTTCTCAACACCAGTGTAGCCTCCTTGATATTCCGAAGCGAGTGATTAAACTCCTTCGTCTCAAGTGTGTCCGTCGGGATGTTTGTGGGGATCTTCCGAATCTTGTCGAGGATATCCCGTGTACCATGAAGCGAGTTGAGTACATTGACACGACCAGACCGTTGTCGAGGGTCATATTCAAACTCCCAACGCACTCCAGTGCAGAGATGCGTGATTTCCAAAGCTTTCTGCATGAGTGACTCGGCAAGTAGGGGGAATCCCTCGAATTTAAACTTATCCCACCGCTGGTTCGAGATCTGAACCAGATGGTACAACGCAAAATCGATTTCGTCAGGGATACCAGATTGAAGACCATAGTGGGCACGCTTGTAAATGTGATCCGCTGCAGTGATGTGCGATTAGCATGTCATTCTCGTCCTCCAGGCAAGGGGTCGCAACTCACTGCGCGGGACTTCCAAAAATCTCAGAGGAAAGTATGGGTCATAAAAATCAGGCTGCTTGGCGAATTTTGTGCGGTCATATAGACTGGCGAATAGAGCGGGTCGGTTACCTGGTGTAGGTACTTCGCGCGTTGACATCGGTAGTTGTGTATGGGCTTTCCCCTCCCAGCTTTCGACAGCAAAAGACGCGCTCTGGGGATTAGCTGCCGGATTGAGGGGCGCATGAGGCGACATCGACGGCTGAGGAGAGCTGAAGCTCTGATGATGCGAGCGACGAGCGGGCGTCGTGTCCGGGACGAACGGTTGGTTTACTTTCGGCGCCTGGCGCAGGCCCTCTGTATGGTGTTAGTAATCTCCCAGCGCATACGTTGGAGAGTAATAACTTACGGCGTAGAGAGGTTCTCTGGGGTGTGGATGCCGACATGTTGATAGTATGTAGATATGGCGATTGGGAGTGGATGTTGATGGAGCTCCTGCACTGCGCAAGCTCTCCCTTGCGAGCCGACTGGTGCGGTCACTTTGACAGACAAGCTCGATCGCAAAATTCGCGCTCAGCCTCTAGAAGCAGGCCTCTAGAAAGGCTTTTGAATGTGATTGACGGCGCCGAAGTCGAGCCTTCGTGGGACGATATTCGCCTGGGAGATAGATGGAACGGTGACAGATTCTCAATCGCTTTCCTTCCAGCTGCTCTCCAAAAGTTTCGTCAAAGAGGAGTCAGCGATGAGTATTGTGACCGATGAATACCAGCGACGGGTGAAGTTTGCGACTGAGTGGAGTCGTCGGGCGCGTGCGAGGTCAAGAGGCGAGGGAGGGTGTGCAACGAGGGCGATCACGAACACGGAGTGATGGCAGGGCCAGGGTGAGTCCGTGGGGTATCGTGAATGTTGGGAGTTTGACAAACTCAGGCGACCGGTGCCACGGGGTATATAGCCGTCAATGCCTTATATGTAGCCCTTGAGGCCAGTGGGAAGAACTGGTCTTTGCGATCAACGGAACTGATCAGCCAAAAGTCCGCGCTCTCTCCAGGCGCGTTCTCGGAGGATTGTTGTTCCGGCACCAGGATACATCGCTGGCGCTATACCCTTTGCAGCCATGGGCGCCTGAGGCACTAGTATATAGTTCGAGCTACGGAGTATAAACTAAAGATGAACAAGGACTTTCAGATAGATTCGAATCATTAAAGGTGAAAAAGCAATTGGTGTAGATTAAGAGTTTCACATAATATCTGGAATTGTCCTACAGTCAGACTCAGTGTGAAACTTGTTGTACTAGATTTCGTCTCTAGCTTTGTACATATGCTTCGCCTTCTCAGAGCACCTGGAAGAAGGATCAAGACAAGAAAGCTGCATATTATATAGGTGCACAATTGTGACCATTCTTCGTGGGTCACATGCTGCGCTTTCTTGGAAGCAGTGAGGAGGCCATTGAGAGTTGGGTGCGCAGTCCCCCCCCCCCCAATCTGGTCATCCCTCCACCTCAACTTCTTTCTCACCCACGCACTATACGCACCTTCTCCAATCTTCAGTTTCATCCAAATCTCTACAAGCTTGCTTGAGCAGGCTTATTTCCACACGATGCAGCAGTCCTCTCGAGATCAAGCCCCTTTGGGAGTACGGCTGCCACTCGCCAAATTCTCATACACAGCCACAGCTCTCAACTCGCACGCCCGGATGGTCTGGACTCACGTCAATGGGAACGGAGATCTGTTTTGTGAGATAGAAGAAAGAGTTGCAGGCGAATGGTTTCAGCCAACTTTAATCCTGAAGGTCGTCCAGAATGACAAGACTCTGGTATGAACTTTTACATGCGCCATGCAGGGAATCCACGAGGTAGCTGACAACTGACGCAGGAACACATTGATCTTGGACAGCATGTTCGGGAACTCAGCAGCAATCCGAGATCCAGCCAGGATTATGCAGATGCAAAGCCAGTCTTTGCCGTGATGGTGAAAGTGCCCTCTGTCGCAATCAAGTATCCACAGGATAGCACCCATGTCGGTTGATCATCAGACCACTTTGAGGGAGGGATTTTGATATACTAACCCCGTGTTTCATTCAGATGCGTCGGTTCCAAGTCAGGTTCACCGAGGACCGCCATTACTACACCACGCTATCCATGCTCAGCGGTATCAATTGTCCCTTGGCGGAAGGCGCTATGCCCGCCTTGCGTCGGCCACCCTCATCCTTATCTGGGGCATCGGTACCGACAGTCCAGATGACAAAGAAGCCTCTACGTGATGTGGGGAATGCGATTACACCTGAAAGCAATGCTCCAGGGTCATTCGGTCATATAGCCCGGACTGCATCTGATATGGAGACGGGTATGGGAGTCATCGTCACTGCCACTGGACCAGCCTACTAATGTTTGAATCGCAGTGGCCTCCAATGCCCAGTCTATTAGCTCAACCAAGCTTCGTCAGCCCATCTCCGTCCTCTTGCCGGATCCACGAACGGTGCAAAACCTTGAGTCAGAGAACGAGCCCCCAGTCGGACGCTCTCCTCGAGGCAACATTGCACAGACAGGGCAGCAAGCATCCCAGCCAGGTCCTGCCCGTCACTCTTCTGGGTTGATCTATCGTGATCAAGAACTCAACCGGATGCTTCCCCCAAAGAGGGACCTGCCTTTCGCAAAGCCGAAGTCGAAGATGTCTCGGGCTGATACTTCAAGCCTAAAATCAAGCCAGCAAATCGTCCCCGAGTCCTCTTACCCGGAACCAGACATCGTGAAACGGCGGGAATCTTTGATGTCTGAGTCACAGTCCCAGCAACTCATTCAGACACAGCCCTACCCGGAGACACTGGAGTCGTTGCAGCACTCCTCGCAAATCCAGGCGACTCTGCCTTATCCCGATACTAACACTCAAACGCAGCAACCAGCCATCCAGTCTTCAGCAGCCGTGTCCAGTAAGCATTCTCAGACGAATGGACGTTCTCAACCCAATGGCCGTTCTCAGAACGACGAGAATGTCAACGCACCAAACGTCCAAGAGCCTCAATCCGCGGAACAACCTGCGTCCATGTCCGTGGAAGAACAGCTCGCGCAGTACCTCAAGTCACCGACTCCGGAGCGCACTGAGTTCCTCAACACCTGGATGTGCGATTTGATCCAAGATGAGAATTTTGTAACCCTTTGCGAAGATATGGAGGGAACATGGAGACGGTTCGCTTTCGGGATGAACCTGTGATGGCGAGGGGTCAAGCCGTGAGTCTGTGCTGTGATGTCGAGATATGATTCTATGTACATTTGTTATCTTGAATAGTTTTGCTTATTTCTTTTAATGTGATGCGTTGCTTTTGGCGAGCTCTTGTATACCCTACTCTGTAGTAGACTTATTGACATGGTATATGATATATGGCTTAATGAATTACTTTGGTCCTGTCAAATGAATTCGCCTAGCTTGCCAGGTAGGTCACAAACAGCAGAGTAGAGCGAAAGCGATCTGGTCATCACTATACATCGGAACAGAAACGAGTGTAGAAGAACAGCGCGTACACATACGAGATCAACGAAAAGCTGGCGGCCAAATTCCACTGGAAGGAATAATAAAGAACGAAATTAGAGAGGCAGGCTATATAGAGTTAGGCAGAGCACTCCAGTGGGCAAGGTATTCTGTCAAACGGCCCAACTACACAGACAAACTGGAAAAATAAGAAGTAAATAAGGCCAGAGTGGAGACAAAGCAATATACTCAAAATGAAAGGCATCTTAACGAGTACGGCGGTAGATGAGACCGGAGAAAACGTTCAGATAACCTTCCTTCGTGAGCATAGTGAAGTCCACTACTACACGACCAGTCCCACCACCCGCCTGCGCAAGCTGCGGCGCAAGGTTCGGCGATGTCTCGCCCTGATCGGCGGACAACCCTGGCGGCGGCGTCGAAGCGTTCTGGCCAACCGAGCCCTCGGCACCCACTGCCAAATCGGCCAGATGTTGAAGCGAACGCTGTTCGTTCGGGCCCATGACAGGATGCTGGGAACCGGCGCCGATTTTGAATGCACCACTGGCGTCGTGGAGAAGTGATTCTTGAGACTTTGCTCGGCGCCACTCGAGGAAGACACGGATCTTGGCGTCCCAGCCGGGCGTTCCAAAGATATTGCTGAACTCAGAAGACTCCATGGAGAGTTTTGCGCGACGCTCCAGGATTTCCTCGACTTTCTCAAGGGAGATCCAGCATTCATCACTGTGTTCGGGCAGAACGGACGCCTCGAGCAGCGTCATAGAGGCGAGAGCGAGGCTGTGCAAATCGAATGGTGTGCAGAGGCGGTTTTGCAGGGTTGCTTTGTGAAGCTCGTTGACCACCTCTTGAGCGCAGTAGATTATTTCATGGGGGCTATAGATGAAAACATGGCGCTTGATGAGGAGGCGGACGGTCCAGTAGAGCTGGTTTTGAAGGCTTTCGAAAAGCGGGCGGGTGGTGCTCTCAGGCATCTCCTGCACTTTGAAGATATCTTCCATCTCCGCGAGGCGCTCGAGCGAGGCGACCATGTTGGCGCCGACCATGCGACCGAGTCCGGTGTTTGTCTGACAAACGTTGTGATCCACGGTGGCAAGGGTGACCATTTCGGTTAGGAAAGTTGAGTAGGCTAGGGCATCATGTTAGCAACATGCTCAATGCAAAAATGAAAGCCATCCAACTTACAGGCGATTCCGGTGGTAATCTGGCCGACAACCCGCTCATCCTCACGGCCACCAATCTCCTGTCCTCCGATGACAGTCGCGTCTGCTACGCTAATGGCGTACCAGCGAGTCAGGATGATGAAGGCAACCCAGCTGCGGCGCGTCAAGTTGGCATCTGAGTCGACATCCGCATCGGCGACTCGCTTGGTCTTTAGCTGGCCCTGGTTCTTGGCCAAATCATACCCAAGCTTGCTCGCCGCCTGGACCAGAGTATGCTTCGGGATGCCATCCTTCAGGACAAAGTTATCCGGGCCCCGCGTATCACAGTCGATGATCATCAGGATCAAAGTCTGCAGCCAAATCAAGTTTGCCGCTGTCGAGTGAACGATCAGAGGCTGGCGGGTGTGGTACAGAAGAAGGTCCTGGGCGTTGTCAAATGAGGTGACCTTCTCGAAGTTGCCGGCAACACGCGACAGGTCAGTGCGAGTGACAGTGTATAATGCATAGCAGAAGATTTCCTGGGTTTCTCGGTTGCACTGGTGAAGCAGCTCCAAGGTACGCTCCCTGGTGTGTGGAAGGATAGGCAAAAGAGGGTGCACCTTCTGATAGTACGCATCCAAGGCGCCCTCGTCGAGATGGACAGGTGCCATATCATCATCACCTTCGTGCTTGGGTAGCTCTGTCATCTCCAGACCACTTGGGATATCTTGCTCATTTCCAGTGGGGTTCCAGAACAGATTGCCAGGCTTAGGCGCGGCGCCGCCCACGACGGTGGGATTGTACGGGTCGGCGGTTGTTTCTGGAGCGTCGAAGGCATTTTGCGACCCGCGGCCATTGAATGATGGCTGAGCAAAGGAAGAGCTCGGCAGTCCCTCGAAGACCGAGTATGTTCGCTTGCGACTGGCAGAGCCGGGGTCCACGGGTGATGTGAAGTCCTGGTACCCTCGTGAGAGGGACACCTCGTTCATTGATTGGTATGGAACATCAGGTTGAACGATACCAGGTTGCATCTGGCTTTCGAGGGTATGGAGGCGTTCGGCGAGCTCTTTGATGTACCTGCACGACCTTCGTCAGTCTGGAGGTTGTTTTGCGGGGCGCGTGTCCACCTACCCTTTGCTGGGCCCGCGCTTCATGGGCACGCGACTGAATTGGCACACCACACCCAGTCGGCGACAATTGGAACACGTTTCGAGGCCAGTCTCCGAGCTGGCGTCACATCGCACCTGTTGTTTTAAAGATTCATAATGTCAGACAGCTGCTAGAATCCGCGCGCCTCGACGGGGGCGATATGGATGCGAGGACTAGCTTCGCGACGTACCTTCTTGCGCCGGCACTCATCGCAGGCTCTTGAAATTTTCGATCGCTTACGCGCGCTCTGTTCACCATAGCTCAGATCATGATTCGGATCCACGCCCACTTGCTGGCTTGGAGGAAACTGGAGCATGTGCTGATGCTGGTGCTGGTCCTCGTTGGAAGGCCGACCCATGTCGCCAGCATTCGACGAGCCCAACACCATTCCTTGACCATGGTGGACACCATTATTCGATCCATCGCCCAGGCCAGGACCAGAGGCCTCGCGCGATAGCTCTGCAGAGAGGAGCTCGTCGGTGGTCATCTGGCGATTGCTGTAGTACGGCATGGCACCCTGGGCCATCTGCGCCCCGTTAGGAGAAGGGTAGGAGGGGGCCGGAGGCATGTCAGACTGCTCGCGGGAGTTCATTGCGCGAGATTAAGTCCCGAAAGACACGAGTTGTGATGGGTTGTGTTAAAAGCGAGCTTCCGGGAGATGGAGGAGTGGTGGGAAGGACGCGCAGGAGCAGCGGAGGCAAGGTTTTTTTTACAGGCTAATTTGTTCGCGGTCAGGGAATTTGGCAGGGGCTAGCGCCGCCACATTGAGCAACGCCATTGTGTTGCGACAAACTGAATTGTATTCGATGACCCTCGATCCTTTTGTTTTTACTTGCTTGGTATAGTTCTTTGCTTCTCGGGATGATCACGGAGGACGGCCTTTTGTTTCTGCGTGTTCCAGCGGATTAATACTATTTCCCATCCCCTTCGCCGACCGGACGACGAGTTTGTCCGATCGTGAGCCTCCACTATGAAGTCTGGCAGAAGCGTTGAAGTCGTAACATAGTCCTTAGGACTATCTCTATTGGTGAGAGGGTAATTATGATGCATTTTCTATGGTGGCCAGAATCATGCCCAACTTTCAAGTTTCCCCCATTTGCCTTTTGAAGTGGCTGTCCCCAGCGCTGGAGCGAGAAGCCTCAAGAATGCACAGTGGCTGATCATGGGTCCTCAACCCATACGATGCAAATAGATTGGAATTCCATAATTATCACCATTCTGCTAGTATATACTTTAAGAGAGTATTTCCCATATTCAAGTTTATCCTTATGCGATATCTCGTCACGATGTGACAAAGTCATTGAAGTACAGTGGTGTGCCATAAGTTTGCAACACCCGGCAAGGTTCAAAGCCATCACCAGCTATGCTTTAAAAGGCAAGTTGAACAAAAATGCCGGGAATATCTAGAAAGTGGGTTCAAAAGACATTCAGAAAGATTTGTTGAAAATGTAAAGTTGAAGCATAGTTAGATGATCTTTTTCCTTAGTCCCTGCTGGTTTCAGACTTTTGAAACTGCCACTGTATGCGAGATGCCTTTGTCGCAAAGCTCCATATCTGCCTAGTTAGCAATCCGCCTTTGCAAGTTCTGGTTCTGGATATGAAAGCTCCTCCAGATATGAGAAAGTACAAATTTTCCCTCATAACGGCCAGCCTGAATCTAGAGATGTCCTGGAATATTGCTTCTTCCACCGCTGCGCTTTCTCGGGCTCTCGGCGCTAGGTTTGCCCGGTTTTGGTGAAATCTCAGGACTGTATCCGGAGATATTAGGCAGTTGTGGAACAGATTAAGCATGTCCAATGTGCCTGGATCTTGATCATGTACTTCGAGACTAAGAATCCATTAGGGGGATAAAGGAATATCGGTATCAACTTTAGAAACACGAGGAAGCACAACGTCGCATATGGAATCGAATGAGGCCAAAGGTAACCAAGACGACATCTCAATGACTTCGACCACAGCATACTTTCGAATTCAATGGCGGACCATTTGAAACGAAAGCTTTTTGAGACTACTGAAGACTGTGTGTTGTGGACTAACTAGAGAAAAAGAAAAATGGAGCTCGAGGAAAAGGATACAGGCGATGTTATTCGGGACTTAAACAAGTCTTGTCGATTTATCTTTCTAGCGTAACACTCCTAGTGTATTCACTTGTTAGACATCAACTCAAACTCATGTTCTCGAAGATATTTCATCTTGTGTATGGTCCTCATTTAGGCCTATCGACTAGCTGGAGTGATTATCTGAATGGCTTTGGATCAATTCATCCAACCAGTCGCGCTATTCGACTTTACCAGTTTCAGTAATCCGGTCGGCTTTCGTAGCTATTTAGGTTGCTACGCTAGCAGGATGCGATGTAATCCCACCTGGCCGGAGTAGTCGCTATTTAGTTACTCCGCGCTCTGTCCTCCGTAGGTTGTCAGCAAGAAGCAAATCCATTGTCGCCCCCGAATGCAACCTCCGTGCGAGTTGACGGACAACAGAGGGTCCGCATACTTTGGTGAATGATTCCAGATAGCACCCAGTAACTGGACCATTCTTGACGGTGATTATTCCACAGATGCATGTACATACAACTGTATTCAACACATAGAGTATGTAGATCACCGTTGACTCGACGAATGTTTTTCTCTCAATTGAACCACCTCCAAATTGACTCCCTGGTTCGCCCGATGGCTCTAACGCCATTTGTCAGGTTGATCCCCCGATCGTAATTTGTGACCCGGACGCAGACCATCCTTCGCCCGCTAACTGGCCTGTCGTCCTGCGATTCCTTAATTTAGATTTCACTGAGACCGCCGTACGGGCAGCCGTGTTTCCTCCTCGTGCGTGTATTGTCTCGTAACCGGAATCCACACCCACACGAGTCATAATTGGCTTGCGCTGGACATTGTTGCATGCGCAGATCAGGGCCCACCACGCTGGCCGGGCACTAGACCCCTCTGCAGCCCGCCCGAAGCAGGAACGGTGACGCCATCCGACTGCGTCGAACGGCGCTATGACATGCAGTACCGTACGCGACTGTAAGTTATCCTTCCGTCCCTGCAACCATGACTGCGATGTGGACAGATTGCAGCCAGGTCTTCTGGCCTTCTTTTTCTTTGGGCATTTTCCAGCGCAGGAGAGAAGACTTTGGCGCAACATGCTTACTGGTTGATATGATTTCTGGCAGCGCCAAGAGGAAGACTCGATGCTTTGCACTAATGATCTGCCCATGGAAATGTGGTTTGCAGGGATTATGGAAAGTTCGATCGGACTGGCTGGTACCTGAAAAGATCCTTGAATCTGGCAATAGGCCGGTTTAATCTACGAATACTGTAGGACTCCCAATAGTGAATAGGAATACCAACCACCAAGTCCCTCAGACAATGATTCTACGCTCCTCAGGGCGAAGGGGCTTTGTCAAGGCTTGGGATGTGCGGCCCCAGATTTTACTAGCGAGATCCATCTGGCCTAGTGGGGATGTTCGTGTAAAGGGCCAAAGGCCGTGCTCGGTTACTCCGCCGGAGAAACGAGAGCTGCCCCAACATTCAATGTATGGGCCTCTGGATTTTTTTTAGGATGATGCATTTTCTTGATGTATGTTTATTTTCTTTTGGCGCGAGCGAGGCCTCGTTGAGCCCACTCCGCGAGGGATAGTGGGATAGGTACTGTAGGATGACAACATGCATCCTCACTCTTTTCAGTCTGCATTTCCCTCGTGGGAAGCTGATAGCTGGACAAGTTTGTGTTGGGACTGTATTCGCGTTGCCACGCAAGGCGGTGCCCGTCGCTATGCAGTTGAATTGGCTGGACCAAAGGATGCCCTGACACATAGATGGATTGACGTATTGATGTACATACGCACGTACCGATGAAGTCTCTGAAGCCAGGGATCTTCTGAGGAGCAAGCAGCCACTGCGATCGAATTAAGGGACTAATTATCGGATGACTTATCTTTCAAGCGGTTGCTAGTCCACTTGGAGGCTTTTGCATCTCAGTGTGGGAGACGATACCAGAACCCTAACCAGAGCCGTACAAAGAGTCCCGGTTCGTGGTGGAGCCTGGCCACGTCCTGGGACACGAGGTGGAGAATGGTACTCCGTAAATTGGCTGGTACGGAGAAAGGGGGGGGGAAGAGTTACAGATAAGTCGACGTCGCAACCTGGTCTGCTATGAGAAAAATCGATTCAATGCCACTGCAGGACGGTGGACGAGGATGATCTGAGGTAATAGGAGACCTTGCGGCTGCAAGATGATGAAAGAGCCTGGTACAGGCGAGAGTCGTCTTCGCTCGCAGGCAGGTACCTCAGGTATCGACTTACATAATATAATACGGGCTCCCGTCACCGTTTTGTCACGGTCTTGTCAGGGTGCCTTGTGCCTCGCCACGGCAGACTGCAGCCACCAGCTGCGCACTGAAAATCCCACTTGCCCCGTCTTAAACCCTTCACCTCCCTCTCTCCTCTTTTTCTTCCCTGCATAGGGTGTTCCTCCAGGCTCCTTCTATCGATCGCTTACTATCTTGGCCGCCACTACCGGTACTTGGTGTCCTGTCTCACGGCCGGCGCCAAACGGTGCGTAGGCTTGGTCCCCCTCTTCGCTCTTCTCTCCTCCTCCTCCTCTTCTTCCTTGGGACTCTAACGATACCCTGTGGTTGTGACGGCTCTTCTCCGGTTTCGCCCTTCCCTCTCAACTCTCAACACCCCCCCAAAAAAGAGGCCAGTGCGATATCCTCCTCAACCTCCCGACCCGTGCGACTCCAATATCAAAATACCCATTATCCTCTTGTATACTGGAAAACGGCGTTTTGTGAACTTTCGCCCCCAAAGATACCCTTTTGTCCATTCTGTTCAATTCGGCCCTCTTGACGAAGCGGCTGAACTATACCCTCCCCCGCCTTGACGGCTCCTCCCGATCCTCATTGCGATCGGTACTTTCAACTTTTTTTACCATTCAACCCCATTGTTATAACCATTTCGCGATTCATCGCATGTGTACCTTTCAATAACCACAGCGATGCTTATCGATGGTGAGAAGTGGGCCTGTGAAGCTTGCGTCCGGGGTCACCGGGTCAGCAGCTGTCACCACAGCGGTATGTCGATCATTCTTCCTCGCCGCGGTTTTTAATTCGCCTTCAATTCGATGAGACTGATCCCCCATTTTCTCCCCGATAGACCGCCCTTTGACCCACATCAACAAAAAAGGCCGCCCAGTCTCTCAATGTTCCCACTGCCGCGGCCTACGCAAGTCTCGGACTACCCACGTCAAGTGCGAGTGCAGCGACAAGAAAAAGAAAACTGACTTGTCCGACTCGCATGGTGACAAGCGAGATCTCAAGCGTGAGCATATGATGTGATGGCGCTGCCATACTCGGTTTCCCCCATTCTGATCTGAATTTTTACAGAGGACTCCCTTCACCGCTGTGGCTGTAGCTATGGCCAGCGCTGCATCTGTGCGCTCAAAAAGGAACCGCATCTGGATACCGTGCCGGAGACAGGCTTGCCCCTGTCTCAGCCGCCGGTTCCTGCTGAACTCCCCCGGAAACCTCATCTCACGTCAACAAAGTCCGAGTCGACGCTGACGATCTTCCGTGACGGTCACCATAAACCCGCCCACAAGCACAATGACATGGCCCACAAGTGCGGATTGCCTTATACAATTCCACGATCACATACCATCCACCACCCCTCCGACCTGCCTCGTCGGTCTGTGGACCACCTCCCGTTGACCCAGTCGGCATTTGCCCAAGAACCTCTCAGCCTCTCGATGGAACCCCTGCCTCAGTCACAACAAACGTCTCAACATGGCTCGCCCAACAGCGTTCCCTCTGCCGGCACGGACGACATTGCGACTACGACCTCTCTCGAACAAGCCTTCCTGGACAGCTTTGCTACCCCTACTTTCCCGTCGACCGCCCCAATGGATGCGTCCATAGACGGTACCTCCAACAACCCGACCTCTGCCCCTACCACCATGGACAAGTTCCCCTTGGAGCAAATCATCACCAGTGTTCCCCCGCCTCTCGACGTCTCGACTTTCTCCACCTTTGCGACTACGTCCAACAACTCCCCGATTACCTGCATGGCCTTCCAGGATCCCTATCATGATCCGTACTTTACCTCCCCCTGACTCGGATGTGCCTACTGGTCCTACTGGTACGGGTGCGCCCTCGGTCGACTGGTCCAGTTTCCCGCTGTACTCGGATGTCCCTGCTTCCACCAGTACGCAAACTCCATCCTACGCCAGCTTCGACTACACGTATCCCTCGGGCCTTCCTCCCCCTTCGTCATCCGGTGACATCTCCGAGGTCGACGAGTTTGGACCGCTGCCGGGCCTCGCACACGCGAGCAACGACATGCACGATCTGCACAGCGTGAGCGAAGCCTCGGACATGGACCACCTCCGCGTCAGCTCTGCATCCTCATTAGTCGGTCTCCCTCAGACGCAGCTCCTGTCTTCCAATGACCTGGGATCGATCAACATCGATGATTTCCTCAAGACCGCCAATGAGTCCACCGCTGCGCTCGAGCATCAACTGCAGGCCAGCATGGGGATCGATCCGAAGCCCACCCCCGCGCAGGAAGTCTACCCTCTCTCGCAGGCCCCGGACTCGGTGCCCATCTGGCCGGCTGGTCTCTTCGACACGACAGGATCCACCTCACCTCTGGAGGAGGACTACTTCCGCCAGTCGTGGGCGCAATAGCACATGGTTGATTCACTCGTTTGGCAAATCCTCTTGTTCTCCTTTCTTCTCTTCCTCCCTGGGGTTCTTCCGCGAAATCTGTCGGGCATTTTTTTTTTGCTTGTCTTATGGATTCCGTGGTCAGTTCTTACCACCACCTCCACACCGTCTTCATGACCTTGATGAGAGATGATGATAAATGCCTGTCTTTTTTTATATATTAGTGTCACCTGTTTTACTAGCCAGTCTAGATCTTCTCATGATATAATTTCAATCTAGAGAGGGAATCTGCGATTCGGAGATATACCGTGCTTTGTACGTGTACATGGTTTACCTATCCTATTGAACTCGCACGGTTGAATTGCCAATGTATAGAGTTCTTGCTTTACATGTATATGTACATGCTCCTGGGCATGAACTTTGGAAAGGCCACGATCTTGATACCCTACAGCTCCATTATAGCGATTCCCTACAGACCCTCGAGAATACAGCATATCCACAAGCTATGTATCCCTACCTCGTAACCTGGTGGTATGCACATGGAACCCCAGCCAGCCACCATCAAAATACTCACCGGAAACACCCCCATCGGCACACCGCGTACTTTTTAATACATATTACCTACCTACCCCTAATCATCCTCCAACTATCCAACGATGTATGCACTTATCCCTGCGTCTAATAACACTCATCACCAACAATTTACAACCTACCACAAAACCATATCCCCGATCTACCCCATACTCTCACGGCCCTCGCATGTCCCGGCAGGAACATCCGAGCTAGGAAACAGGTCCCCGCTACAGTACCACCATCGTCATGCGGTTCCACGATAGATGTAGCGGTGAGCAGGGAACGCGCCGACCGGACAAGTCCCGGAACTAGTTTTATACTTATACTTATACTTACACTTACACTTACACTTACAGTACAAGATGTAGCGAGCTGGTGCTCGTGCTCGTGTTAGCTATAGCTAGTACGGAGTACATAGCTAGGACTGGTAAAGCAGGTTTTGCGTGGTGCTGCAGGGTGTAGGCTGCGCGTGAATGAAAGTTCGAGGCTGACCTCAGGCGGGAGTGAGTGATGGTATCTGTATGTACATAGTCTTGTACAGCAGGGAGGACCTCGTATGGATGTGGTTGTCTTACTGGTTTGGGGCTGCACGGTCCTTCTGTTAGGATTGGATTGGTAAATTGGAGTCGGTTGTTTGGTGGGAATGGATGGGGATTACGAAAACACCTCCCGAGGTCTTTATGATTATTTTCATTCGTCGGGTTGAGGAGGGGATTGAGGTCATGCACGAGCTCGTTTTTGGGACGTACAGTTGTAAGGAATTGCTAGTTTCTCATCGGATTCGGTTGATACCCTCCAGATTCCCTTTGTGCTCATCGAATCTGCCATTCGTGGATATGGAAATATATACTCACGTGCCCACCTGATTCATCAAGTAGATAACCTAAGTAGCGGTGTGCTGGGCTAGGTACACCCAGAACCACTGACAATAACTATAGATGGGATTATGAATAACCTTATTCCCTCGAATAGATCAAGTGAGCCCCGCTTAATAGGTTAGGTTAACCTATAGTCCACGCGTCACAGTCATCGTCGAATAATCACAAATCCTTATCTATGGGTAGACGCGATCCGTCGCCCAAGAGAAATATATCAACAATATCTACTCCGTACATACATCGCATATAATACACACACCAAACTCTAAACCAAAACTACCTATTGGAAGCCCTGTACCTACCTCTCCAGATAAACCAGCTGATCAACTATAGTACTACTATACCTAAACGTATCAAGCGTACCGGGGTCGCTAATCGATCCACCGTACATACCAGGCCACCCTACACATACCGGCGTCACCAAGGGTGGAGTGCGCAGCCGTAATGTACAGTACGCTGCACCTACAGCACTGCACAAGTATCTCATGAGTCAAGCCTTGTCTGCATGGTCTTGGCGAATGCTTAGCAGTGCACGGGCCGTGGGTATACAGGGATTGACCTTGCTCGTGGGGGTGGAAGGTGGGAAGATGCGGTCTAGGATCTGCGGTGGACGTTGGGGATCGATAGGTTGGGAGTTGCAGGGTAGGTAGTGGCTAATAACCTGCTAAGGTTGAGGTTGTGGAGTTCCATCTATTCGGGTTAGGTTATAGAGGTGATTTGGTAGGTTCGCTCCCCGCTATATCTGGCATGAATAGGTATTCCATCAATGAACTCGATGTCCACCCGACTAGCAAAACATTCTAGGCAATAGGTGCATCTAACTAAACTCATTGTATGTGACGCGACACCTATAATTCATCCCCGAACGGAATGTCTCAAAACGCGCCCCTCGAACCACCCGAAATCCACGATGAAGCAGAAGCAAGGGAGAACCCACTGGAGCTTCAACCCGAACCAGACTCGTTATTTCTTCTTCAGTCTGCATTGCAGCCGCAGGACACGTTGTACATGGTGCAGCTGCCTACCTGCAGTTTCAGTTTCTCGGATCAATCGGCACTTGAACATACAGTACCAGGAGGTTGTGCAGGGGTAGCTTCATGTGGGTCATGGAGGTCCTGTAGGTAGGGCAGGAAGTATGTTAAAACACCCGTGGAGGTATTTCAGCCGCGAGGAGTTTGGTTATGACAATTTTGAAGTGCGGGTAGAGTGATTGTTTACAGATTAGGTTTGTATTGTGCTTGGGATTATACTTACAGTCTCATGCCAACTCATGCCAACTCATTGTCTACGGGCATGCACAACCACACCAGGCGAAATTGCACCGGTGAATACTTGTACGGTACGATCCATCTCAACAAAAGCCTAGACCACGAGGGAAACAGTACATAACAATGATCATTGCGTATATTCTATAGGTATGGTATCAAAAAAGCCCAGACGATCATAGCGTCCCGGCAAGTAGACGAAAAAAAGCTCACACGAGCCCACCGTCCACCCATCTCATTTTAACGACATGATACAAAGGCATCGAACTCGAAGCCCGAAGTTCGCAGCTCAAGGCGCAATGAATGCGCAATGCTCGTCATGACCAAAAAGGAAGAAGAATGAGAAAATATGCAGTCGTCTAGCATAACTCGTTATATTGTTCTTCTCTTGCCTTGTACATGTCGGTTTCACCGGTACTGGTCTAGGAACTCGGAGTGGAATTTGACGATGCGCTCGACCCAGTCGGTGCCGGGGGCCAGGAAGGTCGTGCGGAAGTGGAAGGTGCCTTCCTTCTGACCAAAGCCGGAGCCAGGCACGACGCAGACGCCAGTGGCATCGAGCATCTTCAGGCAGTAGAACTCATCGGCGGCGCGGCCTTCGGCCTGGGCGGCTTCGATGGCCTTGGCGGGGAGGTTAATGGTGGGGAAGAGGTACATGGCACCCTAGTGATAATCTGTCAGTTACCAATTCACGTAAGATGGGATGTCTTGGGTAGTAACATACCTGAGGCTTCTGGCACTCAACGCCCTCCATACGCTGGAAAGCATCGTACAGTGCAAGAGCACGACTGTGCAGACCATCCCGAATACCATTATACTCCTTCTCATATAGCTCGAAGCTAGGATCGCCAGCGCGAGGAGGGTTGACCATCGTCTCAAGCAGGCACTGTGCAACGACCGGCGGGCACAGCCCAATGCTAACAAGCTTGTAGATCTGCTCCTGAACCTGCGGGTCGAAACCGACCAGCTCGAAGAAGCCACCGCGGTGGCCGCACTCACCGACCATACCCTTCGAGGTACTGTGGAAGGAGACCAGCTCCACGGCGTCGTACTTGCCAGGCTGCTCCTTCTGGAGCTGGCGCAGGCGCTTCTTGAAGGAGACAAACTCGCCCTCGAAGACATTGGTCTGGTAAACCTCATCGGCCATGATGACCAGCTTCTCCTCTGCAGCAATGTCGATGACCTTCTTAATGTCATCGGCAGTCAGGGAGGCACCAGTCGGGTTACCGGGGTTAATTACGACGACGGCGCGAACGTTGGTACCAGCCGCCTTGGCCTCCTTGATAGACTGGGTGATGGCACTGACGTTGGTGCCCCACGCCTTCTCCTCCTCCAGCAAGTAGGGCACACACTGCGCATTCAGAAGAGCCAGGGTAGCGGTATACAGCGGGTACTGCGGGATGGGGACCAGCACGCCGGCATTGGAGTCGTTGCAGATAACATTGAGCAAGGTGTTAACACCCGACGAAGCACCGGCAGTCAAGAACAGATCCTGGGGGTTGGCGGGGAAGCCATCACGCTCCTCAATGAACTTGGCAACGCTCTTGCGGATACCGGGAGCACCCTGGCTGTGACTGTAGGCACCGACGCTCTGCACGTTGGCCAACAAGGTCTTGGCCCGGTCGATCACATCCTGCTTGTATCCGAAGGAGTTCTTCAGAGCCTCGGGGTTCTCGAGAAGCAGCGGGTTCTCGACGAGACTGAGGACTTGACGGAAGAAGGTAATGGGCTTCTGGTCGAGTTGTTGCGGGTTGCCAATGTTGGCGAAGATAACGCTGTCGAAGGACAGTGACTTGTCCCCATCGGCCAGACGCTGACGGTACTCCTCGGCCTTGACGGCCAGCTCACCCCGCACGGCGTACTTGGCGGCTTTAATGTGTGGGTTGATGTTGTCCACGGTGAGACATCTGGGCTGGGTCGTGGTCAGGGTACGCTTGGTATAAGCAACAGTGGTTTTAGTCATGGCGGACACTGATGGGAAACCCCGGGGGAATCAGAGTTAGTGATATAAAGTAATGATAATGAATAAGTAGGTCGAGCACAGCCAGCGAGCGAGGTATAAGAGAAGTTGTGACGAGTAGTAGTCGAGGTCGAACGCAAGGTAAAAGTCAAGGGAGCCTTTTATGACGACAAGGCAGGTACGAGCCCGGTGAAGCAATTCACGAATGTGGAAAGAAGCAATGCAATATAGTCATACAATCGTAGCGGAAACCGCGCTTGGAGAGGGGCGAGGGAGGGGTTTTTGGGACAAATCAAGGCGGGCATCTACATATAAAACGCAAATCATCCCACGTACCTGGTCCAGCGGAGAAGCCCCCCGCAGCGCCGCGCGCGGTCGGGCGAAGTAGGAGGCGGCCATACGGCCGGGTCACGAACACCCTCGGAGAGGCCCGCACGCTGGTAGCAAGCGTCGATTGCCAGGACATCGTCGGAGTCAGACGATCAGAGAATCACGGATCGAATCAAGGCCCTGGTTTGGCTTGTGTGCCTTGGGATTTGCGCCTTGGGCGTTGGTATTTTGCTTTTGGGGAGAAGAAAAAAAGTCCGTTTTCCAGGGACCAGGGCTCGCTCAATGGGCGGTGAAGTTTGTGAGTCAGCATTGACTTTTTTACGTTTTCCCCACGGTTTTTGGGAAATGTGGAGTGGTGTATCGGACGAGAAGCCGATTATCTACAGTGAGGAGGGTTCCAGCAGGGATTATGATAAGGTAGTGTATTGGATGATGAAGTTGATAAGAGAGACGAGGCTAACGAAGGACTGTCAGGTATACGGTATGCATGGTTAACCCAGCGAACTCGCGATGGAGACTCCGTCATGGGCGATCTTCTCCTCGGGAAGCCTCCCGTTGCCCGATGCAAATGGCCTCTGGTCTCGCCCCATCGGGCCCTCCGGAGCCGCCCGATATGCGGGGGAGTTGATTATACAATGAAATGCTACATGGGGAACGATGTCATGACATGGCATCTATGACAAACATGGGAGAGGTATATAGTCTTCGTCGAAAATGGTATCATAGCACATGGTAGCATCTAGCACAGAGCGACCAGTCGTCTATCACCATCCTACGATACAGTACGACTCCATACACAAGACACAATTGGACCATGATAGATAATATTTCTGCGTTCAGACATGGACGGAGGGTGGTATCACCGAATCATCTCTAAATAAAAAGACAAGGACACGGCTCCAATTACAAATCCCCCCTTAACAATGCATCCGAATTTAACTGCGCTCACTGCCCCGCAGACGGACGGCCTGTCCGTACTTCTGCAGCTTCGTGATCAGCGCATCGCCGTGCTTGACCACGTCCGAGTATTGCTTGTTCTTATCGTCGGGCCGGTTGGTCTCGATGATCCCGTGGACCCGGTCAATCGTGCAGGAAATCCGGTTGCTGGAGATGAATTTCGCCAAGTCCCTAAAAATCGCGCAAGTTAGGTAATGGCACAATGGGGACCCCGAGGATAGCCGCCGCCGAGGGAAGAGGAGGAAAAAAAGTAAACATACCGGTCCAAGTAATCCACAGTCACGCCAAAGTCATTCGCCATAGTGGTCAGACCCACTACCCGATAACTTTGAAGAAGCTGCTGGTAGGCGCGCAGGCGCATCTCCCGGACGAACCAGGCCCGGTGCTCATGCAGGTACCGGTCCTGGGTCAAGAAGTGGTCCTCCACGGCCGCAAGAGCAACGAAGAACGAGCGGTAGTTACCATTATACAGACTGTTGACCAGATTGGCCAGCGAGGAGAAATCAACAGGGGCCTCATTCTCTGCCTGCTCGCTCGAACCGGTGACCAGGGTGGTCAGGTTCATGATGGTGGTGGCTCCTGCCGACGTGGTCGACTTTGATACCGTCGCATCTTTCATCTCCTCATCTCGAACACCCCGACCAGAAGAGACTTCACCAGACAGCGCGGCCAGCTGATCGTCTCCAGCACCCAGGATGGCCTTGATCTCAGGCGCGTCCACCACCTTTGCCTTAAAGTCCACCCGCTTGAGGGATAGAGATCCCGCTAGTACGGAGTAGATGACCAACGAGGAGTAGCTACAGAGCTCATAGCTGGTAAATGTGGACAGGCTGTCAAGGAGGAGGGGAGCGGCGAGGCTGTATGAACGGCAGGTGAGAAGGTGCATGCCCTTGTAGGCCTTTAGACGATTCCTCCGATCCCAGTCTCCACCGCTCTCCACTAGAGCCTCTGCACGCTCGATAGTCTTCTTGACAAACACGCGGTCTCCAAAGAACAGACCAATGCGGATCATGGCGAGCACCAGGTCAATCTTGGTGCCGAGGAAACCGATCTTTTCGAGGAGGGCTTCGTGCGACTCGATAGCTTTGTCCTATACAGTACAATCATCGTTAGGTAGGGAACCGGGTGGCAATATTTTCAAACATCTTTCGCTCCATACCTTATCTCCCACACGAGCCCAGAACTCGGCCCGTTTTCCCCGTGCAGCCTGAACCTCGGTCTCACCGGCGGCCTCCTCTGCCTGATCCTCCTCCTTCTGGAAACCCTCTAGTTCTTTCTTGTTATCCTCAACTAAGGACTGGTAGAGCTTCTCATCCCAGGGGAAATCAATCTTGGCTGACGTTCGTGTAGCGAGCATGTTGGAGGTGATGAGCGGCTTGGAAGTCCCTGCATTGTGAGGGTGCGGGTGTTGCGTCACGCCCTCGCCCGAGTTGTTCAGGATGCCTTCAATGGGATGGGCCAGGTGGCGGTAGAAGGGAGCCATTTTACGCTCCAGGACCGCATCTTGGAGCTTCTTCAATGAGGCCTGCTGGGTGGATGGGTTGCATGCAGGGTTGGAGAGGTTGAAGACATGTTGGGCGAGGACGAGGTCGGGATACTTGATGTACTGTGGATCAGACCCCATGATTGAAGATGGGGACTGATGAGTGTGACGATGACGAGAAAAAAAGGGTGGAGGGTAGAGAGACAGGGAGGTGTTTGTGATGGGATTGTTGGATGGCCAGTGATGCATCACGTAGCTGGTTCCCAAGCTCAGCTGGCGGAACGTTTCTCCGGCGCCGGTGCTTTGGTCATCATTGATGCCTGATTTAACAGGCCACAATATTCATACTTCCGGGACCCTGCGATATTCGTCTTCGCATTGATCACTTTATTGGCTTTTGTGTATACTTACAGGATGGCCACTTTACTGGGCTTTTGACATTTAAGCTCCTTGCTAGTCAAAGATTGCGTTGCGCTTGTTCTGCATGGCGAGTGATCGCCCTGGTTGACTGACTGCCGACCTGCTGCTGTCGAGGCCTTTCCATCTCCACTTTCTAAGTTTGGACGGTCAGCTTACCCCGATCATTGGAGACTATTGAAGTACATTTCTCACTGCCGTGCATGTGTAGGGCTAGGAGTCTATTGAGGCTGGCGTCAGATTACTGTGCTTAGTACGGAGCACGGAGTACCTAGAGGGCCATCTTCATGTTCCACTTCCCTGGCGGCGAACCCCCAGAAAGCATTGAGGACCAATCTAATAAACTCGCGGCATTACATTATGAGCGATAATTTCTTGGCTTTTCTGTCTTCTTTGTCTCGGAAACCAAGTCCAATAATCCGGACCAGGAACAGGAAGGTAGTTTTCGGCTTTCTATCAGGGGGTTGCGGGACCTCGAGTACTGGTACATTGGTGTTCCGCGAGTCTTCGTCCACCCTTGGTCTACCGCCTCGTCTTCCGCTTTCAGTGCGAACTTGACTGGTCTGTAACTTGTCGTTCAAGGGACTATTGACCCCTTTTTTTGTGATAGTTCATTCAAGTCCAAACATCAGTCTCTATCTATCTCCTCGCAGCCACGGAATGTGTATAAGTCATGCCGGAAATAGTAAGATGATTTGACCGGCAGAATATTATGTCATCCGTGTGGATGAACTGTACTCCAGTAGGTACGTCCAGTAGTTTTGGTACCTTTCCCTCACGGTACCACCCGCCAGCCTCGGGGCGCCCCTCACACGCCACGCTCCACTTCTTCTCCCGAAAGTTTCAAGACGGTCTCCAGTCCCCCCAGGGAGACCGATCGAACTGACTCGCACGTGCATCGCTTCGTTGGATACCAGAGCAGGGAACCAACTGCTGCCCACGCGGTTGGCTTTAAAGTTGGCCTGTCATGGACACCTTGTGGCTGCGATCGCGTTGCCTTGATCGGCTCTAGCTTGCGTGACCACTGCTAGCCCGATATCAGATCATCGGCCTGCCGAGAGAAATGCAACAACCAAGATGGGCTGTCCGCATTCCAAGAGGTTCCCAGCCAAGAGGCCGAGCCAGGACCAAACTATGATGCGTCTGACGGAAACTCCGTCTGCCCCGTACCTCCTGGCACGATGAATGCTTAACCCGATGGAGACTCGGTGCGAGCCCCACACGGGACGAAGGTGACGGCAGGTTCGCATAGAGCCAGACGCACGTACGAGCGTTTAGTCTTTTTTTTTTTTTTGGAGTCGTACTCGGTAGTCGGGAATAATACTACGGAGTAGTCTGCTTCGACTTGCTATTCCCGGTTAGGAAATACCTCTGTTGCCCCAGCTGACCCAAGATTCACGGTTTCTGTTGTTGCTGGGATCTGCACGCCCCAGTCCTACTTAATCGCCAGCTTTACGCCCTCGCTCCTCTGGCTTCCTTTCCTCTTTCTCACTCCCCAGTGCCTCCTTCATTGCAACCCTGCGTCCTGGTCCCCCCGCCCGTCGGTTGACATCCGCTGGTCCAGTACTCTCCCCCTCGGCGGTTCGTGAACTACGCGATCGAGACTTTCCGCGCCCCGAGGTGAGCGATACATCCTAACCTCCTCTCACACCCCCGCTCGATCTCTTTTTGCGATCGTCGAGTCCTTCTGCTGATGTCTCACGGATAAGCCGCTCGCTGCTGCTGTTGCTAGTCAACCACCATGAGTGCCGATCTTCAGTCCCAGAAGATCATGGAGGAGAAGAACTCCACCCCGGTCGACGAGACCACCCTCGACCTGCCGCCGCTGGATCAACTGCAAAAGGGCCGTTGGGAGCGCACCTGGCCCACCATCGCCTGTGGTGCTGGTCTGTTCTCTGACGGCTATCTGAATGGAGTATGTGTTCTGTATTATTTTCTTGTTGCACTGCTTGTCGCATACTGTTTACCCCAAAACTGCGCCCCGTCCCACATCGACCCTGTGATCTCCAGAATATCAGACTAAACCCCTTTTGCATTCACAGGTCATTGGCCAAGTTAACACCATTCTTGGGATGCTCTACCCAGATACCTATGCCAAGTCTCCGGCCAGCCAAAATGTCTCGGCCATTGCCTTTGCGGGTACCGTTGTCGGTATGCTGATCTTTGGCTACACCAGTGACCACTGGTCGCGGAAGTGGTCGCTCATGATATCCACCATCATCCTGTTCGTCTTTGCTGCTCTGTGTGCTGGTTCCTATGGTTTGAATGGAAGTCAGTATGGCATGTTCGCCGCCCTGACCGCATACCGTTTCTTTATCGGCGTGGGAATTGGTGGTGAATACCCTGCTGGCTCTGTCGCGGCAGCCGAGAACTCTGGCGAGCTCAAGAAGGGCCACCGTAACCGTTGGTTCATCATGTTCACCAACTTTCAGATCGACTTTGGGTTTGTTGTCTCAGCCTTGGTGCCTTGCATCCTGGTGTTGATCTGCACGGAGAATCATTTGCGCTTGGTTTGGCGTCTGTCTTTGGGTTTGGGCATTATCCCTCCCCTGAGTCTGCTGTATCTCCGTCTCAAGCTGGAGGAGCCTGAGGAGTTTAACCGCGAGCGGATGCACAAGTTCCCGATCTGGCTGATCATCAAGTGTGTCCCCTAGCTGCCCCATTGATCCAAAGTATACTACATCCGTGCTAATTGCTTCTCCCAGGTTCTACTGGTTCCGCATGGCCGTCGTCTCTCTGGTCTGGTTCATCTACGATTTCTCGTCTTATTCCTTCGGTCTTTACTCCTCTGAGTGGATCGGGATTATCACTGGCGAGGATGCACCCTTGTGGAAGACCTTTGGCTGGACCACTCTGACGTACCTGTTTTACCTTCCCGGCTCCGGGGTTGGTGCATATGTGAGCGACTGGATCGGTCCTCGCAAATGCCTTGCCCTCGGAGTGCTTCTCCAAGGTATTGTTGGGTTCATCATGTCTGGATGCTACAAATTTCTTGCGACATCCGCGAATGTGGGTGGCTTCGTGGTAGTCTATGGGTATGTTACACCTCATCCACGAACGTTCTCTTTCTGCGGTTCCTGACCAGTGATAGTATCTTCCTTGCACTGGGCGAGCTTGGCCCTGGTAATAACCTGGGCCTGTGTGCAGCCAAGAGTAGCGCGACTGCCATTCGTGGTCAATACTACTCGTATTGTGCCGCCATTGGTAAGGTTGGTGCGTTCGTGGGTACCTACGTTCTGCCCATTGTCCGGAACAACGCCCCCAACCCTGTTCGCGCGGGCCAGGATCCGTTCTTCGTCTCCAGCTCGCTATGCATCTTCAGTGCTTTCCTGGCATACTTCCTGCTCCCCCAAATTGACCAGGTGTGTCTTGACTCTGATTGACGGCTTGGGGATCTGTCCGTTAATACTAACACCGATGTAGGATACCATCACCACCGAGGATCAGCGCTTCCGTGAGTATCTCGCTCAGAACGGCTATGACACCTCGACCTTGGGCAACAAAGACAAGATCACCACACAGGAGACTGTCGCCCGTGATGACCTGGTGTAAGCTATCCCCGGACACGATCATTGCCCATACCGTACGTTGATATCCCGCACGCGCCATGACTTTGTTTTTGTTTCTTCCCCACACCCCAACACACCGGCCCCCTTAATGATTTTCCCATGGTGCGACTCCTTGGATCTACTCCCAAAGCGACAACACGCAGCGATTATCCCTGCTGAGTGAAACGTGACAAGATCTCGGGACGATCCGGCGATCGTACATTGATGAGCCCCAGTGCGACACGAACAAGAAGAAGTTGCTGGCACTTGCGACCTTGAATAGCATTTACCGTGCTGATCTGCGGGTGATCTGTCTCGGGGATGCAATTCCGGTCCAGTTTCCATACAATGCGTTTTCCACCCCAACTTGCTTGTATGAGTGCCTGCTTTAATGTTTAATGAGGGGTGGAGGATAGGAACGAAATCAAATTTTAAGGTCAATGCCAGAACCGTATGAAATGCTTCTTATGCGAACATTTAGATCGGTAATTCTTGCGGGTTCGAGTTTGTTGTAGTGACAGGTCCGAGGCCGCCAATGGGATACGACGGGCGATAGGCGGCATTGGGCAATCGGCGTAATTTATACAATTTTGACGGGCAGAACTTAGAGACTGACTTATTTATGCAGTGGGGTTTCCCAGATGCTCGAGGTCTGCAGGCGGATGTCTAGGACGCCGGCTTTCTTAGACAGGGTACCTTATATAGTAGTGCCTCGAGGGAGATGAGTGATGGTCGTCTCGTACTTCTTGATATATCTTTTACGGATACTCCGGCATTATATACTGGTACCTGTACGGTAGTTCTACTTTATTCAGACACAGGGCGGGAGGGTGACTCCAAAAGCGGTCAAACAATCCGCGGTACATTACGCTGTTTCTCTCATGGCCTCTATCGTCCGAGAGGCAGGTCTGGGGAGACGAAAACCGACCGGAATGACAGAAGAGGGATCATCTACTGAGGATCAAGCAGATTGATAGACGAGATGCCTTCAATCAAACATACAAATCAAAGCATCAAATCCGGGGATTAGGAATAAAAAGAGACAAGAACAAGCATTTCACATGAAAGACTCCCCCCCCATCCTGTCAGCTCTCCAGACTTAATTTTTTCTCCAGAACGGGGACTGGGGGACAGCCGCGCTCCACACGGTCCCTTCAGCCGAGGTTCACCGTCCGCGGCTCCAGACGCCGGTCAATTACCGACTCCTATCACCACCACCGTCACCATTTCCATCCCATCCATCTTTCCTTCCTTTATATTGTCGAGTGTTCCCGCCCCCGCTCGATTCAAGGTCCCTTTCCATACCTGACATCAACTGCCTTCGGATCCCGCCGAAGCTGATCCGGATCTCTCAAACACCACTCTCTCGTGATCTGAAATTGAAGGAATCATGGTTGCCGACGCTCTCGTCTATCACCCTGCGCTCGCGCACTGGCTGCGCTTTGTCGCGACTACCGGTGCGTATATCTTGATCGAATAGTCTCCCTCACCACCCTTCGCACCACAACCTGCCTGCCCCCAAGATAAACGATGAATCGGGATGGCATGACACCGAACTTCAAGCCCACCCCGACTCTAAACACCCAGATCCTCCTACTCCCAACACAATCCCCCAAATCTCAACGCAGCATAACTAACTCACTCACCCAACCCCAGTCGGCCGCGACAAGCTCCTCCGCACAATCCAATACTTCTCCCGCTTCTACGCCTGGTACCTCTACCGCACCAACAAGCCCCAGTCCGCCATCGACCCCTACAACGCCGTCAAGAAGCAATTCGGCACCACCCGCAAGATCCTGCGCGTCGGCAAATTCGCCGAACACCTCAAGGCCGCCTCCGTTGCCTTGGACAACAAGGGCCCCCGTCGACCCCGTCCTGCGCTACCTCGCCGTCGGTCGCCAGCTCGGCTATGCCGGATACCTGTCGCTGGATATGGTGACGGTCGTGGACGCGATCGGGTACCGCAAGTTGGCGAGTGTGAAGCGTCTGCAGGAGAGCGCTTACCGGTCTTGGGCGGCGGGTCTGGCGTGCAGTGTTGTTGCGGGTGTTTATACGTTGTTCCGGTTGCAGGAGAAGGAGAAGACTGTTGATCGGAAGGAGGGTGAGGGTGTTGTTGAGGCGAAGAAGATTGAGAAGTATGGGCTCCCTTCTCCGGTTTCCCGCGTTTGGTTTGCCTGTCGATACTAATCCTTTTTTTGCTTGTAGGGAGCGCGCTGCTGCTCGGATACAACTCATCTCTGACCTGTGCGACTTGACCGTGCCCGTCTCTGCTCTGGGCATCGCCCAGCTTGACGATGGTCTGGTTGGTCTCGCCGGTACCGTCAGCTCGCTGATCGGAGTGTGGTCGCAGTGGCGCAAGACCGCATAAGTGGCTAAACGACCTAGACTCGTCTCTGATGCAGACGGGTATGCACTGGACGAGCCTAGTCTATATGGAGATCCGTCGTGTTCCCCGTCTAGGCCACGATAAGAAAGAAAATCGCAGCTTAGGGCAAGGAGTCTCGCGATATCCCTTTGATCTGCTTGGTAAACCCTATATCCTCGATTGCGTTCATGAACAACCCCCTTTTTCCCCCCTTACTTCTTACTCTTTCTCTTATTTCGTGTTGTTTATGGGGGAGATGTTTAGATGCCTACGAGCTCTTTTCTTGCGTATATAGCAAATTCCATTTCGTGTTACATGATCACTACGTGGGGTGTATGGGATCCAACCAAAATAGTAAATTTCATTCTCCCTTCCTAAGAAGCGGTCATCATCGGGTATCTCAGAGCCCAAAACTAGCGCATCCATCTCGCTATTACACTTCGCTACCTAGAACCATGCCCTTCTGCTATGAAGCTTCAGGCGAGACTGTCAGGCTCTTTAAACGGGGCAGGTCTATAGCGAGTTAGCCCGAGGACCTTGTTAGAATCGGAAATCCACGAACCGCGCCGCATGAGCCGCAGCTCTTGCCGCCCGAGATGGGGGCACTGCACTTGGGGCAGGAAGGGTGTCCGGACATGATGGAGTTGGTTGGAAGGTTTGAGGGTTGTTGGTTGAACTGGTGGTGAGTCTTGTTAGAAGGGGATCATACAGGCGTTGGTACCCGGTGCTTTTGATCGGGGAAGACATGAAGCCTACCTTTAAGATGGAGTTGTATCTGGATGGAGAAGAGGAGAGTATCTGGACGAGTGATCGAAGAGGAAAAGGTCAGGGAAATCTCGTTAGTTGTTTACCCCGCCACCAGCCCCGCTTCATTTGGGCCACCAGCACAGTCCTTTTCTTGGAGAGTACACTGGAGAAGTCGGTTGCTTGATGACGGTGACACGAGATCGGAGAAGATACTGAATATAATTTCCTCATGGCCAACGGATGAACAGGTATACACGTCCCTCTTATAGTCCTACAAGGTCTCAATCATCCGATCTTCATATATCACCATCAACCCTCCCCAGAAACAAACCCCCTCGGCGACTTCTCCTTCCACATCATCCCCAACTGCCGCACCGCATCCCCGTACATCCGATCCCTCGGCCCATTCCCCAAGAAGAAAGAAGGCCTCTTATCAAATCCATGAACCACATCTTCAATTTCGAATCCCCCAACATGCACCAACCCCCGGGGCCCAACAAATCCGCGCAACCGCTCCCGAAACGCATTCCCCTCGACAAGCAACTGATCCCATCCACACGTATAAATCGCCACAATCCCCGGATACGACGCCAATATCAGTCCCTCGGGCGCTAACCCCGGCGACACATACGGATGAGACATATCAATCTCATCCGTGCCAACCTTCCGCGGCAAATTCTCCAGCATCAAATAACTATCATCAAAGAACTTGAACACATCAGGCGTGATCATAGATTTCCTCGCCGCAACGGGATTCGTCGCATCCCTCTCAATCCGACTCCGCGACCAATCCGTAGCCGGGTAAAACGCAATCAACCCAGCCAACTTGATTCCGGGACATTCACCCTGGCGCACGCAGCGCTTGAGCAGTTCCTCGCGGAGCCGCAGTGGAATCGTCAAACACAAATTCCCCCCGCCGAGTCCCCGCAGACCACGAACCGCCTCCGATCAAGTCGATACTGCCCCGCATGCTCCCACAGCCAAATCACCGCGTCAACGCCATCTTCCATCGGCGCCGGGAACGGGTGTTCCGGCGCGAGGCGGTATCCCACGCTCACGACGACTGCGTCCCGGTGTGCGTGCAGCACGGCTGCGATCCAGCGCGCGTCATCGAGTGGATGGCCGATGGCGAAGCCGCCGCCGTGGAAGTCGATTAGCACGGGGCGCTTTGTGTGGGGTTGTTCTTCGTCTTCGCCGGGTGAGAGCAGGGTGCCTGTTGCGGTGAAGAAGTAGAGTTGGATTGTGCCGGGGATTTTGCTGACTGTTGTTGGGATGGTGAGTTCGAGGGCTGGTCGGGAGGGCAGGGGCCAGGACAGGTAGCGGTCGAGCCAGGAGATGATTCCGGCGACGAGGCGGTAGCGACCTGCTTTTTTGGCGAGGTCTGTTCTTGAGGGGAGGGGGGTTGGGGTGGCCATGGGTTGGTGTGGAAGGATGGTCAGATTGGGGATGGAAGTGCGTAGAGGTGAGTATGGTGCTTGTGGTTTGTGTTAGGATTGTATTTTGATGGGATAGAGGTCGGGGAAGTACATCCGGTAGGGCATGACGTAGAAGATGGTCATTTGGATAGTCTGTAGATGAAGGGCTGTGATATCGGAAAGCACGGTTAGTTGACCAAGATACAGAAATATCAAGATATAGATCTAAATAGGAGGAGCAGTGAAACTTGGTTTATATAGATATGTGGATGCAATGCACATAGTCTGCTTTATAGCTAAATAAGAGCATTGATGAGAACTCGATCCGTATACAGAGCTTGTCGAGCAGAAGACTGATTGCGTATTTAGTGATGATGGGACTACCTGTGGCTATCGGTTCCGCTGACTCTGCCAACCCTCGTATACCAATACCCACGAGGAGTGCAACGCATCAATCTAAGCGGGGCATCGTATTCTGGAGAACCTTCAAGTGGGCGGCAGAGAGCTATTAGCCACCCGGCAACCGGAAAAAGCATCCAGTAGGTGTATACGCAATACTCAGCTACTAACATGAATGGCTCGAGTCAGATCGACGGTAAACTTCCAGCCTAAATCATACTTTTTCATTTCTAGAGATTGGGGGCCGTGGCTGCCGCAATATAAATAGCGGGGACGTGGCAAGGCTGGAACGTTGAAATCACCTCCCCGTTTTCGACTGACCATCATCTGGATCTCATCGTCCTCATCATCTCGACAAGCAAGGATGTCTTCACTATCAAGTCCAGTACCAGTGATACTCTGCGGCAGACGCGCAGAAATTGGAAAGCCAGTTGCTGAGCTGCTAGTCCCTGAATTCGAAGGTACATACAATACCAAGCCAATTCCAGCCGTTGAAGAGGTTCATAAGGTACTAACTACACTAGTAATTCACTTTATTACGACCAACGAAGCTGCTCTGTCCGATATCCCCCGTCTATTGAAAGGCGAGAAACCTCAGTCTCCAGACGACAGCGGCGTGGGCACCCAGAACTACAGCCAGGTTCCACGCGCCGTCATTTTCGGTCGGGGATACAGTCTTACAGAAGTAGAACAATTCAGACAGGCAAGTGAGGGATGCAATGCGAATTCTGTGGCTTGGATTACGGGCGATCCGGATAGAAAGCCTGGTCCTAATGAACCGCGCCCTGGACCGGGGTATGCTCAGTTTGCGGCGGGCCAGGTGAAAGAGAAGTTGACTGCTTGGAGGGAGGAGGGCGCTACCCATGATGGAATTATCTTATGGTAGTTTCCCTCAAATGGTAGGGATGAAGTCTATGGAGCTCAAAAGGCCTGTCTTTACACAGCAAAAGAAATTACACGCAGAAGATGCATCTAGCCTATGCGCATGGCTTCTGGAACACAGTGTGAGAGTACCTTGAAGTGGAGAGTTACGTGAGCGAAGTACTTGGAATCCTCCACGGAGAATATTTGGTCCAGTGGGATGCTGAATATGATGTGTATGGGTGCTTTTTCAGCTGATCGAATCAACGTATTGGAAACCCTCATACATCATATCTGTCAATGATATAGACAGCAGTTCAAGGACCAGTGGCTCAAAAAAAAGCCCGGATAAACAACGCTACTTTAAAAAAAAAAGTAGGTAGAAAACCTTCGATGCTGATATTAAAGGAATCTCTAGCTTCTCCAATATCTGAAGTCATCTCGCCCGTCTTTCAGAGTGACGGGCCTCACAAGTATATCTCACCGATACACATACACCCGATCGTCTAGCAAGTCCAATGCCTGCTGCCGTCCCTTCTTTTCCAGAAGTAATCTAGCCTGCAGCGAGTCCATTTCGCGTTCGGCGTTGATCCGTGCGCCTTCCATCATTACCTGCACACGCTCTACTTCGGGCTGGTGCGGTGCTAAAGGTAACATCTCTCGCGGAATATCACCCCAGCTTGCCCAAAGAGGTAAGTGAAAATGGCGCATCGCACGATTGAGCTGGCCCCAGGCCGCAGACGGGTTAAGCAATACACCGCAGATGCTCAGATCTGTCCAGCCCCGGTGGGAAAGCATGGGCTTTTGGTTTCCGGACACGGACGGTGTCGCGGCTCCGGAAGGCATGAATCGCTCCATCATGGCACGCTGAGAGGCAGGGAGGTATGAAAGATGGTTCAACGGGGATGCTGTAGGTGTTGAGGGTGGTGTTCGCGGTTTTAAGACGAAGTCAACAGAGTAGGAGGTAAAATGGTCAGCGAGGTCGCGGTCGGCTATGTCGTATCCGTGTAGTGGGGTTTTGGCACGACTGGCTTTCCCTGTAAAGGCGCTGAGAAATCTGGTTAAGGGAAGATTCAAAGAACTTAATACTAACAGATATTGTGATTCGCGGGCGCACCACAGGCGTCAATATACTCCGAATAGGTCTCCGGACTCAAAAGCCCGGTGCGGTGCGGGTCCAGATGGTAGAAGAGTTCGTTAATCAGGGTGTAGAAGCAGGGAGTGGGTGTCATATCTTGATTGAAGAATGAGGTCCACCCCGAGGATTGATGTTGCTCCTGTTGCTGAGGTTGTTGATATTGTGGTTCCCTTTGGTATTGATGTTGAAGCTGATATTGCTGGGCCTGTGGAGGCTGAATTGATTCCCGCTGTGGATGCTGTGGATGCTGTGACGGTGTTGTCTGTTGGTTCTGCGGACGTTGCGGTGGTTTTGGAGGCGGTCCATGTTGCTGTGTATAACTATCCTGCTGAGGACTTTGCTGCTGTGGCTCTGGTGGCAATGATGTTGGTAGCTGCGAGGGGGCAGGCTCAGACACGGTTTCGCCAGCATCTGGTTCGCTTCTCACTTCTGCCTTGGTTGGACGAGGGGGTTTCTTGGGTGGCACTGAGGCATCAAATGCAGAAACAGGTCTTCGTCGTGGAGGGGCGCTTGCATACGTGCTGCCGACAGAGTGGGTTCGCACTGGTGGAGGCGGCGGAATCGGGAGATAGCCGCTGTGCTGATATACCAAAATGGAATGAGATGAGCCATCTGGGTGCTGCAGGGGATATTCCTGCACAACATAGCAATTCGCACACAGGTTTATAGGTGGCGCGCACGTCGTGCATGTCAGGCGTGCTTTAGACACCTGGATGAATTCCTGGCAGGAAGTGCATTTGTAGAGCAACATGGTGGGTTGATCAAAAACTGGTATGGAATTATCCTGGGCATTGCTTGCCCCTTATATAACAGCAACATCCTGTCGGGCACTAGTATTCGTATAGATTGAGGATGGCTTGTTTTCGCAAAGTGAAAAAAGCATTGGCAGGGCCTTGGTATTCATAATTTAGGTTAAAATAGGCGAGCTTATTCTGCTACAGCCTCCTTTTCCTTGAGCACAACTAAGGTGGCTTTAATTAGTGCATTAATGCAACCAATCACTTGCAAAGATAGAGCCTGTGATAGACATATCATTGGACAAACAGGCTCCACTATCTGCTAAGTTATCAATACGATTCGAACTATCCGTGCAGAGTACATAGTTAAATGTACTCTTCATCACATGAGAACAGTGAATCGATCAATGGTTGCACAACGGCGTCAATTTGACAATTCCTGCTAAAATGTCACGTCAAGAACTTAATGCTTGAATTTATGGTGACACTTGTGGCTTACATTAGGATGGACCTTAGCAAAATGTATTCGAGCAGTCTACCAACCAAAGCGTGTGACAAAACATGCAAAAGATGGCTAAAGTACCAGCCATATATTTAGTGACGTTACGTGTGCAGAATTTAAGATCTTTTATTGGTTTCGTATCTATATGGGGACTCACCAATCTATCTCTATCGGAGACAGGATAAGAAATAGGGACCATGAAAAAACGCATATCTTAAGATCTAGAGCATGCAGCCTTCTAGATATAGTGTCACAATCCATTTTTGTTGTGCCATGGTCAATATCCATGACCAAGCCGCTAACCCTAAACTTTCCAGCTTGACCTGCGAATTCATTTGTCCACTTCATTGAACATACTGTTCCAATCCTTCAAAATCAGCACAATGGAACAAATCAGTATTGCGAAGCCCTTATTTAATTGTGCCAAATGCCCAATCCATCATTCCAGTTACTCCAAAATTATGACGTCCATCCCGGTGATGTGCTTCGTGCTCCATCACACTGATCCAGGCCTTTCCATCGCTCCGTGAGTGCGAGTACATTGCGAAGACTTTTGCCACGCTGCTAAGAAAGCAAAGCTCTGGAAGAGTTGCTCCAACCATCCAAGCCGACATGAGTTCAGTTGACATCTGAGCAAAAACGTATTCTATCGGATGGACATCAAGGGCTGTAAGTGGTCCGCTTTGTTGAGTTTCGTGATGGAGCCGATGAATGCGCCGATAGAAGAACTTCCAGTGAAGAACACGGTGTATACTATAGTACATCACATCTGCAAAGACATATCCCAGGAAGACTTTCCGCAAGAATGCTTGAATAGAATAGTCTCTTCCGTGAACATCAGACACAGGCTGACTGGTAAACATCAACAACAAGCAATGAGCGGCTGCACCCCAAATAATGTTCATCATGACGCGAATGAATGTTCGACATGATAGTGTTTGAAGGTAAGCCACTTGGAAACATGCCATTGATAGAACAATAATGAATAGAGAAGAGTGCAACGCAGACACTTCATTCCACCCTTGTTCGAGCAACGGGCAAGAAACATAACGAATGACTTGGGAAACAGAGGTAAGAAACATGATAGATTTGTATCAAATTGATAATTGAGATAGAAAACAATTTCTGGTAATTCTGAGGCTTTGAGGAACTTTCTGGATTGTAGTTTGTTGGTGAAAAGCCTCGATATCGAAATTTGGCAACCACTCTTTTATAACCTGACTATGGATGTAGTATAGAGCCTTCATTCATGTCCATGGAGCTCGCCTAATTACGATTTTGGTACCATAGATACACAGATCCATATTTGGTTCAACGCAGCCTGATCTTACATGGCATGACTCGATGAACACCCGTTCATCGCCGCCTCGGTGACCCATGGTATTGACGGGAGGCCTTTTGTTGGTTATCCCGAGAAGCCTCATGTTTGAGGGCTTGATGATTTTCATTTGGAATTTAACACAGGTTGACGGTTTGCGTAAAGGAAATCGGCTCAATCAAACGCAGATCCCGCGGGGATGGGCTATCACGGCACAAATCTAGAACTCGAGTTGATTGACATTTAGTTTATTTCATGCGTTGCGATTTACACAAAGTTCTCGATATGACATAATCGGGAATCTGGAAGCAATGCTGGTACGCCTCGAAGACGTAAAAGCCGAGTCTCACATGCTCATCTTGAGTCAGGCGCGCAGGGCAAAACGGGTAAACACCCAACTTCATCGAATGTGGTAATTGGATATTGCTCTGATATTTGGCGCGTCAATTTCCACAAAATTTGAACATTAATGCCATTGGACTCATTTTCTCATTGACTGGTCCGTCTAATGTTTTCTTCGGTCAACCCGAGAATGTAAACCGTGAAGCATAGTAAAGTTTACGTTCAGCACCCAGCAATCTGGGCCCGGGTTCTATCAACCCATCTACTGGGGACAAACGAATGCCCCGAACCAATGGTCACGAGGCATAGGTATTCCCAAATCCATTGCGGGGGTTGGAGGTTCCGTGGTAGGCGAAGGCTGCAGTAATTAATACGAGGCTCCTCAATGTACGTGCGGGAGGTTCGCCTGAATTGTAAAGCCACTCTAGCTTGGCTGTCTATCAAGAAAAGGATTCAGCCCATAATAGTACAGGAGGCTCTTTTGATGATGCCCTTGAAGTTTCTCATGCCGTAGAAGCGTTTCTACTGCGGCACCATCAGGCACTCCATGACACCTGAAAATTGGGGGCCTGTAATTTCTCCGTTTAATTTTGCCACGGCCAGGCATCCATTCGACCCAGACAGTCCAAAGAATTTCTCTGTCACGAACTTCTATTTTTAATTGTACAGCACATTGACGGTAACATGGGATATATTCATTATTTTGCCATGTTGGAGTGGTTGTCCTATCAAGGCAATATACCACCTCTCTAGATGAAAAGATCGTATCAAGAAGAATCAAGTCAGACTAGGCTTAGTGCGTCGCTTACTGGTACAACGTACTGTTCCCAGTCATTCAAGTCAGAGGAAGGTGCACGACCAGACCCAGAAGCCTTGGAAATATTAAAGTCCCGAGTTTGCCAGACCTGCTCGATGACAGAACGTGTCCGAGAAACGCTAGAGACGCTGACTTTGGCAATCCTGGCAAGCAAACTCAACACAAGTACTCTCCCGTCTGTGGTAACCCCGGTGTCTGGGTCTGACCAGAGCTCAAGATCAAGGGGATCCAACTCCACGGCTGCCACGAAAAGCGGCCAAATAACATGCGAAACTGAGTCTCGATCTATAAGATCGACGATCCCTTTGAGAATTTCTCGCACATGGCTCTTGATCATCCAGTCAGTCGGTTTACCATCATATAGAGCACAATGAAGATAGACGTAGCAAGTAAGCTTCTTAAGCTCTGCAATATTCTGAAGGGTTCGGTCTTCAACATTGACGTTGGGCTGTTGAACTAAACACTGCAGCTTTCTGTTCAACGAAGAAGCCTTGACGTTGAAATCCGTCTTGGCCGAATCTGACACCATGAGACGTCGTGATCGACTAAGGTCCATGATTGCAAACAAGATCGAGACAAGAGCCGGACTACAGCCCATCCACCCGTCAATGATTGGGTCATTCTCATCCCAGTAGCTGGCTCCGAATAAATCAGCCTTTGCGCAGGCCGTACGCCCCATTACATCTTGGAAAGCAAAGAACAGTTCCACAAATTCGGATACCGTATCTTCACGACCGGCGGAAGAACTTGGTGATATTTGTTGTTGTTTCCTTCGCAGTCGAATGATATCTTTGGCTCCCTGGAGATGCAGAATCCACTGCGAATCGCAATGATCCACAATTTCAAAAAGACACAACAGCATCACAATCACTAGAATTTCAGGATCTTTTGCAACTAGAGCTTGTGGGTCTGTGTTAATCTGTCGCCTCAGCTCGGTTAAGACTTTGGATTTGAGCTGTAAGCCCAGTCTGCTGTATTTTGAGTCATATTGAGACCAATGACAGGCTGCGACTGCCTGGATTGCTCTTAGGACAGTAGGCGTTGCCGAAAGGCAGTATGGGAGAATCACAGACGCAAACGGGGACTTGGAGATAGGGCTGGGCGCCGTGCGTGGACAAATCTGGTTGATGTAGTAGTCGAACAATATTGGATTGCCCAATTCATTCAAAGATGGAAACAATGGAAGAGATGGATGGATGTCCTGATTTTCAAACCCTGCTCCATCGATGAATCGATCCGAGAAAGGCAGGATAAATGACACTGGCGAGTTTAGAGCATCCGGGCCCTGCAAGTAAGCATGAATCTCTCTCTCCCGGGCTGGTAAGAGATGGGGCTCGATATCATTTTGCTCTTCGTTGTACAGGCGCTGTACCAATGAATATTCGCTGCTGATAAAGTTCCAGGGCTGGATTTCAGGTGTCTCAAGCCAGGTAGTACCAGCTGGTGGGGATCTAGGCACACTATTGAGCCCCAATCGGGCCAGATCTGATTGATGGGCTGAACTTTTGCTCCAGACACCAGATCTGCCAAACGCGATTCCACGGTCATAAAAATCAGCCTCCCACTTGAGTCGGACCTCGTCTTTGAGGCACTGCAGATCCTTTTCCCAGCATCTGGTGCAAATGGGCTTTTTCTCGTCGCATTTCACCTTGCTTCGCCGACAGTTTGCGCAGCCTTGTCGAGATCGTGTTCTGGTCTCTCGGCCATTTCTTTTCGTCTTTGAATCCATGACAAAGATGGATTCTTCATTGACACTGTCTCAAGAGTACAGACAATAGACGATTGAGTCTTGGTACATATGTTGCCCTGAAAGAACAGGGCCAACTGGTGAGGTCACAGTCGGAACCGCCAGCTGCTTCCAAGATTTCGGCGATGACCGTGACAAGTGGTGGTAAATCAGTTTCGCATTCTTGATCAGTGGATGGTTTGAAGTTGCGAGTTATCAGGAAAGAGGCCGAGTCTCCTGGTTGACGAATTTCGTCATCAAATTGCCTCCCGTCTCATCTGGCGATTTGTAATCGGACAGGCCATTCTTCGGCCAGGAGGACAAAGGAGATGGACCAAAGCCAAAGCTGTTGACCTTGCAACGCCTTCAAATCTCAGTATAAATACCAGCAAGACAGATATTGATAATTCGAATAGCAGTCATTAAAGCAATGTTAATTTTTCGACGTTGACTCGATGATGTCCAGCATTCGTTGGTTATGTCAGGCTTTGACGGAAAGGCAGGTCGAAGCGAAAATAAACTTTCAAGTGGGGCACTTTAGGCCAACCATATTGTCTAAATCACGTGTTGCTCTTTGAGATATCTACAGCAAGTCGAATGCAGGGCAAGCTTGGCTGATATGTCAGGCCTGAACGGAAGGCTCAGGAGATACTCTATGATAGACGTCAGAGGACGCCGTTGAAATATCCAGCAATCATCATCAACGAATGTTATGGTTCAATTATAAACTCTGCAGCATGATACTTGGATGGAATCTGTTGGGGAAAACATGATGGGAATTTCCTTCCTGTTGTGCAGACTTTGCGTGGAGATTTCCAGGACCAGCGTTGCTGCTTTTCTCGTCGGGCTATTTAAACCTCAGCTAATACTTCTCCCTTCTCTCTTTCTTATTTTGTTCCTTCCTTTCTTCATCCTTCGTCCTTGCTCGGCAGATCGAACTCGGACTTTTTTTCGCTGTCTTCTTCCATGCTCCCTGTGTGCCGGTGTACTTGACAGCCTCAAGTATATTAATACTTCGTGTTACCCGTACCTTGGGTGTGGCGCCTGTTGTTATATATCATTGATGACCGGCCCCTCCTGCCATGCTCTGCCATACTTTCAAGGTTTTTACCCTGTGCCCACACATCAGGGTACAATATCCAGAAGGGAAAATCAGCCCACATCAAGCTCAAAACCACTGATCTCTTTCTATACAATTTGTGCCCATTGGAATCTGAGAAGCCAGGACGAGATGAAGGCTTGGCAACTCTCTCAATCGGTATCCATCATTCGAACTTCCCCCCTCTCTGCACCAATAAATCCCGGAATCAACGTATAACTGACAGAGCACCTGCAATCATTTATCAGTGTGCCACTTCAGCAAGCTATTACTCATCATGAACGCCCTCCCAGCAATGAAAATTTCGGCTGCGAAAAGCAGATGCTGATATGTTCAAGAATATCGAGAGCCCTGCCGTCGTCTTCCGCAGAGAGCAGATGCTGCAGAATTCGAATCCGAGGACACAATCTTGGTACCAGCGCGACTTTTTCCTAGCTTGGACGTTATGGAAAGCGAAAGCGAAACGTGGTCATTATCAGTTGCACCAAACAACAAATTAATGAGCCTGCCGTGCATGCTGAGACAATCCTGGTAACGAGTTTCTAGTATTTAATTCACGCGGATTGGAGCATATCCTGGGATTAGTTGAGAATGGCAACTGGACCGTTCCCCACTACACGCCACCACCATCTTGCCTTGCAAATAATGGAGAATCTCCTTCAAGGGGTGCTCACAGATGACAACACTTTGCCTGGTACTGCCGCATGAGCACGAATGGGAGGGAGGATGATATCTCGACGCGGATACTGGACCCGCTGCCTTCTGGCAAATATGGTTCCAAACAGGATCCCCCGGCAATTGTGTGGGCAGTCTACGAGAGGAACCAGGGCAATTTATGAGAACACACCTTACGCAAGCATATTTTCGCGCCCTCCGATAGACTGTCTAGCCAATGTCCCCGGTTCAAAATCTATACCTCGCCCGCTATGCGACACCTTGAGAGTAGCAGCAATGAAGAAGACAGCCGGTTGTCTTGTTATTTTGTATGACCGGAACAAATTCATCGGGTCCGGTCGATATATACTGGGAAGCTATATAAAGTGGTACGTCCCAACCGAAATCCACCAACCGGAACCCAAGTCACAGCGGAGAACGAGATTTCCTATGATATGACTGGAAAGATTAGTACTACTTCCAGAGGGCAAGTTGTTCCATATATCTAGCCCTGATATGTCTTATTGTTGCGGCAAATATCGTCTCGTTAGTTATACTTGACTTTCATTTTCGGTACTGTTAGCTGATACATTCTAGCCCAAGGGAGAAATACCCTGCCAAAACATGAGTCTATCACGGCTCTTCCGTGTCCTCACTATTCTCCTCTATCCAACCGCTTTCCTGATGTATACTTGGTTGTTGTGATCTAGACAGACACCCATCCACAATGTGCTAATACGCGAGAGTGAGAATCTTCTACGTGGAGCGCTCCACGTCCGATTTCAACTTCATAGCTGTCACAAGGGCCTCTTCGACCAACTCCAGCGCACCGACGACCCGGACGAGCGCGCGACTTCGATACTGCGAGGTGAATCTTTGGGGAAAATGTGGGCCTAAGTTAGTAGTTGGGTCCTCTTCTGAACAGGAGGTCTATCAAAGTGAGGCAGTTCATCACTGGGTGCAAGTGGTGCCGGTCTACGAAGCTGTTTGGGTGGCCACGTTCCAAGATGGTAAACATCGATTCAGTCCTAGCGCGCTCTTTCGAGCCCCGGGTCGCGCATTCGGGCATACCTGATGTATGGTCAAACACCTATCAGGAAAAGATTGTGTCGGAAAAGTGGAAGAACAAACAAAGCCTGAACTTACTAGTTTTAGAGGATCCAAAGTTCAGAATGTGCACTCGTCAAATCTACGCTTTCACAGGTCAACATCCATAACAATTCGAGGATATCTTAAGACACAGTAAACCCTAAAACAACGCAAGACGTGGGTTATCACTGAAGCAAGTAACGAGGTAACCAGTCATATAACTTCTTTAGACACAAACAGCCGGGTATATCCCACGAATGCCGCTGGTCCCAAGCTGCAGGTAGCTCAGTGGAGGAAATCCCCCCCCAAAAAACTCACCGTCCACGCTATACCCCGCATCCGCGAGCCACGCGACAGCTTCCCCAGACAGCCAAGCCGCCAAGGGGAATCAGGAGTCGGCCTGAGCGGCCAAAGAGCCCTCTCGGGGTAATTGGGAGCGAGTCGAGTATCTGCCCGGCAGGGCACACATATGTACACAGTTACACTCTCTCCCACGGAGTCCAGACGTGGGTTCTATCGGGAGACTTGGGCCGACACACATTGCCGAGTCAATCGCGAAATAATGTCTCATGTGCATTGTGCGGGAAGTACTTAGTCCCATGACGTGAGTCGTGCTTGGTGAGGGCCCGTCGGTTCGGGGAAATTAGGAGACGAGTCGATCCCCTCTGTTCGTTGTTAGTGTGTTAAGTGTTTCCGCGCTTCGGCCCAGGCCGTTTCAAAATTTGTGCGTGCTGGTTGGGTTAGGCTGGGGGTTGTGATCGGTCAAAGCTCGAATAAAAACCAAGGATCATATCACGGGTGAATTAGGAAGATGGGACGCTGACGTGATTGGCAAGTGATAAAGGAGCTCATCGTCACTAATGCGACGGGGGGCCGACGGCCAAGGGAGGAAATTTTGGAGAACGGGTTTACGGGGAGATTATTCCATATTGGTGAATGTTGATCCGGAACTGAAGATAACGGGAGCATGGACAGTGTCCTAGTTCGGGTGGAAAAAGGGGAAATAAGCAATGTAGTTGAGTCATTTGTAGGATTGAAAGTAGTTAGTATCTACTGTATTTACTTCATCCGGAGAGACTTGCTTCGATTTTGCGGAGAGAAACAGGGGGCGAACCCCTTCTCCACCCCCCTTGCTCCATCGGGCGTGAGGAAACCACGCCTGCAAGTACATCGTGACCTTCAAATCTTTTAAAAGAAAAAAGTCTGGTCCAGACTCAGCCCCCCTCGACTCTAAACACTAAGGACAAGCTATCCAGCAACCGAGTCACGCGCAAGTGCAGAAAAAAAATGTTCACCAAGAGTCATGCTTCGATCAGCTGCCGGGAATAGAACCTCCTACGTAAGCAAAATGAAACAAATCGCGCAAAGTAACAAGGGCAGTGGCGATCTGTTTCATTGGCATCCGAGTGTACAGTAGAAAGAATAATAGAATGTACTCTCTGCACGGAGTACGTACAGCAAGCAACCTGATTATTAGGCGTCAAAAAGCAAGAAAAGTACGGAGTACAGTGTAGAGACTGCTCGTCTTCCCGAGGCCGCAACCGCAACCGCAACCGTAACCGGGTCGGGATCCGCCGCTAACCATCGGGAAAGAGGATCTGGGGTTTTTATTCTCGCTGCGAGCAAAGCCACACTTGGGTTCTCTGCACGGGGGACCGAAAAGTGGTCCCCGTGGCAAAGCGACCCGGTCCAATTCTGGAAACATGCAAAATTATTGCAAGCCGGAAATTCCAGCTGGGGTTCAGCTTGTTCAAGACCCGATGTACTTCGGTAGACCGCTTGTCTCCATTCTCCCGAATGGAATTTGTAATATGGACGCATTCTTTGTGAGGGATTATTGTTATCTTTTGCGTCGCTTTGGATAGACCAGAAAAAAAAACCATCGGGGCCGAGACCGATAGAGCACGTAAGATGCATGGCCTGTAATGAATCTGTGTGGTTAGTATGCTCCGAGCTGGCGGTGGAGACCAGGTACCACCGGTCGGGATGAGGGCCTCGAATACCTCGATCTCATTGCACTAGGGCACCGGGCCAGGCTGGAAGGATTATCGTGTCGGCCAGCGAAAACCAGGGACGAGTCGATACTGGCAAGGACCCAGCGGCAATATCTTCTGCCCACCCGACCATGCGTGCGAGAGTGGACAACCTGGAAATGTGTGGC